CATCAACACAGTGATGAGTGCTATTGTTGAATCTGACGACGAATGTGTGATTGTCGATGAGCTGGTGGGCGCAGAGCTGATGATTCAACCACCTAAGTATCCTGGTAATTACTCCGCTAGGAAGCAGAAGCGTTGGTCTCAGGGAAGCCGTAACTCTCAGAGCTCAGGACAGATACGGACAGATGCAGTGCACTCCCGTCTACAGCCTAACCATATCTTTCCAGCGCAGCTGTACTCGACGGAGTCTGGCCGCCTGTTCCACGCCGGCAAGGTGTTGATCTGCCTGGTGGGTCTTCCAGCAAGAGGTAAGACCAGGCTCTCGGTGTCCTTGACGAGATACCTCAGATGGTTGGGTGTCAAGACACATACCTTCCACGTGAGTGACTACAGAAGAGCAAAGTATGCCAATTTTGAGGATGATATACCGGATGACTACTTCAGAGCCGAGCCAACATCGGAGGAAGGTGTGAGGATGCGCCAGAGTATCTTGCAAGACTGTCTGGATGATATGCTCGGCTTCTTTGAGAAGGATAAAGGCCAGGTTGCGGTCTATGATGCGTTGAACGTGCTGAAGAAGGACCGTGAGCTTGTGCAGGAGCTGTTCTCGAAGAACCACATCAAGGTGCTGTTCATTGAGAGTATTGTTGATGATCCTTCTGTCATCAACCGCAATGTCCAGAACGCTGCTGCGTCGCCAGACTACGAAGGCTGGGACCCTGCGAAGGCCAGAAAGGATTACCTGAAGAGAATCAACGCCAATGCTCCCATCTACCAGCCTATGAACGAAGACGGTGATGAGTCTCACCTGCGTTACATCAAGTTTATCAACTTTGGTGAGAGATTGATCACCAACAATAGCCAATATGGTTATCTGGTGAACAGAATCGTGTTCTTCTTGATGAACTCAAGAATCAAGACCGGATGTGTATATTTTGCAAGATGCGGTAAGAGCGACCTGGATAAATACGTTGATGATGAAGTGTTGAACGAGGAAGGTTTACAGTTCTCTGAGACATTGGCTAACAAACTGCTTGATACAATCGCAAAGAGGAAGAAGGGCAGCCCTGTACCAGTCTCGTTGAATGCAAGCTCAGGATCATCAACAGATACTCTAGAGAAGCATGCGTTTAGACAACCACCAACAGCTGATGGTACGAACGACGATTCGTTTGTTGTTTGGACAGCTACTCGTAAGAGAACCTCTGCCACTGCTGATCCGTTCAGAAGACGTGGTATTACGGTCCGTGAACGTTATCAGCTCAATCAGTTGAACCCAGGTGAGATTGCAGACCTGACACTGGAGGAAGTGAAGCAGAGATTCCCAGATGAATGGGCACAAGATCAAGACGATCCATACCATCACCGCTATCCACGCGCAGAGTCCTTCCATGACCTTGCGGTGAGAATGGAGCCTCTCTTGTTGGAGATGGAGCGTATGAGTGGTGATATGCTCATCATTGCTCATGAATCAGCACTGGCTGTGTTGTATGGCTATTTGATGGCATGCTCTTGTTATGAGATTCCATCGTTGCAGTTCCCAAGAGACGAACTGGTGGAGATCTCATACTCACCCTACGAGAACCATGCCAGACGCATCAATATCAACGACTAAGCTTGTCAACAGATTTTAATCAATCAGCCATACACAATAACTACATGTCTTGTAGGGACTCCTTAACATGAGTTAAAGAGATCACTGAATAACCATGAATAAAGACGGAAACGAAAATCGAAAATAATAACCAATCAGCTGGGTACCCTCCCAGCTTTATGTGTGCTTGTGTGCAATGTGTGCAGATATATAATGTGTTGCAATAGTGTGAATACATCTATTTGATTCTTCCGGAGAGTGAAATCACTTCTTCTCCTCTGGCTTAGTCCACAACTTCTTCAACAGGCCAGTGATACCGACATCGTTGGACTCGATCTGGTAGATACCATACGCGGCGATTCCGGTACCAAAGGTCAACAGCCACATGGCGTAGTCGTGCTGCTTCCCGTACACTCTGGTTGGGATGTAGTCAATGATACAGGATTGGAAGCCAATCCAGGAGTGTGCGAGTATGAAGGTTGCAAAGGTGGCATCGAGAACTGGAGCAAACGAGCCAGTGACGAATGGAATAGTGGCCAACGGAACCATGCCGATGGCAATCACTTTCTCAGCGCTCCAATGGAGCGAGCCATGGCTGTGGGATGGCTTTGGCCCAACGTACGCATCGTTAACGGTACCAACAATGTAACCTGGAGGTTGTGGGTAGTGCTTGAGGAATGGGATATCCACCTTGCGTGAAGCAGAAGTGTGAAGAGCAGCGGTGGAGGCTGCGATGTTAGAACCAACGATTCTGGAGGATCTCAGTCCGACTCTGGCAAGCATCTCTAAACTGTTGTGGATACGACTGACGATTTGGTGCTAGGAAGGAGAAGAGTGAAACAAACCCCAGGTCAAGGGAAGAGGAAGAAGAAGAGACTCACAGTGAAAAAGTGTGCTTTGATTATTTTCCACGACACGCTGATTGGCAGTCAGCCAACGGCTCCGCAATTGCGAAGTATCGGTGTTTAACTCGGAGAAGCCCTCAACCGGATGACCGCCCCGGTGAGACTCGGGAGAACGGTGTGTGGCTAATGAGCGCAGGGGGGTGTTCGATTATTTGTGCGGGACACACAGCTTCGCTGTATGCCATGCTGTGATTTGCTGATTTGAGCCTCTCTTCACGGTGTGGGTCATGAGCTACAAGGCCTACATCGATTGTCTCTGTTCCAAGCGGAGGTGTCGTGTAGTGAGTCATAATGTAGTGAGTGCGATGTGGTTCTCAGTGCTTGCGTACTGTATTATCGTGTGCGTCGGAGCTGCTGTGGCTCTTGTTGCTGTTGGGAACAGCTTCTGATTCCGAGTCTGAGATGGCCTCTTCAGTGTGAGAATGGTTGTGGCAGTACTTCTCCAGTACGGTTTGTAGTTGCTTCTTGTTGACAGGCTTCTCCAGCACGTCGTTGAAGTATCCCGAAGAGACGGCTTCCTTGTAGTACACTGTTACCGCAACGACGGGAGTGTCCGAGTTCACACTGGAGGTGTGTCTCAGCAGCTTCACGATGTCAACAACCTCGACTCTGTGGACACGAAGAGTGGTGATGATCAAGTCGAATTTGACGGATCCGGACGCCCTTCTTATCAACTCATCGCCTGCGCTCACGGCTACAACAGCACACCCAAGACTCTCGAGATCCTTCTTCAGAGAGTACCGTAGAATGGGGATTGACTCACACAGCAACACGTCAAGCATGTGGACCTTAGACCCAGACCTCTCGGACATCTTCGAGGATTGTCTTCTGCGTCTAACTCTTTCGAGAGCAGAGGTCCTCGAGTCTTCGTTATCTGAACTTGAAGGCGAAAACTCGGACATGGGCTTGTGGAATAATCCGGATCTTGATCCTCTTGAATGGCCTGGTCCATAACCCGAGTTTGGAGTAAGTGGCTTGGAAAATGCCCTTGTGGATGGTGAGCCAGAATCGGTACTTGGCGTAGATCTTCCAGATGTTTCATAAAAGGGGTAGTCATCAGCTGAGGAAAGAGCAACAGGAGGTGGTGTTTGCGTCACAGATGCGTGCTGGGCAATCACTCGACCAGGGGAGTGTGATCTAGCGATCGATGGTGAAGATGACCTCTTAAATGCCGACGGAGACGTCATTGAATGATGTCTGGAATCAGAGGACGAGCTCGAGAAGCTGCTTCTATGCTCCATGTGTTCTGCTTTGATTCTGTTTATCACATCTTTATTGGCCTTATCCAGCACAGGTAAGTTTCTAAACTGGAATGAGCCGAACTCGTTCGAGCCATCACTCAATCTACTCGGTCTTCTCTCACGTAGATGAATTGGAATAGCCAAGGATAAGTGGTTCTTGCCCATTGTGGGTGAATTTGCAGAGGATGGTGACCCTTGTGAAGTAGTGCCGCCGTGTTCTTTCTTTAAAGTAACTTTATCTGTTCTCGATGCCTCTGAGCTTGAACTTGGTTCATCATCCATAGGAAATTCAATCATATCAGCGCCTCTTGACTCGAAATACTCTGTACTTTCAGGATCATCAAGCATAGGTACAAATCCACTCTCTGCTCTCCAAAGATCATCCCAATTGACTCCTTTAAAATAGGGGTGGTTTTTTATTTCTTCGGCACCATTAGACCCTAGTCTCTTTTCAGGGTCCATTGTCAATAACTTCGATATGAGATCCTTGGCTTCAGGAGAACAAAGCTTGAGTTCTTCCTCTGCACTCAGCTCAGGCCAGTGAATCTCTCCTTTCAAAATATTCTGGAATACTTTTTCCGGTGTAGATGCGTGGAAAGGAGGATAACCAAATATAAACTCAAACAAAATACACCCAACAGACCACCAATCAGCTGCAGCACTTTCTCCAGTGCCACGAATGGTTTCTGGGGCAAGATAGTCAGGAGTTCCAACAAACTTCTTATTCTTAGAAGTGTTCTCTGGATCAAAGAGTACGAAGTTTTTAGAGCCTGTAGAAGCAGGAGACGGTGTCTCATAATCCTGTATCACAAATGACGTATGAGAGGAAGATCTATGCATCGGCTTCACTGTACCGGAAGTATCAGGTATTGTAGCTGATATAGATCCTGGGTTTGAACTGTGATTTGATCCTGGAGTTGATCCAAACATAGAACTTCCAGATCCTTTCCGTATTTCATTTTTGATAATGCTTTCAAAAAAGCTCTGGTTAGGACTGGTAGAAGCCGATTCGCTAACACTCCCTGATAAAGCAAGAGCACTGATAGAATCGCTGCGTTGCCTGTGGGCAGTAGGCATCGTGGATTGGCCAAAGGCTTCTTCACTAACCGATCCTTTGCCAGCAATTCTCTCTTGACGTCTAATCAATCCCATGCGGGAAAGGCCAAAATCGGTTAACTTCAAGTGACCACTGGAATCTATCAAAAGATTGTCCGGTTTCAAATCATGATGGACGATACCCTTTTGATGCATATCATCAACACCAGCAATCACCTCAGCGATATATTGCCTTGACCATTCTTCTGGAAGACCACCTAACATTCTTACAAGGGTTGAACAATCACCTCCAGGCAGATACTCCATGACCAAAAAGAGATAATCTTTACTCTGAAAACTTGAAAACAACTTTGCAACGTAAGGACTGTCGGATTGTGCCATCATGATTGCACGTTCTGCTTTCACGTTTGTAACTTGGTTTTTTGAAATCATATCAGACTTCTTCAACACTTTGATAGCAAAATACTCTCCTGTGAGTTTCCTTATAGCAAGATAGACACTTCCAAATGCACCTTTACTTATAGGTTTCACAATTTCATAGTCTTTTATTGATGGCGCAACAGGTTTTGGAACAGGCATTCCAACAAGTAATGGAGAGAGTGGAGGCTTTATCGAGCTTACGGGTAACTGTTCATTGTAACTTCCTTTCTTCTCCATCATTACACTTTCGTGTGCCAACAGTAACGGTGAAGAGATCGGAGTGCCAGACATACTGTCATGCGGATAGGTTCGACTATTACGTTGTATTGAGCTCATTGGTGAGTTCTGGAAAGGTTGGCCGATCCCTGGTGACGGCTTCCGCTGAGGTGTCAACAAAGGACTCTTGACATGAAGCTCTGAGAAGCCTGGAAATACAACCTGTTGTTCCACAGCTGAACTATCTGATATTACAGCTTCCGTTCCTGGTGTGATTGATCTTGCTGGAGAGAAGCGGCCTTTGTTTTCGGAAAGATCCTCTCTATGAGAAGCTGTGGGACTTGGCAAAGAGTCTGTGCCGAGATAAGCATCAGTGAATATATTCGTGTGAACCGATACAGGTCTCGGATAGGCGATATTTGTAGCCTGCGAAGATACATCAGAAGAATGGTCTAATGATGTGACAGAAGGACCACGATTCGATACTGGTGGTTTGACATCAGAAGTTTGGTTTCTAATATTTCTGATAGTGTCTGTAATTATCTGGAGAATCAACTCATCGACTTCATCTTTGATCTTCTGTGAATAGACAAGAGAACTGTTAAGTCTATCAATAGCGTCCACTTTCTCTTGGACAAGTTTTTCCGTATCTTCTGTCAAAAGACTGATTGCTGGATCCGAAGAAGAAGGGATTGTATAAGCATCAACTTCATCCAGGGCCTTCTTTGTATTTGGTGAAAATGTAAAGGTGTTTGTATCCTCGTCGAAATCACTTGGATTGATGGCAATTGCAGTCTCGCAAAGTTCGTTCAGAAGAGAGAGGGTCTTAAATGGAAACCGAAGCGGTCTCATTATGGACCCTGATCTTGGTTTTCTAGATATTGGACTAGAAGACTTGTTTGACTCGATAGTAGAAACATGAGGCAATGGCTCACCTTTGTAGTTGTCAACGGATCCCACGGATCCTGAAGATTGGGCATGTAGAGAGTCTGTTAAGACGCCTATAAGTTTCTTCTGCTCTATTAGCATGTCATGAACCATTTCAACGTCACTTTGGCATTTGTGCTCGTTATAGCAAAGTTGAGAATGTCTTTCTAGCCACCACGATGGCACAGGCTGCTCACATATACGGCACAATACGTGTGGTGGTGAGGGCACGTCTTCTTCATTGATGATACCATAATCGGAGAGTGATTGCAAGAAAGATGCAAAAATATCAGCACCGAATCCTAGTGAATCTGCGAGTTTTGATGGAAGCTTGACATTCAAAGAATTTGCATAGAATGGTTTCAATATCCACATAGAATGTGTTGGAATACCTTTGCTGTTATGGATCAGGATTCCCTGGCCTTCAAGTTCAATGACTTGTCCATTAGTGGACAGTGAGCTCAAAGACTCTTCGTCAGTGCCTGACTCCTCAGTGGAGTATGTGCTTCCCGTAGTTGAACCAACTTCTTCAGCATCACTATGGGAATCGGTATCAGCACTGTCTGCGTGCTCCCCTTCTGCCGTCGTCTCCTCTCCTTCACTGGCCTGTTGATCAATATCTTCTTCGTCTGGCAGTGCGTCGTTTGTGGACACGACAAACCGCACTCTGTAGCTCTCGTCATCCCCCATCATGATCCCTGTGGCGTCAACAAACACATGTTTATCCTCCTCAGAGCCCAGAATTATATTCGAGATCGGGCGGTCGATGATCTTAGCAATACGGGTCCCCACAACGGACTCCCACGCCTTGCTCAGGTGTCTCACATTGCCATCCAGGTCAAGCTCTAGCAGTATACTCGGGTTCTTGCCGCTGGCCTGTGCCAAATCTTTATGTGGATCCGAGTCATCGAGGTCTTGAGATGGTCCGATAACCTCAATGGGTACATCATCCAGGTCGCTTACGATAACGGACGGCGTGGACCCCCTAGAAGGGTGCGTTGGCCTTTCCACCATGGTGAACGTGCGCTAGCCCGTAGCGCCCGTGTATGTGTGCTGTTGTTGTTCTCCTTCTTCTGAGAACACTGCTCAGGCCTCTGTACCTCCTGTGAGAGATATCAACTCCCTAAACGCAAACAGAAAACAAATCTAACAGAAACAATTGAGCCCGCAAACACACCAATGCCACGAGATTTGTTCAATCGCTTTGATCTACTGAGACCACACAGGTAACTTCAACGGATCTCTCTGTGTTTCCCCTTTGCAAGGAGCTGGATTGTACCTTTGGAACAAAAAAATCACAAGTGTGTCACCGCTTAAAATGCGCAACTTCTTTGGCAGTTCACCGCGATGCTGTGCGCTCCTGCAACCGGCCTCCACAACCGGCCTCCCCAGCTTCCGTAGTAGAGGCCCGCGCAAACAGGGCTTCCCGGTGGGTTTTAGTGGGCTACACCTTACAGCGTTAGCAGCGTCGCCCTAGAACGCTAGCAGACTACAAATGACCAATGAACATTGTCAGCTCTGGCCATGAAGCCTTTGCAGAGTTGCCTATGGCGAATTATTTGGGGCCTACGTACGGCTGGACCTTCTCCTCAAGCAAGGTCACTTTATCGCCAACCTTCACCGTGTAGCCTTCGTCGAGGTTGATGGCGTACATGCCGAGGAAGTGCAAATGTTTGTCGCCTGAGTCCACCTTCCTGTACGAGCTTAGGGTCTTGGAGACAGCCATCTTTTTATCCATGACTCCTTCATCGAGCTTCATATTCGGAACAGAGCACCGAGGGCACTTCTCCGTGGCATTCCAGTAGTGGTAGCCGGTATCGGTTTCCATCCGGAAACGGTACCAGTTGTCCAGCGACTGGTATGGCAGCTTCAGGCCTCTGACCACCAAGTTTGGGCGGAAATGCAGGGCTTTGGCCTTGAAGTCCAGTCCCTTGGAGACGATCTTGGAATTCAGCGTGTCAATGTCTTCGTCTGCCAGGAACTTCATAGGGTAGTAGTCCTGGAAATACGTTGTGCGGAAGCTCTTGAGAATGCCACTTGGATGGCCAGTTTTAACACTTTTAGGCTTGGAGGCGTATAGCAGAGTTGATCCGGGTCTGTTCAGCTGCATCGAGATCTTGAACTCGTCTGGAAGAGCCTTGCCGATGTCGATTGAGCTGAAATGGACATCCCAGAGATTCGTCTCGTGGTCGGAATCGTCATTTCTGTTCTGCGCAATGAACTCTGGAGTAACGTTACATGGGAGTCTGAAGCTCTTCTCGCCAACGGTCTTTCCCTCCATATCAATAACAGGGTAGATAAACTCAAAGTAGTTCTCCTTCAGATTGTAGTCAATCCTAACAAGTGACAGTCTCGTGGCGTTCCGGAGGGTATAGGCCTCATATATCTGCTTCTTCGGCTCCCAGAAGGCAAGCATGTACTGTCTATCATGTTTGAACCCATGCTCATCAATCTCCCACTCATTTGGCTGAATGTATGAGCACGACTTGATCGGGAAAACAAAGATCTTCGACACCTCCAAGGTGTACAATGGCTTGCCAAAACGCAACAGAGCAATGGTCTTGAAACGGATGTTACTCAGCAGTCTTAAGGTAGCCCCTGCTTTGGTTTGCTGTGAAAGAGTGACATTGAAGAACTTTGCAAGATCAGGTAGAAATATAAACCCAATGACAAAGCCAACAACGACAGTGTACAGGGAAGTCAAGGAGAACAGCATCACTCAGTTGATCAAGCAGCACACTCACACCGTCTTGATGGTGTATAATTGGTAAGATTTATGATTTGTCACGAATTATGTCCAACGTTATCAGGATCTCCGGTCTACTCCACAGTCCTCCTGCTAACACTTTCCTCTTATGGTAGTTCTGTACGTGCCTCAAGGAAAGATTCTAAAACCGGAATTAAAAGTTAGTAGAGAAGCAATAATGTATGTGCATAGTAATTGTGGGGTCAATTAATAGCATAAGTGACCTTATAGTAGTTGATATCACCCTCTCTAATGATAAACTTATACTTTATCAATATTCTAGCTAATCTCTTCTCCCAGCTCCCACACTATTGGTGCACCACATCAAATTTGATTTTCAACGTAAATGCTTCACTAGCTCAGTCGGTAGAGCGTCAGTCTCATAATCTGAAGGTCGACAGTTCGAACCTGCCGTGGAGCATTCTTTTTGTTTTTTTTTTGCGATCTCATAGTGTACATATACTTGCATCGTTGCTGTAGTGTTTGACTTTAATGCTGCGCGTATCAAATATTTATTTTGGTGTTCGGGTGTATAAACACAAAAACAATAACAACAACAACAAAGTATTATATCTGGTATTGTTTATACCCACGGTAATTAAGCTCTTGCAATTATCCATATCCCTATACGCTTCATAAACTGCTCCATCAGGGTTCCACTGCTCGCCTTGAAGATATACCAGCAGTTTCGGTGGAGTTGTCTCTGGTATCTTCGTGTTTAATTATCAGCCGACTTACTCTTGTTGATTTAAGGACTTTTCTATCATTGAATCAGAAACACTCTTAGACGTTTCTTCTTCCCGCTCTTTCTGTTTACTCTGCATGCCATATTCTCAACCATCTAGAACATGATTTCGTCACATGGTCGTACTGCTTCAAAAGCTCGACAAAGAGATGATACACCAGTGTTTCTGGACCGGTCAGACTCCGATGACGATGACAACAACTTCAAACCACCAGCATTGAGTAACTATGCGTTGGCATTATTGAAGAAAGAGAATGATGGCTCTGATAAAGAAAACCTGCATACTACACTAACAAGACAAGTACCGAAAAGAGTCAACTTCAGGAGGTCACCAGAGGACAACACGAGGTCCAAACAACATCATGGTGAGAACCAAGCCCTAAGGACTAATACACTATACACAAACCAATCAGAACACGATTCTGTATTCACTAGGGAAACCCAGATGGATTATGACATATACGGGTCCTTCTCTACGGGTCATGACAAGGCCCAGAAGACGCCACTAAATAGGTCATCGAGCTCAGGATTAGGCTCTACCAGTGGAAGTCATTCACGGCTGAGGAGTTCCACAAGGAGAGTTAGGGGATTTGGAGGCTTGGGTCCACCAAAGAGAGCCTCGTCAAATGTTGAAGATGTTCTGAAATCAACATCTGATGCTCAAACTCTGGAAGATGGACCGATGAGAGATATTACGATATCACCTGGCGAACACAACGGTGTCACAGTTGGTAAGCCCCATATTACACCAGAAAAACGTACACCTTCCAAGAACCCAACTATTAATATTGACTTTGAAGGTATGAATCCATACCAATACTCGAGAAAGCATAACATTCCCTCACTGGAACTACCCAGACTTGTGAAGATTTACTTTGAGCAGCAAAAACACCAAGCGAAAGAGGCGATGTCCCTGAAGAGTCCCATTAGACTTAAAGAGGCCATGTACTCTCAAATTGAAGAACAACTAAAATGTGATACAGGTACCTCCGGAGAGATTGAACCAAAGACTGGTGTGCCGACGCTGACCCTTGGTAGTGACAAGGAGAACATTGGTATTCCTCAAAGACCAACTACCGATCTAGAACAGTTACGTTCAAATCGACAGCCTTTGGCTGTTCTGACTCAGGCAAACCAAAAATTACAGAATTCCCTGAAAACTCCTAATCACGAATCATATCAAGAATATCACTACAAGCAAACCGAACCTTTGAAACCTTCTGATGAACCGAAGAAAAGTTCTAAATTGCTCAACATCAATGGAAAGCAATACGAAAAACTTGAATTATTGGGTAAAGGTGGCTCTTCAAAAGTCTTTAAAGTCAAATCTCTGAGCAATAAGGTATACGCTGTTAAGAAGATATCCTTTGACGATTTTGATGAGGTTAGTATACGTGGCTTTAAAGGTGAGATTGACCTATTGTCTAAACTTCGTGATCAAGAGCGTGTTGTTAGGCTAGTTGATTATTCTTTGGGACAAGGTTCACTATATTTGGTGATGGAATGCGGTGAAATTGACTTGTGTCACGTACTAGCCAAGAGACTCGACTCTCCCATGGATATCGAGTTTGTGAGATACCATGCTAGTGAACTTCTCAAATGTGTTAAATCAGTACATGATGCCGACATTGTTCATTCTGACTTGAAGCCTGCCAATTTCCTCTTCGTAAAAGGCATGATGAAAATCATTGACTTCGGCATAGCCAATGCAGTTCCAGAGCATACAGTGAACATTTACAGAGAATCACAGATTGGAACGCCAAACTACATGGCACCAGAGGCATTAATCGACAACAATCAACATCTTGCTGATTTATCATCACATAAGAGCCAATGGAAAGTTGGTAAACCTTCAGATATTTGGTCTTGTGGTTGCATCATATACCAAATGATTTATGGACGACCGCCATATGGAGGATATCAAGGTTCACAAAGACTTTTAGCGATTATGAACCCAGATATCAAGATCTCGTACCCAGATAAAGGGTTGGGTGGTGTCAAGGTCCCTGGAACTGCCATTGCAACCATGCAAGCATGTCTAATGAGGGATCCTGCTAAAAGATGGACAGTACAACAGCTGTTGGAAGGACCATTCCTAAAACCGAGAGTTGTATCTGAACAATTTGTTAATGATTTGGTCAAAAATGCCATCACATACGGCATTAGCAAATCTAGCATTGATGATGAAGAGTTGAAAACGTTGGCGGATGACGTCTGGAAAAGAATTTCACAATTAAGTCTGTAATTATTGATGATCTAATGTACTTTTAATGAGAATATAAAAAGTTGTATAAGTGTATCAGTCGTTTTTAATCTTTTCATTTCCATCAACTGCTTGAGACGGAGCAGTTGAGAACCACATGTCGAAAAGTTTGAACAGTTCATCAATAACAATCACAGGAACAGAGAGAACGATGATTGCAACCCACTCATCTTTATTAAGCGGAAGAACATTGAAGAGGTTTGAGAACCAAGGGACGTATAGGATGATGAAGTGCAAAGCCATAGAAAGTAGGATTGCAAGTATTAAGTGGACATTGTTCCAAAGAGGGAAGGTCAGTAAGCTATCAGTCTCTGACAGGTTATTCATGGCGTTCAGCATCTCGACGACAACTAAGATTGATAAAGAAATTGTTGAAGCCTTGATTGAGTGGGAGTTCTGAAACATTTGACATCCAATCTCAGGGAACTCTGAAGAACAGTGATGGAAATGAGAAAGTTGCTTGTAGGAAATCAGAGGACCATCTTGGTACATTATGAAATACCAAACATAACCGGCAACTGTTGCAATACCGACGTAGGATCCCACAACAATATATCTGAACAAAAGCCAGCCACTAACTAGGGGATCATGTCTAGACTTTGGAGGTTTGGACATGATATTACGGTCAGGAGGGTTGAATCCCAGTGCAGATGCTGGTAAACCATCTGTAACCAAGTTGACCCAGAGCAGTTGAACAGGAACCAATGCCTCTGGTAATCCAAGTGCAGCAGTCAAGAAAATAGAGACAACTTCACCAATATTAGAAGAGATCAAGTAACGGATAAATTGCCTTGTGTTGTTGTAAATTAAACGACCTTCTCTAACCGCAGTGACAATCGTAGAGAAGTTGTCATCTTGTAAGACTAAGTTTGAGGCCAGTCTCGCAACGTCTGTACCAGATCCCATAGCGATACCAATATCGGCTTTCTTGAGTGCAGGGGCATCATTTACACCATCACCAGTCATAGCAACAACATTACCATTTCGTTGTAACAGATCAACAAGCGATGATTTGTGTGATGGTTCAACACGTGCAAACACCTTCACTTTCTCAACTGCTTGGATTTTTTCTTCTTCACTAAGTTCATTGAACTGTCTACCAGTTAATACAAGACCATTGCTGTCGTGATCTTCGTCAAGAATTCCAATCTGCTTAGCGATATTCTCAGCTGTTATTGGAGAATCACCCGTGACCATGATAACTCTGATACCAGCGCTCTTACAGTCTTGGATAGACTTAGTCACCTCTGGACGAGGTGGATCAATCAAGGCTGCAAATCCAACAAAGACCAAATCTGATTCCAAAAGCTCATAATGCTTCGACGTGGTTGCAACCTCAGCCATTTGAAGATCCAGATCATCTTTATAGGCAAGAGCAATTATTCTGTATCCTTCACCAGCCAATTCCTCGATCTTTGAAACAAGCTCCAATTCGTTTGCTCTACTCAATGGTTCAATGGTCAAGGTACCATTTTCTGTCTGAGTGAGAACCTTTGTTGAACGGGCAAGAATAGATTCAGGTGCACCTTTGACTAGCAACTCTGGTCCGTTTGATGAATCCACCAATACGGACATAGACTTACGGTCTCTTGTGAATTCAAATGTGCAGGCACGTGGGTATTGTTCATCATAGAGGTCGCATATTGGAGTATTCGAAACAATGGATTCCAACTGTGCGTCTGGAGAAAGCTTCTCGACGAACACTTTTAGAGCAGCTTCTGTTGGCTCACCACCGGCCTTCCAGTTATCCTGTCCCACTTGGATGAAGAATGAATCATTACAGAGGGCACATACTTGGGCAACTTTATGCAACACTGCAAAGTCTGGATCAGGCAAAGCAACTTCATAACCATGTTCATCGAGAACTATACCTCTTGGATTGAAAGAATGACCAGATACAGACAAGGTGGTCAACTCGTTCACATTGTTGAAGAAGACAACGTTACGGACCACCATTTGATTTGTTGTCAAAGTACCAGTCTTATCAGAGCAAATGACATTTGTAGATCCCAATGTCTCGACAGATGATAACGTTCTAACGATGGCGTCTTGTTTCGCCATCTTCTTTGTACCAAGAGCCAAACAAGTTGTAATAACAACACTCAGCCCTTCAGGGATTGCTGCAACAGCCAGAGCCACTGCAATTTTGAAGTAATATATGGCACCTTTGAGGTATCCACCATGAACTGGATCATTGAAATTGTTAAAGTTGATTACCCAGACGGCAATACAGATCACAGTGATGAATTTTGCCAACATATCACCAAAGTCATCCAATTTCTCCTTCAAAGGCGTTGATTGCGAGATCTGCGATGTCAGGTCTGTGTATATATTGCCAATTGCGGTTCTTTCACCAGTGTGTGTAACCACAACTCGAGCAGTACCACCAACAACGGTTGTACCTGAAAATACAATGTTGGACTGTTCTTGTTTCACAGCATTTGGCAAGTCCACAGTCTCCACTGACTTGAGCACTGATTCAGACTCACCGGTGAGGATCGATTGATCCACTCTCAAAGTCTGTGACAAGATCTTCACGATTCTGGCATCTGCTGGAACAACATCGCCAACGCCGATATCAATAACATCACCAGGAACCAGCTCCTCTTGTTTGACACGGGTCAGTTTGCCATCACGTCTAACACGAGCATACGACGATGCGTACTCGTTCAGTGCACTGATAGCTGATTCGGCAGAACTTTCCTGTTGGACACCAACTATGGCATTTAAGATCAGGATGGTGAGAATCACCAAAGGGTCCACCATGCTCAACCATGAGAACTCGCCCTCTGTCAAAGCCAACGCAAAGGACACGGCGGCTGATCCCAGTAGGATCAAAGTCAACTGATCTTCAAACTGGCCCAATATGAGCTTCCACAGTGGCGTTGATGGTTCCTTAGGAAGCCCATTAGGTCCATACTCTTCCAGCCTCTTTTGAGCCTCTGTCGAAGAGAGGCCGGACTTCTTAGAGTCCAACAGCCTCAAGGACTCTTCAACCGACTTGTTGTAGAACGATGGCATGTACTGAGCGGCCTTCTGTACGGGTAACTGTTCAACCTTCCGTTAAAGGGTGTTGTTGTGATTTGCAGTGGCGGAAAGTCGCTGTTGTTCTTTTAATCCACGTGACGAGGTAAACAAACAGCCTGGCGCAAGGGTTTGAAACCGCTGCCAGTACGTCTACAGTTGAGGCTCCACAAGTCGCGTAGTTATCGTCTATACACGTATATATATACAAGATCATCAGGCACTGGCGGCTGTACTCCCAGCGGCTGTACTCCAAGCGCCTGAATCATTTAGAGAGCTCCTCATCTAAACCTTCGGTGATGTCCTCGCCGTTCATGATTCTGTTGATGGCGTCCTGAACCGTAAGTGACTCTTCATCCATAGGCGCTTCGCTGAGCTTCTGTTCATTGACATCGCCTCCGAGTAATCTCTTCACTTTGAACCCGAACTCCTTTGGCGTGCTGACATCCCATGTCCAGCACACACCGGTGATGGCCATTGCAAAGCCTGAAGTGGCCAGGCATGTAGCGTGCGTTACTGCCAGGATGGCATCCCTCTGGAACGAGAACGCCGGCGGGATGTGGTTGGCGTTGAACAGCTGTGGAATGTCTATAAATCACATCGTGTTAGTCACCATCCCAGAGTAAACCCATGCAATGCTATACTACTCACATCTTCTTGATTGAACACCTCTGTACGCCAGGCGCGCGAAGAGAAGAGTGGTGGCAGTGGCTCCAAAGAACGCCATCATCTGCTTTCTTCTTCTCTCTTTGTACTGCACCGAGATCTTCGACACCTCCACTGGCACATTAACCTGTTGTAAACTCATCTTCTTCCCCGCGAGCTCCTCTGGTGTTGTATCCACTGCTGCCATGGTTAGTTGTTGAAAGCGTCTCGAGCAAAGCCGTTACGCCTAGCTCTGAAAGAGGTAATATCCGAGGGCTCAGGAGCACCGGATTTGCGTGCACTCGCTATCTGTTGGCTGTTACCCGGCCCTCATTGCTCTCTAAGCCCGGGGACACAAAGACAAAAAGTAAAAGATCCACAGCGGTGCTCGGGCTTCATCTTCTTCTCGTGATACTTTTTTTCTCTCTCTCTATCTCTCCAACTCCTTATCAGTTGAGCCATAGAAACCACACGATGCATCCACAGTTGGACTCTCCAAGATTTATCTGTACGTTCGTGCCACCACAGCTGAGTGCCTCTGAAGTTTGCTACTAACTATTGTTGCTGAACAGCATGTGCTGATTTTATCGAAGCGCTAGAGAAGTGTCACCAAAGACCGTTTGTTGAAAGGGCGTTTGGGGTCTGTAATAACGAGAAGGAGGCGCTTTCGGCGTGTCTCCATGAGGCCAGAATGCACTCTCAGAACCTGCAAATTGTGAAGAAGCAGGAGAAGGGGAAGGAGATGAAGAAGAAGTGGGAAAAGCTCAAAGACGACGAGTATGGAGAAGACCAGTTCTTGTTAAAACTGCTGGAGAGAGAACAGGCCAAAAAGGCGGAGAAGTGAGTGGGATAGCATGTCGATATGGACGTAATTTGTGTACATAGATAATTATATATCATTCTTAGCGTTGACTACACCGTGTATCGTTTTCATACGTGATGTTGCTGGCGATTTGTTTTATTTTCCGTTCTAATCCTGGCGTGACTTGAGATACCTCTTGACCACTTTATCTTTCGTGATGACGTATACAACAGCACCCCATCCGGAGAGAGCATCACGATCACATGCATTCAGCAACGCTTGCGAGATGGTTTCAAACAGATCTTCTGGCTCTAGATCTGGTTCGTACAAAGATTCACACATACCAAAAAGCTGGTCCGATGCTGTTCCGCTAACAATGAAATCTTTAGCGAAATCAATACATCCAATAAGATCGAATCCGCAGATGAATGGCTTCTCGGTGATGGAATTTATACCAGCAACCACTGGGCCGATGAAGTATGGACCAAATCTCTTTTGGTATAGTGTGGATGAAACCAAATTGGCAAACGACTCTGGTTCAATGGCCCTCTCTTCTCTAAGTTTGTACAAATTTGTCTTTTGTCTAAACACCTCGGAAAGCGTCTGTGCATCTGTTGCTAATCCTGTTAGCCCAAGAAACACATTACCATACTGGTAAACTTTCTCAAACTTATTTGAAAGACCAAGCGACTGTTGTCCAAGACGAAGATCACTTGCGATTGCCACACAGTCTTTACCAACCATGGCTACCACGGAGCCACCTACACGAATTGCGTGTGTTAGTACAGTCACTCTAGGTGTCAATTTGACAAACGAACAAAAATATACAATCATGTGGAACAAGTGCTCATCTTCCTGAGTGGCAATGTTGACAACTCAGGGCACTTCACCTTCCGGACCAATTGTACAAAACGCCAATAACAAGAGGGAGAAATCACGAAACAACGCAATTCATATACGTACCATTCAATGAGCTTGGATCTGACATGTTGTGACTGTGGATATATCAATAAATCTGTGCAATGGATCAGTTGATACGTACTGTTTACGTATAAAAAGTGCTTCAACTTTGGAAGTTCGCCTTCAAAAACAAACCGCACCAACACAGCTTCGCACTCAACTTGGTTACCCTGACTAATAAAATTCCGACTCGTCTTCGGAATCTGTGTCAGTGCGCGAACCGAGTTTTGTCAGCTTTTTTTGTGTCAAACGTGCGTGGGCCATTCCGGCGTTATCCAGATGTGCTGGGAGAGGTGTTTCTTCACCAAACCATCACCTTCAATTCGCTAAAAGGATTTAGAGATGAATACCAGAAGTCTTTTATCTTAAGGCTTGAGCTGTGGATATGATTCTATGTAAAGCATCCGACTATATTGTGAAGACTCGATGTATCATCATCGTCATAAGGATTCATCACGTCCCGGAGTCTCTCCCAGGCTTATAGAGACATATATCATTGATTGCCCACTACGATAATATATCAATACATCAAACTATCACTGCCTTGTTCCGGAACGTCCAATATACATCCATAAGGAGAGGGATATTAAATAAATGGGGTTTGATAGACCTTTCTAATCATAGGCATGATCCTGGTGGGCTCTGAAACTTGTGGCGCGAATGTGGCGTATATGAGGCTAATTCATCCTGTGGCTACTCGCAGATTCAAACAAAGCTGCAGGCTGAAACCTTTTTTTTGTCTCCCTGTGGCACGTGAACTTGCGCTATAATTCTTGCCCAGATGACAATCGGGCATCAAACACTGGAAAAGCGTCCTTAGCGGCGATTTTTTATACCAAGTTGGAATATTTTTTTCAATTCTTCTCATTTCTTCTTCTTTCTGATCTTTTTCAACTGAACCTCCTCACTCAATCAAAATGCTTTCTCGTTCATTGTTGAGATCTACTCTTTCCGCTGCTAAGGCCAACACTCGTCTTGCCTCTCAAACTCCTGTTTTTGTTAGAGGTGTTAGAACTTTCAAGCAAGAAGATCAACCAAGATTGAGAATTGGCTCTACTGCTCCAGATTTCAAAGTTGACACCACTGAAGGTCCAATTGAGTTCCACAAGTGGATTGGTGATTCCTGGACTGTTTTCTTCTCCCACCCAGCTGATTTCACTCCAGTTTGTACCACTGAGTTGGGTGCCTTTGCTGCCTTGAAGGATGAGTTCTCCAAGAGAAACGTCAAGTTGATTGGTTTGTCCGCTGAGGGCGTTGACTCCCACAAGGCCTGGATCAAGGACATTGAAGACATCACCCCAGGTTTGAAGACCTTCTCCTTCCCAATCATTGCCGATACTGACAGAGAGGTTTCCTTCTTGTATGACATGGTCGATGAAGAAGGTTTCAAGAACTTGAACGGTGGTATTGTTCAAACCATCAGATCCGTCTACGTCATTGACCCAAGCAAGAAGATCAGAATCACATTCACTTACCCTCCATCCTGTGGCCGTAACTCTGCTGAGGTTTTGAGAGTCATCGATGCCTTGCAGTTGGCTGACAAGAAGGGTGTTGTCACTCCAATTGACTGGACCGCTGGTAAGGATGTTATCATCCCACCAACCGTCAGCAACGAGGATGCTAAGAAGAAGTTTGGTGAGTTCGACGAGGTCAAGCCATACTTGCGTTACACCAAGGTTTAAGATGTGCGTCTATTCACATTCAGCACTTGACTCCACGCTTAACACGGGGACGGAAAATATGGTAAATATAGACTGGATTCTTGTTTATCCTCGACACGCACACATATTCTGTACACTCTCACCTTGTAGACTGTGGAGACTCACTGTAATTTGCGAATGAGACAACAACCGACATGGTAACCCCCCCCTCCCCATCCCTCCTTCGCTTGGGCCCTACTGTATAAACCTCTACCGTGTGTCGCCTACCAGGAAAAATAGCGTGCTGTGTGGCTTTAACAGGGCAATTACGAACACAACCCTCAGGTGAAAGGGCGTTCAAGTGGCTGCCAGGACGTCTCCTCCCCAGCAGGCACACACCGGCCACACAACTCGAGAAGAGAAACTACAGCCTCTCCGTACATATGAGCTTTTTGGCCCGATCAAAGAGGCGGCAATACTCAGAGCCCATACATTTCCGTATTATCCTTAGTTGTTAGGCAGTTGTTGAGCTCTTGACAAACGCTTCAAGATACACCACCACCGCCCCTCGCTTAACAGTTGACGTCTCAGCCACCAAAGGGGCCCAGTTTCCCACAGCAACCGTTGTTCATCTCATTTACGCGTAGCTTGATTGGCCACCCCCGGACATTTGAAAACCGTCAATTTTTTCTGCTTTGGGAACAAAGGGGGAAAAAGCGAACCTCACGGGGAAAGCGAAAAAACAAAAAGTCAAAAAAACACACACACATAGCTAACACAAAAACGATCGAGAAAATAATACAAAAAAAATTAAGAAGCACGTCCAATCAATAGGCGAAAACATAATTGACCAGTGAACTACAAACTTGCTTGGTGGTAAAAAATTATTGCTTTAGTGTGAATCTGTGTCTGCTTGTGATCTTTTGATGTTAAGGAGAGAGAAAGAAGTTTGTTGCGTATAAAGTACAACAGGAAGATGAGCGACAACTTCACAGACACCAATAACTATGCCAATAGGCTCAACATGCCTGCAAAGGCTTCGGTGTTTAACCATCCATCTCTGCCACCGCTTCAACAACGGGGATTGCAGCCCATACAGCCACAACCACAACAGCAACCACAACCACAACATCAGGTACCTATTCAACCCCAACTGTCTGGACGCTCGAATTCCGGAACGCCGTTACCGCCAAAGAAACGGGCTTCAGCAGATTCGGGCTCTTCGTCAAACGGCCAGCAGCGGAAGAAGTCAACGGTGGGTAAGAACCAGGAGGACAAGCTGAGTACACTCGCAAACGTGGCGGCTCACTCTCCAGGAGCAGAGCAGCACCAGCATCAACAGGAGCATCAACAACTACAACTACAGCATCATCAACAGCAGCAGCAGCAACAACAACAGCAGCAGCAGCCGCAAAACAAGGGCTCCTCTCATCAGCAGAATGCTGGACATAGGCCCGTAACATCATGTACACACTGTCGTCAACACAAGATTAAGTGCAATGCCTCAGAAAGGTTTCCAGCGGCTTGTGCACGGTGTGAAAAGATGGGATTGCAATGTGAAATTGATCCGCAGTTTAGGCCTCGTAAAGGGTCTCAAATTCAAAGTTTGAGAAACGACGTTGATGAATTAAAGCTGAAGATTGAATACCTCCAGAGAAATGAATCTTTGATTGCACAGGCATTGGCAAACCAACAGGTTGCAAAACAACTCCTTCAAAATGATCATACCCCGCAGATTTCTTCTCCTTTGAATACTCATTCTCAGGAAGGCTCGGGCTCTCCTTTAATGTCTGCAAAGACAGTATTAACCAGGGAACCTCATTTACTCATGGATAGAAGATCTGACTCAAACACAAGACAGTCTGCATCTCCAAATTCCATTCCACAGCTTCTGAACGATTCTGCGCCAACGAATAGTGACCATAAGGATCTCCCCCCTTATTTGGAAATGTCTGTACGGGGCAACTCCCCAGTAACTCTAGGTACTGAGACATCGCATAATTCGCCTGTTTCTCAACGGTCCGGAGTCTCAACAGGCTCTAATATCGCCGAATTTGTGTTGGGTGATGTTAATTTGCCTTTGAGCAAGGCTAACGAACTGCACGATAGATTTGTGAATGACTATTTGCCATTCTTCCCAATCATGTCGTCAAAGAGTGCTTCAGAACTGTACGCTCAATCACAACTATTATTTTGGACGGTTTGTCTCACTGCATGCTTGTCAGATCCAGAACCAACTCTTTACAACCAGTTGTCATCGTTAATCAAACAGCTTGCCATAGAAACTTGCTGGATCAGAACACCAAGATCAACTCATATCTCACAGGCTTTGTTGATACTGTGTATGTGGCCATTACCGAATGCAAAAGTGCTGGACGATTGTTCCTACAGATTTGTGGGTCTTGCAAAAAGCCTAGGTTATCAACTAGGTTTGCACAGAGGTAAATTCATGAGCGAATTCTCAAGAACTCAAGTATCGTTACAAGACGCTGAGAAGTGGAGAACGAGGACATGGCTAGGTATCTTTTTCAGTGAATTGTTCTGGTCTTCACAACTAGGTATACCACCATCCACGCAAACGGATTACCTCGTTGAAAATGCAAGAATTGATAAAAATTTACCAAAAAACTTTAGATCGTTGATATCTCTGTCAATTTTCCAAGCTAAACTGGTCAACGTTATGGGATCCAGTGTTACTAGTCCAGATGGGTTGATGGAAGCTAGAAATAGGGCAGGCTCTTTGGCAATTTTGGAGAGAGAACTTGAGAGACTTGTGTTTAAACTGGAGATTGATGACATATCTGTTGAAATCTATTACTTGTATGTCAAACTCACAGTTTGTTGTTTTGCATTTTTACCTGAAACTCCTACTGAGGACCAGACCAAATATGTTACGGTGGCCTATATATCCGCCACCAGAGTTGTTACACTGGTTTCAAAGCTTTTGGAGAGTAAGAATTTGATTGAATTGCCTATCTATATTAGACAAGCGATCACATATTCTGCGTTTATCTTGTTCAAACTCCATCTGACTCCATTGTTATTGGATAAGTACATTGACTCTGCTAGACAATCCATTGTTACTGTCCACAGATTGTTCAGAAATCAATTGTCAGCATGGAAAAACGTTGAGAATGATATATCAAGAACTGCACAGGTTCTGGAGAAATTGAATTACGTACTTTTCACCCATCCAGAATTATTTTCCGATCACGAAGGTATCATTACAAAGATGAGATCCCATCTGACAGGGTCACTGTTCTATGATTTGGTCTACTGTGTCCATGAAGCAAGAAGGCTTACTTTAGAGGAACAGAAGGAGGGTAAAAAGAATTCTCCTGATTTCAGTGATAAAAAACGTCCAGTTCCTTTACCATTCTATAATCAGATCAACAAGGATGATTTCCAAACAATCACCACTACGACCCCTGGAGGTACGACAATCACCACTCTTGTTCCTACTGAGAATGCTATGACAAGTGCTACAGCCGATGCCACGGCTGCTGGATTGACTAAGCCTACAGAGATTAAAGGTATTCCGGTCTCGATGTTGGAATCTACCGGCTCCATTCCAGCAAATGCGCCAGTTATAAACACCTCGAATAATGGAACACCTATGACTTACAGTGGAGATCTGAGACGTATTGCAAGTAACAACAGATTGGCTCAGGTTCATCAATCACCAAAACTCGATGCTTCTGGGCCATCTTTGGGCCAACCTGTCTCTAATGTCCCTGCCAATTATGATTTTGGTTTAGGCAATGTTCCATCTCCAACTGCTGTTAACTTTGATATGCAAAATGGTTCTAATGGGGGATCAAGGGCAGATTTTGATAACTTCTTTCAGCAACAAGGTGCAGGTTGGATGGAGGGAAACGATGATTTCCTTGGTTGGTTTGACATGAACATGGCTCCTGAATTTTAACGCATTATTGATTGTTTCCGTGTTTCATTTTCTGTGACTCTTTTTGTATACAAATGATGTGTAATAGAATAACGAACTAGTGATTTATGTATTTGATACATGTACGTACTAACCTAACAGCTGCGGGTATATGAATATAATAAGTGAAGAAAGGTGAAAAAACAGCTGAGAACGATTTAAAAGAATAACAACAGAGAAAGTAAGAGAGCAACGGGGGATATCTAATCATCGTCTTCTCTAGGATCACCAATACCATCTTCGTATATCGCAAAGACCGTTTCACTTTCTGGTAAGCAAGGGGAATCGTAAATCTTACAGATTCTCTGTTCACCTTTACCCTTTCTCAGACTTAATCTTGTAGTTGAAGAGTGAGCAATGATATTACCACCAATAGGTTTCTTTGGATCTGGATTAAACATCATACCACCGTCAACCTGTGCAACAACCTGGTTGGTGATAACCACTGCTATTCCGAACTCGTCGGCTAGTCTCTGTAGAGTTCTCATATACTTAGCAACGTGCATCTGTCTCGCTGAGAGCTCACCTCTACCTGCGTAGTCAGTTCTGTACAAGGCCATAATGGAATCGACAATCAACAAAGAGAACCTCGATTCTGCCATCATGGCTGCGGCTTGGTTTAGCAAGCTAAGTTGATGGTCAGCATTATATGCACGAGCATACGCAACGTTGTCTAAAGCGTCATCTTCGTTCAGGCCATATCTTCTTGCAATAGAGACCAATCTGACCGGTCTGAAGGTCCCCTCTGTGTCAATATAGAGGCATTTACCTTCACCACCACCCATATCGATAGGCAATTGACACGTGACAGCCAAAGTATGACAGAGTTGAGATTTACCAGTTCTAAACTCACCAAAGATCTCCGTTATCGATCCGGTCTCAATACCACCTCCTAATAGTGTATCCAACTGCTTAGAGCCCGTGGTGAGACAAATCAACTCCGATCGTCTATGATGGAACTCAGACGCGGTTGTGAACCCCATAGGGACGAGTTTTGATGCCTCTGTTAGAAGCTTATCGGCCTTCGCTTCGGATATACCCTTAACGGTAAGAAGTGCTCTCTTTGGACTTTGGAATCACAGTTAGTATACGAAGATCTTAGCTTGAGTAAGGGTAAAGAAAACAGTGACGTACGTATAGGCAATGGCCTCCACCGTGTTATAGCCGGCCTCCATGAGTTTCCTGACATCGCCAGCAGTGATACCGTTACCCTTTTATGAGTCAGTATAAGTGGCATCTAGAAATATAAGCAAACAAGAAAAAACGACATACTTCAAGCTTTGCAATAGGGATTGGGCCGTATGCTTCTTCATCTTCCTCATCAACCTGCATCACCTGTTCTTCTTCGACTGTAGGCGCCTGTGGTTCACCCTGTGTTGCAGTCATCTTCGACTTCTTTAAGTATCTGAACAGGATCAAAGTTCTTATGTTTAGTGACCAGTCGTCTACTTGCTTCTTCTGTTTTTTTTTCGCCACTGATTTCAAATTGTATTTGTTTTGATTTGGGCGTTTTCGGTACGCGTGATTTTTCGTGACTGTTTATCACGTGATCAGGGCTGTTTCGCGCCTCATTTTTCGCGTTTGCGTGTTTGGCTTCCTTTCATTTGGTTCAACATTTCATGGAGTGGGTGGATGTTTTGCTTCTTTTTTTGACATTCTGTGGTGCCTGTCGCAATCCTAAAGTCCAGCTACGGTGTCTTGTCGACAGCTCGACCTCGTGGATTACCTCTACAGGCTATCTGTGAAGCGTGTGTGGGACTAGCCCATAGTTGGGTGTAGTATATGTTGTCTCAGATGCACATGTTACCATTGGGTCCAGACTCTCAGATTCTTTTACACTTCATATGTCCGTGTTGGGGCGATTAGCGGGTGGGACCATGATGGTGTTCAGCTGCTATATTTATGCTCTAACCAATACCGTCACGATAAAAGCGCGCCATTCCGATCAAAGCTTGGAAATGGACAGTGCAATTACATGGAGAAATTCCATGAGGCATACAATAGATTATCAGGTGTGTATTCACCCTCACACCTTGCAGTGCTTAAGGCATCCTTCTGAAGCCCAGAAGAAGTAAGCAGGAAAAGGTTACAGCCCGCCTCTTACAGAATGACAGACATACACACAGACATACACAGGCAGACTAACCGTTAACATACATTCTCCTCGGGGATGCGCGTGCAGTCCTAAGCGAAAAGCCAATGTAAAATATCTCTGGTTACATTCTCCCTTCAGGGGGGTATTGTACGCCGTTTTTTTCTGTCTACACGATCAATTGCACTCAGACTGCAATACTGACAAATGTGAGTCGTCAATTCCAACATCGTGCCAGTGTAACATTCCACCTGTTCTTTACTTCGATGCCTTCTTCATGTGTGTGTGCACCTCCCGCTGTGCCTCCTCTGCTGCCAAATTTGGCAGGCTCGTAATTTTTTTTCGGCTTGTACCGTTCTTCGCCTATTTCGCTGGCGATTTGTGGCTTACTGAGACGACTTGTTTACACGTTGCGCTCAGTTAACTTCACAACCTCTGCGTACAAGGCGGCCCACTCTCGAGGACTGGGAAACTGGAGACTATCACCACTGGCTTCAAAGCAACAAACAGGGACGACTAACGCTCTCTTCACAATAGGCGGCTTAACTCTGGTGATACGAATACAAAGTCTAAGACAGCTACAGGCACAAACACCGATACATTGCTTGTGGGCAATACCAGCTATAGCGGACGTAATTCCACTGAGGATTTGAGGAGGTACTTCTACAATCAGTTAGACAGGTTTGACTCGTGTATTGGTAAGAGAGATAAGGAGTCCAACAATCAGACGTTGGATATGCTACGACCTTCACCGCAATTACAAAACATCAATGAGATTTACAAAGATGAGTCGAATAGTACGGGACTTTCCGCAGGTGTCCATAGGAAATCGAGCCACAACGTCTCAACCGATGTGATTAATGAAGACCCTGAGAGGGAAGAGGCGGAGGAGGAGCTTCAAGACCAATCGTTGAAGAGAATTGCGAAGGAAATGTTCAATTTGACGTATAATGAGGTTCTGGCGTCGAAGTACGCCGCTGTGCTGGGTACAAATGAACAGTGGAACTATAAACTGTGTGAAGAGTTCATGAAACTGTTTGACAAGTGGCCAGAGGCCTTGGTTCAAGCCCTGAGGCTGCTCTGTTCTAAGCTGTATCTAATTGGAGAGGCGTCTCAGATTGATCAAATTTTGGAAGTGTTTGCGATAAGCTGGTGCCAATCACATCCTCAAAACCAATTGGGTGATTATACGAGTGTTCATATCGTGTGCTTCTCGTTGTTCATCTTGAATTCGGACCTGTACAACAATCAGAACCAGGAGACTCGATTCTCAAAGGATGAATTCGTCACTAACACCCTGTTTGCCATAAAAGAGGAGAACTCTGCAGTTACAGACGACGATACACTAATAGAGACGCTGCGAGCATTCTATGATGATATATCTCAACGGAAATTAGAGCTCTTGAATACTCTCCCACATCAGAAGTTTGCAAGTCGAAAGAGTAGTCGAAGATTGTTTTCAAATTCGAATATCGATAATGCACACCACAACAACGGCAATTACGTTAATAACAGCAATAATCAGAGACACTTTTCAAATGTGTCGTTGATTTCCAAGAGTACGAGCAGATTATCGTCCATTGGATCTACAGTCTCGTTTTCGCCGTCTTTACGCAATATCAGTTCACTTACAGAGACAAATGATTCAAACTATGAAGTGGATTACATGAAGGATGAATACGATGATGAACTAGAGTCATATGGACCACCTTGGGCAATGGAAGGATTGATAAAATGTGAACCACAACAGAAAGTTAGACGGAAGAAATCGGGACTGTTTGGCTGGTTGAACAACAACTCAAGGGGGAACATTTCATCCGAGTTGGACATCTACAACGAGAAAGATTGGAAACAGAGTATAGTTGTCATATCCAAAGGACTCTTGAAACAATACTCCTTTGGGTCCTCATCTGATCGGAAGAACTTCATTAGAACCAAATCTAATGAATTTGTAAGCACCATCATCACTTACAATTTATACTCCGCAGTTGCATCTCTTGTTGGTGAGAACGTCATTTCAAATGTAAACTCAAAGACTAATGGAGTTGCTTGGACTTTAACTATTCCAAACCTACTCACTAATGACTATACAGGTGACAAGAAGGTTGTCTACTACGCACCAAGCCTTCAAGTTGCTCATAATTACATTGAAACTTGCAATTTCTGGGCCGCAAGAATAACTTCAATACCAACTTCTGATAAAGATATCGTAACAAATCAAGAGTATGGATGGAGCCCAGAAGTTCTTCGAATGGATGTCGACTCGTTACAAAGAGTTCAAATTAGCAACTGGGAATGTCTCTTGTCTATAGAATCTTCCTTCATACCATCCTCCTTATCTTTGAGAGATCAATCCTCAAGCATGAAGAAGTATGTTGATAGTATCACACAGTCGTTGAACGATCATCTCGCACTGAAGGAACAGATTGAACAAACTTGGGGTGAAAAGGAAGGAATAGAAGATCGTTACAACACAGTTATGAATAACTGGAGTGAAAAATACGTTTATCTACTTCAACAGAAGACAAAACATCAGACGTATCTGGACTCTCTAGCTTTGGCATTATCTTTCAAGGCATCAAAGGTTTAGCATATAGCTTTCTCATAGTGTATTACAATACCATCCAATTGAATCCTGTGCTCGTTCGACAATGTCACTTCGATGAATTGTTAGTGCTAGTAAATAGCTGTTTCTCAAATTCACGCGTTGTTGTGGTGATCTACAATGTTGCTCATACCAATATCCTGTTTTGATTTCCTGTGCCCACCACAAAACAACAATCAACAAAAGTAAACAAACAAGTAAACAAACAAATAAACAAACAAATAAACAAACAAATAAACAAACCCTCCATCAGTTGATCAACGTTGTCTCTATTCAGCTCAGAGATGTTTAATAATCAACAAGGAAAACGGCCAAGGTTGTCGTTTGATACGAAACCGCATCTTTCTCAATTGGCTGTGGGTAAAAATGCACGGGCATCGATTGCCACCTCGTCTCCTTCTAAATCTAAGACATATGCTCAAAAGACAGCTTCCTCCAACCAAAAGTCTTCGAACTTGGCCTCTGATCAAGAATCGAATATATCTGTGTATGTGAGATGCAGATCGTTGAATGAAAGGGAGCTTGATGAAAACGCTGGCAAAGTGATCTCTACAAATGGGCATATGAAGAAAGAGGTGATTGTCAAAAGTGCAAGGGAAAAGACGTATACTTTTGATAGGGTGTTTGGCCCTGAGAGTGACCAAGAGATGATATACGATGGTGTCGCAAAACCTTTGCTCCAAGAGATGCTACAGGGCTATAACTGCACTGTTTTTGCATACGGTCAGACAGGTACTGGTAAGACGCACACTATGAGTGGTGATATCCAAATGTCAAACAACAGAATTGCGGAGAATGCTGGTATAATCCCTAGAACTTTACTCGACTTGTTCAGGTCCCTTGAGAAGAACTCTGAGTTCACGGTAAAAGTTTCCTTTATCGAACTATATAACGAAGAATTAAGAGATCTTCTCATAACAAAGGACTCTGAAGATCGGAAAGTTAGAATCTTTGATGACCCTGAAAAAAAAAGTATCGTTGTCCAAGGAATGGAAGAGGTATTCATCAAGAATGTCTCTGAAGGTATGAATGTATTGATGAGAGGATCTTATAACAGACAAGTGGCTGCTACAAAATGTAACGACTTATCTTCAAGGTCCCATAGTGTGTTCGCTATCACTGTTCATATGAAGGAGATCGATCCCATCTCAGGTGAAGAATATCTCAAAATTGGTAAACTAAATTTGGTGGATTTGGCAGGTTCTGAGAATATCAGCAGATCTGGTGCGGAAAATAAACGAGCTCGAGAAGCTGGAATGATCAATCAAAGTCTTTTAACTTTGGGAAGAGTTATCAATGCACTTGTCGACCAATCACCACACATTCCTTATAGGGAGTCTAAATTGACTAGGCTTTTACAGGATTCTTTGGGAGGACGTACAAAGACATGTATCATTGCTACTATCTCACCATCAAAGGCGTCGTTAGATGAAACTGTTAGCACGTTGGAATATGCTAACAGAGCTAAAAGTATCAAGAATAAACCCCAACTGAATCAAACAATGTCAAAGAAGATGATGATTAAGGAATACGTTCAAGAAATTGAGAGACTACGGAATGATTTGAACGCAACAAGAGATAAGAATGGTGTATACGTCTCAGATGAGCATTGGGATAAGATCATGTCCGAGAGTGAAAATAGAAAGAATCAGGTTGATGATCAAAAACTCAGAATTGATGTGCTAGAGGAAAAGATCAGGAAGTCAAAAAAGGATTTCGAAGACCAGATGGAATACATCAAAGAAGTGGAAGACGAAATTGAGATTGCCAAAAGAGAGAGGAAAATTTCAATGGAGAAACTTGAGGAATGCTCCACCAAATTGGTCAGTACTGAACGCGAACTAAAGATTGAAGCACTCTGGAATAAGAACCTTGTTGAAACCGAAAAAGAGCTGGCAGATGCATATAACTTGGTGAATTCCACCCTTCAGGAAACAATCAGTATTAGAGAAGAACTTTATGATAGAATTGCCAAAAAGCATGACCTCGAAGATGAAAATGTGATATCTTTGGAGACATCTAAAACTCACATCATTTCCCAGACAAAAATTTTCACTGAAAATGCATCTCGTTTATATGATGATAACAAAATACTGGGAGCTGCGCTTAATGATGGCTTTCAAAGCTTTGTCAATTCGCATCAGTCAAAGATTGAAAAGAAATGTAACGGTATAAAGGAAATTGGTCATGACATGGAGTCACTGGCTGGCTCTTCAGTGAACACGCTCACCAACAGCTCAAAAGAGGTATCTGATCTTATCGGTGTTTCAAAGCTTCAGAACCAAGAAATGCATGACTCAGTCACAAATGAAGTATCCAGTTTAAGGTCTGATGTCATGAATATGGCTGGAGATATAAACAAAAAGATTGGGGAAATCGATGGAATTCTTGCCTCTGGGAGTGTTACTTTGAAATCCAAAGTGGATGAGAATCTTAAGAGTGTTACAAAAGTATTGGAAGAAAAGGATGAGATTGTTGTCACTGCAACTTTGGCAACAAATGAAGCCAACCACGAGATACGCTCAAAACTCGAAGATGAGATTGCTGAGCTCAAAAGATGGAAAGAATCTGAGATGGAGAACCGTCAACGGTCACAGAATGAGTTGATGTCGCAAATATCTTCTCTTATAAGTGCTCATGATATAAAAGCGCAACAGAGATTTGATGAACAGTTGAGCTCGTTCATTCCTAAATTTGATCGTATTACCGAAAAACAATCTCAAATGACAAGTGATTTGGAGAAATTTATCGAAAACAAATGGAAACCAACTATTAGGGACTCAAGAGCCCAGGTTGAGGATAGCTTTTCCTGTTTGAAGGGTGACATTGAAGGTAATATGAAAGTGGACCTAGGTCCAATTAACAATGCGGTTGTTGATATTGTTCATAAACAGTGTTTGTCTTTTGAGAATATTTCCCAAGAGTTACAAACAAAGACAGCAGCATTGGATGAATGTCTTTCAAAGGTCGGCACTCTTGTTGGTAGCTCTTGTGATATAACTCAAGGTGAGCTTCTAAAATTGAAATCAATGATTGGTGAATCCTTAGGAAAGATTCAAGCTGCCTTTATCAAATCTGGTAAGGCCATCGAATCTTCAAAGGCACAAGTCGTTGATACTTATCTTAATAGGCAAGACGATTTTGTGAAGTCATACAGGGACTCAACATGTGTCGATGTCAATAATCTCAATGATTATGTCAATAAAGTTGGATACTCAAGGGACGATGAGCCAATTCCAAAGAGGCAAAAGATCACAGTTCCTACATTGCAGAGCTTACCAAGGGCATTGTCACGCCAACAGATCATTGCAAAGCATCAGACTGAGTTGGATGGACAACCTCAGAAGAAAATGCCATTGTCCTCAATCGACGTCAACTCCAATGTTCCCGATACTGATAGTAAAACTGCTCCACCCACTGAAACATCACAGCAAATGGAACTACACTAAGAGTCGTGTGTATAAGAACTGAAATATATAACATGTACTATAAACGAACAGTATAAAAAGGAGGTTTGATTTAATGGGGAATAATCCTTACAATGGGCTCACACAGTTCAGCTCCGGACATAGCACTCGCGGCGTCAAGCATAGCGAAAAACTTTTGATCTCTCAAGATGAGCCTCCTCCACCCTCTCCGCAGGGTCCAACACCACAGACAACCTTGGGCACGAATGGTTGACCCTGATAGAGTTGCCACATCTATTATTGAAACCTTTAAGCATTGTAAGAAAGGTACACCCACTATACGGAAGCCGAGTAACGTTAGGGAATGGACAGTATTATCGGGCATCGTTATTGTTGATGAGGATACTGATGAGTACCGTCCAGTTGTTGTGACCACTGGTGTCAAGGCGCTTCCTGATAAATTCTTGTCTAAGGTCCATGGGAAGGTTCTACACGACTGTCATGCGGAGATCTTAGCGTTAAGGGCATTCAACAAGTTTGTAGTTGAACAATGTCACAGCGACACTACTGGGTTTATCCAAAAGTGCGATTCCACAGACAACGGCTGTTTCAAATTTCGGCTTAAAGAAGGGCTAAAGATAGTTCTTTATATCAGTGAACCGCCGTGTGGTGATTGTTCACTTGAGCTCTTGTCCAACGATAGGGATAAGTGTAACGATAGTGATGTCAAATGGGATAAAGTCCATATCCTTGAAGGTGGTGTTGTTAGAGGTCGGGAATGTTTTGTGCTAAGGGGGAAAGTAAGGACTAAACCTGGTAGAAGGGACTCTCCGTTGACGTTGTCGAAGAGTTGTTCTGATAAACTCATTATGAAACAATACTGTGGAGTTTTAAATGCCCTTGTCAGTCAATTTGTCGATCCATCGAACGCTTTCATCCATTCCGTGGTGCTGCCAAGGGACAGATGTAACGATGAAGCACTGTTTAGATGCTTTGATGGGAGACTCAAGCATGGGGCCCGTAGTTCCATCCACAAGTTTGCGACCCTAAAGACTTGCAAACGTCACGATTGGGAGAGGTTTGAAGAGGATCAACCTCCTAGTAATTTGAGTCTTGTACACATTGAAGGTTGTCCTGATGAGGCCATTGATAATTTTGTTAAGAACGGTTTCTATTCAAAGAAGTGTCTCGTCAGACCCAGAGGTGAAAGCTGTCTCTCCAGGGTATCGTTATTCAAGAGGTGTAAACCGTTCCTCGCCTTGGACGAGAGAAGGTGTACGACGTATATCGAAGTGAAGAGAAGAAACCTGGAGTACTATGCAAAGAGAGAGGTTGCGAAAAGAGACCTCGGGGCCTGGAATAGCACAAGTACTGATGACTTTGTTCTTGATTTGTTAACGCCATAAGTCACTTTAGTTGCACACATCTCATCCCGGTGTAAAATTCCCCCATCTCTCAGAAAACCTACGGTATTAATATGCATGGAATGTTCTTAGGACTGCGTCAGTGTGCATAAACGAGACTAATAGTCCCTCCATGTGTTGTTTTTCTGTAGGGTTCGGAAACTGTGTGGGAATCAATGGGAGGTTGGTTGGTACTTGAGCTATGGTTAATGGTTGTTAGTGTTCCGTCCGATGTCACTGTTCTGTCCGATGTCACTGTTCTGTCCGATGTCACTGTTCTGTCCGATGTCACTGTTCTGTCCGATGTCACTGTTCAATCTGGTGGCCTGTGTGAACCTGTTGTGTGTGGATGTCTTAGAGCGAGTGTATAGGAGCAAATGCACAGGAGCAATCATCCAAGAGCATTGGTGCTGCTCCACTTGCCGAGACATCCCTATGGCAAGCGTACGTAGCATGTGTAGACCACGCGTCACACCTCGAGTCCTTGTAATTAACGCATATGAGCATATGTTACACATGTCACATATAATCCCAGGGTCTAATTATAGCCCAGCACACAGGCAGACCACCCACGCTGCACCGGCTTGGTCCCATGGCACCATCAAAAGAAAATCGCTTTAAGCCATGAGTCAGTTGACGGCCAAACTAAACAAAACAACACAACTATTGGTAGACTCTAATACGTTGTATGGCGTTAGTATCTCGTTAATATCGGAGTCTCTCACCCTCCCCCCTGCCCCCACACACACACGATCTGCCTAATTTATGGACGACAACGGCCAATTTTCCCGTTTCCCGTTTTTCATTCCGCGTAGGAGACACGCGCGTTTGTCCCCGTGCACACACGAACGCGCGCGCGTAGGGAGGAGCCAAAACAGAGCAGAAAGAAGAAAAAAGCGTCTCGAAGGGGAAGAGAAGCGCCAAAAGAGAAAAAACGCTGGTCTCGCACAAGAGAGACTTTGGGCTTAAAATACCTTTCTACGAAAATTGCTGTAAACAACCACGAAACCGTAAATTCATAGGAAAAAGAAACAAGCAAAGAAGAACAGGGACAAGACATAAAGCAAAAAAGGGGTTTTCTGTTGTTGTTGTTGATCTGTTCCAAGGAATTTCAGTACATCGATCCCTTCCTCCGTCACGTTCTTTGTGTTCCTCCCCCGCGTGTCGTGTCGTGTTTCTTCTCGTTTTGAGTCCATCGTATTTGAGCTCATCTTTCCTCACGTCTTCACAAATCTGTCTCGCTGACCTCAGTGATTCACACAAACCACGCCATTCTGTTCGAGAGCACTCCGGGCGGTTACTAACTAGCAGTGTTGTCAGTGCCCTTCCGTGCTAAGCAAAGTAGTTGCGCTGAGAAGAAGAAAATAGGCAGACACCAACTGAAGCATGTCAAACACACATTCCGTGCATCCTTACAGGGACGTCAACCTCATCCGCACAGGTCGACTAGACCATACAAATACCCCTGCACTTGGTCAATCGCATGCGTCCTCGTCGACAACGTCCGGGACAACTTATAGAAGTGCAAATCCGAGTATGCGAAACTACGAGTCGTCTTTACAGGCTCCTGTTGAGAGCACCCATGTTGATCCGTATCCACAGTCACAAACTTTTAACGCCATGGCACAAAAGGAGCAGTCCCAGCACTACGGTGGCCGCGGCGGTCTCCGTGACGGCTTCCGTGACGGTGGTGACAGCAACAGAGATGTCTATGGAGTGAATGCACAGGCTTCACGTTTGCCGAATCAACTGAATTATGTGGAGGACCAACAACAGTATGCTCCCCCGCCACCGCTCTCGATGGGTGTGTCGAAATCACAAACCTCTTCAACGGACTCGTTTCAGCGCAGCCATGGTGGTTACGTTGTTTTGAATGACCAGAGCTATCCACAACAGCCTAGAGCGCCAGATACACCTGTTGGTGCTCGCTCTTTCAGCATGCCGCTAGCGAGCACGCCAGATGGAACCTTTGTTAGGGAGAGCTCTCCAATGTCAACAAGTGGTACTGACTTGTCCTCACAAAATCAGCTGCAACATCAACAGGGTAAACCATCCCATGCAAGAGGCTCCAAATCTGTTGACTTGTCACATCTATACCTATTGGACAGAAACGAATCAACACATTTCACCTTGACAAACGAAAGCATGTCTGACGTTTCACATAACTTAATCAAGCAGTACTTGGGTGAAAACTCACAGTCCTCCCTACTACCAAGGATGAAGACCATTGAAATGTACAGGAAAAACGTTAAGAAATCTAACGACCCAAAGGTTTTGTTCCAATATGCCCAATACATGTTACAAACTGCGTTGACGTTACAGCCCAGTGATGCTCCTGAGAACAGTGGTGATAAATCTTCAACAACGGAAAGGGATTTGAAGAAACAGTTCTTGAAAGAGGCAGTGCACTACTTGAAGAAATTATCGGATAAGGGCTATACAGATGCACAATACTTACTTGCAGATGCTTATAGTTCAGGTGCTCTGGGGAAAGTTGATAACAAAGAGGCTTTTGCGCTGTTTCAAGGTGCTGCAAAGCATGGTCATATAGAATCTGCGTACAGAACTGCATACTGCTATGAGGAAGGCTTAGGAACAACAAGGGATTCAAGAAGGGCTGTGGATTTCCTTAAATTTGCCGCAGCAAAGAACCATCCTGCTGCTATGTACAAATTGGGTATGTACTCTTTTTACTCCAAGATGGGATTTGCAGATAACACCAACGTTAAGAGAAGTGGTATCCAATGGTTAACAAGAGCAGTTACAAGGGCAAATGAATTGACGAATGCAGCTCCTTATGAATTGGCAAAGATTCAAGACGCAGGGTTCCTAGATATCGTTATTCCTGACCATAAATATGCTATGGAGCTTTACGTTCAATCTGCATCCTTAGGACATGTAAAGTCCGCTGCCATATTGGGTAAAGCTTACGAAATGGGTGACGATGTGGTGCCTCAGGACCCTGATCTTTCGATTCACTATTACTCCCAAGCAGCTCTGGGTGGTGATGCAGAATCAATGTTGGCACTCTGTGCGTGGTATCTAGTTGGGAATCCACCAAATTTACCAAAGGACGAGAACGAAGCCTTCCAATGGGCTTTAGCAGCTGCTAATTTGAAATTCACAAAGGCCCTCTACACTGTGGGACATTTCTACGAAAAGGGTATTGGGTGTGAAGCCAACTTAGAAACTGCTAAATCTTGGTACAAGATGGCTCGGGATAGAGGTGATGAAAAGGCTGCGATCAAATTGCAAAAGTTGGGCTCATCAGAGAGTGCAACAGCAAATCAATCAAAATCGAACGGTAAGAAAGAAGATCCAAAGAGAAAGAAATCTAAAAAGGATAAGAAGGATAAAGATTGTGTGATCATGTAAAGATATCATCATGTCGACACCACACCGTTGGTTTCGTTTTGCATAATTAGGTGTTATATTTTAATGTGACGGGTTATATATAGTCTTGTGATCAAATCACAGGTAAAACACACTCTATGTATCCAAGCACAGCTTCAGTGGTCTGAAGATTCACTGTATTCAAGTATAAAGCTGTTTAATTTAAGACGTTGATGCAACGCGTATAAGCTCAGAGGCGGAGGGTTGGTGTTCGGATGTTCTTGTTTTGGATTGAACATCATTGAATTTATAGACCAACATTGACCAAGAAGGGCAAAAAGCTAATATCCTGTTAGCAAAAGTTGAGAAGCATATAAGCACTCATTTTTAATAGATCAATTGTCTTATTTCCTTGATAATTTATTGCTTAATTGATACACTCAACTCTTTTGTTTATATGAAAATTTAGCCTTCACTTGAAAAATTCCGATGTAAAATGAACTCGTATTCTTCCTCCAAACTAGAGGGGAAATACATTTATATTCGTTGTTTTCGAACATCATAATATTGATGGTTTTATCATATGCAAATCCATATAATTACAATGGTATTATGCTATGAAAGCTGCTTATTTAGCAGTTAAGTAATCAAATGCCAACTCCGTAGTACTCAGTGAGAACCCTCTGTCAAAATTCCGAAGATGAAGCGGTGGCTCAATGGTAGAGCTTTCGACTCCAGTTGGAATAGTGCAATCGAAGGGTTGCAGGTTCAATTCCTGTCCGTTTCATTCTTTTTGTTTTTTTGGTAAACGCCAGGTCACGTGACGTATTTGAAAACACTAATGGGGAAATATTCGCGGGAAATTAGTCCAGCGAAGTTCAATGCTCTAGTGGTGGGTACTTCATCTTGGATGAATTAAGCAAAACGGATAAGTTGTAATCGACACAAGTATCCCTGTATTATACTTCATATATACAACTGCTTTGGCTGTTAGATATAGTTTCCGATAGTTGCAAAAACATGAGTTCAGAGGATAAAACACCAGAGGTTGAACAACAAAAGAAGCAAGAGCCAGAAGGAGAAGTTAGTGGGTTAGTATTGGAAAACTATTCCTTCACCACTGCTGCTGCTATTGTCGGTTATGTCGACCGTAAGTACATGTCTATGAGTATCCTGAACATACAGGGAAGAATCTTTCATCTTTTTGAATCAAACTAATCCGGCTCGTCGCTGTATAGGTAAAGTGTGTGTAATGATGACCGATGGACGTCAACTGTTTGGGGTCCTGAGAGTATTTGACCAATACGGAAGTATTGTCATCCAAGATACCTTTGAGAGAATATACCTCCCTGATAACCGTTATGGTGAGGAGTACATTGGTGACTTACTAATCCGTGGTGAGAATTTGTTGATGATCGGGGATTTGGACATTGACAAAGAGGATGAACCAATTGATAAACTTGAGAGAATACCATTTGATGATGCCAAAAGAGAGCAGAAACAGATAAGTGTAAACGCTGTTAAGATTCACAAGCACAAATCTAGCAGTCTCCATAAGTATGGTAAAGTTACAGAGTCCTTTGTGGAATTCTAATCGTCACTTTGAAAAAGCTTTTCTTGTCTTTATGTCTTATAATACATCATCGAGTATAGAAACGTATCATTTAGTTGATTTTATACATAGGCTGGAAACCAGCACAGCTTAGAGCTTTAACAATCTCTCTCTGTTTCCCTCTACGGAGTTATAAAACTCGTTGATCATATCTGCCTTCTTACACTCTGCTTTACCGAGTTGATCCAAGTGAGCTTCATCTGGGCCATCCGCAATTCTACACATTCTTGCGTATATCCAAAGCCTTGTTAGTGGTGTGTCTTGAGACACACCTTCACCTCCGTAGACCTGGACAGCCCAATCGATAATCTCCAGAACAGTTCTTGGGGCGTCAATCTTGGCCAAAGCAATCTCTCGCTTTGCATCTTTAGCACCCTTTTGATCAATTGCCAACGCTGCCTGTAGAACCAACAGCTTAACCCTCTCCAGTGAGATTCTTCTCTCCGCAACGTTGGAGATGAATGCCTCCTTCTTCAAGAACAGTTGACCAAAGATCTTGCGGTATGAGGCACGCTTGACAGCCTGCTGTATAGCCTCTTCGCCCATGCCGATAATTCTCATGCAGTGGTGGATTCTACCAGGGCCCAATCTGCTCTGGATCAGCTTAAAGCCTTCCCCTTCACTGTCCAACACGTCATACGGGACCCGAAGACCCTTAAACTCGATCTCACAATGCCCGTGAGGAGCATCGTCAAAGCCAAACACCTCAAGCGGGCGCACAACACGCACCTTGTCCGCCTGCTTCAGTGCCTCCTTCGTGTCAATAACCAGCACTGAGTGACGCTTATAAGGGTCCTTGTTCTCCGGGTTCGTTAAGGCCATAACAAGCCACACAGAACACCGTGGATCGCCCGCACCTGACGCAAACCATTTGGTTCCATGGAGCTCAACTTCACCGTTCCCAACTTTCCTAGCGCTCAGGGAAATGTTGAGCGCATTGGAAGACGAGACGCCCTTCTCAGTCATGAGAAACGCAGAGCGTAGATCACCGTTCATCAACGGTTTCAACCACCTTTCTCTCTGCGCCTGAGTCGCATACTTAACAAACAGCTCCATGTTCCCAGTATCTGGGGCGCTTGTGTTGGTGGCCTCTGGGGCGGTATGCGCTCTTCCCAGAAACTGCGCCATCAGGCCATACTCCAAGTTGGTGTAGCCTGGCCCTTCATCATAGCCGGCCAGGAACAAGTTCCACAGCCCCAGTTCCTTTGCCCTTGCTTTCAGAGTCTCGATGATTGGCGGGACGGACTTCCAGCGCAGCGCTGGGTCCGACGACACCTGTGAGAAGTATATCTCATCTGCTGGGATACAGTCCTGCTCGACAAACTGTTTCACCCTTTCCAGGGTTCCCCACGCCCTTGGCGACACCTTATCCTTCACAATCTGTGGAATGTAGTGCTCCAGCGGTAACACAGCCATAGTGGAAGCAACCTTAGATCAATTGAGAGCGGACACAACGAGAGCAAACAGCAACAGCACAACACAATACACCCGATCAGCTGAAGAATCACCTCCTTTTATATCCCAACAAACAACTTCAGCCCAGCGTAACGCTACCTCACACACCAACAAAAGCCAGGTGGGAAGTCAGCTGTTGATCATGGACTCGCCCATTTAACCGCTGCTTTATTCGGCGTTGCTCCGTCATTTCCCCCTCCTCCTCCAAAGTGCTCCGCTCCGTTGCTGTGGTACAATCAACTTGTTTACTCCAGCGTGGATGCTTAGAGCTGAGCTGGGAGCTTTGCGGGGTAAGGCCTCCAGGCACAAATGCTCCCCCAATAAAACCTGACACTTTGTCTTCGTTGTTGGTCAGAGCTCGAGAAACCTCGGCTGTTTGGAAAGCCCCCAATGGGGAAATATTCGCGGCGCTTGTTTTTGTGGCCATCAAACGAGTTCGCGGGAGATGAGGAAAAGCTAAAAAAAATTTATGCCGATGAGCTCGCTTCCCTCGAGCAAAGGCCCACAGACACAAACAGAGATACAAAACAGAGCGCTTGGACTGTGTGATGTCGTTCATTGGCTACAAGGACACGATTGGCGAAGGCGACCTGGTGCTGGCGTTTCTCGGCAGAGATGCGATCAAGCCGATCGTGATAAACAAGGAGGAGACGCTGAACACGAGGTTCGGGTCTTTCCCTCACGCGCAGATGATCGGGCTCAAGTACGGGACTCAAATGGCGAGTATCAAAGGGTATGGGTTCATCCATCTGCTACAGCCAAGCGCAGAGCTGTGGACGCTGTCGTTGCCGCATAGAACGCAGATCGTGTACACGCCAGATTCGAGCTATATAACGCAGAGGCTGGGGATCACGGCGGGGTCCAGGGTCATCGAGGCCGGCACAGGGTCTGCGTCGTTCTCTCACGCGCTGGCGAGAACCGTTTCAGCGGAGGGCCATCTCTTCACCTATGAGTTCCACGAGCCTAGGTTCCTGGAGGCGAAGAAGGAGTTCGAAGAGCACGGCCTGCTGGGCACGCCGGTGACTATCAATCACAGGGATGTCTGTAAAGACGGCTTTGAAATCTCCAACTACGACGGGGACGTCAAGGCAACGTCTGTGTTCTTGGACCTTCCGGCGCCATGGGAAGCCATTGCGCACCTGTCGCAAGTTATCAGTCAGGATGAGAAAGTTGGTATCTGCTGCTTCAGTCCTTGTATAGAACAAGTGTCAAAGACCTTGGACGCGCTGAAAGAGTACGGATGGACATCCGTACAGATGGTTGAGATCCAAGCCCGTAGATGGGAGGCAAGACAACAGATGGTGAGACAAGTTGATGACGCAGTTCTCAGGCTCAAGGATGTCAAGAGACGTAAGCTAGAAGGGATCGAGAGAAAGAGGAGGTTCTACGCGGAGCATGGCCAGCCAAGGGACGAAGACTCAGAGCAGGAGGTTGAAAAGAGAAAGGAACTCGAAAAGGAGGAGACCAAAGTGGACAGGACAGAATTCAATCCATTTGGAAGAGGCTTGAGAATCAAAGACGGTGATGAAGCTTTCAATTGGATCAAAGTGTCAAAGACAGAGGCCGAGGTGAAATCTCACACTTCGTACCTGACGTTTGCATTCAAACAGGCAACTCCAAGTTCAACTACATAATGTAACAGTCATAATGAAAGAAAAAAAAGCTGTTAAACATCAATACATGTATCAAAGATCCTTCTTCTCTCAATTCAATTGCTTTATTTATTCATTTTATATAAAACACACACGCACACACACCATGACGGAGCCTATCTTGGACCAAGTTTTACCAAGGCTTGAGCTCCACTCTCTTCCCATTCTTGTTTAGAGATCCACATGTGATCTTTATCAGCCATGATGTTAGCCAAAACAGCACCACCGATGAAAACCATGTGTCGTCTTCTTGGTGGATCCTCGATTCTAACTTTGAACTTGTCCAATCTGGAAGGGTCGCCATGAAGCACTCTTGTGAGCCATAGCTGTTTCAACTCTTTCTCTAATCTTGAAGGCAAACCCGGATACATAGAGGAGCCACCGGAAAGGACAATGGCTTTATAAAGGGAAGATCTCACGTCGAGATCGGCACTTTGGATGGTGTTGAATAATAATTCACCCATACCTGGCTGTTCACAGTCAACCAAGTTTGGCTGGAAGAGACACTCTGGGGCCTCGAATCTTTCAGAGCCAACTCTAATGACACGTCCATCTGGCAATTCATAGTTTTCAACAAGAGTTGTCGTATCACGGGACAGCCTGGCATCGAGTTCCAGGTCGTAGGAGACATAGCACAGTTTCTCCTTGATCTGACGAACCGTTTCGAAATCCGCAGTTCTGTTGAAGGCGTAGCCCCTTCTCGAGAGCAAGTCGATCAAGTGTCTCGTAACGTCTCTACCGGCAACGTCCAGTCTTCTTGTAAGATGGTTCAGAACAACGGACTCGTACACCGGGATCACATGGGTAACACCGTCACCGGAATCAACGACAACTCCAGAGCTCAAACCTTGGGCATACAGCGCCAAAACTGCCTGGATGGCAACGTACACGCCGCCGAACTGGTACTTCTCAAACATCATATCACACATCTTCTCTCTGTTCTTCAAAGGGTTCATCGGAGGCTCGGTTAGCAGCACCTTCTTACCTCTCGTGTCCTCTTGGAGACGCTCGTAGAAGGCATAGTCCCACAGGTGCTCCATATCCTCCCAGTTCCGGATGATACCGTTCTCCATAGGGTACGAGATCTGCAGCGAGGAGCGCACTGCACTCGCCTCATCACCACACATGATGTCCTTGATCTCAACGTCCCCCGTTCTCTCCTCAGCACGCAGAATAGGACGCCCAACAATCGAAGGGAACGTGTGTTCTGGGAAGTTGTTACCGGCATGTCCTATCTTCACAAACCCGGTACCTTGGTCTAACACAATAGGTGGTGCATTCATCGTTCTTCTTTACCGGTTCCTCGTCGAATTGAGCTCAATTGGCCTGACTAATACCCTGGAACTCAGCAGCGAGGTGAAGTTTACTTCGCTGGTAGAAAACAGTAAGAGAGAGAGAGAGAGAGAGAACGGAGCCCCTGCCCTCGCACGCCGATTACCGCGGGAGGTGTAGGAGAAGAGTGGTACGGGACACACTGGTATACAGGTGCTAGTCTTCAGTATGGGAATATTGGAATTGGAGAGATGCTAGCAAAGGTGGGCAATCGGTATTCAAATGCCTTCAAAGTGGATTAGCTGGTGGTGAACACTTTGAGTAAGAGATGTGCCAAGTATGGGCGTTCGTTGGGGACTGCTTCCTGAGATATTGCCACCCATACATTTGTATCGTATCGTCAAACAAAAGAAGGCATAGATTCGCATATATGCCTACAACAGAACATAATGAGGACATTCTGGCGGGCCAGGCTGTAGAGCTGATCTATATCGTCATGTATATCGACTCTGAGCCTGATTGGATGGTGGTTCTTCCAAAGCAATTCACCACGTTTTGTTCTTTTGCTTCAATTCTGGTTCTTCGTTACCCCGGAGACTGTGAAGGCATAAGCATGCCTCCACAGTACACGAAGGATATCATGCTGGGGCCAATCACAGCCAAATACTTTCGAGTAATTAGTACGATTCTTTCGTTGTAATTGGCCGGAGCGAACAGTACTGGTGGTACCGAGGTGGAGCTTACTCAATGGCCATCAACAGGCGATTATTCCATGGAGCTGATGGTGTGATGCCTCGAGACGATGGACAAGGGAGGTTTACAGAGATTTATACGCCAGTTCCAGACTTGGCTACAGCTCGTCATCTCGAATCGCTTAGATGAGTTCCCAGCAAAGGGACCAAGCACTAAGGATCAACTTGTGTTGGTGTTATATATTGATGCTATACATTGGTGTTATATATTGGTGTTATATCTTGGTCTTATACATTGATCTTATATCTTGATGCTATACATTGATCTTATATCTTGATGCTATACATTGGTGTTATATATTGGTGTTATATCTTGATGTTATACACCTCGATGTGCATATATACAGACCGTGGCCTCATCTTCTCGTTGTTCTGTTGGCCTTAATATCAAGGAATGGACTGCTGGAGTAGGAGTCCTGTGTGTCCAGCACCGTGGCTCTCTTGAAGATCGAGAGTGGTTGAACCTCGATGATGGCATTCTGGGTGACGCTGTTGATGTCCAGGAGATCAGCGATGCTGTGCTGTAGCAGTGATACAGTCACGGTGCCGACTTTCGTGAGTCTCGAGCCAGAGTCCAGGTCTTCGAGCCCGTACGTTATTACGGTGATTCTCTGTGGTGCTCTGATGCGGTCGTTCATACGGATGTCTTGGTCGATGCTTTCAGGCCCCGTCAGGCTCAACCTGGAGAGGAAGTCTCGGTGTGAGCCTTCAACGTCAAGTCCCATGTTGTTGACAATGTCATGCTCGTTTCTCTCGAGCGCAATGGCAACTCTGTCTTTGGTCCACTTCTCCAGGTGGTCAGTGTCCATCTCAGTGCCTTTGAACTTCAACTGTGAGGTTTCGAGCCTTTCCCAGCGCTCCGACATGCCTTTGCTTCTCTTTCTCAGGTTGTGTCTCACCAGGAAGAACCCACCTAGGAACAACGGCGGGACAACGATGAAGAACAAGGGACCAAAAACCATCAGAAACGCACATCCTCCCACAACGGCAAGCATGGTCTTCATCGCATCTGGAACCAGCGAGAAGATCCCGTTAGAGGGGCCTCTGTTGAAGCGAGGAGGGTCGAAATCAAAACGACTGCGTCTATAACCAATGAATGATGAGGAGGAGAACAAACGACCAGCAGGCGCCCTCATTGGACGAGCTGATGCCTGCGAAGCGTGTTGGGACAGACCCCATGAATGGCCATAGTTTGCGAGAAATGGCGGTGAGATGATGCCCTTAGCAGGTCCTCTCAATCCAAATGACAACAACCTTCCACTGCTCAGTGGCTGAATGCCGAACATTGCGCGTGTGTTGATGTTTACCGTTGGCCTTCGAATGTATAGCGTGAAGGGAGTGGTGAGAAAGCGGAAAAGTATCACCGCCCCGGACGAGGGCAGAAACACTCCAGCACTTTCAGCTACAAAGACACAGCAAAACTTATCGAAACGTTATATATTTCATTAACCGATGTTGAAATCCCAGTAACAACCCAATGCAATAGTGCAACAGACATTATCTTTTTATGTATATAGAAAAAATGGAAGAAGTGAAGTCGTAAAACGTTAAGTGGTGGTAGATTAAGCCCTCAAACAAATGTTGAATTGATGAGGTAAAAGTTTAGACATTTCAGTGATTCAGAGCGAGTGGCCAGTTTAGTTCTTGGCGTACTTCTCTCTGTAGTACTTAGCAGCCTCAACCATGTTGGTCAAGGAGGCTCTGGTCTCCTCCCAGCCTCTGGTCTTCAAACCACAATCTGGGTTGACCCAGAACTTCTCAACTGGGTAAACCTCCAAGATGGTGGCGATCTTTTGGATAAACTCCTCCTTAGATGGGATTCTTGGGGAGTGGATATCGAACAAACCGAGACCAGCGTGGTTTGGATAGTCAGAGAACTCACGGATGTAGTTTGGATCGTCCTTCTTGGAGAACTCAATGGAGACAACATCAGCATCCAAGGCCTTGATGTGGTTTGGATCCAAGTCAGAGTAACAGAAGTGGGAGTGGATCTGAGTAGCGTTCTTGACACCGGCAGTGGCGATTCTGAAGGACTCAGCAGCCCACTTGTAGTAGTCTTGTCTCTCCTCACCCTCTCTCAATGGCAAACCTTCTCTCAAAGCTGGCTCATCGACTTGGATAACCTTGATACCGGCAGCCTCCAAGTCGTTGACCTCATCTCTCAAAGCCAAACCCAATTGCAAAGCTTGGGTCTTTTGAGAAGCGTCAACTCTTGGGAAAGACCATCTCAAGATGGTGACTGGACCAGTCAACATACCCTTCATTGGCTTGGTAGTGATGGATTGAGCGTAGACGGACTCCTTGACGGACATTGGGGCTGGTCTAGAAACGTCACCAACAATGATAGGTGGACGAACGTATCTGGAACCGTAAGATTGGACCCAACCGTTTTGGGTGAACGCGAAACCCTTCAATTGTTCACCAAAGTATTGAACCATATCGTTTCTCTCTGGCTCACCGTGGACCAAAACGTCCAAACCAATCTCCTCTTGGAATCTGACAACCTTCTCAATCTCAGACTCAATGAACTTCTCGTACTCCTCCTTGGAGATAGTACCCTTAGTGAACTTGTTTCTGTTGATACGGATGTCCTTGGTTTGTGGGAAGGAACCAATGGTGGTGGTTGGGAACAATGGCAAGTTGAAAACCTTCTCTTGCTCTTTGATTCTCTCAGTGAATGGAGAAGCACGACGACCTTGAGCATCATCGATAGCAGCAACTCTCTTTTGAACGGTCTCATCGTTGGTGATGGAAGAGGTGGAACGGGCCTTGACAGAGGCAGCGTTAGCCTCCAAAGCAGCAGAAACGTCCTCACCAGAAACGTTCTTAGCAACGGTGACAACTTCACCCAACTTTTGGGTAGCAAAGGAGAAGAAGTCCTTGATTTCCTCGGACAACTTGGACTCGTTGTTCAAGTCAACTGGGGTGTGCAACAAAGAAGAGGAGGTAGCAGTGATGACTCTGTCAGCACCCAACTTCTCGACAGCCTTCTTGACCAATTCAGAGGCCTTGGCGAAGTCAGCCTTCCAGATGTTACGACCGTCAATGACACCAACGGACAAAGTTTGCTCTGGGGTCAAAGCATCGGCAACGGCCTCCAATTGTTCTGGAGCTCTGACAACGTCAATGTGGAAACCAGCAACTGGCAAACCCTTGATGGCATCCAAGTTTGGAACAACGGTACCGAAGTAGGAAGCAACGGTGATAGCTGGCAAACCCTCTTGCTTAGACAAGTACTCGTAAGCGGTCTTGAAAGCGGCTTGGACGTTGGCTGGCAAGTCCAAAACCAAGACTGGCTCATCAATCTGGACGGTCTTAGCACCGGCATCAGCAAGCTTCTTCAAGATCTCAGCGTAGACAGGCAAGATCTTCTCCAAGAGGGAGATTGGCTCCAAGTCCAAGGAGTCCTTGTCAGCCTTACCCAAGTGCAAGAAGGAGACTGGACCAACGAGGACTGGTCTGGTCTCAATGCCCAGCTCCTTAGCCTCCAAGTACTCGTCAACTGGCTTTTGGCCGTTCAACTTGAACTCGGTGGAGTTGGAGAAGGTTGGTCTGACGTAGTGGTAGTTGGAGTCAAACCACTTAACCATCTCCAAGGCAGTCACGTCGACAGCCTTAGCGGTCTCAGTGGCCTTTCTCTGCAAACCACGTCCCATGGCGAACAGAACGTCAATTGGCTGCAAGTCGTACTTGGTGTAACGGTCTGGGATCACGTTGAACAAAACCTCCAAGTCCAACACTTGGTCGTAGAAGGAGAAATCGTTGGAAGCAATGATGTCCACACCAGCCTCCTTCTGCAACTTCCAGTTGTGAGCTCTCAGCTCCTTACCAACCTTGAAGAGCTCCTCGACGGAGACCTTACCTTGCCAGTAAGCCTCGGTGGTCTTTTTAAGCTCTCTCTGAGCACCAATACGTGGGAAACCAAGAACAGATGATTGAACCATTGTTAGATTAGTAGAAGAAGTCAATTGAACTGATTCAATTTGTTGTTGAAGAACAAGAGAAGAGGAAAAGAAAAAAGATTAGCCACAAAGAAAATTTTCGTAAACGTGGGAATCTGCTCCAATATATATATACTACACACAAGCGCTGCGTTTAAGCGCCAGCTATTGATCCCAGCTCGTTCCTGTCGAGCTCAAGTGAAAAATTTTTTTTGCATGTGGAAGAGCGAGCTAATCACCGCTTTCAGGTGGAAGGACGCACATTGAGAGCACCACCGTTGGCGAAGAAACGGCGGGAGGGCGGGCCACGCGCAATTGGGGCCTACTGAGTTGGAGGATTTAAACGTGATGGTTTGAGTTGTTGAAGGTGTCACTTATTGTGTCATTTTGATAGCTGTGCCTTGGTTGTTAGGTGGTGTATTGTTGTTTGCTGGCCGTCCCCACCGTCTATACGAACGGCCAGGCAGTGTGTGCAGGGTGTGTGCTCGGAGTTGTTTGGGTGTGCGGGTGTGAGGGTGTCTGGGAGGAGTCAGCGCTTTCGCATGTGAAATTTGTGCAATTTGTGCAATCTGTGCAATTTGCGTGCGCGTAGCGGGCGCGGTGCGTTTTTGTGCGATGTCACGTGCGATGGTGCGCGCCAGGGGCCGGTGATGGGTGTGCGGGTGTGTAGGTGTACGGATGTGGTGTGCGGGTGTGCGCTTTGTCGCCACCCTTTCCTCCTTCAGCATCGCCGTTCGGTGGGGACACGCGCACGGACTGTCGTTTCAACAACCACGAAACAACAGCACAGTCCTCCAAGAAGGGTAATTGAGCAGAGAGCGAGCCTGTTACGGACAATTGACTCGCAAAGCGACACAGCACTGACCAATTGGAACACCACCCTTGCTCTTAAACAATGGATGAGAACGCCGCCCTGGAGAACTTCTCCGCACTCACTCAAGTGCCACAGACTGTAGCTAAGGAGATCTTGGAGAGAAACAACTGGAACGTTCAAGTATGTTAAGCAAGTTTTACCATCTGGCCTTGTACTGACATGGAGCAACAGCAAGCCCTAGAGGACTTCTACAATGGTCCAACGCAACGCTCGTCCCCATCTCCACAGCCACAGGGCACACAGAGCAACGCCAGCTCGGCGCAGAAGAAGGCCACACAGAAGAAGGCCACGCCAAAGTTCAAGTCCTTCCAACAATTGGTGAATTCCCAGGAGGAGGAAGAGAATGACGAACAGAACTTCTTTGCCGGTGGTGGACGTGGCTCCGGAATCAACGTTGAGAATCCTAATAACGCCAACAGACTGGTTCAAGATCTGCTGAAGAAAGCTGAAAGCGATGCAGGAGCAGCTGGCGGCGAGTTTGACGATGAGCCTCAGGTTCCAAAGTTTTCAGGCTCTGGATATAGATTGGGTGATTCTACAACACCTTCACAGAAGATTGGCTCAACAGCACCAAAGAAGTTGGAAAAGGCCCATAGGGAAATCACATTTTGGAAAGATGGGTTTCAAGTTGGCGAAGGCAAACTATACCGTTATGACGACCCGGCAAACTCACATTACTTGAACGAATTGAACGCTGGAAGAGCACCATTGTCGTTGCTCGATGTTGAGTTTGGACAAGAAGTTGTCGTGAACGTTATGAAGAAGTTGGATGAGGAGTACAAGCCACCAAAGAAAACAGTAGGCGGATTCCACGGCCAAGGACATAGATTGGGATCACCAGTATCTCCAGATTACGTGGCATCGCAACCACAGTCACGTGAGGAAACCCCAAAGGTAGAAGAGCAGTCCAAGCCAGCTGAAGCCGAAGCTCAAGGCGATTCACAGGTGCAAGTCCGTCTTGCAGATGGCCGTCGTGTTATACGCCGTGTTAACTCTACGGACCCTGTTCAAGTACTGTTTGACTTTGTCGCTACTCAAACCGACAGCTTAAAGGGCTGGAATTTGAACTATGCTTTTCCTGTGAAACCAATTGAGGATAAATCAAAGAGCATCAAGGAATTGGGGCTCGTTAATGCCGTTGTCGTGCAGAGATGGGTATAGTGAAACTACGGTATTCTATAATCACATCATAAAAAGGCAATAATGGGGATATATGCTATTTGTAGGTCCAAGTATTTAAGAGTGGTGGTCCAAGACACAAGGGTTATAGAGGAAAAGCTGTGGAGATGATGAATATGGTAAACTGTTACTAGTACAATTTCAACTCGCCAGTGACTTGATCCATGACAACCTTTGGTGCTGGGCCCAACCCAAGAACTGTAGCTGATCCAGCTTCGATCTGTGTTCTTCCAGCGTCGTGGACTATATAGGCGTTGATGTTCAAACTTATTGCCCTTGCATAGAGCAGATCCATATCTTCTTTGCTCTTGACCTGGAGTGTAATCTTCGCCTGCCCGGTTCTTTCCCATCTTTTCAGCATGGTTAAGTTCTGAGATTCGGCACCGTCCAGCTCCATCAGTCTGTAGCAGCCAAGCGCAGCATGTGCACACTGTGCTGCTGCCTTACCTTTACCCATTCCCAGATCTGTTCTGACGATGAGTGCCATTCTGGTCTCACCAGGTATATCGTTGAGTGCACTGGAGTCCACTTGGAAGTCTTCCTCTTCAGACTCTTCCAAATCAGACGAATACACGCTTCCTTCATCGTCGTCCGAGTTCTCAGAGGTCTCAGACGTCGGCGTCGTAGACGTCGAAGAGCCACTCGTCGTTGCGGACGTCCCCTTCTTGCGGTTCCTTGCCCTGCGATGCCTCTGGCGATGGGACCCAATTGGCAACCAGTTAGAAAGGATGATGCCAGTGACAAAGGATACAGCACACGCTGATACAAGTTGCGTCTGTGTAGCCATCGCTTCTCTGTTCTTCAACCCTGTCTTTCAGTCAGCTGTAGAAACAATGGGGAGCTTTTCCGATCAGCACTGTCTAATGTCGCTTGCGCTCTTCTTCAACCTCATCTGGCAAAGCGTGAAATTTTAACTCCTCGCTTGCCTTGCACCCGACATGCCGGGAGGAAAATAGGCATCAACAGCCTCCACAGCGGGTTTCCACAGTGGATTTTCACAACAGAGACATAAACAAAGCGTTGAAACACGGCGGTTCACACGGCGGCAAAGGACTAGCGACGAGATGAGCCTCTCAGATGGGTTGGAGGATCATATAGAGATCCCCAGCAGCGACGAAGGGTTTACCGCCTCGCCCACTTTCGCAGTGACAGACCTTTTAACGTCACTGGGGGAGCGTACACAGGACGCGGAGTATTTGGTGACGAAGGGCAACGATTTGATACTTCTGTTACAGAAGTTCCCGTATATCAAGGAGGACTTGATCCTGAGTGCGTTTGGCCATAAGCTGCAGACGCTGCTCACACATCCAAAGAAGGAAGTTGTCGCCACAGGCTATAGGATATGCCGGTATGTTGTATTCGATGTTGCGTCTCTCCAAGGGCTGATCTCTTTGAAGCTTGACGTGTTGATGATTATCTCACTGGCGAAAGGCTCTCACCACGACATCGAGAGGGAGCAGGCGATCAAGCTGCTGCGTGCGTTCTTTGACATCCCGAACGGTGCAAAGGAGATCACGAGAGGGCTGGCCAATGCGGTGCTGGCCATCGCTGAACAGGTTGACGACAAGATGAGGAAGCTTTGTATAGAGACGTCGTGCGAGATATGCCTGCTGAGGCCGGATCTGATTAGACCACACTCGATTGTTCAATTCATACTCGACGGTCCCTTTGAGCTGTCTTCGATGTGTGCCACCACTATCGTGTCGTTGTTGAACACGCAAGAGGGACGGAAGCACATCGAACTACAAGACATGCAAAAGATTATATCTCCATTCACTGAGTTCCCAGTGAAGGGCCATTTGAACAATGATCAGATCCAGACAAGTGCGTACGTCATTTCGAGGTTCCTGAAGAACCTTGCTGGACTTCACGGGTTTTGTATGGATGATTTCAAACCTTTAAGGGAACTGATTGCGTGCCTATCATTCCCAGTGAATGGGGTTGTCTCAAAGTTGTTAGATCTCTTTCTTGATCTTTTGATGGTTAGACCCCTCAGCAAAAAACCAATTACACAACCAACAAAGACAGTGATTGTTCCCCTAAAGTTGGAAAACCAATTCGTCTTGAGCAATCACTATCTCGCCCTCATAGTTACCATTTTGTTTCGTTGTGGAATAGTACCACAACTCTTGGGGATTCTGGAAACATCGAAAGATGAGGGAAACTGTACAAAGGCTGGCTGTATGCTTGCAGAGTTGGCAAATATCAAGACAAACTTGGTTCCGGAAGAGTTCTCAATCGATGATAGTGCAGAGATCATGGTTAATTTTAACTCAACCGACTCTAACAATGGAAGACCAGAGTACATATTGGAAAGACTGACGAGAAAGTCTTACAAAGGACGTACCAATCTAGGACTGCAAAACGTCAAAATCTCTGAGAACTTTACAAAGATCTCTAAATCAAGCAAAAACAATTTCAGCTATTATGCGGATGAAACCAGGTTAAGACAGATGATTTCAGATTCGAAGGTTTTATCATCCAAGAAGTTTGTTGAATGGGACTGCGATATTTTAACCGAACTATTCCAAGGACCCTTTATGAATGGCAAGAGACTCGACGATATAAATAGAACAACAAAGTTCTTGAAACGTTTATTATCCTTCTACAGACCCTTCAAGCATAAATTCAGTGCTACGAAAAGGACAAAGTCAAGCGTCAGATTTATCAAGCTTGGTTGTGATATCATTACCTGTCTATTGAGTTCCCACCAGGGTGTCTTAATCTTAAAAGAGAACAAAATCGTCCCTCAGATTGCAGAGTGCCTTGCTCAGCTGGATCCATATAGCGGTTTCTATGCCAAAGATCAAATCTTTTCAAAAGCTAGATTAGAATCAACATTGACTAGTGGCTACTTTACGATACTAGGAAAGATTTCTTCTTATGAGAATGGTTTGAAACTGATGGAACAATGGAAAATTTTCAGTATCATACACCATATATCAGATGATCCGTTCCGTCGTGAGGATTTGATCATTATGTTTATGAATGAAATGAGCTACGACTCACCAGGACAATTAAGGGTACTTTTGTCAAAGTTTCTCCATTCTGAGAATAAAAAAATCAAGGTCAGTGCTACCAATTTGCTGAGGACCCTTATAAGGAACGAAGAAACGAGGGACTTCGCTTGTGAATTACTTGTTGAGCAACTCTATGAACAAGACAAGGATGTCTGCTCAATTGTGATATCCGTACTCTCAGAATACTGCGACGAATCAGCTAGACATATGGACCAGATAATCAATCTGAACCCCAGTGTTAACATTCTCAAGCTGTACAGTTCGGGAAGAGACTCGCTGCTAATGAAATTTCTAAGTACATCTAGTGGGTTTGAATATCTTCATCATAATGGATTCATAGACCAGGAGTTTGACAGTTGGGTTTCTGGTGAGAAGTATATTGACTATGCTTTGGAGGTTGACAGACTGCTCATGAAAATGGACAAGGATTGGGATGACCCTCTTGTGTCTCCTTCAGTTTCACTTCCTCCAAACCTCTTCGGAGAACTGATAAAGACAGAGGAGGGATTTAGCGTTATTGTACAATCAGGTGTACTAACTGATTTTGTGAACATGGTACGCTTCTATGCGACAAGTATAGGTAAAACACAGCCTACCACAATTGATTATCTCAGATTGAAAGCTTGCCTCTGGTCTATTGGCCTTATGAGCACAAGTGATCTAGGCATTGAAACCCTAGATGTTAACGGTTGTATTGAAGACATTGTTCAAATTGCATATAATAGTCCTCTAATCGATCTTAGAGGGATTGCATTTTATGTTTTGGGTCTCATTTCCAGAAATATGCAAGGTGTTGAAGTTCTTGACGAGTACTCTTGGTGTTCCAAGCTGGATGTGTATCAAAAATCAATAGGGATTTCTGTTCCAAAGGATACTCAGAAATTCATCGGGTTCAATCATGATGAAATTGCCTCAAATGAAATCATAGATTTTAACATCTTCAATGAGATAGATTCAGAGGACATGATATTGACGAAGCTTGTGAAGATTGTGGCAGATTTGTGCAATCACGTCTACCTGAATTCTGCATCCAAGGAGCTCACAACCTTTACTAAACAGCATCCAGAGTGCTTCGAAGACCCTGATGTTTTCTACCTCGTCCTCCAGTACTTCGAGATGTACAAGTACCGTCAGACTGTAAGAAAATTCATCATCGAGGCATTTACCGAATCCAGTCGTTTGCTGGAGACTATTGTGAAACGTGACAAGAAACGTATGAAAGAGCTTTTGAGAACCTAGCGACGAGATTATATATATAGAGAGGGTAATGATTTATGAATGCAAACGGACATTATTATATACAGTGAAAATGCAAGGTATGTTTTAAACTTGTAACCACAACTCATCGTTCGTAAGAGAAACCACCTTATTACAGATTAAATGATCACCACAATGAACCTCTGGTAATTCCTGAGACAGTAGAACATCAACTTCAATCCCTAAATCGGAGCAATATGCCTTCGCAGGTGCTGGGAATTTCGAATGTCTCAGGACAATGCATTTGAAGAAGACCCAGGATTCCTCGTCCTCAGATCTCAGAGCTCGTAGAATTGCGTTCTTACGAGCTCTTTGTTGTAAATCGGCATTGGCTTCTTTTGCAGGCCTTATATTGATATCGTAGAACCTTTGGAGTTCAGAGGAGGATTTCATTTTAAACCCCTTCATGAAGAGTCTGGACACGCCCATTTTATAATCACTCTGCGAAGCAACAAACTGTGATTGGAGATAGCTGATGATTTGCCATTGATTAGCAATTGATTCAAGATCACTCAATGTGGTTGTAATGTCGCAAAATCCATCCTCAAGCCCAAGAGATGCGTATGGCCCAGTGGTGGTTCCAACTTTTACAGGTGAAAGGAAAGAGATAGCAGCCAGATAATTTGAGATTGGAGTCAAACCTGATGAATCTTTCGAGAACGTGAGCTCATTGTATCCATGCGCATCGTACTGTGGGATGACAAGATTAGAAGCTTGAACTCGGAAAGTGTCTTCCAGAGGAGGTAATACGTCTTGCGTCTGAATTATTTGGGGGATGCTGTGCTTCGAAGAGAACTGCAGAAGATGATGCGATGCAATTGTGCTAAGCTCTAGCTTAACATAGTCCAGGAAGTTACTTGAGTACTCCCCTTCGATGAACTGGAAACTTGAAGATACCGGTCTTTTAGTAAAATGCTGATCCATCGAACATTCATACCCTCTCTTCAGACACCAGTAGTCAATCATGTTAATCATATTCAACAGTATATTCCGGTCATTAGACTCTAGCGTCCTAAAATCGTTGGACATGAATATACTCAAGAGCTCACTGAAAATTGGGAATCGTGATCTCCATAGTTCGTTCAAATCATGGAGTGGAACGTATTGGACATTGACTAGCCTTTCAAGTCTCACTGTGGTTGATGTCTTGTACCAGGGCTTATCCGTACCAAGTGGATACTTGATAGAAATTGTGAATGCAAGACATTCTTTGTCCTTATGAAATGCAAGGCTCTTGAGCGTGTCATGGGAAAACAAGGAATCAGTTTTCGTATGAAGATCAACATCACTAACTCTTTGCAAAACATCTCCAATAGATTTAGAGATATGCGGAACTTGTGAGCCAACATCAGGCACATGGATATTGAACATCCAAAAATCTCTTTCCTTTTCCAGACTGATGCCAAGTTCAGAATACATGTCGAGACCCAAATTCTCCAGCTTTTCTGAAGGAAGAAGGTACACCTTTGATGTATTTGTAACTCTGATGTGTTTCATATTATCTTTCAGCAACGTTGGTTCCGGCTCGTATTGTATTTCTGATGGAAAGATTGTGTCTGACACCCCGATACGTTCAAGTGCTTGAGACACACCACTTGAGGAACAAGGCAATTCGTTACCTAAGAGACGTGAAACCGTGAATGACAGTGATGGATGAGGGTATATTTTATAATACATCAAGAAAGTCACAATCATGTTAATGTCGAGGAAACCGGCATCGTCTTTTTCCATAGCTTCTTTATACTTTTGCAATATGTTTGACTCTTGGTTATCAAGTTGTTTCAAACAGGAGTTGAAGCCGTCAAGTATTTGATATTCGAACAGAGACACTTCCCTGAGATCTTCTGCAAGGTCCATCGAATTGGCAAAGTAGTAAGTCATCGGAATGGAATCACTTGTCATAGAGTACAGTAAGGGCTTCGTTAACTTCTGTTGCACTCTGAAATTGAAAGGATCGGAACAAATATACATATGAATTGCATATAGGAGACACTCCTGCTGTGTCTTACTCTTTCCTGAGTGGAATAGCACGGATGAAAGCACCGAAAGTAGATCAAGTTCAACAGACCGTGAGTCCTTTGTATACCACGCCTGGATAACAGGCATCAAATGTTGATGTGTTTTTAAAAGACTTATGGATGCACTCATGAAGTTTGATATTAGAAGCGGGATTTCGTCCTCTGTCAGCGTATCCTTGTCAAATAGACCTGCTAAATGGAAAGAGACTTCATGAGCTTGAAACTCTACAGAATCACCTTCAGCTGTGACCATAGAAATGGCTGTATTCGAAAACAGGCCGGTCTGTGGCCGTGTAACTATGCCAACTCGTACACTATCATCCTTTATCACCTCAACAAACGAGCCAAAGGAACATCTCTTGTTCCACCTCTCTTCGATGGGGACATTTCGTATCACACTTCTCAAAGCTTCCCAATCATGGTGTTGGTTACTGAACAACTCAGTGATCTGTTGGCAAGAGTTTGGAACCCGAACTTGTGGGATCTGCGGCCGTATCCCATCAGAGATCGTATTCGTGGGATCCTTTAGCAAGAAAGCCGTCGTCACCCGCCTCGTAGACCTCATCCATCGTGAATGGTCAAGTCTTCGCCTTATGAGTTGTCGAAACATTTAGTACCAGATGGTCATGTGTCTATTGCTGTGGACAATGCGCAATTCCTAAACACCGAGTAAGACTGTTGGAGAAAGCTGATACTGTCAACTCGAATACACCAGGCTGAGTCCTTAGTACCGTTTCCGTTGGGTTGTGGTGATACCGCAATGTTGAAGAGTTATGGCACAGGCTAACAGTGCTCGGTCTCTGTTTGGGTTTGCGCTCTTTTCCCACACCCGAACACCAATGTCTTCCTACAGCCGGTTAAATGGAAAGCTCTCTTAGGAGAAGGATACGGGTAAATACTACAGCTTCAAGGCAGAAGTCATCTCGTGTAATTCATGAGAGTTGAAAAGACTCGTAAACGTTTGTATGATATGATATAATATGATTGTGACGTGATATGGCATCTCACTTTTGATCTCTGATCCAGCCTCTGGCCTCGCTGAGTCCCTGCTGGGTCTTGTCATTGGTAGTTTGCAATCCACTCTTAACATGGCCGACAGCACTGTCAGCATTGGACCAGAAGCTCTTATTCACGCTGTCGCCCCACTTCGCTAATCCTCTCTGGGCATCATCAACACGTCTCTGGGCATCGTCAACGTGCTTCTGGGCTTCTTGTTCAAGCTCCTTCGATGTTGACTTCCAAACTTCCCACCAGTGCTTTGAGTTGGCACTCAGCTCTTTCTTTGCATCTTCAAGGGCATCATTGGCATCGTTGTAGTAGTCACGGGCACCGTCTGCGGTGTCGTCATACTTTCTCGTGAACCACTTGTTCCATCTCTCGTATGTGTCTTTTGCTTGCTTTTTCAAGTCAGCAGTCTTACCCTGAATCTCCCTACGGGTGTCTCTTGTGTCACCATAGACCTCTTCTGCAGCTTCACCAGCAGTATTACCCCAACCACGGACAGCATCACGAGCAGCACGGGCTGCGGCTTCCTCTTCGTGTGGAACACCTCCACGGAGCCAGTCGTAGAAGCCTTCGCTTTGGCGATATGTCTTTTGATTCAATTTTGCAGAGGCAGAGCTCTTCCACTGCTCAAATTTGGCAGACGCCTCGTCAAACTTCTTCTGGGCCTCGTCATATTGTCTCTGAGCTTCAGCTTGCAACTTCTTCTTCTCGTCATCCACGTTGAATGACAACCATGAGGACTTGGTCTCATCAACACGCTTGGAGGCATCATCCAGTGCCTTCTTTGCATCGTTATAGACTGTCTCTGGGGTGGTGTTACCAACGAGCTTGTTTGCACTAGTGACAACAGAGTCATAGTACTCGGAAGCACTTTGGGCAGCAGTTTCACCCCAACCTTCCAAACCCCTTCTGGTCTTATCGGCGAGCTTCTCCTCTCTGGCAGAGTCATCACTCTTGAACCAGCTTCCCTTCATCTCCTTAACTTCTCTCCACTCTTCCTTCACACCATCTTCGAATCTCTCCAATCTTCCCTTAACACGGGGAGTGGATGAATCCAGCTGCTTAGCATGTTGCTGAGCCGCTCTGGCCTCATCATCAAGAGCCTGCTTTGCGGAATCTGCTTTGTCAGCAGCCCACGAAGCAACGTTGGCCTTTTGTTGCTCAACAGAGCTGAGCGTGCTGTCGATCTTTCTGGTGGCATCCCTTTGAATGTCGTAAGCCTTATCATGCACCTTGCCAACGGACTCGTCGATTTGACGACCAGCGTACTGCGCCGGTCCTTCACCAACAGTTCTACGAGGTGGGATCGGTTGTGGATGCTGTGCAGCATCGAGTCTTGAAGAGTAGAGGTAGTAACCACCACCCAGCACTCCTGCAGTGATCAAAAACGTTCTAGTTGACATCGTAGTATGAGTTACTTGTTGTACGGGAATTAACAAAGCAAGGAGGGGACGAGGGGAATACAAAGGATAACCTCCGGCTTATATAGTTCCTCAGATCCACCATGCAACAGTCGAGGTAGCAATTCCAATTGTCCCCAATGCGTGTCCTTGACGTTATATGACCTAAGATTGCTCCTCCGAGAGCAACCTTTGGAGGACAGAAAACACCACAACTTACCTGCTTATGACGTGCGCTTATTGACCAAGCTGTGGACCGCTCCACCGACACCAACCGCACCGGTGTCCCCAAAGCAACCGCCATGCCATTGGCTCTGGTCGACGCTTTCCCTACGTGTTCTCAACTGGTTGTACTGTATGTCCACTATTGTTCAATGTTGTGATCCTCTCTGCTTGTGTGTTTACCTCCCCGAGTGACACAAAAAATAGTGGGATTGCGGATTTACAGAGTTTTACCGGCGTGACTTATTTTTATGTGTTTGTTCAAGGTGTGGTCATCACTGGGAAACTCAATGCTGAACAACGCAGCACGCTGGCACGGAGAAGGAGCAAGACGACCAGGGTGGAGTCCCAATCAACAATTGATCCGGTGCTGGGGCCTTCGAAGACGCCAGTTGCCTGTATACTAACATAGTGGATCATCTCTCCGGTAACAGCAAACAAAGAGAAACCGCAGAGTCATTTTGAGACACACGGCAGAACGTCATCAGCCAGAGGGCGGGCCCTGTTATGTGTCGTGTACCAATTACACCAAGGATTACATAATCCTAGTTTCCCTCCCGCGAGATTTTCTGTTTTTCGTGCAGCAGTGTTTCTACTCCACAGGGAGCGCTCCCACCACTGTGATAAGTCGAGACAAATAGGGCAACCGAGGGAGTGCGCGTTCCTGTTTTGGCGTATCCAGTTTAGCCCGATGTATTGGCCACGATACACCTCGAAGTGCCACCTGTGTTGTTTTCATGAGCTCCCTCGCCCATTGTTTTACACCGTGTCGAGTGCTGTGCGACGAGTGAACGCACAGCACTCTGCGCAGTGCGCGGGTCTGGTGATAGGAACATGCCTCGAAGGACGGTGTGCGTGGTACGTTAACGCCGGCGTGGGATCCATGATCGCCAGTTCCCAACAGGCACACAACATGTTTACGGGGACATCTAAGCACGGTGGCAGCCAGCAGACTCCAAAGCTGCCGTGTACAGAGGAATGAAGCCTGTCTCGTGAGGGTGCTATCAACAGCAGCAGCGTTTTCCTTGGGAGAGGGGGTGAATTGTGCAACGGTAAAAAGTCCGTCGCCGAGGCAAAATCTGTGCGTGTTTGACACCTCAACGTTTGGTTTGTGGGTTAACGAACAGCGTGGACCAGTGATGCAGTTTTAGAGGGTTTTCCCCTTGTTGTCGTCTGTCCTTTCCAGAAGAGAGAGCGTGTGAGTGATGTCACTGGGCTGAGCACCTCTATGGCACACGCACACGAGCAGCCACCACGATACACAGTGCGTTGTCACTGGAGCCCAAGGGGCACCACCAAATCACGGCTTCCAACGCCAGGCGCGCAATGCCACCAGGCTAACAACCAAGTACATACAAACAGCTTTAGGCTAGCGTAGAAACCTACGCAGAGATAGACACACTGGGACACCTCCCACTTCCTAGACGATCCTAATCCACGTAATTGTACGGTGGCACCCCCCCCCCCCGAGAGAACTCTTCCCACCACCAACGCTGCCCTGAGGAGTCTCACTGTATCAATTATATATTATATATTATAATTATATTATTCCTTTTTGCTTTCTTTTTTTCCCTCGCCCGGCTGGGCTCGTTTGGCATCAAATAAAGTGATCACACACAGGAAACAGAGATAAACCCACACCTCTTACGGTTTTTTTCCTTCATTAGCCCAATCCCCAAACATCACCTTTGGAAACGTATTTAAGGGGGCCGTACAAGGGGGCAAAGGAGAGACAACCGGCTCAAAAAGCACGAGGAGAGCGAGGTGACAACGATAGCGTTGACGCTTTGACAGCAGATTGTATTTGTCCGCTACACAGCTCAGACCGAAAGTAGGTGCACTCATCAACACTGTACACGTGTAATTCCTGGCTTCACAATGCCCAGTAACAGGGCGCCGCCGTTCCTGGAGCTCTCACGGGACACGCTTCAGGACTTTGACACCTCCGGGCTCGATTTGGAGAATGTGCTTGCTGTCTGGACGGGGCTCACGAAGTGCTCGAGCTTCATTAAGAATGGTAAACGGTTGGAGAACATCAGCTGGCGTATTGTCAATAGAAACCTCGTTGTCAAGCAGAACGAGTCGAGCAACAGTGACGTTGTAGAAGCACAGTCGAACTTGGGCAAGACGAGGAACAAGTTGAACGACGGTGATCTGTTTAGCATCTTATCGATAGTCTCGGAACAGGGCGTCAGCTCAACGAGACCACTGCTCACAAAGAGAAGATCAGGAAGTAAGATTTTGACAAAGAAGTCCTTCAATAGAAGCTCCGAGTCTTTGAACAGGCCGTCGTTTTTCCGCAAGACGTCTTCTTCAAAGTCGTTGAAGAAGATGAGTCTGAAGACTCAACAGAAGAGAAACAGCGCATTGGACCTAACCTCCATACCCAATGATACAGACCTCTTTGAACAACCGAATCCTCGCTATGCATTCGGGATATATGAACCTTCTAACGCGCAAAAGGATGAAGCTACATCCAAACCAGGGCTGACGAGGTCTGACACATCAACCAGTGTTGTTAGAGGATTTGTGCCTGGTGCTGCCTCAGAACCTGAAGGTGAAAGTTTGCCTGTTAATCATATTCAGAAATCGAAACAGAGCAGCGCATCAACTACGCCCGTTGAGTCATTATTCAAGCCACCTGCACATCAAACCAAGCCTGAACCTCCAAAGAGCCCCGTCCACACTACAAGTTCTCTATTCAGTAAGCTGGAGCGTGTCAAATCACCGTTGTCGCACGATAGCACTGCAGATGTATTGAACAGTAAAGTACCGGAGTCATTGTTCAATAATAACCACCATTCTAATAAAAAGAAGTCACTGACTAACACAGATAAAGCCCAGGAGGAACATACAAACACTACAACATCATCATTGTTTGACCATGCTGCAAAATTACAGAACGCTGAAATGTCTCAACCAAAACCTCAGTTGAAAAAAAGAGCCACTGTGCTTAATAATTTGGGTATGACATCCCTTTCAAAGCCTCAAGACAAGAAGCATGAAAAGAACATGTTCTTTATAGAATCCTCACCTTCTCCTACCGATTCAAAGTTCCTTGACTCTCATCATCACAACAGTGGTCATGTGCATCATGACAAGAAATCACCTGCGCTGAAACCACAGGGAGATCACAAGTCATTGTTCAGCGGGAATGGAAACCATACGAATCAGAATGGAAAGTCGTCGTTGTTTGAGGGCAAGAAACCTATACGCGAGATTATGTTTTCAAGCGACGATTCGTTTAGCGATGAGAGTGATTGGTCTTCTGTGTCTGAAGATTTGGCATCTGAGGATGAACAGGATATCAATGAACAATGGAAGAGAACGGTGTTCAAGAGAGAAGACAGTAAAGCTCAAAAACCTCAGATCAAAAGGAGTTTATTGAGTGGATTGTTCCTCAATGAAATGCAGTCAGAAGAGGCATATCAACAACGTCCACAACCACCCCTGAAAGCTTCAACAACGTCTGTATCTTCCAAGAACTCATCCGATGGCTATGAAATCCTTAGCACGAGTGCCGCATCTGGAATTGTTGTTAAACACCGTTCAAACCCATTAACAGAGTCTAATAATTTGGAGAGAAATACAGCTGAACCTGTGACCTCGATATCTACTACACATGCCATTGCATCTGGATTGCTTCATGAACCAAACTCTTCTGCAGACCTGAAGACTACACTGGACCAACAGCACCAGCCTTCTTCTTCCTTGTCACATTTGACCAAGAGTGCGTTGCATCTTACAAACTATTTCTCATCGCAGAGGAAAAACTCATTCTCTTCAATTGCATCTGATAGAAGCCGTATGAAGTTCAAACACGAATCTAATGCACCTCCAACGGCTTCCACTTTACTTCCTACTGCGTTGTCTACTCATATGTTCTTACCTAATGCACACCAAAGGGCCAAGTCTCGGCTCACTGCCGTTGCAGAGTCTGAAAGTAATGAGCCTTCGAGGAAGACCTCAACAGATGGTGGAATCCCATCGAAGGATGGCGAGACAGTTGAAACTGAAGATGTTAACGATAAAAATTGTGAAGTACATCCGCAAGACCAAGTTAAAGCTGTGACACCTATCAAATCACCAACAATTCATATTCCAATAGCGGCACAACACCATGAAGATAAGCATAACATTTCGAGAAAACTTTCGCCCAAGACCACTAGAAAGCAAATGCTAGCGACTGAATTGTCAGATTCTCTGAGAAAGTCCATCCTTTGGGACCGACAATACGCATTTACTGGAGATGGAACAAAGAAGTATCTATATGATGTTACAGGGGTTCCAGCTACCACGACGTTAAAGGATGCCAACGAGGGGCCTATTTCAGAGGAGAAGTGGGGTGATAATGGAGCTGATAAGCCAAAAGTGATAAAGAAGGACTTTCAAGTAGATGATGATTGGGATAAGGAGAGCTTCTACACAAGAGGATGGTGAAAAGGGGTTCCAATAATAGACAACGAATCTACTTACCATGGGTTAGCTACATGAATGGTTAAAGTAAAGACCGAAAAACACAAATATTACCCTCATAGCAGTGTATATCCACAGTTACTAATGATACTTATCCAATTTAGCCATTATACATTGTAGCACGCGATGTAACATCGTTATGCCAGGCTCTTAGGTGATTGACGTGATAATTGGACTTTTCCTCTGTTCTATTTACCCGAGTTCCGAGCCGTGAAGTTGACACAGCTCTCTGTTGGTGTTCTGGTTGAGGTCGCAGACTGTCTATAGCACTATCAACGCGAAGCTCCAAGCTGGTTATCCATTATGGAGCCAATTCGGCCGATATCGGCAAGTACGAGTTGTGCTGGAGAATGCACTATTTACGAATGCCATTTGAAGCTTGAGCTGAAGCTGGGCTAAAGAGCTACGACCTTCGTGAAGCATGGCGTCACCCATAATCCGCTGAATCAACTACGAGCTGCCCTCATGAGGAATCCACTCAACACGATCTGTGAAAGCTACTTGTGTTCCACAGCTGAAGAGCTCACAGAGAAGTCGAGATAAGCTGCCAGCACTATCGGAAGGTAGTGAACAGGTGAAGCCGGCCCTGTTGTGCTAAACAGATGGGTCCAAAACGGCTGAATCGATCTTTTGTCTGTCTTTCTGTCTATAACTTCCACGTATTGAACTGATAGTCCTCGAGTTACCGGGACTTCCGTGTAACTCATAGGCCAAAGCCTTTATCTGATAGGCATCAACTTGTATTTGGAGCTATTGGAAGCAGTGTAGATGGTCAATTTGACGTCGTCATGGCTGATTGACACATTGCAGCCAGCTCCACACAGTGCGACAACGCCATAGCCACTAGTTTGCAGTTGTGATTAACGTATCTCTCTTGGCTAGGGGGCAGGGGGTCGGTCTACGCCTCGAGGACCCGTGTGACATGTATGAAACGTACTGTCTTCCTGCTTCATGGGCCTAGTGTGCGCAACTTGGGAGAAACGTTGCTTGAAACTTACAGCCTCCTCCACCTCTAGTTTCCGTTAGCTGTATATGTACATGTCCAGTTAAGCACCGGCATGGGATTCACAGGTTGGTACTATTGTAGATCTTCCGTCCGTACACCCGGACACTCATTGGTTAATGGCTATACCTGTTGAGGGTCGCAACTGTACTACAAGCATCACAGGCCAGTCCGCCACCAGTGTCCATAGCCTGTGCGGGTCATCCTACACAAGCAAAGCACAGCAATTCGTCAACAAGAGCCCCTGACGGCCTACACATGTACACCTCTGGTCCCATCAGAGACCCGAGCCCGCACATCAGGGCTAAGCAGCGCAGGCTCGGCAGATACGTCGCTGGACCAATTGGTCCCTGGAGTACTAAACAAACCAGAGCTTGACGGCGCTCACTTGTTCTCACTTGTTCTCACGCCAGCCCGGCTTGTGCGCCTAAGCTCAAATGTGGGCACTGTGCCCACACATTCCGTTGACACTGCTATGCGCAGCACTGGTTATCTGGCTAACCCCCTCTGGGCTTAAGAAGCCATGTGCGCATCGCGCCAACCCTCCAACCAATGAGCCGGCAGCTAACGGACAGGCCTTCTCAACGGCTAGCGAGCAAAGTAGACATGTACAAGCAGGTTTCCTCAGATACCATCTGTGCTCTCAGTAGGCGGATCCATCTCGTCAGCTGACACTACGCAGCACCACAGCGGATCCCTAGGCGTGAAACACAACCCAGACACCCAAACAGATAAGGACTCCTTTTCGTGCGGAACGCTGACGGGAACTCTATCACCACGCACACAAGAAGCGGACAGCAGCTGAGGAGGGGCGTTTCCCTGGTTAAAGCACTCGAATTATCGCCTTTGGCGAAAATTAGAGTTCAGAAACAGGTGCGGGTAACGGCCCTCGGGATTCTTATCCCTGTGGCGCGTACCGGCCGCGACCAACGCATGATTACATAACATCTTACGTTTCCGCGCGCCCATTGGCCAGCGCGTGAGCTAAATAAGTCCCACAAACCATGGCAGCGAGGGAATGAGCGACAAAAGCGTTTGCACAAGCGCAAAGCACAAGCGCAAGGCTGTTGTGGCCCGTTGTAAATTTTCTAGCTGCTTTTGGGCCGAGATCGTTGTCAGCCAGGCAGCTACGGCAACCCGTTTTAAATACCCAAGGTCCCCTGTTGATTGTGAAGTGCGCTTTTATCAAGAGACACCTTTGAAAGGAGAACAGGGAGGTTTCAAGCTGAGTCTGTTTGCACATCTCCACCGTCAGAGCTACCAGTTAACGAGTGCCCACGGCGATTGCGGTTCTCTATATTAGCCGACATATATAATACCCCTCTCCCTAGAGAACAACGAAGAGGCCAGTGCTGTTGTAAAACGAGTCCTGTGAATCCCTCTCCGATCGTTTTGCTGATTTGACAAAGATACACCTTTCTAGCCACTCCGGTCCTACACACACATCGTGACACAAGCCAGGATGCCAGAGAGCCAGCCTTCAACCAGTTTCATGAACTTCCATTTCGAGAAGAAGCCCGGCGCTGCGTCTCCCCCGTTGGGCAGTTGCTCCCGTGCCCAGTCGCACGGGGTTGATCCTACAGAGACACCAACCATCGACACCAACGACCCTGACGACATGTACCCACCGGAGTCGTTCCAGTCGCCTATAGAGTCGCCACCAGAGTCGTCGCTGATCTTTGAGAGATCCGTCGAGGACCCGAGCCAGATATACCAGCAGACCACTTGTCCAAGATGCGGACACAAGTCGTCCCAAGGTGGGCTAAGCTGCACCCACCACAGTATCGTGAACCTACCATCACACTACTCGGTGGAGAACTTTGTCTCTCCGTGCCTGGACGCCACCACACAGATCCTGACTGACCAGAACGCCGACTTGGAGAACGTTGATATGGTGTACTCTCGCCGCCCTTCCTCAGTGCTGGGGCTGAACATGGCGCTTGGCAGATCCAGAAGCTATGTTGGTGAGCTTCCACAGGCAGAAGTTTCGTCGCCGTCAAAGTCTGGTCCAGTAAAGATACATTCAGCTGCCGATCTACAAGAACTGCCAGAACGTCCGCCAGCTCTGAGCTTTTACTCATATGCTGACATGATTGAGTCCGAGAACCCGAACCCTCGTCGCCCATCGCTGTCGCAGTCCCTGAGCTCGTCATTCTTGAACTCACGCTCGAACTCCATCGCTGTGGGCAACTCGATAACACCACAGCGTACACCAATGAACTTGCGCAACCACAGCTTCTCGTCTCCTTTCAACTTCTCAAAGAGCAGACAGGGAGCCAACGCAAGCTCTACACAGATCTCGAAGAAGTTCACGCTTAATTCAGACACCTCTCCCGGCTCCTCAGACTCCGAGAGTGATTATGTCCACTCCCGCAAGAATTCTATGAGCTCAAGAGCCTCAAAGTTCTCACACAGATTGAAAAAGACGTTATCAACAGCGTCGAATCTACAAAGAACTGACACGAGAGCCTCAAACCAAGACGATGTCAATTCGGTCATCAGTGAAGGTGATAGCCTTGTTATAAGCTCCGTGGGCGAGACCATAAGAAGAAACACTGGTGAAATTAGATCTGGAGTTGTTGTTTAAGCGCTCTAATCGGGTGTTCCTTCTTATGCTTAAGAGCTTGGACTTCTATCTTTCTCTCACCTCTTGATACTTCTTACCCCTTTCCTTTCTCCCTTTTACTGTTTTGTTTTGTCTTTTGTTTCCTATCGGTATTATTGGTTATATGGATCTTCACTGTCCAATGTGGATTCATGGTTTAGATCAACGGAGTGTAATATGTTGATCTTGATCGGTACATTTCTAGTGTTTATATGGCGAATTATTATTTTTATTATTGTTACTACCTTTGAATTCTTGTAGGTGCCTCTAATCATGAACTATATATAGGACTCAATCATTCTGCTAGATAATCCTTTCTGTTGGCTGTCCGCACAAATCTTCTCAAGGCCCATTCAACATCAGCATCTTTATTCTCCAAAGTCCCGAGTCTTAACTCGTACAGTCTCATTTCAAACCTTGGTCCAACCTCTGCAATTTCAACACCGTCTCTTGTCTTGACGTAAACGTGCTGTCTAACACTGATGAAGTCACCATCGTTACTGAATGTGATGACACGAGGACTGTCCTTCTTGACACCTGGAGGAAACATATGCTTTAGAATCGTTTCAACTCTCTTACCGAGCTTACTGGTGAAGTTTTCAAAGATCAAATGGGGATGGGCTTCACTTTGATTGCCGGCACCGACAATGTCATGTCTCAAGACAACATTATGAAGCGTAAAGAATGCAGTTGGTCCATGCGGTAAGTGGGAGATTGTGAGAGACGTTGGTACACCTCTGTGTTCATGTACAATGACCAAGTCCGTGGTGCCTGATGATTGGCAGGCAGACACAAGGTTTGGCATGATATAGTTACCTCTGTTTAAGCGCACTGCTGTTGGAAAGAGTAGCTTGATCTCCTTGGTGAACTGTGCGAGACGGGAAGATGGGTTTCTAGATGTTGTAACGATGATCTTCGGATCAACCAATCCACTGAGCGCGGAGTACTCATCATCAACACTATCTTGTATCGACTCATCAAAGATGAAGTCCTTCTGAAGCGTCTTATCATCGGCCACCTCTTTTGGAAGCGGTTTACCAGACGCTAGAGCAGCCTTCAGCTGCTGGCGTTTTTGGTGTTGAGAGGCCTCTTGCAGTTCGACTGCCTTGCGGTACAGGTATTCACGTCTCTCACGAGCTTGTCTTCTGATCTATAAATGTGAGCTGTTAGTACATATCACCAGCATTTGAAGTCCAATATGATCAAGCTTACCATATCTACTTCTATACGCGCGTTGAGAATGCGTTGTTTACCCGTTGCTTCAAGCAGTGAAAGTGTCTTGTTACCTCTCATTAGAATTTTTTTCGCCTCGGCTCTGTGCAAGCTCATCGCATCCCAGCAATTTGCGCGAAAATTACCAGAGAGGTGTTTTTGATAGAGAGAAGGTATTACCCTACTGTGAGTGCATACAATTCCCAGCAGCGATTGAAGATCTGTGAAAACAATGAAAATAATAAATGGATCTTTGGCCGAGCGGTTTAAGGCGCTCGACTCAAGATCGAGTATCGTAAGATGCATGAGTTCGAATCTCATAGGATCCATTATTTTTTTGCTTTTCCATTCTCACAACGCGTAGGTGTTGGTCACACACAGGGTGACCTTCGTATAACTCTCGATTGAAGAGGGGTTGTTTTTACTCTCAGACCATGATACAATCAATGACCACGCTCTGAGACAAGTGCTTCTGCATAAGATCATCAATGTTTATGAGTGGAGCCCTGCTCAAGGCGATTCATACTCATCTAAGAGCTCTAACTGTGTCGTTTTGGCGCGAGTGCAATAATTTACCCCCAGCGCTGGAGCTCGGACCGTCATATCTCAACATCAATACTGCAAGAGTTTTCGTCAAACCACTGAAGAATACTGTTCATACGTGGACAACACCATGATGGAGGATATGGATAAGGAGCTAGATCGCTTGGTGAACCAATTAAGCACAGTACGTCTTTGTAGATCTCTGTCTTTTGCCTTTCCAGGCAGTTTTCACTAACACCCACTGAAGAAAGAACAAATAGATCGAATTCTCAATGCGCTCACGCTTGACCCGTACTCAATACTCGATCTACCGCATTCGTCCAGTACAGATGCCGTCAAGCAGAAATATAGGGCAATATCAAGACAAATACACCCTGATAAGACGAAATTAGAGGGCGCAGCGAAGGCGTTTGACCTGCTGAAGAAATCAGAAAGTATACTCATGGATCCAGAACAGAGGGAGAAACTGGATGACGTTTACAAGGAAGCTGAGATTCAGAGTCAACAACAGGGACTCGATATCGATGCTGTGTACAAGGAATTGCTCATCAAGGATGAATTCAAGAAACGAATGCATTTGAAAAGGGAAATGGAAAGACAAGGCAACGAGGAGAAGCTCAAGGAAGACTCCATCAAGTTTGCGAAGGAGAAGAAAGCTGCTAATGAGAAATGGGAAGATGAAAGAGACGATAGGGTAAAGAGCTGGCGAGCATACAAGGGTAAGGTCGACAAGAAGAAAACAAAGAAGAAGAAAGTTAAGGTATTGGCGTAACATTACCACTACTGGATTGATATTAAATAAGTATCTATGAGTGTCGAGTCAAACCGATATTTTTATTTGTCAACGGTGCACCTGAATTTGAATACCAGTTTGAACAATCGGGATAAATCTGTATGGTCTGTGATTTCTTTATGTCATGAAGAAGTTGTCAATTAACAAGAGAAAGTAGATAGACGTCTATGAAGTTGGCTTCATTTTCTTCTTGTAATCTGCAAAACTCAACTTCTTAACAGGCTTTTCAGGGAGGATGGATTTCTTTTCTTCAGGAACTTGTGCTTGAACCAAAGGAATTGGCACAGGCAAATACTCGGTCTTTTCAATCTCTGGTGGTGATGGTAATGTACGAGGTCTCTTGGTCAAATAGTGGTAAATATATGGTCGAGCAGAAACTTGTGGCTCACTTGAAGTCTCAGGAGTGGAAATAAGAGGCGTGGCTTCCAATTGAGCCTTTGCTTGTCTGATGTTCGACATCTCCATCTTGGCCAGACGTTCATCAATAGACACATATTTGGCTTCAGGTTGAAGAAGTTTGAGGCCAGAAGTTGAATTACCCTTTCTTGTAGAGCGATAAATATGTGCACTGGCCTTTTTCACTTTGGACAACGCACAATCTGATCCATTGGTTGGACAGGCACATTCTATAAATGTTAGAACTGATTCGACCGAAAGAACAAGGCATGGCTTCTCAGTATCGGCAATGGAGTCAAACGTATTTCCTTCCAGTATGCTCAATATAGGGTGCATGGAGTCCCAATTCCACGGAAGAGTTAATTCAGTTCCAGCTTTGATAGGCTTGATTGCAACAATGAGGAAGTTAAGAGAAGATTCAGTCTGAACCACTCGGAGTTCACAGTTTGGATGACACGAACGACGAATGAAGCGAGCTTCATTACCAGAACTTCTTGCATCCACAACGAGTTTGGTGTTTGGTACAAAGGAAACGTAACCCTTTTCAACACCCCATATCCTGTAGTGATTCCGCGAGTCTGATATGTACTTCTCTTTCAAGCCAACTTCTCCCAAGTACTCTGATACATAGTCACCTTCTTGGATGTCATTTTCTGTGAAGAAGCCCAATTTAACGATCCCGTTAAACTTCTTATTGTTGACTTCACTGTATGGCTTAACGATGGTTCGTGGGAAGTGGTAATTTTCAAGTTTAGAGCCCTTAATGAAAGCGAATCCGTTATCCTCTTTGGTCAACAAAGACTGAATATAGCGATACGCATCATTGTCTTGATAATCGTAGTTTTCGAGCTTGTAGTACAATGCATCTGGTAAATCTTTTGCTGGTGGAGTAGCAATATCAGATTCATCAAGGTTCTTGTTGTAAGCAGTTACAGGCTTAGGCTTTGGTTTTGACGTTTTCTCCTCCTTAGTGCTATCCGATGATTTCTCAACAACGGAACCATCATCAGTCGTTTGTTTATTCTTCTTCTTCTTGAGTTCAGCCAGCCGTTTACCCTGTATTGCTCTTGCTCTTTTTTGATCAATCTGCTTCGGTTCACATTTGTAACAGAGGTACTTCTCAGGTGCGTCATTGATGTCCTCGATACCCATGCAAATAGCATGTTGCCATCTATTACAGTTGTCACATTGAATTGTGAACCCATCATCCTCGTCATATCCACATACACAAGTGATGATACCGGCATCGGGATCTACTACCCAGTCCTTAGAAGCCTGAGGTGTAGTATTTCTTTTTCGTCTCTTTGGCCTGGAATGAGTTTCTTCTTCCCTTTCAGCTTCTGTTTCGTTGAACTCCTTCTCATCTGCAGTAGTTGCATTTTCATCAATATCCATAGCATCGAGCTTGTTAGGTTCTGATGACTGCTCCTCTGTATCTGTATCTTCACTTTTCTGTTTCGAGGGAACTTCCTTACGAACTTGCGCAGTTTGTTCCCTTAATGCATCAATGTGATCCTTTGAAAGTTGTTCCTTTACTGTTTCATTGATGGCTTCAGACTCAGTTTTTGATTTCTCCTCGATGGTGGCTCTTAGGGCACGATCAACAGACCCTGATCTGTTTGCCAGAGGTAAGGGTATACCAGCAGCAGCGGCCAAAGCAGCGGCGGCCACAATCGCCTTTTGAGATTTATTAGTTTCGGAGTCTTGCTCAGACAGAGTGGCAATCGCAGGGCCTGGTGATGTTATGTGTCCTCTCCGTACTGTACTGTGAGAAGTCACAGCAGCAGAAGAAGAAGAAACAAGTACTGGCTGAACCGCAGTTGGTGATGGGGACGTCTTGATCTCCGTATGTGGTAACAAGTTCCCCACTTGTTCAGTATTGGTAGAATCAGCAGGAGCAGCAGCGGCAGAAGCAGAGGTTGATGGCATTATCACCACTGAAGGTTGTTCAATAGGGGACGATGTTGAACCTTGTACTGTTGTTCCAGTGCCCTGTTCCGCAGCTGGCAGTGACTTTTGATGTTGTGTCTCGGAAGGAGACTTGTGAGATTCAACAGCTGCACTGTGAAACATGAGCAGCGTAGACGCATCCTCTAGTAGAGAAGCATTGGTTTCAAGCTCTTGTGATTGTGTTCTTTCACCTTCACTAGCCATTGTGCAAGGGTATAAAGCGCTCTTCTTAAACACTGGAGGCGAACAAGACACAAATAAAGCAGGCAGGAAAAATACTAACAAACTCTGGTGAAATGATCCACGATTTAAGAGATCAACAATGAAGCAAAGGTTGTGTGATCTTAAACGACTAATCAACCCACTTATTTCACACAGAAAAGCGAACACACCTGCTTTTTTTGGAGGGGGTCTGACCTTCTCTCGCCTGCAATTTTGTGATGTTGTGTTTATAAATTTCAAACATGCTCGTTTGGTCGTTTGTTCGTTTGGGTTGAATTAACCCGAACATTTTCACCTGTCTCTGCGGTTTCCCGCATTTTAGGTGGTACGGTTACCTAGACAACGTCGTTTATTAAGAAACGAGCGGAAAGGCGAAGGAAAAAGTTAGCGTGCGAATGAAACGGCGGAAAAGGTGTTTGACCGCCTTTGTTCCTGGGGAAACTAAACGAGACGTTTTATTGCTGAAGTTCGGCAATTTACCGGTAGTTTACAGGAAATTTACCGGTAGTTCACAGGCAATTCATGGTTACTTATTTGGCTTCCGATTGCTAATGGGAACTGCTAAACATTACAGGCGGGCACTTTGTAGTGGAATTGACCCAAGATCACGGCCTATGATCAGTCGCATGTATGATTTGTAAAGTGATATTAAACTATTGTTACCTCTGCCCCTCTACAAGAGCGCACAGTAACCAAGAAATTCTTTCCATAGGGTAAAACCTCCAGCACGAACAATAACAACAGCACCTTTCTCAATTCCGACGAAAATTATCAGAACCTGTGTTCGCGTTCCAAATGGGAAGGGCCGCGTTACCCTACCGCTGAGTTTTTTTCCCTTTCACTCCCAGCTCCGATTTTCTTCTTCGATGATGTTCCAGTAGTTTTCTACGCTAGTTGGAAAGAGTTCATTTTGGTACCAAGTCAAATTTGCACAATCAACTCATCTAAACGTTCTTGACCCCCCAAACACAATACAATTATGGTATGTATCTATGCGCTCGATGCCTGAGATTCAGGCGATGTCAACTACTGTCAGTACTAACGCCGAGTTCATAGGCTCACAGACTCATAGTTCAAGTGCTATTCACAGGTGCTAAGGTTTTTGGAACTGCGTTCACCACTGCCTACCGTCAGGCCGCCACACAAACTGCTAAACAGTCTGCTACCCAGGCAAACAGAGCGCGTGACACCGGCATAACATTAGACGAAAGTGCAAAGATTCTGGATGTCGACCTGAAGAACACCACTTTGGAGCAGGTTGAAGAGAGATATCAAAAGATGTTTGATATCAACTCCAAAGAGAAAGCAGACTCGTTCTACCTTCAGTCAAAGATCTACTGGGCTGCTGAAAGACTAAAAAGTGAGTTCAAAGCACAGGAAGCGGAACGAGCCGCTGGCGAAGGAGGAGAAGGGAAAGACGCCGCCAGTTCTGAAGCGCCGCCTAAACAGTGATGTGCGTTGGAAGTTGCCGGCTCATCAAAGGTCTGAACAACGGCTCGCATCAACAATTCGTGTATATATGCCCGTATAGGAGAAACAATAATGCCACAAGTACTACAGTGTAGAAAGTTGCTGAACTTCATCACCCATTTGCTTGCAATTTATATACGGAATATGTAAATTATGTACAAAAGAGAAGAGGAATATCGCGCCATGGTAATGGGACAACTCACTATTGCTGACATATTACACGCCAACCGAGGATGTCAAATCTCTAACCATCTCATAACGCTAATCAATCTAAGAAACCGAAACGAAATCTTCCCTGTGACAACCCTGTTAAGAAAGTCAGGAATATGAAGATTTAGCTGATACGTACGAGGAACCGATGTATCCAATAACGAACACCAGTACCCGCACTAGGTTTCTAGGAGGATCAATGAAGATCCCCCATAGTGTATATTGTTATATATCTTATTGAGATAGTATAACCACTACTGATGATGAAGAACTAGAAATAACAAGAAAGCGTTTTCGACAGAAAACGAAGGGCGGCGGCGATCCCTTTTATACTTCCGCGCTGAGATGCGAAAAGACAGAAAATTTTTCCTTCATCTGTTGCTGTAGTTACCCTCCTTTGATCCAAACGTTAGGGCTTGCATATATCAACCACATCTCTTTTGGTTTACACTTTGGTAATGTTTGAGGCTCTTCTCTTGTTGTTTGGGCTATACAGGATATATGTAGATATGTATATAAGCGATGAACTAGAAGTGTACAAAGTCTGCGTTGATTTCTAGATCGTCGTCCTGATCAAGGTGGCTTGTGGTGCCGTCATCATCAGAGTCGGTATCTGAAACAATTTCCTCCTCATGTGCCGTTTCTTCTATTATAAGCCTTGGATCGTTATGGATATCTGTCAAGTTTGTCAAGTCAGGCAGCTGGAAGTCCTTTGGATCCAACGTTTGAAGCTCCAGCTTGGCTTGGACGTTATCCTGAGTCCGGTGGCTCAGTCTGCAGTTCTTCCCTCTAGGACAAGCTTGACCCAGTTGTGTATCTGGACATTCATGAACGTGTCTAAATTTACACTTGGATCCTCTGAAGCAGTACCCACCAATTGCGAATGGTCGACAGACAAGTTGGTGTTCTGGGCTAACGTGTAAGAACATACAGTGTTCGTTTTTACAGTATCCCTGTTGGTAGAAATGGCACAATGGAACGTTAAACTCAGTGGGCTCATGAGAAAGCGAGCACTTCTCCAAAGTACAGCCTCCTTTGATCAATCTAGGGCATAACATCACTTTGGCCTTATTATGGGCTTGCTTGCACTTATCACCTTTACCACAATAGCCAGTCTTTTCGAAGAAACGACATTGCTGTTGTAAAAACACCCTTTGGCCCAACAATCTATAGGTCCCCGCTGTATTTCTCTCATATTGGTATCCATTCCATTCAGTCGTGGTTTTCTTCTTTGGAATGATACCATTACGGTGTTCTTGGTCAAATGGGACTTCAAGTGGACGGAGTTTCGCACCGTACATGGTTATTGCGTATAAGACGTGATTGATGTAGCACCAATCACAGTTATCGAGGCTGGCCCGGTTCTTCTTGGCCTTCAATTCGTACTTCCGTTCTTCAATCAACACTTTCTTATCTTCCAACGCCTTTTGCTTCTGCTCTTTTGTCAAGTTCTTCTCCTTAAGTTCCTTCTCGTATAATTTTCTACTCACCAGCTTGTTCCCATTGGACGTCATCACCGAGACATAATCAGAATCCGGATCAGGTTGTTGTTGAACCACAAGCGTTCTATTCCTTATGGGGAACCCTCCTCTCCCTCTTCCTCTTCCACGACCAAATACGCCTCTATAACTCCCTCTCCCTCTACTATGATGGGTTGCTGGATATGGCTGGTTGTTATGATTCACAATGCTTTTGTTTGTGCGGTAATTGGAGATAGACCCTTGAATAGCATGAACACATTAGAAAAATCCGTTTATAGAAGCTAGATGAACACCAAAGCACTCACCTCTAAGTCTTGCAATCTCCTCTAATAGATCAGACCCCATATTTCTATGATTCTTGACTGATTTACAAATCGTGATGTTTTGGGTAGGGCTCTGTTTATTAGTTTTTCTTTTGTTTATTTGCGTCGCTACAGCAGCAAGTTTTGTACTACACAAAAAACATCAAAAATTACTAAAACGTGAACGTGATCTATGTTCCTTAATTAGATTGAGGTCAGGAAATGTCATTCAAAGTATCTCATTAATGCAATTGTTCTCCAAAATTTTTGTTCTGTCTCTCTCTCTCCTTGTGTGTCAGTGTCTACTCCGAGATCTTAACGTAGGAAGTAGTTGTGCGTACCCTGATGAGCTCTGTAATTATCGCCGTCGGCCTTGAAGTCCCATTTGATTTCAATATCGAGTTCTCGTGGGTTCACAGCGTTTGGACGGTTAGCCAAGCTGATTTCCAATGACTCACCTCTCTTGATATCGAGGATGTCATCCAAGTAAAAGACGGTCTGCTTCCAGTGAGTGTACTTTGCGTGTGGCCCTGTTGAGAAGTACACTTCGTGTTTGGCATCGGTTCCTGGGAACCAAATATCAAACCAAGCAACAAGGCCGTGGATGGTATCGTCTCTGATTGCCTTCAAGGTGAACTTGTTGAAAAAGGCCAAGTCTTCCAATTTAACCGTGTTGATGTCGATTTCAACAAGAGTGCCGGACGTTGTAACGACCGCGCTGTTCTCCACAGTATCAACCAAAGGCTCGGCTTTGGCGATCTCAATGAATGGAGAGTAATCAAAGCCGTACACGTTCTCCCAGTAATCAAGCTTACTGCTTCTGTACTCACCATCTTCAATTCCTGCAATGTGCATGGTGGCCCTATCTGGGAAGATCAATCCACCTTTCTTCAAGTAGTGATCTCTAGCCCAGAGCACAGTATCGAGCATGCTCTCGTACAGGAGGAAGTAGCCCATCCACTCACTGATGATGATGTCAACCTCCTTGTATGGCAACACAACATCTTCCAACTTACCTCTAACGAGGGTGATCTTATCGCTGAATCCATTGAGGTCGACAATCTTCTGTGCCATTTCAATGATGTTTGACATGTCAACAGCGATCACGTGCTTAGCACCAGCTTGAGCGGCAAACATGGACAAGATACCAGTACCACAGCCAACATCGAGAACAACCTTGTCTCTGAAGAGATCCTTGTTCTTCAAGATAGCATTACGATAACTCAAAGTACGTACTTCATCTTTGAGCATCTCTTCATGAATACCAAAGTGGTCGTACGAGGAAAAGTAGTGTTGTTCGCTGAAAGGAAGCGACTCTTTGTCAGTAGCAGATTTAGTAACGTCGGACATGGTAGGTCGATGGCTGTATGAGTAAAGTAGAGTGTTGTTAGGAATGTCTACAATGTTGTTTTGTGGTTTCTTATTTGGGCGCCGTGAAAGTTTTTCCTCGTGTGTTCTGTACCGATGAGCTCACCACAGTCCTTCGCCTAACAACAACATGGTTCAACAAGAGTAGAATTCATGCAGAAAAAGGTTGTTATAACACTATATCTCTTCTTGTGATGCCTGTGCAAACTCAGTTGCAAAGAGCAAACAATCTTCTCATCCGTTTGTAGTTTACATCCTGGACCTCTGGCACTCGCGGACTTCTTGACGGGATCTGCCAGCCAAAAATGGTGGCCTAAAAACGGCAGCTGCCGAAAACCCTTGAAAAGTCCAATTGTGACAAACCGTCCTAATAATCCCGGTGCGATGTTGCGCAATGGTCCGTTACATGGTCTATTCCACGATCTTCGAGTGTAGTGAAAAGATACGGGGCTAATGGTCAATATGTTTATACACATTAGAGTCCGGAACCATCTGTTCTATCAGTTTGAGGCGGATCCCATTTGCAGATACCGAAAGTCCGCCCAGTGCTGGATGTTGTGGTAGCAGCCGAGAGGAAAACATGGTGCACACACGCCAACGGAGAGTCGCCTCAAGAATTTGGGCAGTATACATTGATTTGGAGGGGGGGGGGTTAGTTAGTTAGTTAGGTGTAGTAATATGGACAATAGCAGCAGCGATTCACAGCAAGTGTTACATATGGGGAAATTGAGCCCGCCCTTATGTGTTATGTCATGGTCTCAGATCGTGGCACCCCACGCTTTTTTTGCAGTTTAGGAAAAAAATAAAAACGGGCTGCATCACACCTCTGCAAACTCGCAATCCCGAGTACACGTTATGTGCTGTGTCTATGCGTATACTACAGGGAGCTAAACGCCGAACTACAACTTGTGTCGAGTAGTTATGACGTTCTGTAGTATTCAGAGTTGAAGATATGTGTATTTCATTTAACCTGCAGGATTGGAAGAAACTGGCCAACTATGAGCATTGGAATATCAAACACGTCTCTTTTGACAGTCCATGTAGATGCGCACCTGATTTGCTCACCGTTGGGGCTCATCAACGTGCACTCGGTGATGATGACACCGTTCAAGTCTCCAAACGCAACAGAGCTAAAGAGCCTGAAATAGTCCAAAGCACTGGAGTCATTCATCAGCTCAATTATGAATGTTCTCTTGGAGAGCAACTCAGTCTTTGTGTGTGAAGTCAGGGATGAAAACTCAGTGCTCACTGCGACAACCTCTCCGGTACGCCTCCACATGATCGTAGGACTCGAACTGAGAGAGGACATGGATTCATACTCTAGCAAGGATCTCTGGAATGACCTCTCTGCAAACAAGAGGTCCATCTCCACTAGCGATCTCGTAGCAGCAATAAAACTAGGACGGTATGCAGCCATTGTTTCTGCGATTTGAATTAGTTGGTTCTTGTTGAATCTCTTTCTGAGGTAGTCCAACAATGCATGGTATGCCTTTGGGTAGTTATAAGGTTGTAAATTGGACGTGTATACTTCCTCTGGAGACTTGATCAAGTGTCTCAATATGAGTGGTGAGGTGTAGTCTGGACCATCAGACGCAAGCATGATGTTTGGCAGCATGTTATTAGTGTTTGTTGAATTATCAGAGAGTGAGATGTAAGGTCTTGTGTTGTTATCTGTTTGGAAAGATGTTTGGAACTCAGTATTGTAGATCACAGAGCTTTGGCTTGGTGATTTAGCACTGTTATTGTCTAACAAATCCGCCAACTGCGCATACTCCTGGTTAGCAAAGAGAGATGAAAAGACATCCGGCGAGTCCACCGTGCTTGTGTTTCTATGTTGTTGGCTGTGGTGATGGTGCTCTTGCTGTGACTGTGGTGTCTGATGTTGCTGATGGTAGTTCTGATTATCCTGTGAAGGGTTACGCTGCGGCAGTATACTCTGTTTTCCAACGCCCAGCTGTTGTGTATGAGTGTGACCCTCGGTACGAGTCTCACTTCGACTGTCATTAAGACCCTGACTGCTGTCCTTACTCTGCGTATGGGTCTCGTTCTCATTTTTGTTTCTATCTTGAATTGAGTGGCGGATCGGTTTAGCCATTGAAGGGCTTTCACTAAGATCAGACGCTGGATTTAAAGGCGAGTGGCCTAGCGCGTGGTGGAAAGGTACACACAACTCTGGAAACATCAGCTGTCCCGAAACATCGGGCTGGGTAGTCCTCACTGCCGCCGGTGTTAAACCTGCCAACGACGTTGATGTAGCAGAGCTCTGAGACTCAGTCCTGGCAACAGGTGAAGCTTGACCTGCCTCGGCCTTAGCCTTTCTAACTCTCTGTAACTTCTTTGCCTCTGTAAGATACTTGGCTCTTTTCCTTTCAACATCTTGACATGAATCTGCAACTCCTCTCTTAACACAGTTCTTACACGGCCTTCCAGGATCACACTGTAGGTGCTTTTTATGACAGAACGTGCATGCCCTACCTATAGGTTTCCTGTTGTTCTTTTCGTGCGCCGGTAGTTTCTTTGTCATTATTGATACAATGGTTGAGATAAAGCGTTGAGATAAAGCGTCACGAGTGTATATGTGTGGCTGATTAGCTAGTCGCTTGTTATGTTAATGGGACCTGTTTATTGATCTCCTTAAGACTGGGACAAGACAACAACAACAACAACAACAGCAGCAGCAGCAGCAGCAACAGATGCTGAAATCTGAAAGGTTGTTAACACAAAAAGGAACTCCAAACACGGAAAACACACAGAGATACGATGGAGATCAAATAAATAGCGTAGTTCCCCTTGAATGATAGGATGAGTGCAACGTGACAATACGCAATCACCTATCAATTGAACAGGTTAAGGGAAACAACACGAACTATGGGGTAAAGGACGTTATGTTGGTGGGAAAACAGAGGAAACAACCCCACCTTCTTGTTTGATTTTTTTTTTGTTTTCCTCTGTGGGCTTTGCGTGAACAAACAAAACCGAAGGAACAAAGACAAAAAAGCACAGGAGCTTAGAACAGCCTTCGAAGCTGGGAGCAGCACCAAGAGAAAGCGAAAAGGGAAAAACGAGGGAACGAAAATTCATGGGGTACATAATGTTGCGCTTACCAGGAAATGTATTTGAGGATTACGTAATTAAACAATGATGGTGGGTGTTCAGGTGTCCATCTGAACTCTAAAACGGATTCAATCAAAGAACTCAAACCAATGTGGCTCCGCGTAGTAGACGCATGTAACGGCAAAGATGGCAATCAGCTGGAAGATGCTGGGTGGGAGGAAAGTGATGGCACCTAGGATCCATACGTAGAGCGCAGGTAGCTCGTAGTACTTTCTCAAGATGAAGAAAACCGGCAGCTTCCACAGCATCATCAGGTTTTCCCACGAGTATCTCTGGTATCTGGACTTGAAGAGTCTCAGCATGGTCTTTTCAATCTCCTGGGTCATCACTTTTCTGGAGAACTTGGACTTGACCCTCTCCATACCATTCTGCGAGACTTTGGCCTTGTTGAGGCTTAACGATTCTCCAATTCTCTTACTCCAAACATCGGAATCACTTGGTTCTAGCCAACCAGTACCGAGTTCCGGAGGTTTGTCCAATGGGACAACGGTCTCTGTTGGACCACCGTTGTTGACAGCCAAGACTGGTGTGCCTAGTTTCATGGCTTCAAGTGGCACAATTCCAAAGTGCTCCAGAGATGGCGTGTACAACAACAGTTCCGCTTTGGATAATAAATAGTCCTTGTAATTTGATGGAACTGAGGGTAAGAATAGCACATCGTATTCAACATCAACCGGTTCCTCCACTAGTTCTGAATACGTCTTTTGAAACAGCGTGTAAAATTTCAACCCCGATTGCTCAACGAGTTTCTCCAAATGAACCAAATATGTCTTGTTCTCTTCGACGAGATTATCGTAGCCTCCTGCAATGACCAATTTGACACCTTTCTGCTCTGTACCCATTGCGAACTTTGCATATGATTCAATAGCCAATTCAACGTTCTTCTTAACTTCGAATCTGTTAACACTCAGGACGAACTTATCATCTCCCATAACGTTCTTATGAAGAGTTTTAACTTCTTGATTGAACTCTGGTTCTGTGAGATCGACACAGGGGTAAATTGTCCCTGGGGGTTTAACATCTTTCAAGAAGGAGAACGTATCATCGTACACCGATTTCGTGAAGTTTGAGTTAACAACAACGGCATCAGCAGCACTCATAGAGAATTGTTCATACAGATCAAAAGGTAAACGGTACAATTTTCTCAAGAGAGAGTCGTGTCTTGCGAGTTTCTGATCCGGAAAATGACAATAGAACATGATTCTTGCACGTGAGTCGTGGAACATGTGTAGCAGAGGTAAACAGAAACTCAGCTGATCCACAATAAAGAAGTCGTACTCGGAGATTTCACCATTGATAACTAGCATCATCAACAGGAACAGCTGTCTCAACGAGGCAAACACGATCTTGAATCTGCCGCAGAACGAGGTTGGCAAGAAGTCCCCGTACACTTGAGCTTTCACCTCATCTTTAGAGATTTCTTCAAAACAGTGTGTCTTATCACAATGCGATGTGAATATTTTCACCTTGTGCCCTTCTTCTTGAAGACCAACGGCAGCATCAACAATGAGTCTTTCAGCACCACCTAAGCCCCTGTGTTAGTCACTTGTTCCTGGAACACTCAGACATGAGCTCCATACATACCGATTCCCAAGTCTGGGTGGATAAAGGCAATTTTCATCTCGTCAAAACCCTCTTCTTCGTACTGTTTTGGCTAATGTGCGTCTCAAATAGTCGACAGGACGAAATGGGAATGTTACACGCCTTTTTATACCTCACAAGAGTATCAAATAAGTGGAAGAGCAGAAAACACAAAACGGTGCACACAGATCACCCAAACGTCTTGTGGGCTCTTTATACGGTTGAAGGGTAGAACTGGAAATCTAATTGAAGCCCACGTTTATGCCAAGCGGTTGGTGGTGATTTCTTGTTTGAAACGCACAGTGTAGGCAGAGCGGGCTGGGCTGGGCAGTCGCGCGCGAGCAGTGGGCCCCAGAAGAGAAATTTGTGCGCTCGTGTGAAACAAGGCCGTCTGTACGGGCAGAGCTGATGAAGTAGTTACTGGTCTATTGTGAACTTTAGGAGTAACACACGGTAGACATGGCGAGTAAGGACGAATTGGTGAAGGAGCTCGGGGAGATGCTCCCTCTTGACGAGGAGTCTTTGGTACAGATTGTTGATAACGCTCTGAAATTACCCAGTATTGGTGCCATAAACGAATACTGGTTAGGGTTGCTAGGCGAGTCACCAGCTGCTTTGGAGTTCATGACCAAATTCAACTCCCAAGGTGCAACGGAGAAGGCGGTAGAGAAGCCAAAGCACAGTCAAACACCACCACGGAGGGAACAGAGACCGAAGCAACAGGTTGCGGCGAATGTTTGGAGTCCCAATGTTAGTGCGCCAGGAAATGCACAGAAGACTCAACCAAGGTTGACCAACAAGGCTTCCAGTACCACAACATCACAGTTATTGGATAAGAAACCAGCTAGCAGGGGAAAGACGAATGCAAGGAAGGAGAAGGAGAGGAAAGTGGACAACCTGAAGGATCTGGAAGCGGTTTTGAACCAGCTAGAAACCGAGTCTTCAAAGGATATGTATTCAGCGTGCGGTTGTATGGCCACAAGACATCCGCTCTTTGAAGTTGTGCCTAACTGTTTGAACTGTGGTAAGATCATCTGTGTTAAAGAAGGATTGAGACCTTGTAGCTTTTGTGGGAAGGAGCTGATTAGCGCCGATGAAAAGGCAAAGATCATCCAACTCTTGGAGTCTGAAAGGTCCCAACTCGAAACTTCTGAAACTGGCATGAAACACAACAGTGGTGATAAGAAGAAGAAACCAACTGTGACACTACACTCTGGTGCTGGTGTTAATCTATGGAAACAACAAGATGCCTTATTCAAGAAGCTAGATGAACAAAAGGCACAGAGGGACCTTGAGCAGAAGCGAAAAGTTGAAGAGGCACAGCAGGTGAAGCAACAGGATAAGGAGTTACAATTCTATGCCCATCAAAGAGATATGGATGAGGACCTTATGAAGGCCAAGTCCAATCTCGAGAATTTGCTGAATTTCCAGGCGAATTCTGCAGAGCGTACGAGGATTATCGACCAAGCTTCTGATTACGAATTACCAACGGGTTCCAATTTGAATATGTGGTCTAGCAGCGTTGAAAAGGCCCTCCAGTTAAAGAAACAACAGCGACAACTAAGGAAACAGGAGAAACGAGAGAATGAACTAAAAGGACGCGGGAAGAAAGTTATGAATATAACGATTGGTAAAGATGGTAAGGCAACCATGCGTGAAGTCCAATCAACCGAGGTTATCGACAGCGAAGATGAAGAGGAACAGGAGCAAATTGATCAACTGGAGAAGGAGATTGCAAAAACCAAAGCCAGCAAAGCTGAAGATGATTTCAAAACTGTCTGGGACTTCCAGAAGGACCAGGACAAGTGGGAAAAACCTGTGTACGTTGGCCATGGTGAACCTGCTGCAATGGACAACTTCGAGATACCATCGAACAAATGGGGCAGAGTACAATCCACAGTTGACAACAACAACGACGAAGAGATTGACCAATTGGTGACAGTCATATAAGCGAGCTTCCACGTCTAATATAGCCTACTCGGTTCCTTGAACCTGCTCCATAACACAAGCTGTGTAGATCATTTCCATATTGTATAACAATATGTATATAGGCTCATCACCTTGGAACCAGTGCCAAACGCTCATAACCCTGAAATTAACACCAACGCTCATAACCCAGTATCGGTCGGGGCAGCATCTCATCAACCGGGGAATTTTTTTTTCTGTCTTTTCTTTTTTTTGTCCCTTTTTTGTGTAAGCGAATCGGGCGTTGGACATTTGTAAACATTCAAACTCGAGCAGTCTCTCCATATAAAAGACGACAAAGCTTTGGTCTTGAACACTGTTTTTTCCCTATATTCTTCCCAAGAAAAGATGCCGTCTGCTATTCTGGTTCCTCTAGCTGTTGCTATTTACTATGCTGCTGGTGGTCGTCTGTCCATAGCGTTAGCTATTGGTGTTATTGGCTATATTGTGATCTATGAGAGTAAGAAGTTGAAGGGTACAACTGGTCAGAAGACAGTTACAAACTCTGAGAATGAGCACAACCACGAGCATACGCATACACATAAGCACAAGCACAAGGAAGGAGGGTGCGGTAAGCTGTGTACGTGTAAGAATAAAGGGTTGAAGCCTAAGAAGACGTTGTCCGCCTTGAAGAACAAGAAGGGATTTGGACAAAAGAAGGCGGCGAATGGGTCAGAGAAGGATATGGCTGTTGACTTCACGTCGACGTTTGCGAGGCCAACAAAAGTGAGTTCAGCAGATAGAGAGGAGCCGGCTAAGAAGAAGAGAGTTCCCAAGATCATCAAGTCCAAAGGTGCCACTAGAGGTATCCCAAAGACAACATGGACAAAGGCCCCAACTTCTCTGTTGGATTCCAATATCATTATCTTTTACTCGTCGTTGACAGGCGCTTCACAAAGATCGTCACAGTACCTGTACGATAACTTATGTGCGATTGGAGACTTGAAGAACAAACCACAATTGTTGAACTTGGATGAAGTTGCAGATTTAGACGACTATTTCATCAAAACCCCAGATTTGGAAAATTTGGTTTACTGCTTGGTCTTGCCTTCATATGACGTTGATTCTCCGATAGATTACTTCCTGGAGACTTTAGAGGATACATATCAGGATTTCAGAATCGATAAGTATCCGTTGAAGAAGCTGATGGGGTTCACAGTTCTTGGATTAGGTGATTCTGAATCTTGGCCCGAAAAATTCTGCTACCAAGCTAAGAAGACAGACTATTGGCTAGGTAAACTAGGGGGTAGAAGAATCTTCCCAGTTGGTGAGATTTGTATGAAAACCGGGGGTGACTTGAAAGTTCATGAATGGATATCACTATTCACCGATGCTTTGAAGGATGATGAACCAATTCTGTACGAATACATTGACTCTGATAATGAAGAAGACAGCGATAATTCAGAAGCAAGTGAAAAGAGTCAGGACACTTTGGTTGACGTCGAAGATATGGGTAAAATGATGAGTTCTTCTAAAGAACCTGAAACCACTTCTGAAACTAAGCAGATGGTTGCAAAGAACTCTCCTACATATAAAAGTTTGACCAAGCAGGGATACACAGTTGTTGGTTCACATTCTGGTGTCAAGATTTGTAGATGGACCAAATCAGCTCTTAGGGGAAGAGGTTCGTGTTACAAATTTGCATTTTATGGTATCAGATCTCATTTGTGTATGGAAACAACGCCATCACTTTCATGTTCAAACAAGTGTGTATTTTGTTGGAGACATGGAACAAACCCAGTCGGAACTAATTGGAGATGGCAAGTTGACGAACCTGACGTCATCTTGGAAGGTGCTCTCGCTGGCCATTATGCAAAGATTAAGCAGATGAGAGGTGTTCCTGGTGTCGTGGCTGAAAGATTTGCAGAAGCATTCAGGGTTCGTCATTGTGCTCTATCATTGGTTGGTGAACCAATCTTTTACCCTCATATCAACGAATTCTTATCGATGTTACATGAAAAGGAGATCTCCAGTTTCTTGGTGTGCAATGCCCAGCATCCTGATCAGCTTGAAAAGCTCACTCAAGTCACTCAACTTTACGTTTCTATTGATGCTTCTACAAAATCAGAGCTAAAGAAAGTGGATAGACCATTATTCAGGGACTACTGGGAAAGGCTGATGAGATGTCTTGATATTCTTCGTACAACTCAGTCGCATCAGAGAACCGTATTTAGGTTGACCTTGGTTAAGGGATTCAACATGGGTGATGTTTCTGGGTATGCGGATTTTGTTGAAAAAGCAGCTCCAGCACTTATAGAGATTAAAGGTGCTACATTCTGTGGTTCATCAGCAGGGAACGGTAATCCATTGACTATGCAAAACATACCATTCTACGAGGAATGTCAGAAATTCGTTGTAAGCTTGAACGAGGAACTCAACAGAAGAGGGTTGGGCTATGGTATCGCTGCAGAACATGCACATTCTTGTTGCATCTTAATGGCATCTAATCAATTCAAGATCGACGGTGAATGGCACACCCATATTGATTACCCTAGGTACTTTGAACTGCTTAGAAGTGGTAAACCTTTTGATAAACTGGATTATATATCCAAGACGCCTGATTGGGCCCTTTGGGGGAGTGAAAGTGCAGGGTTTAATCCTGAAGATACTAGAGTTAGAAAGAAGGGTAAGTATAAGAAGCTAACAACCTAATTTATAACATTTTAATGCATATATAAAAACTTTTTTTGGTAAACTAATCCAAATATCTGTCTAATGGTTCCCCAAGGACGTCTTCAATGACCTTGACAAGACCTGAACGTGTTTCTAATTCAACATCTTCGTCATCGTCTTCAAGAAGTTCAGCGATGATAGGAACAATCTGTGGAAGAAGTGGTAACCACTGGTCACCAACCTTTTGATAGACACTTTTGAGAGCCTTAGTAGCCCAATATCTTTCTCTAGGTTTACAATCACCCTTCATATGTGATAAGAACAGGGTGTTCAGTGCTCTATTATGCTCATCAGATGAAGCGTTTCGAGCCAGGGCAGTGATTGCTTTCACCAAATACTTTCCAATACCATCTTCAATGGTCACTAGTTGATCCATCAAAGCTTCAGAGACAATATCAAATCTAGCCTGTGCTTGCCAGTATTCATCCTGATCGTACTTTATCGATGAAGTCAAGGAATGCAAAACAATACGACGCAAGTTGATATCCACAATATTCTTCTGTGCCAATCTCTTGAGAAGTGATACCGTTTGTTCCAAAAAGTAACTGTAGTAGGACGTCACGATAGATTTCAGGTTTTCTTGCAACTTATTGAAGAACTTGAAGAAAGAAGTCAATCTTTCTGTTTCAGTGATCTTGGAATAAGTAACACCTTCACCATCAAAGGCCCAACGGACTAAAATAGCAAAAAGTGGTCTGAAGGTCTTATCGTTCAACTTCATCACATATTTATTAGCAATGGAGTGGAAGGAAGCCTCAATTCTATGAATTGCATTATTGTCAAAGCTACTCTGACATCTGAATTCAAACAATTGAACAAGAAGCTTGAAGAATCTTGGTGCCTGTGTAGTTGCAGTTTTCTTGTCGATTGTGTCAACTGTTGAGTCAAGTGCGTTGAGGTACAGGCCAACAGAAGAAGCATCCAGCTTGCTGGAAGATGGCCACAAGTTCACAAGAGCTTTCAACACTGCCATATGGTCCATGTTTTCAACAATCAGTTGAATAATAGAAGATCTGATGTTATCAGACACATCGGCAGCGGTGAATACAGCATTGAGGATATCTTGTAAGCTTGTTGTAACAAATGCAGGAATACGCTTAACAAAACTAGACAGCAAAAGAAGAACAGAAAGCTGAAGAGTTCCTCTTGATTCATCATCCTCCATCGATTTAGATTCCTCGAAAATCTTCAGGGATGGTGGTATGATCTTTGGATAGTAAGAAATGGTCTTGACACCTAGAACAGTAACGATGTTGGAGATCAAAGTCATAGAGGAAACAACAGTTTCACCATTTTCACTAGTCAGACCAGACGAATCTGTAGCTATGTTCAGCATCTTGAGCAGAGTAGCATTCTCGACATGTGCTCCAAACTTTGCAACCAATGTTGCCAATGTATCCAACGACGACTGGGCAAGAGAAACGGAGGAGCTGGAGCTGTTCTCAATGAGAACACCCAACAGCAGCTCAACAGCTTCTTGGGCTTCCGCACTTTCAGCGGACTCCAGATCGAACTTCTCAGAGACCAAAGATGTCAGACTCTTACGTGTAGATATTTTGACACGATCACCTGAAAGCAACTTTGAAACTGAAGAAACAAACTCTTTGATAGGTAAGAGTGACAAAACATCATTCAACAGTGAGAGCAAAGGTGATGATAGATATGTCTCAGAGGATACGATTAAAGCCAATAGGGATTGAATCAACGTACCGAATGAGTCCAGAATAGCCTTCTTCTCATGCTGTGCTTCAGAGTCCAACAACGAATAGGAAATCTTTAACTGGAGTGGCGAAACTGAAGAAGAATCAACGCCCATAATTGTGGTGTCGACAAAGTTGATCAGGTTAACCTTGAGTTCTTCCAGTTCATCAACAGGAAGGGTCAAAATTGTTGAGTTGAAGATTGGACTGGAGATCAAAGTGTCAGCATTGTCGGCTTCTCTAGCAGCAATGTCAGATGGAATACTCTTCCAAATAGAGATAAATGAACGCAAGGCAGACAGTTGTTCAAAAGCCGTGAAATGTTTCAAGAAGGAGAGACCAAATTCTGCCAGTGATCTTGACTCTGCAGAGCGACTCTTAGAAACGGCTGCTGAGTATTGAACACCGATCAGATATAAGATAATGTGAATAGATAGCTCAGGACCCAATGTGGAAGCCAATGTGGTAAAGAGTCTGACTCTTCTATGTCTTGGTATGTGAGTGAATGCGGATGCAAAACTCGTCAGCAAGAACTCAACCTCTTCTGCTTTACTATCCTTGTTAGAGTTGACTAACGCTGGAATCACATGAATCACGGTCTGCTCCACGATGTGAACAGAGAATTCATCATCCTGTCTAATTGTATGAGCGCCCATGAATGTGAAAATTGGCATAACAGAGTGCAAAACAGTCTCAGGAGCGAGTGATGCAAGCTCTGAAACAACAAGGAGCAGTTTGTTCTGAACTTGAGGAGATGGGGAAGCTCTGATAGTGGCAACGATGATATCTGTTCTGATAGAATTGGAGACGAGTTTCACATTGTTCTGTTTGAAAAATCTAATGATCTTAACCATTGTAGTGGCCAATACCTCCTCGGTATACAAGACTGGAAGACCAGCATCACCACCAAGTGTCTCTAAATCAGCAAGTAAGTTGAATAGAGAAGACAAGAGGGCAGCAGATGGTGTCAATGTATCGATTCTGGTGTACAATGTTTCAAGAATAACGGTAACTTTCTGCAAATGATTTTCAGCAACCTTGGCTAGATCACCAGTGGACAAGGCAGCTCTAGCAGAAGCAGATGATCTTCTTCTTCTCTTAGCAACACCTGGTTCGTTATTTGGCTGGTTGATCTGAGAATCTTTCAAAAGGTCCACAACAAGCTGAGATGTCAGTGGGATAGATTGTAACGTTGCAGTAGCATCATAAGAAATGTCTCCCTCTGAAGAGAAAGCATCAACAATTGCGCTGGCCAATTGAAATTGGAAATCGTGCTTCAAAGATCCGAAGATAGCTATAAGCTTAGACACAGCAAGACCTGCAAGGGCCTCAGATGTTGAGTTCAAGCAGTTGATTAAAAATTGGACAGCAAAAGCATTCTTTTCTTTAACGGAGACCAAATTGACAACTTCAGCATCAAAGTCTTCAATACTGGCCTTATTGATTTCAAATATCTTCTCCCATGAGCTTCTTTCAGCAACATACGTCTCCAGCAACTTTTGGAAAACCTTGGATAGAACGGCACCTTTGACCGATGGCACAGTGCCTCTGATGATCTTGATGAGAACAATTTTGGTTACTGGCAAGGTGATCAAGCTTGCCTGATTACCGAGAAATGCCAGATATAGTGGACCATTCTTCTTAGAATTAACAAGGAGTTTAGATACTTCTAGATTCTCAGCAAAAGCCTCTTGCAGGATGAGGGAGAGGAAGTTATCAGCATCTTTTGGAGAAATGAGCTGCATCTCATTAGACTGAGAGCCATATATGTTATCCTCCAAGAAGAACTTACTTTTGGATTGTCTGGAAGTAATCACCTTCAAAGCTTCCAACGTCAGGGATCTAACAGATCGACGTTGATCAGCAAGTCCAGTTAACAAAACTGGAACAAGGGTGAACAGGTTCAAAGACTTATCAAAATCCTTGAGCACTGAAATCAAAGTCTTGAAAACAGAGATACGTGCAAATGTTGGAACAGAAGGGGACACAGCAGCACGAACAAGATATGTCAACGAGGAACTTGGATCAGGGAAAACTTTCTCCGTGAATTCTTTCAAAAGCTTGTTCTGAACAGCCTTGATGAGATCGATACTTAAGACACTGAATTCCTCATCTATGCCAGGAGCAAGGAAAGATTTGGTGGTGGTTGATCTCTCGGAGAATGATTTTAGGATATCCTCAACTGGTTCTGTAGTTATGACTTTGATGGCATCAAGGTCTGTAACCTCTTCAATATCTTGAGAAGTCTGCAACTGAAGTGAGGTTTGAAGCTTAATCTCGAGAATATCAGTAGTAATGTTGAACTCCTCAAGCACCTGCAATAATAGTTCTCTGTTGGTCTTGATATAGAACTCGAACAAAGTGATAATGGTGGATTTGTCCTTCTCTAGCTTGTCAATGACACTGAGAGAATCTCTGATGATGTAACTCATCTCATAGGATGGTAATTCGATCTTATTCAAGATATCCAAAACGAGATCTGAACGCTCTTCAAAATCATAGGCCAAGATTGTCTTGACAAGAACGGTAGCGAGCTTATGAGATTGAACATTAGATGAGGCAAGAATATGGTCAAAACGACCGAGATCTGCAGTAACTAATTTGATCAACAATCTGTATATTCTGACGGGCAAGTTTTCAAATTTGGAGCCGTTCAATGACTGGAAGAGTTTTGCAATAGCAATTAATCCAGAGTGCTCAGCCTTCTTTTGAATCTTTGACAGAATGGTCTCTGTCGCAGCGTAGATGATTTGCTGGGAGAGTGGAACTGCGGTTGCAAGAACAACAAGAACAGTGTGTGCTGCAATATGAGCATCACTGTTGGAGCTTGCAAGGAACTTGGCACTCACTTCCAAGATCAAGGGGGTCAAGACTCCAATCTTCTTCTCATCTTTGGACAGAGTAGCGAGTACATTAACTGCAACGCAGGTAAAGAACAGTAACTGACCAGAATAAGTAATGTTCTTCGAGGTTGAGTCCTCCAAGTACTTCACATACAAGTTGAACAGATCAACATCAGTGAATAGCTTTACCATGGAGGTATTTGTCGGGGATTTTTCGTTGTTTTTGAAACCACCAAGCCCGGCAAATAATGGTGGAAGCCTGGTGATGTCCAAGACTCTCTTGAAGACAGGTGATTGATAGTAATTAAGCGTGCTCAGCAACAAGGCTTCCGCATTGTGGATATGGATGTGGAAACGACGAACAAGCCATTCTGTAGCTTGGAGGGCAGGAACCAAGTTCCATCTTGGTGAGATGAGGGACAAGTAGGCATTGACGGCATTGTCCAGGTCCTTGTTTTGCTCGGCCGTCTGTACGTTTCTATCGACATTCACAGACGTCTCAGAAAACAGAGAGTTCTTGAAGTAGGCAAATCTTCTGTCAACGCTGATGAGCTCCTCAAGCGCTTCAAAAGCGTTGGAATAGATGATCTCATAATCCTGGGTAGCTGCAACCTTTGGTGTGTAGATGAGAGATGCCGAGTGGAGTTTTTGTCTCCTCTTACGGTCAAAAGCAACAGTGGTTGCTCCAGAGGCGATGTTACTCAATTGAGAAGCTAAGGAAGACATGGCAGCTCTTAGATCTCGAGAACAGTAGACTATGGATTGTTTACTTGGGTTCTTGCTCGTGATGTACAGAATTTTTTTCTTCTTGTAGGTGGAAAAAAAAGAGATGAGATGCCCGAAGAAATTTTTCAACTGCATGCTTATGTAATGATTATATAATCTGCTAGAGGGCCGACCTGACAATGTGCATCTGTCACAGAAACATCAAATGGATCTTTGGCCGAGCGGTTTAAGGCGCTCGACTCAAGATCGAGTATCGTAAGATGCATGAGTTCGAATCTCATAGGATCCATTATTTTTTTTTCAATGTTGTTGATTGAGCTATTTTGAAGATGACGACAAAGCTAGGCCCCTCGTAATGGCTTCAGCCTGCCCACTAGTCAGTACCAACACGACAGCCAGTAATATACCGGTGTATCAAGTCTGCTTCATTGATTCGCAATCATACCACGCTCATCATTGTTAAATACGCCATATCACTTTCTACAGTGCTTATGAGAACGCCAGTTTATCTGGTCTATGAACCTACACAGGGTTAAAATTATGCTATGATGCCAGCATAAATAAAGCTCATTAGATTAGAATCAGTCATAAATTTCAATAGGTGGTAGTCTATCCATATTGTAGAACCAGTTACCACCTTCGATTTCTTTCCATAGCCAGTCAGTTGGGAAAAGAACCAAGTGACCTTGAACTTCACTTAGTATTCTATCAGCGGTCTCACGATCAAACACACGATCAGCACCAAGTGGAGATCTCTTACGAAATGCGTACTCGCCACTTTTGCCTCTCTTTGGAATATCAGAGCTACCAGAAGAATCGACACCTGAGTCAGTATGCGGTGGTGGAGCGTTGCCCAATATACCTTCAACCGAGCTCACTTCCTCAATATCTTCAAGACGGACAGAGTCACGTCTTGGACTCGATATCTTATCATCAACTGTCGAGGTTTCAGAGTTGCTGTCCGATACCTTTGAAGTGAGACGTCTATCAGCTTGTTGCTTTTGAGCCAGGCTAAACGCAGTGTTTAACTTTGTGAAAGTTTGGTAATCCTTCCATGTAGCAACTGTATCATCAGGTTGACAGTGAAATACCTCTCTGAATAAAATGGTGTTCCTATGAGCATTGTTGAACCAAACATCTTCGTAAAAGGCATCTTCTAAAGGATCTCCAAAGCAGTATGGGTCAATGAATTTTTGAAATTTTGGTTCTCCAATGAGATCGTTGACAGATTGAACAAGGCGTTGTGCATTTGCAGAGCTCAAGTTAATCACTGGAATGTTCTCACCTGGAAGATCTTGAATTTCGTTCAAATCAGAATCCTCAGCGGACTGGTCATTACTGCGACTCATTAAATCAGCTGCAGATACAGCATCTTGGACAAGGGTTCCTGTTTTTGTTAGTCCTTCCTGTGGCATCCCAGAATGATCCAATGGTGGTAGATTTGATTTTGAACGTCTTATATTTTCATCATTAACTTGAAGTTTTTGTTTAGCTGCAACTCTTTGCAGATAAGCAATTCTTTTCAACATATTCCATCTCTCTTGATTTCTTTCAGCCAAGGCTAATTCTTGATCATTGGTTAGCTTAGAAGGATCTGAGATCAATTCATCGTCGTCTAAGAACTCTAGAACCTGTTCAACGTGAGGAAGGAATACATCTGTTGCATCGTTGACCAATGACTCCGTTGCCCACTTCTTCAATGTCTTAGCAGCATTCAATTTGTAATTTTTGAACGCCTTACTCTTCATCTTGTCCACGCCTTCACCTTCGACATCAAGTTTATGCTCTTCGTTGTTGGTCACTCTGGAGTCTGAAGAAAATGGCTTCTTATCACGTATTCCCACATTTTGCTCCCTAGCACGATTGTTGAATGAATGGTAGGATAAATATACAGGGTCATGTGATTTGGAGACCAAGAACTCAGGAATATTCTTCTTGTCATCCTCCTTGTTGATTTCCTCAAACCTTTTATCCAAAGTTGGTATCTGGGTTGTAGAGTTAGCCCAAAACTTTTTCCATTTATCTGTTCCCGACGGCATATTCAAAACATCCCTAGATGCTAACTCAACCATAGAAGATTGTACTTCATGATCTTTATTACTAAAATTGTGAGTCTTCGACTGTTGGCCAGTCTTGGTTTCTCTTGCCAACTCTTCAATCTTACTGAAACGTCTCTCAACAATATCCAAGATATCAACATCAATACCCAAATGCTCTCTCATCAACCTCATTCTTAATGTATGGGCAAACTTTCCTGCTTTGTATGGTTTTCCATCCATAGTTGTGTTCACCAACTCAGTATCCCTAACAATAGCTGCAACCTCAGAATCCCTATTACCTCTTTGAGATCTTTCATTGATGTTAGCTGAGCCGATAAGAGCAGTTCTATCATCAGAGATGATTATTTTTGCATGTATATACAACTGTTCACTGACAACCGTTCTATCAGGGCCAATTCTTCCCCACTTTCTTAAGGAGTAGAATTGTATATAGTCGTAAGGATTGATCTTCATCTTTTTCAACTTGGCAAATATTGATGTCGTACCTCTTGATATTGATTGATATTGGCATTGCATAATGACCCTTACCGAGGATCCTTCAGCTTCATCGACTTGGCTTTCAAATCCAGGCATCAAAGGAATGACGATTATTGCTTTCCATTTCTTCTTCTCATTGTGTGCACGAATGATTCTGTCCACAAGAGCATCGCCGATTCTGTTCTCAATAACTGTACCATCAAATGCAGATGCCGTTATGAAGAATTGATTCTCAAGGTATACATAGTGTTCTGAGGTCTCTATGATTTTCAAGTATGCATTTTGAATGGATTGCTCATGCTTTTGTAATCCAAGGGACCAATTACCAGATGATCTCAATAGTTGCACCTCACAAGTTCCTGCTAAATCGTATTTTTCCAATTCCACTGGGGTAAAGCTGGTTGGAGGTATCAAGAGTGGAGTTGGTCTTGATGGTCTCTTCTGTCTCAATAAGTAGTTCCATCTCTGCACAAAGTGCCTTGCCAAATCCCTTGCTGGCTCACCAGCAACCATCATATGGACATCATGCCATGGCATACGTGGAACAACTTGGCGGTCATACATGGATTCATACGGTTTGTCCAAGTCGTAGAAATCTTTTACTCGAGGATTAGAGTAATCTTTTCCCGGGAAAGTTTGGAATCGAATTCCTTGCTCCGATGCATCTCTCTCGCTACCAAAGTCGTATGGAGAGTCGTCAACTAAAACATGATCAGGTGTATCGTATCTTCCAAAGCACAAGTCAATTCCACCAACGAAAGCAACAGCATGATCAACAATACACAACTTTTCATGGTGAGCCCAGAAAAATGTGTTTTGTAACCACTGATTTGGAGAACGGAGGACATGAACATTTGGATGTAAGTCTATCAAGGAGTGTTTGGTCCAAAGAGAATCTGTAACAACAGTCGTTCCAACATTTCTGTAAACAATAACAAAAACTTTAACTCCCTCTTCAGCTTTTCTTTTCAATATTCTATCAAGACGCCACTCTTGGTTACCATTTGCTGGGCGTCTCATGTATATTTCAGGAGATAACCACCAATCGTGTATATAGATCACATCAGTTGCCATCTCTAATGCTGAACTGAGAGCCCAAAAGTGATCTCTTCCATCAACGAGCCATTGTGCGAAGCAGTTCTCCCTTACTGGAGCAAAACTATTGAATCTGTTACTGGATGACCAGATGGTGTTTTTCTGCATGTTTTGTATAGACTGTGCCCACATTATTGCTTGATTCTTTGACTTTGCAATCATTTTAAGTTCACGTTCTCCGTTTTCAAGCTTAATCACAACATGGGGTAGCGTTTTCCCTGATCTGGGTGGTTTGCTCTCATCGATAGATGCAGTATCGTCATAGAATGATTCATTATCGTTATCAAACTGAAGAGGTGAGACAGAGTTATCCTCCCCATGGTATGTAATTTTGAAGCTGCTATCAACAAGGAACACATCTAGTGGAGTTGTAGAGTATATATCAGACACATACATGATGTAAGAGTCCCTCACGAGAAACCATTTATATGTGTGTCTCTGAACCATCTGTTTAATATCACTGAACTTCCAATGCCCGACTCTCCAACCTTGTGCTTTTGAAGATGATCCCACAATCATGTAACCTTGTTTTCCTTGAAATCCGTGTTCATAGCTTAAGAGAACTCCAATTGGAGATAATTCAAAAAATTGAAATAATCTATTGGCTTCAGCTTTCAATGCGAATGCCAAAATCAACTGATTCAAATAATTCTCGATTTTTTTTCTGAACTGTTCTCTATCATTGTCAATCCCCCTCTCATCACTGATAGACATTCTAGAGGCTATTCTATGAATACGGTCCACGAGTCCACCCGAATGGTCTGATGAGCCAGATGACAGACTTCCATGTCTTCTATTTTGACTCGGTCTTGGAACATCAAACCTATTGCTAGCTGGCTTTGGGGTTGATAGATACGTCTCATTGAACGTAGGATGTTCCAAACGTCCAGGTTCCATATCCTTGGACAGGACTTTTGGAAACTTTGGTATCTCTGTGTGTTTGAATCCCTTCAAGCTCTTTGACTGGAAAACTGCAACTTTAAGCCTTGAGTGTAAGCTAACAAGATCTCTCAAGTCCTTTATCACATGCCACTTGAGTCTGTTAGATCCAATTCCATATTCTAAATTTATGCGATATTTTGTATGTTTACTTCCAGGTCTGGATACATCTTCAAGCTTGATTGCAAGTTGATTCAGCAATAGTGGGGCCCTTCTCGTTCCATGCTCATCTTTCAAAAAGTTCGAGGCCAGGATCAATGCTGCAGGGGAACCCGCAATGAGACAAGTAACCATGTTTGAAGCTCGTATTCTTGCAGCCTCTTCGGACTCATCAAGTTGGGGACGTTTTGGGGCCGGTGATTTGGCAACAACAGACGACTTTCTCGGCTTACCAAACTTCAAAGCCTGTTTCCATTCCTTCCACCTTGTAGAAGAGTCTGGACCAGCAGAGAACCCACCTGGGATGAGTGAAAACTTCCGCCGCCATGTAGGAAGTTCCTGTTCGCCATCATGGAGATGAGGCATAACCTCCTGTGGCTGCGGAGGTTCTTGTTGTTCGAACGCAGTTGAAACCTGTGTATGTGGACTCATTGGCCTCTGAGGATGTACCTTTTCATCATGATGTGCAAAAGCGCTCGAGGAGACGTTGTCGACTGGCTCCAAATGCTCGCCGCCTTCTCTCTGTTGGTCGTCCTCGTTCTTATGCCAAACGTCCGCATCCCAGTTAAACTGGTTGCCAATCTCATGGGGTCTGAAGAGTTCACCATTAGCATTAGACCTCTGAATAGCAGATTCATTTGACTTCTTCCGAGAAGCCCTAATGGACCTATCGCTCGCCATATCCTCACTGTTTGGGTCAAGAGGGTCCAAGGTCATACTTCTTTACTCTATGTGTTTCTATTTCCCACCCCACTCCGGTGACTGATCAAATTCCAACAGCTCTCAACTGCCAAATAATATCCGTCTGATATCCTCAACAAGCACACACACACTCTCTTTCCCTTGCTCCTTATAATAATTGCTTGTGCAGGCAGTGGCGGATCCTGTGGTGTACTTCTGTGCGCTGCCTATTCTGTGTGCCTATCCTCCAGGTGTAAACAAAGAAAATCTCCAAACCAATACAGAGAATTTCCGGGTTAAAGCTTGCCTGTGAGTTCCAACACAAATCGTACTAGAACTTCTCCAAAATTCGTACAGCAAAACTGTAAAGAACTGTTCGTATTTGCTTGTCTATGGCCTTTACCGGGTGTCTATGGGTAAGCTTGCTATGCCTGTTATAAGACCTCAGCGGTTAAAAAGTTGTTTATGCGTAAACAATCGGACAAAGGTGGTAGCAGCGCAAGGACTGGTCTCGTTGGTGCTTGTTGCCGGGATGGCAGTGTGCGAGGGGCAGATAACGCCGATGTATACAGTCTACCAGGTTCTTCTTAGCTTCTACTTTGTATTATGCACTTTCTTTTGATAATGCTATAGGGGAATCATTTTGTTCTCCATTTGTCAAGTAATGAGAAGCTCTTGTGAGGGGCCCCAGCCTGGCAGAAGGGGACTTTCGGGCCCCAGGCTGAGCAGACGGGCGCTCTACGGGCCACCAGTGTAGCGGAAAAGGAATAGTAGAAGGTCCGTAGAGCGAGCCGAGCTTTGAACGGGAAGAAATATGTGACACAAAAACAAAATCAAAAACAAAAACAAAAACAAAGTCAACAACAACAACAGCAGCAACAGCAACAGCGTAGGCGGGAGCCCTAGAGCACAGTCACAATGTTAGAAGAGGATTACGTGGATGGAACACTCTTTCTAGCAACTACGGTAAAGTGTATGAAACCTTCTGTGATCTCCAAATACCACGGGCTTGGACCGCCACGGATATTTAAGAAGAAGAGAGAGTTTGATCAGATAGGGCCCTGCAGTTCATTCCAGGAGGACTTCAGTCTGATCACTATAGCGGACATAGTGCTGAGTGGAACATGTGAAAGCTCACTAATCGAATGCGATGATTTTGAAGGGTTTGCCAACGAAGTTTCAGTGGAAGTTATACCGAAAGTACGAAATGGGATGTTAGCGGTATACTCTAGAACCAGAGGCCAGCTGAAACAACAACTTTTGCTCAATTTCGAGCTTGAAGACCCCACAGCGCTGGATGTTATTGCAAGCCACTGTCGGGTCTTGTCTAACAACAATGCATACTTTGATAGATTCTTCAAATACCCGCATAGGCCAATTCTATCAGTGAAGTTAAACAGTGGCCAGTTCTCTGTCACCCTCAAGTATACAATACAGGTATTAGAGACACTATACATGGATTACCCTATTGACGTTGCAGGATGTATATCTCAGATAATGGACCATTCCATCATGGGTGCTAAATGCTCGAAGGAGGAGGTTAATTCAAAACTGTTTTACGATTGTATAACTGAGAAAACTCAAAATTATCCACAATGTCTCAAACCTCCACTGGTACCAGAGTTGGATACTGATCTCCTAAGGTTTCAAGGCACAACTATTGAATGGATGCTTTCGAGAGAGAATGTCATATTCAATAACTCTACAAAATCTGTCAGTGATATTCCATTTTGGACAGAGAAATGCGCATTTCTAGACGATAAGTTCATTCTGGAAAAATTGGATAAGTTGTCTTTCGGATTCTCTCTTGTTCAAACACCTTTGCAAACCGAAAAGATTTGGTATAACAAGTACTCTTCAAATATATGTTCAAAGGAATCTGCTTTAAGATACCTTTCAGAGGAACAAACTCCAAAAGGTCGGGGTCTACTCGCCGAGGAAATGGGATTGGGGAAAACAGTGGAAATTATTGCATTGATACTGCTCAATCAAAGACCCCATAACCAACTCCTAGAGACTGTTCATGACGATGCTCGAGATAGAGATATTCGAAAGGCAAAGACAACATTAATTGTTTGTCCAGAGTCTATCTTGTCCCAGTGGTCTGATGAAATTGCAATTCATGCCCCAAGTATTTCAGTGATGATTTACCAGGGATCAGTGCAACATAGAAAGAAATCCCCATCAGAGGTTGCAACGGAGATGGCACAACATGATGTGGTTTTAACAACTTACACTGTTATGTCTCGAGAAGTACACAGTGCTCTGTACAATCCATCAAGATCTAAAAGGGTTCGAAGAGCAGTGACAACGAAACGTGATTTACGGAAAGACATTCATGATCCAGGAATATATGATCAAGCTGCATTGGATGCACTGGAAGAGATCTATGAAGACATGAATCTTTTGAACGATACTTTGGATAATCGCCCTGACTACACCTCACCTTTAGTACTATTGGAATTTTGGAGAATGGTACTAGACGAAGCTCAGATGGTTAAGAAATCGTTGTCAAATGTGTGCACCACTGCCACTTTGATCCCGAGGTATCACTCGTGGGGTGCTTCGGGTACTCCTATAAAAAATATTGTGGATGACTTAAACTCACTGCTAACATTTATGAGATTACACCCACTGGGTTCTCATAACAGTTGGAAATTGCTCAAACAGAACCCTGATGATTTCAAGCATTTATTTTCCACAATATCTCTGAGACACACGAAAAGTATGGTGAAAGATGACATCAAAATCCCCCCACAGACGCGTATACTCCTTAGTGTGCCATTCGGTCCAATTGAACAGGACAACTATGATTCAATGTACAAACAGCTGTTGACAGATGTTGGCTTGGATGAAATGGGTAACCCAGTGATTGATGGATGGGAACCAACACCTGCTTATTATGAAACGATGAGATCTTGGTTAACTACATTGAGACGTCTTTGTTGTCATCCAAGTTTTGGTCGTGAATCAGGATCAATTGGCACAAGAAATTTCCAGACAATGGACAGGGTTCTTGATAAAATGATTGAAGAAGCACACGAGAAGTTTAGAGAAATAGATCGACGCTCTATTACTGCTAAACTCGAGATTGGTCAGATTTATGAATTTGTGAGGAGACCAAGAGATGCTTTAGTTGTTTGGACGGAATCATGTAAGGAAATTGAGAGCAAATTGCAAAAGGCTGAAAGTTCTAGAAATGACTTGAGTGTTCAATATTTAAGAGGACTGCTTGAACTTTTGCACAGGGCATATTTTTTCATTGCTTCAGCACATTATCAAATATATACTCCTCCATTAACAACACTTGTGCCTAATATAGTTGAGGCGTTGGCTGAAGAGGAAGGCATAGATCCACATCTCATTACATTTGATCACATCAACTCAGCAGACATTACCGTTTGGAGAGTATTGACAGAAGATGAATCAAAACACCAAGAACTTGAGAGGCAGTTCTACTCCATGGCTCAAAATCTAAGAAAGAGAATCCTAGCAGAGCCTATGGAGCAAGTACGACAGGGTATTGAAAACTTGCCGCATGATGTGCAAGCTCCAATGTTTACAATTTCTCATCGTGTGTTCAAGGATCTTGAGGTACAGGTTTTCACTTTAGAGCTGAAAAATGTGATTTTAAGTTTGAATGAGCAGAACGTTGTACTAAATAGGTGGTTATCCCAAGTTACTGATATTTTGAGAACACCGCTTCTCGATTCTATTTCTGATCCAAGTGGTGAAGAATACGCAGCTTCTTTGAATGACCAGGAATATGTTTCGATACTACTCACATACATCCAGAAAGTTATCAAGAATAGAGAACAATTGGTAACTGGCAAAACTTCTGGTGAAATATATCAGCAAATCAATGTTGGTAATTCATCCGGTGATTCTTTTGCTGAAGAAATTGATAAGGAATACCCTAAAGTGTTTGCTAAAGAATCACTTCGAGGATTACTTGTGAGATCAAGATCACTGGTGGCAAAGGACAATCCGACTGAGGAGATTCGTCCGTTTACAGATGTGGTGATTAAATTGAAAAATGCATTTGAAGAGCAAAAAGATTTCTGTGACGCAATCTCGAAACATTTCAGAGTGTTAAATGATCTTTATAACATTAAGATCAACTATTTCAGAAGACTTCAAGAACTTTCTGACAGTGTGCGGCCATTTGATCAAAAGAGGCATTATCATTATGATCCTGATGTGAAAATTGAGGAACTTTATAACGTTATTGACACGACAGTAAACGAGTCCAAAACTGTGGAATCCAGGATACGTTATCTGAATTCTTTAAAGCAGGATGCTACTGTGGATGATAGCTCTAAGATGTGTGTTATTTGCAGAAGTGCCATCAATATTGGTTCTTTGACCGCATGTGGCCATCAGTACTGTAAAGATTGTTTGAGTGAATGGTTACGTAAGAAGTCGGTTTGTCCTGTATGCAAAGTCAAGATCAAACAGAGTGACGTTTATACTTTCACCTTCAACAAGCCTGAGGTCAATGTTAAGCTTGCCACATCCCAGCCGTCTGGTGAAATGTTCCAAATATATCACCAATTGGACCATGAAAGTTTACAGAAACTGAATGAGATCAAGCTGAAGTACAATCATGGATCCAAAGTTAATATCATTGTGAGACAGGTTTTGTGGTTGAAAAGACGCGATCCAAAGGTTCAAATTGTCATTTATTCGCAGTGGACCCAGCTGCTATCCATCATTGGTAACTCTTTGAGATTCAATGGTGTCGAATTCTTGAGTTCTTTTAACGCACTTGATAGGCACGGGTCTGGTGGTAAGACACCATTCAGAAAAGATGTTGCCTTATTCAAGAAGGATCCCAACATTACATGTTTCCTCCTCAATTCTAATGCTGATGCATCTGGATTGAACCTTGTGAATGCCACGCATGTTTTCTTGTGTGAGCCTCTTGTACAGACTGCGCTGGAGCTACAGGCTATTAGCAGAGTTCACAGAATCGGACAAACTAAGCCAACAACTGTGTGGATGTTCACCATTTCTGGTACCGTGGAGGAAAGTATTGTACTCCTTTCCACCAGAAAAAGATTGGAATTCAAAGAACAGTTCGAGGAAGAGGAGATGGCAAAGAATGTAAGTTCACTTGTAAGAACGAACGGCGAGTTTGTTGAAGCTTCTGATTTGTGGAATTCCTTTTTCAGTCATAAAGTGGGTAGGTTGATATGATACGTAACTCAATACCATGGACAGTAAAAGTACTTGAGAGTTTGTAATAGCTGAAGTCATTATGACCTTATGAGGTAACAACACTGATCCTGGTAATTTACTCTCTTTTATTTTACCAAGTGCATAATTTTTCGCCGTTCAACTGTACCGTAACTACTGTACATTGTAATGATTTAATACCATTTAATGATACATGACTTCAAATTAATAAACCACAGATGAGGTTGATATTTATTCAATGTTGAGGATGCACGCCAGACAGTAAAATTTTAAATAACGTGAGGACCGATTATCAGTGATTAAATTGAGGGAAATGTAAACTTGTAATAAATATATCCGATTGGCACCAGAATAATCCTCTATCTCTTGCAAAGACTCAATATTACATTGAACATCATTTGAACAAATCAACAATTACTTCATTAACGCATGTTCCTACCAATCCATACCGAGAGATAAATCTGCTTTCAAGCAGTTGGTTGTATAGTGTAGTGGTCATCACTTTCGGTTCTGATCCGAACAACCCCGGTTCGAATCCGGGTACGACCTCCATTTTTTTGTTGGACCAATCACCGAATTATGCATAAACTTGCATACACATGCATCATAGTTTTAGCACATGAGATAACCGCATCTTAGAATCAAACTTCACAGACCTTTTCATATGTTACAACTTCGCAACTATCATCGATTACAGCCTCAAAGAATAGGCTACAAGATTACAAGCTTTATAGCATTGCATTCATAATGTTCAATATATAGTATAAATCTCACGTCATTTGTCCTCATTAAATTATAAAACTCAGCTTTAACATCAAAACATAAGGAAAGATCGCAAATAACGGCATTAATCAGTTTATCAGCTAAGCACAGCTTTATTTTTTCTTCTGTTCAGGATGGTGGAAGTGTTCAAGCTGAGTTCAAAGGCACCTTTAGTCTCTAGGTGACATTGTTGTCCGTTTCTAGGTTGAGTATCCAGCTTCACCTCTTTGATATACCTTCCACTGCCAGTCTCCACGTCACCAACAGTTGGCTGGGAATTTGCCATTGCCATGTTTTCCTCCTCCTCTTCTAATATCTCATCAGACTGTGGCTTAAGGTTTATCAAGTTTTCCTCTCCAATTCTGTGAACAGCGTTAGAGATATCAAATGCATCTTTGAGTGCTCTTGCAGCAGGGGAGTATACAGACTCGGTACGCTTGAAATTTGCATATGGTTGTCTTTGAGGTTTTTTCCATTCTGATTCGTTGAGCCATGGGTCATTGAGAAGTTGGTTTATATCATACCTATGCTTTGGGTTGACAGTTAAAAGGCGTTTGACACAATTCTTTGCACCAGGACTGATCTCATCCCACCAGGGTCTGAGGAACTGGTATTCACCATGGGCAACTTTCGCAGTTAATACATCAATCTTCTCATCATAAAAAGGTGGGAACCCACAGAGCATCGTATACAGGACACAGCCCAATGCCCACATATCAACAGATTTGGAATAGTGTTGATCACGAACAATCTCTGGGGCAGTGTAGCCAACTGTTCCACATGGCGTCTTTGTATTGTCGTACCAAATCTGCTTCGATAAACCAAAATCAGCCAATTTAACGATACCGATACCACCGCCACCAACACCATTGATGAATTCACCTTCATCAACTTTGGAGACGTCGTCGCTCTTTCTCAAGTGTCTATGCTTTGAAGGAACCATAGGGATCGGCTGGAAGAGCAGGTTCTCGGGTTTTATATCTCTGTGTACAATACCAACCTCTTCATGCAAGTATCTCACTGCTTCTGCAACTTGTCTCAATATATGGCGTGTCAAGTTTTCAGAGAGGTATGTGAAGTGAACGATTTCGTTGAAGATCTCGCCACCTTCAACCAATTCCTGGATGATGTAGTAAAACTCGTCAACCTCCTTGAACTCGACAAACTTCACAATGTGATCGTTATTCAACTGTCTCAGGATTGTCGCCTCTTTCAGCACGGATGCCCTCTGGTTGGAGTCCATCTGAAACTTCTTGATGATCTTAATCGCAACCATCTCCTGCGTGCTCAGCTGCAGAGCCCTGTGTACCGTGGAGAAGGCACCTTCTCCCAGCTTATCAATGATCTGGTAGTTGTCCAAGCCCGGATGTTCTGGGTTATGCAGTTTGCGTTCTTCTCGAACGAGTTCAGTCGCAAGCTCGTTATAGTCATAAGCAGTGTGATGGTTATGCTTATCACGCTTGTGCTGATCTTGAGCAGGCGCAGTGGTGTCAGCGCTGTGTACAGGCGGGTCCAATTGGGCCTCCAGATCACCGGCAAGGGCAGCATGCTCAGCGTGGTGAGTGTCATGTCCATGGTTATGTCCATGGGCCTGCTTACCTTGACGGATAAAGTTCTTGATGTTCTGCATTGGCTCGTTAGTTTCGCCCATTTTTCAAAAACACACACCACCTCCTCCAACGTAGGGGGGATTGAGGGATGGCTTAAAAAAACTTACGGTAAACATGATATTTCAACTCTTGAAGATAGGGGCGGAGGGGTGTTTTTCTTTTTTTAATATCAAATTAGCAACTCTTTCTTCCGTCCTTTTGCTCTTTACTTGCTTTTTTTTGCTTTTTTCAGTTCCAGGCAGATAGATAACAGCACATATAAAATAGAGCACCAAGTGAAAACAAATCCAACCGTGTACGATTGCTCTCCTTCGCCGTCTCACGACCTTGGGCACAGCTGTGTTGGTCGAAAAGGGGAACACAGAGTTTAACAAAAGAAACCCGAAGAAGGTGGGAGAATGACTAAATTTTTACGGCGTCTTCTTTTTTTAGGGGCAGCAGGTAGAATCTCTGTGTGTGTGTGTTGTTCTGCCTGTGCCTGCCCTGCCTGCCTGCCTGGCCTTCTTTGTTCCAGGCCCGCTGGTACTGGGAAAATAGAATAGGGCCATGAATGTACGCAGCGGGCGGTGTGTCAGTCGTTGTGGGCCCAGCAGCCGGGCAGAGCTCGTAAGCCCACGGAGAGAGGCCGCCACTTGCGGGCCAAAGAATACGAAGCCGGCGCCTGGGCCAGAACACTGAGCCAGAACGCTGAGCCAGAACGCTGAGCCAGAACGCTGAGCCAGAACGCTGAGCCAGAACACTGAGCCAGAACACTGAGCCAGAACACTGAGCCAGAACGCTGAGCCAGAACACTGAGCGCGCGCGTGCGGACCCGCCCAGCTTTGAAAATCAACCACAGAAGGGGAGAAAGTAGCGCGTTTCGCTCTTTTCTCCGTTGCGGGCCGTCTGTGTCTGCCCGTGTTCTGCCCGCCATTTCAAGCTACGCCTAAAGTGTGGTGGAACGTTAGCTGGGGGAATAGGCAGTCAGAGCATAGAACAAGTAGTTTAGCACGGGGGGGGGGCTGCTTACTTGGGCTCACTGCTTGAGGCTGTTCGTGTGTTTGCTCTTTTTTCCCTGTGTTTGCTCGTTTTCCCTGTGTTTGTGCGTGTGGAGCCAGCTTCCTTGTATGGGAAGTATGACATCATCAGTTAGCGATGTTGATCTCACCACACGGCTTATGGCGCAAGGTTATAGGCCCTATGATATGAGATTTGTATAAGACTCGATCTGGCTCAGAGTTGCCATCTCTACAGGCTTTGACGAGTCCGTGGGCGTTTACACTCCCTTCCCTGGCCGCAATGGCCTGCGTAGCCTACATCTTCACGCAGAGCAGTAGAAACCGTACATTAGGTATAAATCAACAAGTACCTTTGAAAGTCGAATGGTGTTTCTCCTTGTGTTCCTGATGCTTCTCCATCAGGTCGAAGTCCTCGCCTCCCGAGGCAATGGCATTCAGCAGCTTGTAGATGTAGTCCTTCTTGGACTCGAGGTCATCGGTCTGCACAGACTTGATGTACATCTCATCGCTCTTGATGAGACTCTCTGTGACCTTGATGATGTCGGCGATGAGTCTGTGTATCAAGTCACCGGTGAGCTCAGTACGACACACAACACGCAGGATCTCAGTGTCTTCCTCGTTTGGAGGGAGAGGGTAGTTTGGAATGATCCAACCGTTCTTACGCAGCAGAGTTGAGATGATGGACTGTGGGATGTTTGGGTAAGTCTCCTTGAACGAGTCTGTGAACTTGAACGCAACAACTGGTAGACCAGGGTTGAAGTAGGTCAGGTCGATGTCCTCTTGGTGCTTGATGTTGTCATCCACAGCTTCAGCGGAGAAGCTATAGACACCGTTCTTTCTGTGAATGTAGGACACAACTTCAAAGTACTCGGTCTTCTCGAGATAGTTCGAAAGCATACGGGCATTTCTCAAAGACGTCGAGTGGATCTTCTTGTAGCCGTCGAACCCCAAGTGGAGGAAGTTGTAGTACTGCTGAATCGACTGGTACCCTGGTCTGGAAAAGTTCAAGTTGTAACTCTCTTCTACACCACCGAGATATCTCAGCTTGAACACCAATTCATCTGGAAGCAGGTCACCATTTCTCCAGATGATCCACCCCAGACCAGCAGTTGCTAAACCAAACTTGTGGCCAGAGGTGTTAATACTGACAACTCTCTTGATTCTGAAGTCCCACTCCAATTCTGGGAATAGGAAAGGTGCAACGAAAGCACCTGATGCACCATCGACGTGGATCGGAACGTCAAACCCCTTACGCTCCTGAATATCGTCAAGCAGATCGTTAACAGCCTTGACGTCTTCAAATGCACCTGTGTATGTGGAGCCCAGGATGACAAAGATACCAATTGTGTTCTCATCAACCAAATCTTCAATCTTGCTCAAGTCCAAGATGTACTTGGACTCCTTAGACACTGGCACCAGCCTAGCTTCAACATCAAAGTATCTGGCAAACTTTTCAAGAGCAACCTGTGCATTGGCACCCATGATGATGTTTGGCTTATAGAAGTCTTTACCAGCTGCTTTACGCTTCTGCTGCCAAATCTTCTTCATTGCCAATCCACCAAGCATGATAGCTTCCGAGGAACCGGTTGTAGCAGTTCCGATTGGCTCCTGGCCTTTCCCGTGCCATAGCTTACCCAGGATACTGACGTTTCTCTGTGTCAAATCAATAAGCGTGGGATACTCGTCCGCATCTGCCAAGTTCTTCACCACGTTCTCCAACGTCAAGTTCTTCAACTGGTCGGTGATGTAGGTGTTGACGAACGATGCCAGGTTCAACGTCGGGTTACCGTCCAGCACCAAATCGTTGTGAATCAACTGGTACGCAGTCTCCGGCTTCAGCCCCTTCTGGGGGATACGGTACTTGTTCTGCGAGACAAAGTCCTCGTCCCTCAGCCCAACAGATGTGTGGTAATGGGAAGCGTTATAGATTGTGTCTTCCAGCTGTTCCGGGTCGATGATTGAAGTAAGCATTGTTCAAAATTAAACCACTGTAAAGTCAATGGATGAAGAAAAAAACACTGCTGCAACTTATTACACACTTGAAAACGGCCAAATCGATATCTTCCGTGCTGTTTATATACTTTCTCCCCCCTATTGCGTGTTTCCCCTTCCTCTACAACTTTATGCTAGTTGCGATGTTAACATGCTTCCACGGATGCATCATTGCGCAACTTACAGGGCAAAGTTCCTCTACAAAAGCAACCACATGGGGATCGCCTCATGTGCCTCTCTCTCCATATATGCAATTACGGGTGTACATATGGTACAGTTCTCTGTGGGATTAAATGGACTTGTATGTCCACACTCTGCGGGTCTCTCTTGTAGTTGGTGTCTTGGTGCTTTTCGTGCGTCGTATGTGCTACATCGGGACATAATGGGAGTTTTACGAGAGATCTTCCATAATATTCTTGGAAGTTTGGTTATGTGTGTGGCGTGGAGGGCACTTTTACATTGCTCGGTGTAGGTGGTGTAGGTGGTGTAGGTGGTGGTATTGTGTATCTCATGGAGTTTCAAGGTGTTCTCAAGCGTGTGCGTTGATGCGGTTAATATTGGCGATGGCTCTACGACTTGGTACAGAATACCTCGATATGGCGTATCCACCATCCAATTGGCGTATCCAGCATCCAATTGGCCACCAAAGTTGTGGAAGTTTACGAAGCAGGCGTTGGTTAACTTGTACACGGTGTTCCAGAGGGCGTGCAAGGCTGAAATCACGGGAAGTATCAACAGACCAACAGTTCCGAAGCCAGCGAGGGTCAATTGAGTGACGATCGTTTGCCGTGTACAGTCTCTAAGGCCATTGCGCCTGTCGTGAGAGTCAACTTTGATTCTTTGTATAGAGGGCTTGTACTTCTGTTCATGGAAGATGTAGCTTTATGCAAAGCCCATTGCTCACAGCTTAGAGACTCATTCGTGATCATTGGCTCTGAAGAAGTTATACTGTAAGCTTAGAAGCCATCTTAGTTGTGCTGTGTGAGTAACACTACCAGCCTCAACATATTAGAACCCACTACAGTGTCTATGGCACTTTCTGTCAATGCTGTACAGTGACACATGAGCATTGGATATTCAGACTAGCCATGTTGCTGATGAGCCTTACAACAGCCACAGTCTACACTGATTCGACGCTGCCCTCTCTCCACAACCAGAATAGCATCTGATGCTCTCCAATTGATAATACACCCGTCAAAAGAAGTCATAACAAGAGTCCCCTTACGGATACACTAACTGCACAATACATAGACACCATTGCTACAAGAAGTGGGCTCTACATGGTCAAAGACACACAAAGAAAGCACTTTACCCAGTAATACCGTTCGATTAGAGAAAAAAGAGGAATGCCTTCTTCAGGAATCACCCGTTGCTCTTTCCAAGTGATTCAATCCTCAAAGGAAACAGCTCCATGTTCTGCTTGTCTGTGTGCTCTGTCTTTTTCTTTTCCAAATGCATTTATTCAACCTCAGCTTCAAAGTTCTCACCTTCAACCAAGTCTGGGATATCCTCATCGTCGGCACCAGCAGCCTCAGCAGCAGCAGCAGCAGCGGCACCTGGGTTCTGTCTCATCTGTTGAGCCAACTTGGTCAAGAAGTCCAAGTTCTCAGCACCCAATTGTGGAATGATGTTTGGCAACAACTCTTGGATCTCCTTCTCTTGTGGAATACCGTAGAAACCGTAGGTGTTGTTGGCAGCAGATGCTTGGATACCAACTCTGTTGAAGTGCAAAACCTTACCATCCTCTCTGAAGAAGTTGGCCTCTTGGACACCGTCCAAGGTTTGAACGTTCAACTTTTGAAGAGTGGCTTGCAATTTGGAGTCATCAGCAGTTGGTTTAGCACCAGACTTCTTGGCCTTTCTTCTGATACCACCGATCTTGGTGTTACCTTGCTTTTGCAACTTGGCGAGCTTCTCTTGGTCAATTGGCATGCTTTTATAGATTCCGTTTATGGGAAGATGAAGGGAATTCTGTCTTGATGAACTGTTTGTTCTGCTTTTTTTTTCACTTTTTTTGCGGTGGTGGACGTCGTCGACGACGACGGCGACGCACAAATTTTTTTTCCAGTGTACTCGGCCAGGGCTCATAACCATTATTTATCTGGGTTTTTCTGTTTGTTGATTCCCATTTTTGGCCTTTGTGGTATAGTGGATAGTAGGCAGAGGTTTGTGCTACGGCAGATGGTTCGAATCCCGGAAATCCCCTTTTAAAACTAAGATATAAACTATCGGTAGAAAATTTCACCGAGAACACAACGATGAAACAGCTATCAACAGTCAGTTAGCGTTCTTTCAAGCGCTGGAAAGGGCACAAGGAAAGACCAAGCATGTCTTTGAAGAAGGCTGAGCAGATAGCTCATAAATACTCAAAGACTCTGCAACTCCCAAAGACGAGCTTCCCCAAGAGAAGCTCTCATGAAAAGGCACTGAACGATCTCATACCGAGGTCCTCACAGTTGTTATACAAGCACCAATTTGATACGAGAAAGACCGATGACGATATCTTTATCCTTCATGACGGTCCTCCGTACGCCAACGGTGATCTCCATCTGGGCCATGCGTTGAATAAAGTGCTGAAAGACATCATCTTGAGATTCAACATGTTGAAAGGGAAGAAGGTGTACTACCAGCCTGGTTGGGACTGTCATGGGTTGCCGATTGAGCTGAAAGCGTTGGAGAAGTACAAGAAGCTTCACAAGTCTGAGCCTTCTCAATTGGATATCAAACAAGTCAGGGCCATTGCGAGGGAACACGCAACGCTGACCATTGAATCTCAGATGAATAAATTCAAAGAGCTGGCGATATTGACCGATTTTGACAACGTTTACAAGACTTTGAACCATGAGTTTGAGATCTCGCAGCTGAAGACGTTCCAGAAGATGATGCACAAGGGCTTGATAAAGAGACAGAAGAAGCCTGTGTATTGGGGTTGCGAGACAAACACAGCGTTGGCAGAGTCTGAGCTGGAATACAACGATCAACATCGATCCACTGCAGCGTATGTTAAGTTTCCCCTCGTGGAGCCTTCAACAGAATTACAGCAAATCTTGGACTCGAACTCGCTAAACAACGTGAAACTGTTGATCTGGACTTCTACTCCTTGGACTATTCCTTCCAATAGAGCCATATCTGCTAATGAACAGTTTGAATACACTGTCATTGCTTCCGACGTTGATCAATTGATTGTATCTTCAGACCTTGCCGAGAACTTACTCTCAATCTCAGACCAATATACACAGCTGGATGTAACGATCCCAGGCTCCGCCATTGTGGGCTCCAAGTATACAAATCCACGTACAAAGGACTCGACATTCCCAGTAATCCATGGTGATCACGTTACTAACTCTGCTGGTACCGGTCTTGTCCATACTGCTCCAGGCCATGGTAACGACGATTACTTTGTCTGCTTGGAGCATGGAATCGAGGCATACTCTCCAGTGGACCAATACGGGAGATACACAGACGAACTGCCTTCTGGATATGAGTCGCTTACTGGGCTAAGAGTCCAAGGCGAGGGAAACAAGCAATCCCTTGAGCTCATGAAAGAAGCTGGAATGCTGTTCCACATTGACAACAGCTATATCCACTCTTATCCTTACGACTGGCGTTCCAAAAAGCCGGTCATTATCAGAGCCACTCCTCAGTGGTTTGCCAATGTTGGTGCCATCAAATCGAAGGTGCTGGATGCCCTGTCCAGTGTCAAGTTTGTTCCAGAGAAAGGGCGTAATAGATTGAGTGCCTTTGTCAGAAACAGAAACGAATGGTGTATATCTCGTCAGAGGGCATGGGGTGTTCCTATCCCTGCGTTGTATTCCAAATCTGATGAGAATGTTGTTCTCATGGATGACGAGTCTGTTAGCCATATCATTAACAAGATTGATGAACTGGGTGTTGATGCATGGTTTGAGGAGGAACCAAACGTTGAGAGATGGCTTCCTGACTCACACAGAGGTCAGGGCGACCAGTTTTACAAGGGCAAGGATACCATGGATGTTTGGTTCGACTCTGGTACTAGTTGGAACGAGATTGCAAAGTTCTGTAAAGAGAATGGGCTGCAAAGAGATGTGCTTGCTGATGTGTACCTTGAAGGCTCAGATCAACACCGTGGGTGGTTCCAGTCTTCCATTTTGACCAAAGTTGGAAGTTCTGATGATGCTAACCCAGCTTCCCCTTACAAGACCATTGTTACACACGGGTTTACGTTGGATGAAAAGGGTAACAAGATGTCGAAGTCCATTGGCAATGTCGTTTCCCCAGATCAGGTCATTCTAGGTGGTGGTAAGGGTAATAACAAAATCACGGGAATTGGAGTTGACGGGCTAAGACTATGGGTCGCACAGGCAGATTACACCAGTGATATGGCAATCGGGCCAATTGTCCTCAAGCATGCTGGTGATGCTCTCAAGAAGCTGAGATTGACATTCTCGTTCCTTCTGGGCAACCTGGAGAATGGGCTAACATCTCAGAGTGTTGTTCCATACGCTGAGCTATCCAAGATTGACCAATACGCACTGTCTAAGTTGTACCAGATGCAGGATGAGGTGTTGTCACTCTACGACGAGTACAACTTCAGCAGGGCTTTCAAGGTGTTTTCAAACCACCTGAATGTTGAAGCATCTGCGATCTACTTCGATGCCATTAAAGACAGACTGTATGCAGATTCGCTAGAATCTGTTGACCGTCTCAGTGCACAGACCGTCCTTGCTGAGTTTCTCAAGGTGTACGCTACAGTTCTATCTCCACTGCTGCCATTGATTACACAAGAGGTCTGGGATTACACACCTGAATGGATCAAGCAGGGAACACCACACCCACTGTCACTTGGAGTTGTTAAGTACGATCCACAGTGGAAAAACGAACACTTGGAGAGCCAATTCGGCAAGGTGTTTGAGATCAAGGACAAGATTCTACTGTTACAGGAGCACGGCCGGAAACAGGAAAAGACCATCAAGAACTCGCTTGAGAATGCCATCTACTTAACCACTGCCGAAGGCTCAAAGATCCACTCATTACTGCTCCAATTGGCCCCTGAGCTTGCAGACGTGTTCCGTGTGTCATCTGTCCATCTCAACGAGGAGCCTCCAGCCGGCACGGCCTACAGATACGACGGCGAAGCCGTCGTTGACGGTGACACCATCGCCATCTCCGTCGTCCCTTCAGTCCACGCCAAATGTCCTAGATGCTGGAACTACACCGCACCTTCCGAGGAGCAGCTGTGCACGAGATGTCAACACGTTATAGCTCAATGAGCACCGTCTACTGTATATACACACATATGCCACTCCTGGCTAGAACACCCGACAATAGAAATGTACATAGTTCTTTGGCATATTCACCGTGGTGTGTCGTTGTAGCGAGGGAAAAATTGCTAGGCCGGAGCCTTCCGGGCTCGCCTTCCACACCACCATTGAACAGGCAAGAACACACGGAGAATCACGTTAAAAGGAACAATGTTTAGGCTCATGAGACCCACTGGCTTGCTCAGAGGCACACCATCTTCATATGGCTTGCTGTCATCGTCGAGGATCCTGCAACAGCGCTCTATCCACTACACAGTCGCCAGACTGTGCCCTTCGAAGGACCCGTTCAAGGAGCTGGAGACGTCACCACAACGTCCAATTGAGGTCGAGCCGGTGAAGAAGGAGCACCAGAGCAGCAAGCACAGTGCCAGGGCCAATGCCATCGTGGCCAGGCTGCCCAAGAGGCTCCAGAAGTACGGAGAACGGTTGGTGAATGCCCCAGTGGCGCATCTCACTAGCTTTGTCATTCTCCATGAGTTCAGCGCAATTGTCCCCCTGTTTGGCCTGTGGTATGCCTTCCATCACTGGGGGTTCCTGCCGGCTGACATCCCATCGTGGATGCTGCTGAAGGGCTCAGAGGTTGTCGAGAAGATTGTGAGTTGCTGTGTGCCCGGCGTTGTGGCCTATCATCACGTACTAACAGAATACCCATAGCTCGGCGAAACAGTCGCTGACATGTCCATTCAGGAGCGCACACGCCTCGTGCTCGAAGGAGCCACGGCCTATGGCATCGTCAAGGCCACCTTCCCACTGAGAGTGATGTTCAGCATCTTCCTGACCCCGTGGTTTGCCAGAGTGTTTGTCGTTCCTGGCCTCAGCGGGCTCCAGAAGCTCTTTGCCCTGATTAGAGGCACGAAGTGAGTGTATATAGACCATAGTATTTATTCTGGCTTCTGTCTAGCCATACGAGGCATGGGCTAAAGCCATTTATATAGCTAACAGGACCGAGCAGGCCCAATTGGTGCTGTATTAGCGAGTAGAGCCCTTGGAGGCCATTGCCATACAAAAACCCGCACACACTCCTCGAACATCAACATCTCTTCACAACATCAACAGATGGAGAGAATACACCAGAACACACACACAGGGGCCTGTACACACGGAGATGTCGCTCGTACTACGAAGATCACTGCGTAGTGGCACACCACTGCTGGAGAAGAGGCTGGCTTCAGCGGGAAAGGACCACGTTGACCTGTTTGATGATGCTAGGAGGGTATTAAGAGAAGAAAGAGAAGCAGCAGGTAGAGACGGCGGTCCGCAGTTCAGAAACGTCTCGACACCGAAACCACACGCTGAGAGCAAGAGGAGGCCACCCACGAACGCCATATCCAAGCTTCATAGGGCCGGTAAGCAGGAGTTGAAGGATATTCTTCGAGTTGTGTCTCATGAGGCGCCCTCGTTCAGTGAGAACACTACAAAACTGAGCGAGGACGTTGAAGTCAGCGTCGAGAGGTTGAAGATGCTTCAGGAGCAGGTGGAGAGGAACCACCAAAGGGAGAAGGCGTTCCAGGTGAAGGATGATATCCACTTCCAACGGGAAGAGCTGGAGGACTTCCTCCGTGATGCACAGGACAAGAAGCTCAGAGATGAACAGCAGCACTTCCTGGAGGTCAAGAGGTTTGAGACGATCCAGAACATGAGCAGCTCCCGGACCTTGGAGAAGAGGAACTTCTTCTCTCCTGTGAATGAGCAATTGCTCGGATCCATAAGGAAAAGAAGCATTCCAAGATTTGTACAGACCGGAGGGAGCGATGACGACTTGTTCTTCCCAACGCTACCAACGAGGGCGATGCAATTGACCGATCCATCGATAACACACGAGTTCATGGTCATATTCGAAGGCAAACGGATAGTCACATCTGAAAACCCCCTGGGACCTCATTACAGAGCCCCTGACCTCATGACCATATTCCAGAAATTGGGTGACAATTCCAAGGTCTGGAAACAAGTCAACAAGCTCTCCAACGACAAGTGGAAGCTGATTGGCCTTCAGAATGTTAACCACTCGAAGAACGTGCTGGTGTTTGAAAGGTTCATTGACAAGAACGAGGAAGCACAGATCTTGAAGAGGAAACAGTTCAAGACACTGGCCTACATCTTAGCAGGGTCCACAGCGATGTTGTGTGGCCTCGGCCTCTACATTGGATAAGCGATCTGGACGTCTATTAACATAGTGGATTACTCCTTCATCTCCTTGTCTTCCTTTGGTAGCTCCTTAGTGTCCTTCGATAAGAAGATATACTTGAACTTGTTCAGCATACCACCTGTCCCATTCCACGCTCTGAGAAGCTCCACTGTGAGTTTATCGCTGAGATCTGGGATCTCATACCCGGTGGTGTACTCTGACCACTCGTGCTTCTTCTTATTCTCCAGCAGCAGCTGTCTATTCGTCGGAGGACGTCCCTTACGTCTCTCGCTCTGTAGCCTGTCAATCTCATCGTCATCTCTCGAGAGGAACGCCTCTACAAATAGCTTCATATCCTCCAATTGGAAGGTCTCCTGGTCCGGTCTGTTTTTCACAGCATCCTGTAGGAACACGAACCTCAACCTCTCGTGCTCCTTGCGCTCAACGTGCTCCAGCTTCTTACTCTGTATCTTCTGCTCTCGCAGCGTAGCCCTGTTGAGCTGTTTGAACTTACGGCCCTTTGGGTGCATCGCACCCTTGGACTTCTGTATCGTCTTCTGGACCTTGGTGAGAGAATGCTGGATAGGCATGCTGCTAAGTGTACGCTATAGATACCTCAACACTGTTGATGTTACAGAGATCAAGAGGCCATTGAAGGGAAAGAGAGAAGAGCTCATCGCTTCGTACAAATTTTCCCATGACGAAAAATAGCGAAAATACACCCAATTGGGTAATTACCGTAATAGGAAACATTTTTTTTTCAACGAAAATTGACGAAAAAAAAAGTTGCGTTGGCCAGCGAACGACTGAAGAAAGCGTCTTCTGCTTCTTGTTCCCTTTGTCTTTCTCTTTCAATCAAGTCGAAGTCTGTGAGGAAATAGGAAATGGTTCTCAAGAAGTACACCCAGGAGGAGCTCGTTGAGTTGCGTGATCACGCTGTTGTTCCAAGCCAGTTTGACTTTGAGGAGTTCACCAAGTCAATTGAAGAGCAACGCGCCATTCAAGAGGAGGAGCTTCAGCACCACCACCACGAAGGCAGTGGTAGAAGACGTTCATCCCACCACCTCACAAGACCAGCCTTCAAGCCAAGAAAGCCAAAGGCACTTCCACCACAGCCGGATGCCGATGGCTGGGTCACTCTGAACAAGAAGAACTCTGTTTCTGGTGAGGAAGCCACACAGTCAAGAGACAAGTTCAGAGAGCATGTCAAGGAGCAAGGAGCTTCTCAGCAGTATGCTAGACCAAACAATAAGAACATTGGCTCCTCGAAGCCTGCGGACGCTAGGGATATCACCGATAAGCCAAAGACAACCTTCAACGCGTTTGCAGCTCTTGGTTCGGATGATGACGAAGACGATGACGATGACGAAGAGGAGGAGGATGAAGAGTAAGCACATCTCAACAGCGCTATGGATATATGGTATATGGACGAGTGTGGGGTTTCGGGTGATTGGAAACAAACTTCTAGAAGGCTGTTTCATATAAACTTGATGGTGTCTCCTTTCATCTCAAGCCATGTTGAAATCTTTTCTCTCTCTCTCGTTTCTTTATACAATACAAAGGAAGATGTACAAGCCAAACATGTTTTCCCCTACACAATCAACGTTAATCACATTGTTCTCTCTTTCTTCTTGTTTTCTTTGTTCTTTACATACATCACAAAAGGACAGGTATTTGATTTCCACCAATAAAAACACTGCAAAAATAAAACGTAATAAAAGAACGAATCATCTTTTTTTATCTGGCTTTTGTATAGTACATGTAGTGTGCTGAATATCATTGTTTAACGTGAATGATGTCTGGGTGGAATAGCACACACGAGCTTCTTATTCTTACCTGCGAACACTTAATGTTCCTCTATCGTCTAGTCCGGCATCAAATGATAAGTCATTCAATATCGTTGATACATCATTAGTTTTCAGTGAAGTTCCACCATTGACGTTGCCATAAGAATTAACCCTCCCCAGAGCTCCACCACTAACAACGTGGCGTAATTGATCAACCCTTGGGACGTTAAGCTTACCCATCATTAGTGATCTAGCAGAAAGAGGTGCAGAACGAATCGATCCACAATCACCGTTATGAATCAATTGTTGTGGTTGTACCAACATCGCAAGTGAAACATTTGTGGATCCGTTTGGGGAAGCAAAGGAAAGGTCCTGTGTGGTATCGTTACCTTCATAATGGCCATTTTCACATGTTTCATCATGTTCTTCATCATGACCACAGTCACCATTGTGGGATCCATAACGATAATGACCCCTAAACATAATATCAATGTAGTTCTTGAGCTCTGAATGTTGAGAAAGAACAGATTTAAGATCATCTGCACTCAATTCAAAAATTGGTGTTAATTTACCTTCTTCAAATGGATACTTATTAGATATCCTCCAAAGTTGCTTGCCCTTACGGTAGTCAATACGGGACAATACGAGTTCCTCTAAATCGATGTACTTCAATTCTTGAGAACATTTCCACAAGAGCGTCAATGCTAAATTGTCTTTCATGATTTCTTCAACCTCTTCACTTTGTTCATTCTCCAGCAACCATTGCAATACAAATGGAACTGCGTTGACCAATGCATTTATTCCAAACCTTCTTGCAAAAAGTTCAAGCAGCTTGATAGAGGCAGCAAAGTTGATGGTATTGTCAAGGGTAGAATAGTGCTCAATGGCCTCGTAAAACTGATTCACAACACTTGTCTTGCCGTTGGTAATTAAATTATCGTAGTCTGGTTTTAAAACCCCGTTATCCGGTGAATACTCCGATCTTAAAACGATAATCAATATACCAGTATACTTCATTTGTATACGGAAATTATCTGCACTTGTAGCCTTGACATTGTTAAAAGATATCAACTCAAATGTATCAAAGAATAATTCAAGTGGAACAGTGGTTCGTTGCACAGCAGTGTTTTCATTGGCCACGGTCATTACACCTTTGATATCATCAAGCAATACTATGATCTCTTTGTTGCGTCCCTTCTTCACGTAATCCTTCAAGGTTACTGTCAACTCCGCAACCATATCAATAATTTGGTCTTGATAGTAGATGTGTGTTGCCAATGATGAAATCGGCTTATTATAAGCATCGATCAACTCCGTTGATGCCTCTGAGAGGGATGCTTTTAACTGAAGTTCCACAAGTTGGTGCACGTGGTCAATGACAGATAGACCCACCAAGTTCACAGAGGATGATAAGAGCCCAGCTGTCAAGTCTAGATATATTGTTTGTTTGGTTGAGCTGTTCTCCTTATGCAGCAGTCTCAATAAAATACTCAGAACAAGAAATCTCAACTGAACAGGGATCCAATTCGTAACCATCTCAATGATAGCAACTCTCCATTTTTGATCAACGTCACAACTAACTAAATATTCAGCCACGGCTCTGGTTGAGGATGTAATCTGATTTGCGGAAGTGGTATTAAAGAACGACTTCAACGCTCTAACTGCTAACTCATCAATCTTTACGTCAGATGCGATTTCCGGTTCTTCAGCTTTGCGTGTCGTGACAAATCTTGACAGTTCATGCTGTGACGACGCATGAGACTGGGTTCTTTTCAATATTTGATCCGAGTTGAAGTCCTGCTTGATCTCTTTCAACACCAAAGGAATAGAATGGTCAACCATCGAGCTCCCTTGGCCGGTAATTATGATCTTTGAAGACGCAAAACTTTCAATTGCCCTGAGCGAAATGGCCTGCCAATCAGCTTGATTGGAAGCCTGTTGTGTGGATCCAAGGTCAAAGAAGCTGCGAGTGACTGTACTAAAAGTGTCAATGAAGTCAAAGTCCCCTGTGAACAGCTCGGAATCAAGGGTTTTGCAGAGCGTTGAATAGACAGGCAAAGCGTGCTGACAGAGACCAAGATCCTTTGTTCCCAACACCGACAAGAGTATCGCATTGACATTCTCCGCGAACACGTTAACATCATCAGGACACTTCTTAATCAAGGCGTCGATAATCTCCAAGGTCACCTGGACGTTACCGGTTCTGCTTCTATACACATCACTGCTGTTCTTCTTCTCAAGGAACTTGCCAACCTTCTCAAGTTTGACACGGCGCGTCGATGCATAGTACAACAAATAGCTGAGCTCAGACGAGTTCGGCTTCTTATCTGCTCCTCTTCCAGATGGATAGCACTGGAGGATGAACCTCTGGTGTTTCGGTGTGAATATTTTCATTATGTCTGTTCTCCTCCCCTTTGCCTACGATGAATGGTAATCACCCCAATAAATGACTCTAAAGATACGCTTCTTCTCGGTTTCTGAGCAAGGACAGTTAAAGATCAACAACAGTGCCTTGTTCTGTGTATTGGAATCCGGCTACTTCTCTTCAATTCCGAATAAATGATGGGTTATTCTGCCCTCAGAGTGTCGGTTTTGTTGTCCTTTGTTACTGTGTTTTTTATTGTTTTGATTTTTGGCCGTATTTAAAATCAACAGCGGCTAACATACAAAAACATAAAAAACAGACGGTTTTGTGGTTTGTTGTCGGATTTGCGGTTTCCCGAGGGGTCTATACTGGTGTACGGGTGTTGGGGTGTACGGATGCTGTGGTAATATTTTTAGGCGTCTATTCACAAGCGGTTGTTGTATAGAGGCATCTCTTCTTTACGAGCGAGCGTTCACTACCCTCTGCTTTGCGATATGGTTCCGGTCTATGTTAAAGGTGGTGCTTGGTCCAACGTTGAAGGTGAGTTGGATATGGCTTCCCGTGCTCTTTCTCCGTGCTTAGCGGGGGAACTATGTTCTATGATACTAACACTTCAGTATAGACCAAATCTTGAAAGCAGCTGTTTCCAAGTATGGGCTTCAACAGTGGACTAGAGTCGCTTCATTATTAGCAAAGAAGACAGCGAAACAGGCCAAGGCTCGATGGAACGAATATCTTGATCCAAGGCTTCGTAAAGAAGACTGGTCGCCGGAAGAGGATGAGAAGTTGTTGAATCTTGCAAGGCTATTGCCGAATCAATGGAGATCGATTGCGGAGTCGTTTGGAAGAACCGCTGCACAATGTGTTGAAAGATACCAAACACTGCTGGATGAAACCTCTGGAAGCATGTCCTCAAATGACTTGGGGCTAACTGGCTCAAGTGCTGAGAACGCTGTGTCGATTGGCTCAACGAGCGTCCAGGTTGGTGATCTCAACATTGATGCAGAGACGAAGATTGCAAGACCAGATGCCGTTGACCTTGATGACGATGAAAAGGAGATGCTCTCAGAAGCTAGAGCTAGGTTGGCTAATACTAAGGGTAAGAAGGCAACTAGAAAGGAGAGGGAGAAGATGCTTGCAGAGAGTAAACGTATTGCCCTGTTACAGAAAAGACGTGATTTGAAACAGGCCGGTATAACAACGAAGCTTAGTGCCCCGAAAAAGAAGTATGCCACTCAAAAAGACTATAATGCGGATATAGTGTTTGAGCATAGACCCACTGAAGGATTCTACGATACTTCAGAGGAGATCCAAGCAAACGACAAGCAGCTGAATAAGTTTGAACGTGATGTGAATTATTCTGGGTTGGATTCTGATAAGCAAAAGAATAAAGAAAAAAGACCAAGAAATGAAACGAAGCCACAACAGAATAATGAGATCGAAAAGGCTCCTATTATTAACGTGGATGAAGCTTTCAAGAGAAGAAAACTGAATCTTCCAGAACCCGAGTTTAATGACGTTGAGATGGATGAGTTGTCGAAGAAGAGCGAAGAGCAGATTCAGGCCACCTTGGAAGAAAGAGTAACACGTGAACAGACACTGGATAATAAATTGAAAATAGCTGCAGAGAAGGTCAAGGAGTATACAACTGGCAACTCTGCTTTATTGATTACAGAGGAAGCTGATCTCTTGGAAGATGAAGATCATTCGATAATAAAAGAAGAAGCACCTATTCCTGAAAAGACAACAATTTCCATTCTTGACAAATTGGCTAACTTGCCTAAGCCAAAGAATGACTATGAAATTGAAATAGAGGAAAGAGCACCCAAGGCACCTGCCCCTCAGAGCAAAAATGTGATCCTGGAAGATGAAGGTGAAAGACAAAGGCTCGAGCAGGTTGCACGGAAACAGCAAGAACAAGCAGCACTTCTTAGAAGATCTTATGCGGTCCAAAAGGGCTTGCCTATTCCTGACCTGGACAGCTCATTCAAATTTAGAGAAGAGTCGAATATTGATAAGCAGATGATCACATTGATCAGATCAGACTATACGAGGTTCAAGAAACCTCAGGGAGCAAAAGTGATACCTGATCTGAATCAACACTTGAGGGAGGAAATCATCAAAGAGATGAAGAATCTCATAGATAGTGATGAGCTCAAACAATTCCAAGACCAATTTGTCGTTCAGCATACCAAGTCCTTCCAGCCAAATGTCGATCCCTCATCACTGATTGATGAGCTCAATTCAATGGTGGAAGAGTGCGCTGCAAGAGAAGAACAGATCAACCAAGACACCAACAACTACATCGAACAGCACAACACGCTATGGGAACAAAACATGGAGCTGCTACAAGAACTACAGGACGTTGATAGGGCTGAAGCTGCGTTCGAGATGCTCCATCAAGGTGAATTGATCTCGCTTGAGGCAAGAAGATCCCGCTTGAACGAAGAGACTGAGACGCTCATTGCATCCGAACAAAGAGCACAGCAGCTTCTGCTTGAGCTCAAACGTAACAGATCCTAATGATAATTGAAAGCCAAGTGCAATGAACTCATGATTTATACTGTAGTCGGAATTTACCCAATCGGGTGTAATGTGCATACCTCGGATCTTGCATTGTTTACATTTTGCAAAAGAACACAAAGGACAACTTGCTCTTGACATTAGACCACACAATTTGTATACCAAGCACCGTCTTCATCCCATATCATAGCTCTCTGCTGAGGAAATATGAGCACCAACCTGCTGTTTGTTCCCTACAGGAAGACGGAGCGTATCGAATTTGGTGCTGCTATTCGTGACATTATCTCTAAGGAATACTACCAGACACCATCAGCTTTTGAAGGCGACATCCGTGAAGTTGATACATTGAGGGGCGATATCATAGATCTTGGCTCTACGCCTCATGATTTGGCACTGCTGAAGCGATACTATGTTCACCTCTGTGCGTTAGAGGGCAAGTTTCCCAACGATCTGGTGGAGTTCCCATGGTATGGTACGTTGGGGTACCGCGTAACAGGGCCTGTGAAGTTGAAGAGTTTCTTCTTTGAGAGGCTAAACGTCCTGTATAACATTGCGTCGTTGTATACCCACATGGCACTGGAGCAGGATAGAAAGAATGATGAAGGCCTCAAGAAGGCATGTCTCTACTTCCAGTATGCTGCATCCCATTTTGCCTTGATCGTTAAACTATCAGAGAAGGAGACAAGTGTGACGTTGCCGTTGGACATGCAGAAAGATACCATTGAGACGCTCAAGTTCTTGAGTCTTGCCCAAGCACAAGAAGTGTTCTGGCAGAAGGCAACCGCTGACAAGGTGAAAGATTCTCTGGTGGCAAGATTAGCCATGCAGGTGAGCGATTTCTATAATGAAACGCTTCAATCTGCGAACCGTGGTGAAGGTTTCAGGACAGAGTGGATCAGCCACATAACAGTGAAGAAGGCACATTTTGAAGCAGTAGCCAACTTTAGAGCATCGCTTGCATCTGTGGCTTCGTCCAAGTATGGCGAGGAGGTATCCCATCTTCAAAGAGCGCAAAATGTCATCAACGGAGTATCACCGAATCTAAAATTTGTATCACAGGCAGTTGAACAAGACTTTGAAGGTCTCACGAAGATCATTTCTGAGACTTTAAGAACAGCAGAGAAGGATAACGACTTGATTTACTTACAGGACGTTCCACAAACTCCCCCACGAATCATCAGTGCCAATGTTACCAAAGATCTCCCACTTGACGAGATTGTCAAGCCAGCTGAAGCCCTGAAGACCGGTAGCTATGGAAAGCAGTTGTTCCGTGATCTTTTGCCATTTGACATCATACAGATCTCTCAAGCATATCGTGAACGTCAATCTGAATATGTCCAGCGTCATTTGGCGGTGCCTATTAAGTCACTAACAAAGATGTTACACGAATTCCTCTTTATGAGGAATCTTCCTAGTGCAGTTGAGACTGTTGACAAACCATTAGCCCTTCCAGTATCATTGCTGGACCATCAACAAGAGGTAAAGACCAAAGGAGGTGTTGTCAAACTGAAACGTGCTCTTAGAGACATTGAGAATCTATCAATGGATGGTGAGAGGTTGCTTGCCGGTGCCAATGATCGCCTGAAACTTGAAGCAGAAGAGGATGAGCTCCTTCGTCAAAGACAAGGCTCTAAACATTGGACTAGAGAGCCATCTGCAACTGCAGCTGCTCCATTCTATCAGCGCATCAAAGACCTAGAGAACTATTTAGCACAGGCAAAAAATGGTGATAAGACAATAAGAGAGCAGTTTAATTCTATTGAGTCACTTCTTGTTGTTTTGGCATCCTCAGAAGCTGAAATACGCAATTATATACCGAATTCAAAGGCTCGTCAACTGGATCCATCTTTGAGACGAGTTGTTGCTGAATTAAAAGAGTGTCTTTCAAAAGCTCGCAAACTGGAGTTTGAAAGAGACAACTTTCTTGAGGTGGTGGAAGTTAAGAGTGAACAGTATAACATATTACCAAAGATCGTCTCGGAATACAAAGCCATGCAACAAGACTTGAAAGATGTGAAACTGGACATGACATCATTTGAGCCCGTTTTTGGAAAGCACATCAAGAATTTCCAGAGTGATCTTGATTTCCTTGAATCGCAAAAGAAGACTCAAATAGAGTTAGAGCACAAGATCGACGACCTTGACAAGAAGTTTAATCACATGAATAGTTTGCAAGGCTCAAATGATGATAGGGCCAAGGTCTTGAAGAATTTGGACTTTGCTTACAACTCTTTTGTTGACCTTTTGAACAATGTTTCACAAGGTTTAAAGTTCTACAATGATTTTAACGCTCGTTGTCAAGGTTTAATCCAAGAAATTGATCAATTTGTTTCTAAAAGACGTGTTGAGGCTCGTGATATGGAGGCTGAGTTGAATAACAGATTCCAAGATATGAAGCTGAACTCTTCACCTCAAAAAGAAACACCAAAAGATAACATCACCATTCAACGTCCGCAATCACCAGCGTTGATAGCACCAAAGGCCAAACCCGCAAAGTCTAAGAGTGGATTGTGGAATCCAGACAGTGGTATCAAGTTCAATTGAAGAAAAAGGGTTGTCAACGTCAATGATGTTATTGTGATGTAGTTGTCTTATCTTTCTTTGCAAGCCATTCTTCGTATTCTCTTTTACGTTTGCCCCTGTTTAAGTTGGATCTATGTCTTTTACTCTTGAGGTGTATTTCAAATTGTTTATCACCAACAATGACTAAAGGTGAATCATCACTGTTATGACATACTTCACAAGTGATGTGCTTCCATTCTTTCAGCTTGTCCTTTGCTTCCTGCTGTCCCTTATTGGGAATAATATCAAACGGTAAAGACTTGGGGACCTGGCTCATTGTGGGCACCTTATCTTGGAGAAACTCTTCGGTGATAGATGCTCCTCTCTCAAATACGTTCTCGTTCCAGTGTGACAGGTCTGTGGCATCCAGAACATATAGCCTTCCTCCGTTTTCATATCCATGTTCCTCCTCTTGCTGAAGATCTGATGCAAACATACCCTTTATCCATTTTACTTGTTTTTTGGCGTACTGTCTCGTACGTGCCTTCATTTGTTCAGTGCATTCCCTTAATAGTTTATCGTCTGTTTGGCCATTTTCTAACCAAGGTAGGAACTCCTTGAAGCCAATGACTTGCCATACACCTCTCTCTAAATCAGGTTTTGGTTCGTGTGTTGAGTAGTATTCGTAGAGCTCTCTAATCTCCTGCATTCCTCCGTCTCTCAGCATCTTATCGACACGGTCGTCCAATCTCTTATCAAGTATTGTCTTTTCAGAGAAGAGCCAAAAGGGTAAGATGTTATAGTCCAAGGACGATTCAGAATGTGCAGACTGCTTCTGTTCGCTATAGTGTTCAGATGCACTCTTCTTTGTTGAGAAGTAAATCTCGAGAGCCCTTCTAATGCGACGTGTATCATTAGGATGAAACTTCTGGGCTACTAGTGGGTCATATCTCTGTAATTGTTGCAGTACACCCTCTGGTGGTCCATCGAGAATGTCTAGCTGTTCCTTTGTCAATTTTGAAGAGACGTTTTCAGCCTCTGTTGTATCGCGAGGTATTGTCTTGTTGTTGAATAGAAGTGCCTTCAAGTAATAATGCGTGCCACCGACAACGATGGGTAGTTTGCCTCTACTATGAATATCATCAATGGCCTCACCAGCTTCTTGAGAAAACCTGTGTATGAAATATTCCTCGTCCCATCCAACATGGTTCATCACATGGTGCACAACGCCTTCCCTCTCCTCCAAAGGATGTTTATTGGTGATGATTGGGGCACCTTTATACATTTGCATCGAGTCTGCATTGATAACCTCACCGTTAAACCTCTTTGCAAGCTCAATTGAGAACTTTTCATCGATTTGTTAGCCCAATCTGCTATATCAACATGTTACACACTTACTTGAGACTTGCCAACCCCTGTGGTCCCAACAATAACGACTACATCTTTTGGTTTGCCCATTATGAATCTCTTGATGTACTTCAGCATACAAACTCTACGCTACGGTGATGGAGCAAAGGTTTAATTAGAAAACTTCCAATGGCTAAAGTAGTGCGATGAGCTTACACGAGGCACTTGGCCATATGATGCACCCAGACACCAAATACCCAAACACCCGTACACCTACCCATCCGTACATCCATACACCCGTACATCCCACACACCTCATTGTCATCTCCAAAGATGGAAAGCAGATTCATCATCAACTAACCTCAAAAACAGCCTATAAAGTAGGACCACTGGAGTTCCTGCGCTCGTTGAAGTTGTCTGCCTAGAGGATACCGCTACGATACTTGAACATGGTGAGTAGTACCAGCAACAGGTTCTACATTTCGTGCTAACACTGCTTTCGCTCGATCAACAGGAACAGTACACCTGGGATGATGTTGAACCACTTCCGCTCAACATTGAAGACAGCTCAGTTGCTTCAATCTTGTATACGGATAAGTTTAAAACAGTGATGGGCCTATTTAGGGCACTGCAGCAGAAGGAGGAATACTCGGAACGTGCGCTGGCACTTACAGGCAGTGTGATTGAGCTGATCGCTGCGCATTATACGGTTTGGCAGTACCGCTACCAAATTATAATCCGATTGAATAAGGATATCAACAAGGAACTGGAATGGGTCGATGAGATAACACTGGACAATCCCAAGAATTACCAGATTTGGGGTTATAGGCAATCACTGTTGAAACATTTGAACATGCGTGATATACACCGTGATATCCCCATCATCGACGTGATGATCGAGGACGATCCGAAAAACTATCACGTCTGGTCATACCGTAAATGGTGTGTGCAATGGTGCGACGACTGGAGTAACGAGCTGCCATTTGTCGATAAGTGTCTCGAAAAGGATGTTTATAACAATTCAGCATGGTGCCATAGGTACTTTACAGTATGCCACGGTGAAAAACTCAGCGAACAAGTGTTTGATTACGAAGTTGAGTACACAATGGGCAAAATATCACTTGCTCCTCACAACGAATCCTCCTGGAACTACTTGGTGGGGCTGTTTGAAAAGGCTGATAAGTCTCTAATTCCCCTTGAAATTTTCGCTCAACGGTTTATCAAGATGGAAGGACCAAGTGACGCACACGAGATAAGCCTGTGGGCTTTTGAAGTGCTGACACGCATCTACAAAGAGAAAGGCGAGACGGCACAGGTGATTGAGAACTACGAGCTTCTAAGGGACAAGTACGACGTGATGAGAGCGAACTACTGGGACCACCAGAGGAAGCTGTTACTGAGCAACTGAAAGCACCACTAGAGCCCATCTCTCTGTGCTCATTGCTTCTGGAACCGTGCCTCCACATCCACCACCAGCACCATCACAAGACAATCTAACCGTGTGCTGTGCGACAAGGCCGAACAAAGCAAACGTATGTGTCATACATAATAGCTCCTCCGTCGCCCACACAGCACACCAGATGTGGTCGCAGAGCGTGGACACCACCCGCATCAGCACACTCAAATGACAACATCACGGTATATAATGATAACAACCAATCACATCGCTACAATTATCAATACACGAAGGCCTAATCAGCCTACTTAATCTACGCACAGTTCCCAATCTCCACGCCAACATCTAATCCCACTGGCACTTCCGTCCCTCACAACCCTGTGGGAATTGAACAGAGAAACAGCAGCGCACAGGCCAATTGATAGCACTGGACCAAAGACAAAGGAAAAGCCAAAGCCAAACAACACCTCAGATCGCTTCAAACGACTCCAAAAGGGGGAATTTTTCCAACAGAGGCCCCCATACGCCCAGCTGGAAAATGCCTGCTTATCATGTTTTGCGGAGCATGGAAAATTCCCCCGGAAAAACAGCTGCCTTGCTGCACCAGCGGAAAAACATCGATAATTCCTGTGGAGATTTTCCACTCTGCAGCGATGAGCAGATAGCGACGAGCAGATAGCGACGAGGATGATTAGGATTGTCTGCTGTGCGGTGGTAGCGGTGGTGATGGAAGAGGTGGCGATGGAAGAGGTGGCGATGGTGGCCGCAAGTATATAAGGAGGCTGATATCCTGCTGTTGGTGCTGCTTGGTCTGGCGTGGTGCTTCTACACAGTACCACAACAACTGCTTCTAACACTCTCTGTTGATCTGATACAATGGCTTCTGCTGCTACTGCTCCAACTGCTGCTGCTACCACCGCTGCCCGTCCAGGCGAGGACACCTCCAACCCTGAGGAGCTCCTTGCCGGCTCCCACACGCTGCCATCGTCATGGTGGTTTTCTGAGAAGATCTTTGACCTGGAGAAGCGTGCCATATTCATGAAGTCGTGGTTGTACACTGCGCACACCTCCACCTTTAAGAAGGCTGGAGACTACTACGCCTACAACTTCATGGGGATGCAATTCTTCCTCATCAAGAACAAGAAGGGCGAGATCAAGGCCTTCCACAACATCTGCCGTCACAGAGCGTACCCTGTGGTGAGAAAGCAAAAGGGCTCCTCCGTCGTGCTGGGCTGTCTCTACCATGGTTGGTCCTACAACACCGACGGTGACTTTACAAAGGCCCCACAGTTCGAGAACGTTACGGACTTTGACAAGACAGAGAACGGATTGTACCCAATCCGCACCCATGTCACTGACCAGGGTCTGATCTTCATCAACTTTGACAACTCGCCAGAAGGCCCAATGCCATTTGGCGAGTTCTTCAAGGGCCTTGAGGAGGAATTCCACGAGTTCGACTTCAGCGACTACGAGTACCACATGTCGTACGAGCTGGATGGTGAGTTCAACTGGAAGACGTTGATGGACGGCTACATGGAGTGCTACCACTGTCCAACTGCCCACCCTGGCCTGTCCCAAGCTTTCCACATGAACACCTACAACGTCATTCCAAAAGGCCGTTACGCTCGTCACTTCTGTGAGATCAAGCGTACGGAGGCTGCTCAGCCAGAGCCAAAGAAGGAGGAATCAAAGGGCTGGTTCGGCTTCGGTAAGCCACAAGAGGTCCAGGACAAGGTTGAAGAGAAGAAGAACGTTGGTGGTGAGTTTGATGGTTTGTGGATGTACCTGTTCCCAACCAACGGCATCAACTGCTACTCACCAGCCTGGTACTCCATCAGAGTGTTGCCAATCTCTCCATCCCACACGATCTTGCAATACGACATCTTCACCAAGAAGGGCTTGCCAGAGGCTGAGAAGAAGGAGTTTGTCGACTTCTTGCAACAGGTTGAGATCGAGGACTTTGACCTCTGTGTGAAGACTCAGAAGAACTTGAACCAAGGCCTGTACTCCACTGGCTTCCTTCACCCACAGAAGGAGAGAGGTGTTGTGTTTTACCAGAACCTGGTTAAGGACATGGTGAAGGAGCACTTTGCAAAGGAACAGGAAGCTGGCCACCAGATAAACCCAGCAAAGCTTGGTGCTGATAAAGGTGGTGCGGAAACCGATGAGCTCGAGCACATCTGTAAGAGCTTGGAATGTCAAGGCTCTAACCCTGAGACCTTTGCAAAGGAGCTGAACTGGTGATTTAGCAGACGGAGTGGATGAGTTCTGTGGAGTATATTATTATATAGCTGGTTTTTCTATATGGTTGTTGATACATATTTATCTTGATATGCGCTGTAGTGTGGAATGACGGGGTTGTGAGGTGGAGGAGCCCATCAACTGATTTTAGAGCCCATCAACTCATTTTAGAGCTCATCAACTGATTTTATAGCTCATCAACTGATTTTAGAGCCCATAAACCATCTATAAAGTCCATTGATTAGTTCCACAGCCCACCAACCATCTCTAAAGCCCATCCACCAGCCACAGCGCTCCAATCACCTCAAAGCTCATCCCTCAGATACTTCGCCTTGTTGCTCACACCTCCTGGCATCACAACAACGTAATCAATGACCAAATCACCAAACTCTTCGGCGTGGTGATCTGGCCGTGGCATCCCCTTGCCCTTTATAACCTCGATCTCTCCACTCATAACGCTCTTGCCCGAAGGTCTTGATAGGGTGATGTTTTCGTCATCAAAGAACATCAATTCACGTCTCCAGCCACCAGCCACTGCCTCCTTAAGCGTCAAGGCCTCGGTTCTGTATAAGTTGTCACCACGTCTTCTGTAGCCGTAGGACTCCTTCCCACTTTCTCTCACCAAAATCTTCAAATCACCACTCACATGGTCTGGAGAATGGTTGCTTTCGCCTGATAGCACATGGACGTGGTCTCTACTGGTGCCTGGCTCCACGAAGATGTCATACTGTCTTTTACCACGCACAACACCTTGTCCGTTACAGGTGGAACACTTATGCTGGATTGTCTTGCCCTTTCCGTGACATTGATCACAGGTGGTCTGGATCTGCTGGAACATCCCTGGCGCCAGCTGTCTCTTGACGATCCTGACTCCACTCCCGTTACACGTGCTACACGTATGGGTCTTGTTGTCCTTCGAGCCTGTTCCAGAACAGGTCCCACAGAGGTTTTGCATCTCCACGGTGAACTGGAAGGTCTCACCGAGATAGAAGTCCTTCAGCGAGACATCCACTGCCACTTCGGTATCTGAGCCTCGTGGCTTCTGATTACGCTGCTGCTGCTGCTGGTGTCTTCCAAAGCCAAAGAAGTCACCAAAAGGGTCAAACCCTCCACCACCACCACCACCACGGCCACCTTGTCCGCCGTTCTTCAGCCCATCCGCACCGTACCGATCATACACGCCACGCTTCTCGTCGTCGCTCAGCACCTCGTACGCCTCTCCGATCTCAATGAACTTCTGGTGAGCCTCCTCGTTCCCAGGGTTCTTATCCGGGTGGTACTTCTTCGACAGGTTGCGGTACGCAGACTTGATCTCCTTCTCAGACGCCTGCTTAGACACCCCCAGCACGCCGTAGTAGTCGATCTCACACGTCACAACTGTCAGCAGCACCGTGAACAGGGCCAAGATGTTCCACTTCATCGTTGTTCTCGCTCTTTAGGCTGCCTTCTGGCCCCCGTTGCGTGCAATGTTGAGTTGATGTGTATGTGTCGTTTTCAGCTCCTGGCGGTGGATGCTGAGCGCCCGGTTTGTACCGTTGTTGCCCTGGCAACCGGGACAGGATTGAAATTTTTCACCTCATCACCGAGATGCGATGAGCTTATCAACCTCATGGCTGCTGTGTATGAGGTGAGAGGGCACGGGAGATGCGGGAGATTGTGACTGTATCGCAGTCTCAGAGGAGCAACCACCTGGCGACGCAGTTCTACAACTGCCAGGACTCGTTGATTGAGTATTCTAGGTGGAAGGAGTCGAGAAACGACCCTCTGGTGCACTTCCGTGCGACGGTGACGGCGTCCACGATCTCTTTCAATCCACGGGCGCTGCTGTGGGAGCTGAGTGGTGGCTACGGTGCGCTGGGACAGTACGAGTACTTTGGTGGTGACTGTGGTGACTGTGGCGAGGAATTGGAGCAGAGGCACGAGTCAATTGTGCGGAAGCCGGTGGTGAAGAGTGCGTACCAGGTTGCGCTTGATAACGGTACACAGGCCCCGAAGCTGACGATGGAGTCGACCAGGTACTGGTCTGACTACTCCAGGGTGATTTACGAGCCTAATTCGTTCAGTACTCTGACCAATTGGGAGTTTGACCCTGATGAATGCCCTGAAGGCCGGCTGGCGATGGGGAAAGAGAGGTCGTTCAAGGGGTTCGACGTGGGAGTGGAAGAATGGGCCAATGTTGGAGAGGACTTCCTGGAGGACAAGCTCAGGGTGTCCCTGGAGCATTGTGATCTGCTCAATGGGCTGAATATCGTCACAGAGCTCGACTCGTCGTGGGGAGCGTTCTCCTCTGAGCTTGTAGAGGCGATCAGAGACGATTATAGTCCGAAAAGCTCTATAGTGACATGGGCCATCCACAAGCCTGGCTCACAGAGGCTGGCTCTCCAGGAACGTCTTGATAGAATCAAGACGTTCATGGCATTACAAAGAAGCTGTACAGCCTTTATACCCTTGTCAGAGATGGATCAAGAAAGTATGTGGATAAGTGCAGCTATTCAGTGTATTCCATTTGACACTTTCCAGACGATGAACTCAGAAAAGGCACAGGCTGGAATGAATTTCCATACTATGCTACAGTCACTGTCACTGGGATCAGATCGTCACTTGGTGTCTGGAGTCAATGCCACCAACGGTGATGATGCCTGGCAATTCAGTGATTTGCTCTACAACGGTGAGGACAGTGGGCATAGGTTCAGTGAGATGAACATCACCAGGCCTGCCAGCGATGGCTCTTCACTGGATCACCAACCAGAGGAGGTTGATAGAACAACTACTAATTATACCATGGAACAGTGCTTCAATCCGCCTGATTCTTATCCTGAAGGGCTGATATCCTCTGAGCATCCTATGGGAGTGACATTCAGCGTAGATAAATCAACGAGGGCCAAGCTGGTCGACATGAGGAAATGTGTCGAACGTCTTCTTCGTCATGGTGATGAGAGACATGGTCTGGTGGATGAGCTGGATACACTGGCTCAGAGGTATGAGCATGGCTGGGAAGACGACGAAGAGGACTTTGACGATTGATCTCTGTCAATTGTAATTACCAGGTGTTCCACCACTTACAACACATAGCCTAATACACGGTTCCTTTAGATCATGGACGTTACATTAGTAATACATACAACCAGCGAATCAAGCTGGTCCCCCTTCCCTTCCAGTTTTATAGTAACAGTTTTACATTTCCCAGTCGCAATCGATGTCAGCATCCTCGTGAGAATGATCATACAGGGAATAGTTCACATTCACTATATTCTCCTCGTGTAAGTGATAGCTCCTGTTGATCTCTCTGTACCCTTCTATCATGTAGGATTCAACCTCTACTGATGGAGAAGGTGAAGGAATCATCGGCACGCTTTCCCTTACCTGCTTCTCCTCGGGCGCAGGCGCAAAGGTGCTCAAGTTTATATCGTTGTCCAGCGTTGCCTTTTCACTCTTTCCCTCCTTAATCACCTTAATCATGCCGAAGGGACTCTGTTGAACCACGCCGCCTTGTGGTAGCTGGAAGATTGGCCAATCACAGCGCACTGGCTCTTGAGATCCTGGCTCATCCTCAGCAGTAACCGCGTGTCTCAGCTTCTTCGTCACACCACCATCATCATCACGCTTCCGTTTCTGTACTCGCTTGCTCTGTCTATGGGCAGTCGGGCTCTGGTGGTACGAGCTGGTGACTGTGCCGTGGTGAAGCTGATGGTGCTGATGGCTTGTGCTGAGAGGTGACTGTGGCAGTGAATGTGGGTACTGGTGTTGGTACGACTGTGACTGTGGAGACGGTGAGTAGTGCGACACCGTCGGTGAGAACAGCTGCGTGTTCTCCATGAACCACGCGTCCTGTGACACCATATCAGGACGTGGTGATGAATGGTCGAGGAAGAGCATTCTATATGAGAGGATCTGGCCCTGGATGATGAGACTTGTCTAACGAGATATGGATATACACAGCCACACACCACTTTGGAGTCCAAGTACGAGGTCTCAGACAGTGAGAAGGAATGGGAATGTATAGCTGAAGCAGAGAAAGAGAAGTGAGTGGAAGGAGAGAGAGGAAGAAGCCCTCGGTGGTGCTGCTACTGGTGATGTTTGCGGGTGTCTGGATGTACCGTTTTGGCTTTGTTTATCTGCTTCCCAAAGCGGACGTTGGGGGAGGGGGGGGGTAGGCTTATGTAAGCAGACAGTAATGTGGTGTGCGGGTGTGTGGGCTTATGTAAGCAGATAGTACTGTGATGTTCGGGTGTTCTCGTGTGGCGAGGGTCATCTCGTGGTGTCCGGGTGTTTTGCACCATCTCTTTGAGCTTTCTCTGTTATTTTCTACCTCACTCTGCTCTGCTAAGGCCATAGCTTTCTAAGCAAACTCACGTTCACTCTTCTCTCTCTCTCGTGGGCGCTCAGCACCTTGAAATATGAACGATGATGCCATAACAACCGAGTTCAAGAACGCTGCCAGGTCTGTGGCGGCTCTGTATAAGCTGTCGACGCTGAACAGTGCGGCGATGAAGTCACAAGGGTACCTTGAGTGCCTTGAAGATCTATTGATGGTGATCAAATCTAACGAAGACGTCCAGGAGTGGGCGCTGCGGAAGAAACTACAGCTGGAATGTGCTACCGGCCTGCCGGCCAGTCACGATACGGATGTACGGGCACAGCATGATACTGCAAAGAGCGCAGAGTCCACCACAGCTGCTACTTCCTCATCACTTGTGATTCCAGATGACTATAGCTTCACCATGGAGTCTTCGCCTGGTTGTCATAAGTTCCCGCCCTCCAATCCGATACTGAGTGTAGAAAGACGGAATTCTCGTGTAAAGAAAGACCACCGACGGTTGAAACAGGTCGATAGTGACCTCAGTAGTGTTGATGAGACTGCTGCCTTGGAAGACACCGAGTTGGGCTATCAGCAAAGGGACGAGGATTCACTAAAGAGAAAGGCATTCATGGAGAGCCATGGCAATAAGAAAACAAAGCATTAGGACACTCTATTTGATCACGAACTGGTACCCCAATATCAACATCTCTGGGATACGCTACGATACTTAATCAGTCGCATATATAAGTAGCTTTATACTTGTACGAATACACGAACTCCATAACATCAAACCAAAATATACCAATCAAAGCTGACATGTATACAATACCCACCACTGGGGCTTCAAGGAGAGTCCCGTGGATCAACTGTTCTTCCAGATGTTTTCGAAATAATGCTTAACGTATGCTAAAGGATGGTCTTCGTCCTGAGCCCCCATGGTACCAATACCAGGACTAAAGCTCGTGATTGGTAAAACGAGGATATCACTCATCAGTTTTGGAACTGTAAGCTTTGTGAAATCCTTCCATGTGATTTTGGAGAAGATACCACTTTGAACATAATCGTTGAAATAGGTAAACACAACATCGGTCCAAATACCGGCACCGGTCCATTCCAGGATGTCCAAGTTGTTATCAACTACTAATTCCTCATTGTTCTTCTTCTGTAATGTAATCTCTGTGATCTTTGCAACAACTTCTCTCAAGATTGGGTGTCCAGGTTTGGCTTGAATGACCCATTGACAAAATTGTAATCTTCTTGCATAGGTCTTTCTCCAGTCAGGGGTATCAGGGTCCGATTCAATACCGATTATCATGCCGATTTCATTAGGAGAAACGTTCTCAGGAATCCAATTTGGCACTGGCTGGAGAGGTAAGGTATCAACATCTGCATAGATTCCACCACGTGCAAGCAACAACAGATATCTAAAGAAGTCCATCTTGAGCACAATCGAAGGCAAGGCTTCATAGGCCTCAATCACTTCAGGGATTGTCACGTATAGATAGTGAATGATTGCATGTGAGGTATCATCGTTGAACAGCTCATGGACAAAACCAGGGTTCTTAACAGCCCACTGCATCTCACCTTCTTTGAACTTCTCCCCAAATCTATCATCATTCAGACCGTACTTCCAACTTTGCCAGATATAAGCAGGGAACTTCTTGCTCTGGTCGTACGGGAACAAGAATGCCAGCTTCTCCCTCAAGGTAGAATCAGCAGGAGGACGACGCAACTCTTGGATCTTCTTCTCGAGAACTTTACGATCAGCCTCCAGCTGTGAGATACGCTCGTCCTGTTGTTTCACCAGCCTGTCGGCGATCTGCTCAAGCCTATCCGCAAGCTGGTTCTCCCTATTGGAGCTCAACCCAAGCATGTTTTCATTTGGAATCTGCTTCAGAACCTCTTGAAGATCAGGGGCAGACGTCTTGGATAACTTGTAAAGAACACCCACAATCGTCAGCAGTGAAACCACCACCACAATCAGCCTCTTCATCGGATTCAATAGCCCAACCATTATGAATTAACAGCACTTAGCGGTCTCTATAACGTCCCTTCGCCGTGGTCTTAAACGTTTGGCAAAATGTAAACAAATTTTCGATTCGATCGACTAAAGATGAAAAACTGAAATCAAACGCGCACGCGCTCATAATCTACAAACACCTGGACACCATCACTACACACTATCAGAGGGTCAATATACCAATGCAAAAGACATTTGATTCTAGTAGACTGGGGGGTTTTGGTATGTATGAGTGTTATTTTGGAAAGGCACTTCTCTGTCTATGTATAAGGATCGTTACACTGGTAAACTCGCTCGTATGGTGGAGCCCATCATGACTTCAACTGTATGACAAATTGAACAAAGTACTTCTTGAATGCCTTTGCGTCCAAATTAGCCAGGTTTTGGATCAAATCGTCACCAACGTTCTGGGGAAGTTGGATACGTGGGAAATAGATCTCCCTGAGGTACTGTACCAGGTCTTGCTGCTTGACGGTGAACAAAGTCTTCAAGATCTGTGCCAACTCATCCACGACAAATCTATACTGGGCGTCTTTGACGTCGAATTTAGAGTTTTGAAATGGAATCTCGAAACTGAGGTTGACCAAGTTCTCCAATAGGAAAGATGAGATGCCCTGAATGGTTAGTCCCGTGGCATATTTGTCCTTGGAATCGTTGACAGTATCGTTACCGAAAATGGTGGTGAAATTCTCCAAAGCTGTGAGGGAAAATTTGGCAACTTGAAGGTCCTCCAAGTTGTTTGCATCCAGCAGCAGACTTTGCAAAATTGTTGGTAAATTGGACTTGTTCGTCTCTGTGATTAACAAACTTGAAACGTTGTTCGTTTGAAGTGCTATTAAAAGTGAGATGTATGCCTTCTTTAGGAACGACTTCTCCCTGATGATATCCGGCATTAACTCATAAACGTTGTTCTCACCCTTGTCGTTAACCATTTGGAATACTTTATCAGAGAGTGGCGTGAACAAATCGTTGAGCAACTGATAGATAAGATCATCCTTGTTGAAATTGTGAACAATTTGCCCAATAAATCCAAGGAAATCGGTCAGCTCGCTAAACTTCAAGTTGTTTGAGGCCAAAATGATAGAAATAAGACGCGAAAGGTAGGTATTAATACTTGATTTTAGAATTGGAATGAATCTTGCAAACGAAAATCTGGCTGCGTCTCTGATGCCCTCATTAGAGCTCAAATTCTCTAGAGTCACCAAAACAACCTCAGCAGTGTTTTTGAATCTCTCGATGATCTCAGCATTATAGACTTTGTTTGGTACAGTATCATACTCGAATCCTCTGGCAATGGTACCAATTGCCATTAAGAGATGGTGTGCTTGTAGTATTGTCTTTGGGCTTCTGTCGTTTGAAGAGATGATATTTTGCAAACTCAAGAAAATTGGGTTGAATAACATATCCATCAACTTCAACTTCATGCTGATATTGTCCTTGTTGTGCAATGAAATTAATAATCCCAAGGTTTCGAATAGGTACAACTGGTTGTCAAACTTTGACGACGCTTCAACCAGTTCTGAATCATCATCCTTTTGAGGCAATTCAGCTTCAATCACAAGTAGAGTCTGCGAAAGGTCAGTCACAAGTTCCTGGATAAGATTATCGTTCAATTCAGGTTTGGTCAACTTGGCAAATCTAAAGAATAGATACCAACATCTCATCTGAACCATTTCGTTATTGTTGTGCAATCCCAATGATATAAACAAGTTGAGAATATGACTGGTCAACTCATCCTTGTTATTAGAACTGTTCAACAATGTGTAATGACGAACAATGAGTTCAAAGAAGAGCAGATGGATTAATGGATGGTTTATTTGGATCACGTTAGAATTGATGGTTTTCAAGAGCATCTCTTGGAACATTAAGTACGGTTTAGAACCGATGATCTGTTGTTTTGGAATGTTCATGGTATTCTGTCTCAAACTGTCTGAAAAGCTCGTCAATTCGTACAATCCTAATTCCACTTGTCTCCAGTCTTGTCCGTTGGATTCAAATATGGATTGGTTAATAACAGCAAACATTTGTTCCATGTAGATATCTGGACATGTACTTGCAATAGTATCTTGGAAAACTCTGAGTCTACCTCTAAACTCATTGAACTCTTGGATTGTATCCTCATCTTCACCGTCATCATCATCATCAAATTTCATCTTCACTATGATCTTTTGTAGCAAAGTTGTAAGCAACTCCATATGTGTAGGTGAGATTTGACCACCGGATTGTTTCACTAATTTTTTCAATGCAGTTAGGAAAGCTGACAAGAATGGGAACACCTGACATGAAACATCATCGTACTCATTCGACAGGAAATTCAAAATGAATGGCGAAACTGCAAGGATGCTTTCATTTGCAGCAGTTTTCGTCTCTGGTGTGGCCTCGGAAGAATCCAATATATAACTCAATTCCAATCCAATACTGTTGTACAACTTAGCAACGCTCTCCACTGTATCTATGTCACTTGAGTCGATGTTCAAAGAGGCAACCACGGAAGTCAAGTTCAACATCGACAACAACTGTAACTTGCCCTCTGGTTTCATCTTCTTGCTGATGATTTCAGTTAGGGTAATACAACAAGTGGACTTTTGTCCTTCCTTGTTTAGGAATTGTAGGATTGTGTTTATGTAATCGGATGGAATAATCAAGCTGATTTCAATCCAAGAAACGTAGGCACCAATCACTTGAAGACAACCTTTCAAGATCTCCTGTGTTAGAGCAGAAGATCGATCTCTGAAATCTGTGAGGATGCGCTTCCAAACCAAGGCCAAATCAGCCATATCCGAGACCCTAATAGCATCTTTCAAGTTGTTATTTCTCTCTGTTGTTGTTCTTTCCCTAATGATCAATTGATCACCAATCTCCGAATGGATTGCCAAGAGGACCCTAACGTACTGATCCACCGCGATCTCATTCTCATTCTTGATCAACTGGTGGAAATCCGTGAAGAAGCACGTCCACGACGTCAAGTAAGTTGCACAGAAGCTGGCTGCAAATGCTTCAGCCAGTTTGTTCTTCAGGAATGCCGGATCGTACTTGTTGGCTGAAATCAGAGATTGCAAATACTCCAAGAGTGTACTCCTTATGTATGAGGAGCTGTCTCCTTGCAAAGTTGGGATGTAATCGCACAGCGCCTGTAGTGCTACAAAGCGCACTTGGTCGTTGTTGTTGACATCCTTCAACAGCAGTGCAAACGCTTGCCATCCATCTGGCGAGTTCTTGAGATCGTTCAAAAACTGAATCGCCTGTTGTTTCAGCTGGAAGTCAGCGGTACCACCAATGGCTATCTCCACTGCTTGCTTGATTTGCTCGTCCATCGATGTCCTCTCTTCGACGCTTTCTTCCTTTCCGCCTCTTTCGTTGTCCCTCTCTCTATCTTTCTTTATATGAGTGCGACTCTTCGAGAATGTTCTTCTGCCCCAATCAAACCAGAAAGTATAACCCAAAGAGTATTGAAAATAGCGTCGTTGTGTTTATCAGATACCAAGGATCTTAAATGAGTGTTCTACTACCGAAGCGCCGTGTTTAAACCTTTGCCGCTCTGTGTATCAAGACCAGCTCTTGTAGATTTGATCTCTCGAGACTTAGTTGATCTTTTTTTCAACCTTTTTTTTTCATCGCATTTGTGTACAAAAATTTTTGTTTGTTTGTTTTTCAGCCTGCGCGAAAATCAAATTTAGAGGCAATGCTACAATACTGAGAACTATCAAACTACCCACACAACGTAAGCCAATTGACACGGGTTTTGTTATCTTGGCTTATCCATCTGGATCTAACAATACATTGTGGTTTCGATGGTGTGACTGTGTGGTTGTGATTTGTGTAAAAAAGACGAGGACTGCAACTGCCCTGGCGCGTGATTTCAGAGAAGTGTGGCCGTCGCGGTAGGGTAACCCCATAGAACTACCTAGAGATGCCTAAATTCGGCGCTTGACGCTGTCTTCAAAGCCGTTGTAAACACGTAGATTGTAAAGCATCACCACGAGGAGGAGACACGCAATTGAACCTGGACGGAAGAAGTGATTGGCACGATGAACTTGAGACAACAGCTACAACAACTGCTCACGCTGCTCTATGTTGGCACCTCCGCGTATATGTTCTGGAAGGGGCTGTCTGTGGTTACGAACTCGTCTTCTCCAATAGTTGTTGTTCTGTCAGGCTCCATGGAGCCTGCGTTCCATAGAGGTGATGTTCTGCTGTTGTGGAACCGTAACGAGAGATCGAGGGTTGGAGACGTTGTGGTGTACGAGGTGAATCAGAAGGCCATTCCTATTGTCCACAGGGTGTTGAGAGAACACCATAATGACAAGAAGCAACTGCTACTGACAAAAGGTGATAACAACCCTGTTGACGATTTGGGACTATACGCACGCGGTCAGAACTATCTCAATAAGGATAAGGATATCGTCGGTACCGTGTATGGATACTTCCCATTTGTTGGTTATGTGACGATTCTCATAACAGAGAACCAGTACTTTAAGTATGGTTTATTAGGCCTCATCGCTTTATCCTCGTTGATCTCTGGTGAAGAGTGAAGCTTTGGTGCACATATATAAAGCAAATACAGCAAAAAGAAAACAGTGTGATATGCCCTGGCTTAGTAGTCTAGTTCCATAGCAGGTTCTGTCTCTTCGAATGGTCTCTTCTTTGACTTTGCCTGGTCCCTCTTCATCTGCACAACGTTTGAAATGATCTTCTTAACGTCAAACTCATGTTGAGATTCAGCATCAGCCTTAGCCTGTCTCAATCTCTCTATGAACTTATCAAACGTTGATCTTCTAGACTCCTCATCAGGAAGAGCCTCGTACTCAGGCTCCTTCTCCAACCGTGGCTGGATGAATTCCCATTTGGTGTCGACAGTAATCACCGGGTTTGCAAATATACGTAACAACTTCTTGAAATCTTCTTGACCTCTACGGATTTGACGTTCTTTGGCAAATTTATCACGTTCTGCTTGCTCCTTAGCATCTGCAACCAGTCTAGAATGGATCAGCTCTATAGTATCGTTGTCATAATCCTTTGTTAGCTCGTCCTTCTGCAAGATAGTAACCATCTCTTTCAACTGTTGATCCAAATCTCCCTCAGTTTGTACTTTGAATCCATTGTGGAACAGGATTTGTTCTGCAACACCTTGTTTGGCCTTTATCAACAATTCCTCTTCATCAATCGCATCTTGGAATAGCTCAAACGGCGTGGAACCGTTACGTCCCAACATATCCAGGAATCTATCATCTTCTTTGATAAGTTCGTAAATTTCATCCCATTTACTGTTGGCATTGAACAATTCACTCTCCTTCAACTCCCCAAGCAGCTCTTTGAATCCGTCACGAGCCTTACGGTCGGCTCTGTAGTTCTTACGAGCTTCAACCTGTACCAGCTTCATCTGCTGCTGTTCAATTTCAACAAGGTTCGATTCAAATAAAGTAATGAGGTCTAACTGGGTCAGCACTTCGAAATGTGTATTCTGTTCAAATCTCGGGTCCTGTTTGATCGTATCCAGAGTCGATTCCCATGTGGATGAGGCATTCAGACGAAGTGACTTAAAATAGTCGTTCAGCTCGCCTAGAGCTTGGCCCTTGAGCTTTGTTCTTTCATCAAGGCGTTGTTTCCTCAACGACTCAACGTAGTCTTGGAATGTCTGTTTCTTGACTCTCTCGCTTATCACAGAGTGGGCGTAGATAGGCTCATCCTGTAAGAGTTTCCTCGTTGTAGACCACCTTGTATAATACTTGATCTCCTTCTTGGACTCGAGGAGTTTAACAAACGCATCTTTGAACTTCTCCACGGAATTATTCTCCTTCATCAACTCCTCCTTCGTTCTGTTCGCTAGGTAGTTCTCAAACACCTGCTTCTTGTGCAAAGAGTCATCCACTGCCCAATACCGTGGGTCCAATATCAGCTCGTCAACAATCTTGGAAAAGGACCAGGTTGCATCAACGGCATTCTCTCTCAACAGCTCCACAAACATCTTATCAGCCTCCTCCTGCGTGCTCGGCTTGACAGTCTCTTTGAGCAGCGTAGAGTCGTTATGGTATTTCTCGCTGGAATCCGTCAACTTGGACCTATAGTTGATTCTCACCGTCACTTCAGCCGGCTTCTCTGCCACTTCCTCCTTCTCGCTCGCTTTCCCGTCACTCGCCTCCTCCCCTTGCTTGTCCCCAGCACCTTCTGCGCCATCCTGCTGCTCATCGAGCACTCGCTGAATCTCCTCAGGGATCTCCCACACACTCTCCTGACTCTTAACATTGTAATAGTACTCTCGCCCGTTCTCGGCCTTGTACTCTCTCCAGTCTGACTCTGCAAGCGCTCTTTCCAGCGGCGTCTGCAGCTCTACGGGCTTCTCCCACACAGACTGCTGTGTCTCATCGTTGAAGTAGTACGTCTTGCCGCTTTCATGCTGCACTGGTCTCCAAACCATCGTCGCTGTCCTACCAATTAACCCCCATCAACCACACAACAAGCAGTAGGAAGCATCGTTGAACTTTCAGGCCTATAGCGTAAGCCCCCAAAACGGTAATTTTCGCGCATGCCCATCGCCATTTTCCGCGAACTCGTTTGGCGGATCCAGCACCCGCGAATATTGCCTCTTTGGGCATGTCTCCCCTAGGCTTCCCGCCCTTTTCGGTTTACGTCCCGGGCCACCTACTAATTTCCCGTACTTAGCACTTGTCGACTCAGAGCTTCAAACAGTGCTGGAGCCCCCGTTCAATTGATACGAATCGATGGTGAGTGTGGTTACAGAGGAGTTTCTATGGCACTGACACTAACAAGGAGCGGATTCCCGGGGAAGTCTGTTTCCGGGCGATGGTGCTCTCCCTGGCGATGGTGCTTCCCCCTGGTGATGTTGATGATGATGTGGAAGGGAGCGAGGAGGCACCAGGCACCAGACACCAGGCACCAGGCACAAGGAAACAGCCATCCAGGGATGACACCGGCGTATAGTCACAATCACTACGTCCATACCTTTCTGCAGTGCGCAGCTCACTGACGGCAGCGCTTTGTCTCGAGGACTTTGCTTCGCAGATGGCTGAGAGACACAACAAGCCAGAAGTTGAGACCCAGAAGACGCTGGAGGCGTTGCTGAACCCGATGGTGATCGCCAGAAACGAGAACGAGCAGATACTGATCGAGTCCAGTATCAACAGTGTTAGAGTGTCCATCAAGATCAAACAGGCGGATGATATTGAGGAGATTCTGGTGCACAAGTTCACGAGATTCTTGACAGGCCGTGCAGAGCACTTCTTCATCCTGAGAAGAGCGCCAATTGAAGGCTACGACATCTCGTTCCTGATTACGAATTTCCACGCTGAGAAGATGCTGAAGCACAAGCTTGTGGACTTCATCATTGAGTTCATGGAGGACGTTGATAAGGAGATCAGCGAAATGAAGTTGTTCCTCAACGCCAGGGCTAGATTTGTTGCTGAGGCTTACTTGACGCCATTCGATTAGTTTGATTGAAAATAGCTAAATACACGGGTCTAATGACTCTTTGTGAAACTGATGCCGTCAGGGGATATGCCTACGGTTAACAGGCCTAGTTGGCCGATAGTGGTTACCAATTCTTTCGTAGTGCTTGTCTTGGTGGATCTCTGCTCCGCAGCTATCTTTAGTAGGGACTGGTAATTGATCTCCTCTGTGCTCTTTGTGCGCTGTAATGCCTCCTTCAGCTCAATCTTCAGAGACGATGAGGTCTTCAGGTTGAAGTATACACCGACAAGTGGGAAACTTTGTCTTTCGTTATCCACGATTGGTAGAATCAGTTGCGTTAGTGAGATAGCGTGCGGTGGTATACAGATGGATTTGATCACTCCGCCGTGGTCATTCGAGGATAGCTGTTTAAGGCGATCGAGGAGGTTCGAATCATTGTGCAAGATCTCTCCAAGTATCAAGGGATCCATATTCTTCATCATCAAGGACTCCGAGTTTTCCAAGGTCTTTATGCGTCGTACAATGCTGTTGTTAAACCTCTTATTCGTCAGAGAATTCGAAGAATCGTGGAGCAGAAGAACCACGGCACTCCTATTCAACCAATTCTTATAGCTCTTACGAATCTCCCTGTGTTTGAACCTGTTAAATATGGCTTCGATCTCACTGGGCAGGAAAGACTGTGTCCGAGGCCTCAGGCCTTCTGAGTAGGAAACTTTCAACGACGAGTCATACAAGGGCTCCAGCTCTCTCTTCAGCAGAGGATCGATGTTATCGAACGATTTCAGCAGCTCCCTCCCGGAGATTCCTTCGACGTATTGGTCGACAAACAACTTCCTCTCAATCATCTGCTTGTTTATGGGGTCTATATGTCTCAGCACATTCTGCACCGCAGCCCCGTTAATCACACGGTTTTCCTTAACAGCGCGTATTCTCTTCGGAACAAGAGGCTTAACACTAGGCGGCTTCATTCTGCGATCTCTTTTGGTGGGAAGAACCTCACTCCTCGAGGTGTTCATCACCGGTTTGAAGGGCATCGCTAACCAAAATTTGATCAGCGGGCACTGGTGCCCGGGTGTATCTACATCGGGCAACAGCTGTTACTACGGCAACGACATTTACGATGATGATGATGATATAAACACCGTTATGCTCTAATTCGAAGCTTCTTGAGCACCTCTTCAGCGTCATAGTCCAGCTCGTTCCACTCGATGTAGCCTCTGAGCCTTTCCTCAATCGACAGCCCATTCCAAGTCTCAATTGAGGAGTTGTCAGAGGTTTCGATGACGGGCATACCAATCTGCTCAATAGCTATGCCAGCAGCCAAGTTACCAGATATGCTTGCGATTTCCCAATCTCCATGGCTGAGTACAAATGCAGTGGATAAAGCTCCTATGAATGCGTTTCCTCCCCCTGTTGGATCAACGCACCTTTGGTGCGATTGATCCCTGTCGTTATGGAACGCTGGGAACCAGTGTGATGTACCAGCTGTGGTCAGCGTATAGCATCCCAATGGACCACATCTCAGCACAATGCCACTACCAGTTTTGAAGTGAGAGTTTGAGGTTAAGTACGGTAGGAATCTCGAGGCCAGCTGTTCCAGGGCTTCTTTGGTCGATGGCTCCTCTTCTCCAAAGAACCTCGATGCCTCTTCAGCATTTGGAGTTAGCACAGTGACATGTTTCAGGTTCTGTAGGCACTGATTGAGATGCTCTGGAGTACACAGATCTGGTACAGGTTCCCACGTGATTACTGGTGGTGGCACCGTCCCGTCAACGCGTGCCACGGTGAGCTTCCTGAGTATCGACTGACACCTCTCTGGAGAGCAGATAAGATGATACGACTGGGAGTACAGTAGCTGTCTGTGATCTATAAGGTCATCAACGTCAATGCGAAGCTTTGGAGTGAGATATTTGAATGCCCTAAACCCTCGAGCTCCATACATGTTCCAGCCCCTGGTGGTCAGCCTATCGGGAGTGTTTCTCCAAACACATCCAGTTTGCCAGCTCTCAAGGTACTCCTGAACCTCCACGGGAAAGTCGCTACCTTTATCAACAATCCATCCCACTGATGATGCCTTATCACCAGTCGTGATGACCCTTCCTCCCAGTGCACCGTAGGTGCCTCCTCCACCAATCACGTTGTACTGCGGCTCTAGCTGCGATTCCTCCGGGAAATGGATCTCATCGATGATGAACATCCCCATCGTGGTGAACAGAGCCATTGTTGCCTTGTCGTTTGGCTCCTATGCTCTCTTTGACTGGTTTATAGTGACAGTATTAGATGTGTTTCTCCTTCCTCCACCGCCATCCCCCACCAAACGCGAAAACGCGAAAAGACTGAGGAAGCGAAAACCTGGTGGACGCGTACTCATCCCTCAGCACAAGAAGGCGAGTGAGACATCATAGATCCACTGCCTGATTGTCTGATTTGGTTTAAAGATGTCTGCTGGGTTCTTCGGTAAGAGACAGGATGTCTCAAAGAGTTTGGAGCAGACAGATAGACAGCTTCCCTGGGTTGAGAAGTACCGTCCAAAGAACCTGGATGAGGTGAGCGCACAGGACCATGCTGTCACGGTGCTGAAGAAGACTCTTGAAAGTGCCAATCTGCCACATATGCTCTTCTACGGGCCACCAGGTACGGGTAAGACATCGACGATCCTAGCCTTGACGAAGGAACTGTATGGCCCTCATCTATCTAAGTCACGTGTGTTGGAACTGAACGCCTCCGATGAGAGAGGTATATCCATTGTTCGTGAAAAGGTTAAGAACTTTGCACGTTTGACCGTGTCCAACCCGTCTAAGGAGGACCGTGAGAAGTATCCGTGTCCGCCTTATAAGATCATTATCCTGGATGAAGCTGACTCTATGACTTCAGATGCACAATCAGCGTTGAGAAGAACCATGGAGACGTATTCCGGTGTCACCAGATTCTGTCTCATTTGTAATTACATAACGAGGATCATTGATCCCCTGGCATCGAGATGTTCAAAGTTCAGATTCCGTCCTTTGGATAATCAAGATGCCTTGGAAAGGTTGAGACATATCCAGGAACAGGAAAATGTTTCAATTGAAGACGGTGTCCTGGAAGAGGTGTTGAAGATTGCTAACGGTGATTTGCGTAAGGCCATCACTCTCCTACAATCGGCTGCTAGGCTCCACTCCACACTGGCCACTGCTGTAGATGAAGAAGGCGATGTTGATGCCACTGACACTGCAGACAGGGTCACCATCGATTCCATCCGTGAAATTGCTGGCTCTGTTCCAAAGAACGTTCTGAAATCCTTGCTAGATGCTGCTGAATCCAAACAATTCCAAAAGATCTTCAACTCAGTGGAGGACGCGGTGATGGAAGGTTGGAGTGCGGTAGAAATCGTCAATCAACTACACGATGAAATCATCCTCAACGACTCGTTCACCTCGGAACAGAAGAACAAGTTCTCCAGAGCCCTCTTTGAAACCGATGCTAGATTGACAAACGGTACAGACGAGCACATTCAACTGTTAAACCTCGTTACAAAGATCTCAGAAGCCGTCTGATGAAGTGAGATGAAAACAAAATTAATGGGTTCATTTATTGTACTTTCAACTGTAGATCTCCCTTGTGTGTTTTTTTTTAAAGTGTGATAGTAATGAATGGAACTTCAACATCTTCGCCTTCCAAATCATCCGTACAAACCTCCAAGATCAAGGTCTTAATATGACTGTCGAGGTCCTTCTTCGTGACGGATTTGATCAACTGTGTGATCTTCATTCCCTCCTTCTCGGCAACTTTCTTTGGTGGGAAGAACGATGCATACAGCAACGACACATCATAAGACAACATTGTAATCTCTAGACCTTCCTTCTCCTTGAAGTAATCTAACAACTCCTTCAATGTTATGTCACCCTTGATGTTGAATCTATCCCAAATCTTATCGAACTCCTTGTCGTTGTACTTACCCTTTGGAGAAGCAATTGGCTCAGAAAAGGCAAACAGTGGTAAGGCCAAATTAATGAATCCGTTCTTGTAGTCTTCCAATTTGGTTCTGTTGTCAACAATCTTGTACAACTCTAATTGGACCAAACCGGTGACTGCGGCAGTGGTGGTGGCAATTGCTGGAATAATTCTACCAGCAATAAACTTGGTCTTTGCTCTGTCTGCAACGTCAATTTGGTAATTCAAAGCACGACAGTTCGAAGCAGCTGTGATGAATTCAATGTGATGATTTGTATCGTCATCCTTTTCAAACTCAACTGGGGATAATCTATATCCAGCTAGTGTGGATGGTTGTGGCAAAGATGTAGCCAAGGTTTGTAACTCATCAGTTTCAACCTGTTGTTGAGCATTTGGATCTGGGTCCTCATCGTTAACTTGAATCTTCAAGCCAGATTTTGGCGTGAAAGGCTGAATCTTCACTTCCTGAAGCACCTTCTCATAGAAGCTCTTGTCTGGGTTGCCTTGGTCTCCCTTGAGACCATACACGTACGCTCTCAAGTTGGCACCACCAACGATAAAGTGGAAATGCTCTGGATTGTTGATGTCAAACTCCAAGGGTTTTGGAGCACGCTTAGCACCTGACCAAAATGGTGATCCATTCGATGTGGTGGCATCCTCTGGGAAAGTGAACAATAGCTGCTTAATTTCCTGGTTGAACTTCTTCTCAAATTCCAATCTTGCCCATTTGATACAGTCCTCGAATGAATATGGTCTCTCATTCAACGACTCAGAGATTGATTGTAAAGTTCCCTTGACGTCTCCACTCTGTTTCAAAGTAGCCTCGATGAAGTTTGGCTGAGACAAGTACAGATTGACATTTTCAGCAGAGTCGGCGAAGTAACCTTGGAATAAACTCTTTGCCCAAGCAATGGTATGGTCAATCTTATTAGGGAATGAACGTAAGGTACATAATGGGATAGACTTTTCAGGTGGGTCTTGGGAAGAAGAGTAAGATTCAGTCAATCTTGGAACAACAACCTGGGTGTTACCCTTTGTTCCTAAAGTACCAGACTCCAACAAGGCCTTTCCAAAGAAGACACAGCGACGATCAACGTAGGTACGGGCATCAATGTTATCCAAGGCATTTGTAACAAAATCAAGAGACTCCCAAAAGTCGTTATCAAAGATATTTTCAGTCTCTGTGCCAACTTTCTCTAGCTTTGGTTCGATATGACCTTTCAAATCCGGGTTGATGGCAATGACAGCCTTAGCTGCGACTTCAGATTTCCCTTGTCCAACATCTTTTGGTCTGAACAAGAATTGACGGTTCAAATTGGATTTTTCAATGGTATCGTTATCTGTGACGATGATCTTACCTTCTGGACCGGAACCCAGTCCCATCAATGCCCAGTTCTTTAACATTTCACAGCCAATTGCACCGGAACCAACCAAGAATGTCTTTGAGTTTGCGATTTTCTTTTGGAAGTCCAAACCGAAAACAGCAATCTGTGCATCGTAACGGGAATTGATTGGTTGAGTGTTCTCTGCATTTCTTGGGTAGGAAGTTGGGAGGGACTCCAGGGAATCAAAGTACAGAAATTGCTTGATTGGTACGAATTTACCAGAACAAGCCTTCAACACCTCCTGTGCTACAATACCACCGATGAAAGCAGCCATCGCTGGGATATCACCTTGAGCCTGGTATGAAACTTCTTTGATCAAATCCTCGTTTAAATCGCCTTCAAATGAGGTTTGTTGCGCCAGGTTCTTAACGAGATGGGCAAACTCTGCAAAGTCTTCATCGTTGAAAGGTCTTGGTAAATGAGATCTCTTCTCTTTGAACTGGTGTAGACCTTGGAATGCAAGGTGCAACTGAGCCGGACGGTCAAACTTTGCGAAGTCTGGGAACACCAGCTCCGGTGCCTTCAACTGCTCAACCAAAGGTTGATAAGACTCTTTGCGTGGCATCTTCACCTGCGTGTACAGTCCACCTTTCTTGTAAGTGCCCAATTTGGAAACATCGCCAATGTTGAAAGCGTAAGGGCCCGGCACTGACACCTTGAACACTTCACCGTTGTTGATGTCAAGGCCTTCAACCTCGGAGAACTTGACGTAATCCCCATCCTCCAAGCCGTGACGAGAATCAACCAGCACTGACACCGTTCCATCTGGCTCAATGTCTGATACGATTCCTGATACCGGCTCTTCACCCGTGGAGTCGATGATGGTGAACTCTTCACCAAAATCAACAAAGATGGAGGCAAACAGCCCTCTCGTATCAGCAGCAATGAACTTGATGTCATTCGCGTGTGTGAAGTTGTTGATCTTCACCTGCTCCTCCAGGCTCAAGTCCATCGCCACAATCACCTGGAACTTGCCCAGTGTTTCCTCAGTCAAATCCTCAACAACAGAGATTGGCACATACGAGTTCAGCTCAGCCAATCTCGCAGCGCTGCTCCCAGCACGTGGCTTACCCACGTCCTCCGCGGTAAGGAAGAACTGTGTAGACAGGTCTCTCAGCTCCACTGGCGAGGGATCATACAGCGAAAGCGACTTGACACCGGCAAGCGCCACGTTCTTTGCAATCTCAATACCCAACCCACGCAGTCCAACAATCAAAACATTGGAGTTCTGCATCTTCAGCATCGCCTCTTTACCCAAAACGTACAATTGACGGGAGTACAAGCTCTCATCGATCTCACCCTGAGGTTCAGGTGTATCAATTTGCATTCTATCGCTCATTGTTGCTTCGATAGTGGTTTCAATGTCGGCTTCTGTTGCTGTTGTCAGTGACTTCTGATAGAAGTAAAAGGGGAAAGTAGCGTAAAAAATTGGGGGCGACGAGGTGTTGGAGCAGCGCGCGCGGGCGGACAAAGCGCTTTTGTGGCTTTTAGAACCATTGCGGTGTTTGGGTGTTTGGGTGTTAAGGTGTTAAGGTGTTTGGGTGTCAAGATGTTAAGGTGTCCAGGTGTCCAGGTGTTTCCCTTCCAGTGTTGTTGTTTTCCCCTTCAACCGTTGCTACAGCCCGTGACTTCTCAACATTGCTCTGCTGAACCAGTGGAGAGCGACAGTAACAATGGCTGGAAAGAGAAAGCAAAGCCTATGGGGAGGTGCTATAACGACAGAGATCCCAGAGGGACTTCTCGACGCCTCAGATTTTAGACAGGTCCCCGATACACAAGAGGTGTTTGTTCCTGGAGCGGAGGCTGATGATACAAGCCTTACCGGTGTGAGGGTGAACGACTCCATCATCTTCGACCTCATGGAGCGTATCGACCAAGAGGACAGTGAAGCCATCAAGGAACATCTCGCGGAGATCAGCAACTTGAACGGCACGAAGGACTGGGAGCTGTTTGAGATAACAAAGTGTTCCAATAAACTTGGGGTAAAGGCGTATATCTGCGTTGCCCTTGAACCGGCTTTGAAATGGGGGAGAAAAGAACACAACAACCAGCACGTGAACAAGGCCGAGTATAAGCCTGCGTTGGCGTTAGTGCTGGGTGTTGTTAGACTGGAGAAGGTTTCCACTGACTTGCTTGTCACTTACAATGCCCATTTTGGAGATGTTGATGAGCTGGAGCAGTTGGAACAACTCCATCACGTTCAAGACGAACAGCACATGGCACAAAACGTGGCGTACAAGAGAATAACATTTGCCTCCGGTGTAGTAGAGAGCATCATCAAAGAGTTGCAGGTTGAAGATTGGAAACTCTTTGGGTGATTACAGCTCTTGGTGTGAATGCCAGTATTTAATCCTAACTCTATAATTATAATATAAATAATCTAATCTATCATCTAGTCGTCAATCAACCCTTCAAACAGTCGGCCGTAACACGGTGATCTATAATCGTTGAAGTGTAGATATGGATCCTCCTTGAACAGGTCTAATCCACACAGGAAGCAGAAGTTCTGTTTACACAGTTTACACTGCATCTTGTTACACCCGTCAGTCTTTGTCACTGCGATTCCACATCTAGGACATTGCACCATGTCATCGCTTGCTTGTACCAATAGTGTCATTTCCCTTTTATCTAAAACATCCTGTATGGCTAACTTCACAGACCTTGCACCATATATGGTATTTAGCCTGTTTAGTTGAGATTCAGGTTGGCCATCATCCACGAAATTCTCAACCAAATCTACTGGAACAATGTTCAAGGGCTTACCACAGCTGTTGATAGTTCCATGCCAGCTATGCTTGCAGTCGAAACAGTATGCAAGTTTACAACTGGCGCATCTCATCAGTTGATCTTCAACATCGTCGTGGAATGACCATGATAGACATCTTGGGCATTGGGATGAATTCAACGGATACATCGCATGATACCTTTCAAACAGTGTTATCAGTCTCTTTTTATGGTACTCTTCATATTCGCTTGGTGACATGACATTCAGGAGATCGTCTCTGGACAATGTCTCCTTGAACATGATCCTTTTGACTTCATGAATCGTTAAAGAGGTATGATCCTTGAGAACTTCTGTAGGACAGCTGGGGCATTGCAGCCTTGTTAAATCATGATCCAGCGATCTTTGCACAAGTTCACCCAAACAATGCTTGCATAGCGAATGGTCACAGTGCAGTAGCACACCTTTTGAGCCCTCAACTTGGTCAAGACATATACAACACTGGAACTCGGAATGGACAAACTGGTGGATTCTGGCCCGTTCGTGCATCAGCGCAATCTCTCTAAACCATCCAAAGTCGTCTGTCTGTATATCTCCAAATATCGAGTCATGGAACGTGGTAACGAGGTCCATCGCCAAAAACTCACACAGAGTGTAAAGCACGTAATCGTCATCGGCGTTGTCGATGATTCGATCTATCGTCTCGCCAATATCGCGTAGCACGTCTTCAGAGAGCCACGAACGCTTCAGCGTATACTTTGTCTTGTCTATCGGCAGAGAGAACCTCACCTCCAACGGCTCCACCGACTTGATCCTTATAGAATCAACAACCCTGCCACCGGCGTTCGACGACAAGAGCGATACCGTTATCGGCCTATCAAGCGGCAATCGCACTTGGAAGACGCCCATCGTCAGCTCCTCATCAACGCTCAACTCCGGGTATATCGACTGCAGCGCATCCAGCTGCTCCTGTAACTCTTCAGCATTCATTTGCAAACCTCTCTACCGTGTCCCCTGTCCATGTTAGCCCCGTCAACCTGGTCTTTAGTACTGTTGATGTTGATGGTGCTGTTGATGGTGTTGTTGCCGTGGTTGTGGTTGTTGTTTTGTTGTCCGGGCACTCCCTCGCGTTTGTCTCTTCGTGTCCGAGAACCCCAAATATGTCCACATCGCCAAACTTTCTCGAGGAGGACACTGGGACAAATCAGACAAAACAGACAAACAGTACCATCACCACCATCGCCACCGTCACTTCTAACATGAACGGAGAGAGAATGGCGTCGCTGCGGACTTTTGATGCCTTTCGTAAGCATGGTCAGCCGGCTATAGAGACAAACTGATTACTAACATGTGCGCGCACCTCGTTTCCCGCTGTAGCTAAGGTTGATTCGCATCATCTCGTTAGATCCCAAAGAGGGTCATATTCGACACTTATGACCTTCTTGCTGTTGCTGTTCCTGACCTGGGTGGAGATCGGCTCGTTCTTCGGTGGTGAGGTTGATCACCAGTTCCACGTGGACAACACCGTCTCGAGGAATATGACCATCAACCTCGATATTCTCGTGGCCATGCCCTGTAACTTCATCCAGACCAATGTTAGGGACTTGACCTACGATAGGTTCCTCGCTGCAGAGAAGCTTCAGTACGAAGGGATGTCGTTCTTCTTGCCACACGGCTATCAGGTCAACAGTGAGAGACACATCGTCACGCCGGAGTTGGATGAGATCATGGCTGAAGGCATCAGGGCGGAGTTTCTGAGACGGGAGTCCACAGGCCATAACCTTGGTTCACCAGCGTGTCATATCTTTGGCTCCATTCCAGTGAATAGAGTCGCTGGTGACTTCCATATCACTGCCAAGGGGTTCGGGTACAGAGATAGAACCCAGGTCCAAGTGGAGAGCTTGAACTTCACACACGTCATCAGTGAGTTCTCATTTGGAGACTTCTACCCGTATATCGACAACCCCTTGGACGCCACCGCTAAGACCACCGAGGAGAACTTGAAGAGCTATACCTACTTCCTCACCGTGGTTCCTACAGTTTACAAGAAGTTGGGTGTTGCTGTGAATACAAACCAGTACTCTGTGAGCGTACAAGAGAAGACGTATACTGTTGAGAACAGAGGCCCTCCGGGGATCTTCTTCAAATACGATTTTGAGCCTCTATTGCTCGTTGTTGAGGACCAGCGTATGTCATTTACAACTTTCCTCGTGAGACTGGCAACAATCTATGGTGGAATCATCGTGTGTGCGCAGTGGATGAACAAGTTCGTCGAAAAGATGCTGCTTGTACTCTTTGGAAAGAGATACGCATCTAGAGGTTTGGAGAAGAGTGCGTCTCTACTGGATGATGATCTTTAGAGTACACGTATATTAAAATGGTTTGGCACATTTTCTCTGTTCTAATTCACCTGTAGATGGACAAACCATCGTCTGCCAATCAATTGCATACATCATACCACCGGTGCCGTTGTGGGCTTTGGCAAATACAACACCTAGGTCGTTTCTGGCAGTGGTCAAGTAGTAATTGGCACCGTCACCAAGGGAAATCACCTGTGCGCGTACTATATCATTAGGTCTGAAGCTCTCGATGATCTTAACACGATCTCTCTCCGTGGAGCGAACATCCTGTGATCTGATCACACCTTTGAACGTCTCTCCAAGATCAGATGAGCCAAGGTGTATGGAGAAGGTACCGCCACCAGAACCCCCACACGCAGCAACTTCGCCATCGCCGTTGGAGCCGATGCCTGAATCGCTCAGCACATTGCCGGACCCTTCAATCGCCAGAATCTCAACGTATGCTTGCTTCAGGGAAAGTCTTGTGATGCGTGCAAGTACAACGTCCCCTTCCTTTGGAGAATGGTTTGTGAATTTGATCTTGTCAAATTTGTTCTGATTTGGCGGTACCACAGATACCGTCATCACTCGTTGCTTCTCCTCCTTGCCATCCTTATCACTGTCCACCTCCGTGCTCTCAACTTCCACTCTGCCCACAAGCGTTGCAGTGATGACCTTCTGTACAGTACCACCAACCCTAACCTCTTGCACCACAGCACCATCACCAGGCTGGAAGCGGGATATCTGTTTCGTCGATGGGTCCAGCTGGTGTAGCGGTGTTAACGGCTGGCCTGGAACAGCAACCTCGGGTATTTCAACAGTCATTCTCTTTCCTTGTGGTATACGGAGCTCTCGGTTCGCAATGAAGGCTGCGATGAGAAGCCGTAGGCGGTGATGATGAGAAGCGCTGCGAAATTTTCACTGCTGCCCGAACCAGATACTACATCAACACTTTCCAAAGCTGTTAAATTAATGCCTTTAGTCTGATACTATCTCGGTATATTTGGCTTGATAGAGCGTTATAACGTTGCCAATATGGTTGATTTCCCTGCATATGTTGATGGTGAGCCCCCTGTGATCTCGCTTCAGCAGTTTGATACTGCGGAGTGGGCGAAGAACGCAGCTGTTGATTCTACAGAGCATGGGTACTTTGCTGTGGAGATGGACAACGCTGAACATGTCATTTGTAAGTTTGACGATGAGAGTGCAAAGGCCCTGGATGAAATCTTCCATAGCGCAAAGCAGCAGTTCATTCAGGAGAGTGTTATTCCGGATTTGCAGGCAAAGGTTGATTCGAAGGCAACTAAGGAAGGTTCAGATGAAAAGGACTAATCAGCTAATGGATCAGGGATAAAGGGTGTATCGACATTTTTTACATAATCATAATAATAATAAGAATAACAATAGTAACGGGCTCCCCATCTGTTACTGCTCACAACTTTTGTTTAACAACCAACGAACCCTCGGTGTACAACTTCTCCAATATCGGTGCAAACTTCTTCTTTGCGTTTTCTCTCTTGATCTTCATGGTTGGTGTAAGCACCTCATCCTCCAACCTCAGAGGTTCTAAATCAACGTGGATGTTATGAATCTTCTCGAATCCTTGTAAATCAGCACCTGAGACGTGGTGGTTCAACTGTTTAATCAACATGGCTTTGTACTTAGGATCTTGTAATAGCCCGAGCACTTCGTCCTGTGAAATCGCCACGCCAAAGTCCTGCTTAAACATCTCTTGGACGTACTCTAACGAGATACCTGCGACTCCAACAAGGAAGTTCTGTAGGGAATCACCATGCACAAACAACTGTGTCAACAGAGGAGAGTGTGCCAAATAAATGTTTTCAATACGTTCGGGAGTAACGAATTCACCCTGCTGCAACTTGAAGAAGTTCTTGACACGATCAATGATATAAACACGTCTTTCAGAGTCCATAGAGACGATGTCACCAGTATGGAACCAGCCATCCTTATCAAAAGAGTCGGCAGTGGCTTTCGGGTTTTTGAAATATTCTGAAAACACTTGTGGTCCTTTAACCATCAGTTCACCACGCATTGGAGTCTCATTTGTATGGTATCCCATCTCTGGAACATCTCTCAATCTAATCTGAACAGATGCACTTGGATGACCACATGAGTTTGTAATAACATCTTCGAATGCATCACCAAAGAAGAATCCTGCAAATGTTTCTGTACTTCCGTAACAAACGGAGAACCCAATATCCAAAGTCTGCTTCAAATACTTGATAGTTTCCACCCCCAAAGGTGCAGACCCTGAAACGAGATACCTACAGTGATCCAAACCAAATGTCTTGCGCACCACGTGTGGTGGTGTTCCCCTCTTAACTTTGGCCTTTAACAAGGCATCCAGCTTGTTATACACTCTTGGAACAGAGGCCAAATAATGTGGTTTGATCGACTTTAAATCATCAAAGAACATTGCTGGGTTTGTTGAAGATGGGAATCCCAATCTGAAACCTGACATGAGGGCATAGTTTGAGACTTCACGTTCGTAGATATGTGCCAACGGTAAGTGGCACAAGGCTGTCACTTGGACGCCATGTTGATCAACGTTTTCGCCAAACTGACGGCGTTTTGCACCCTTTGGAAGTTCGAATGGCGACTCCAGTCCCATAGTACATGAAATGATACCACAAGCAGCCATTTCATGAGGAATCAACACTCCCTTTGGGTTACCAGTGGTACCGGATGTGAAAGAGATTGTGTAAATGGTGTCAGTTGTTGGTGGGTTGAAATCCTTTGGCAATGGGTGTCTTTCACCGATCTTCTCCACTGCACGGAAATCAACAAGTGAAACACCAAGAGACTGTGCTCTGACGAACAGATCGTGATCGTCGTGGTCAAAGTCATCCAATGAAACCAATATGTTCAACAGAGGCAATTCTGGTTTAATCTCCAAAATCTTTGGAATCTGGTCCTTTGTCAGAAAGATGATTGGGGACTCCGTGACCGACAAGATGTACTGAGAAGACTGTTGGCCCAGTGTAGGGTACAACGCAGTGTTTGTCAACGAGAAGTCTCTAGTTGCCAAATCCACAAGCATCCATTCGTATCTGTTTGGACTGAGGATACCAACGACAAACTCAGGCTTCCCCGCAATTGACAACAGCTCTCTGTACTTTGGGTGATGTGTAACCAAGTGGATGATACCACAGGAGATGTTGTGTTTCTTGCGGTCAACTTCTGCGTAGCTATCGTATGTAAAGAATGTGTCCAGCTGTTGCTTTCTGGTGTTATGGAACTTTCTCACGCCCATACAGTCGAAATTGGCAAAATTGGCAACGGCGTTATTCCACATCTTTGACAGCGTATCCATGGATGGATCAAGGACAACAGGTGGATCATTGGTGAAGATTTCAGAGTAACCTTCCACTCTGGAGCCTGGAACTGGCTGCGGGTTAACTGGCTGGTTGAAGTTCATCGTGGATATAGAACTGCTATATCACACAACTCCAAAGAAGGGAAGTAGAGACGGAGAGTTCCACACCCTTTTATAGCCCAATCCCGTCTCCACTGAGCATGATTGATCTCCTCCTCCTTGAGAGATAAAAAAAGAAACAATCCCCCAGTATCCATCTTCTTCTCTCCGCTCCATCAACATAGAAGCCAACAACAGAAGCGTGGAAGCGAAACTGAGAACCCAAACACACCCGGCCAAATGCACCCTGCAAACGAGCACAAGCAAAGGAGCCAACATAATAACAACCTTAAACCCCCATCATAGTCACTCGCAATTTCTCCTCCACAGCAATATGGAAGAATGAGCACAACGCACCAGACTACCCTAACGTTATTATCCCAATTGGGAAATTAACGAGTGGAATCAGCTCCTGCTGGCTGAATTCTTACCCCACACAGAGAGAGAAAGAGAGATTTCTCCGCGCTGTGGAGCGCCCTGTTGTCCCGCTTTGGTGGTGTTTGGGTGTTTTGGGGCGTTTGGGGCAGTGTGGACTTGGAGCTCATTGTACCGACGGTAAAACTAGTGTGTTGGTTCAGGAGTTGTGGGCGTTAAGTGTGCTGGTAGGGACGGGTCCCGACTGTTTAGCGAGCCGACGTTCTGGACGTCCCCCATGGTGTTGTGATGTGTCGTAGTTTGGTTGTTTACAGAGGGAGCTTTTATGCCAGTAGACGTCCCACCACTGTTGGCGGACAATGCGGCGTGCTTTTCTGTTCAGAGCGGATCAGCGTGGACGGTGGCTTCTGGATGTGCCTCTACGTCTGTCCCTGTGTGCCCTTCTCTGTCCCTGAGTGTCTCCACCTCCCTCTCGGAGCCCATGTATAGTGAGACTGGGAGTCAACCAGGCCATCACCGTTCATTTCAAACATCCACAAGCACCTCCCACGCCTCCCACACCACCAATCTTCCCTCATCGGTCGGTCAGCAGACTCCCACTAAGCTAAAAACCTGCCAGTAGAACCCTCAGCGGCTCGAATCCTCCATCGTACTGCGCTGTACTCTCCTGTTCCGCCATGTCTTCTTCCAACTAAATTTGTTTGTTTACCTTCAACGGTTCAATTCCCTCTCCTCCCATCTCGCGGGAAAATTCCGATTGGAAAACCATTGACACAAAAACCACACACAAAACTCCCGCCCACTCGCTCCACACAGCGCCCGAGACGTAAACATAAACACCACGCGATGCCGCCAAAGCGCCTGGTTTCAGTCCTCTCACAGGCGTACGAGGCGACCATAAACTATTCCGATGGTAAGAAGGAGGTTGGTGAAGGCTCCAGTAGAAGGTTAAGCGCTGCACGGTTGACGGCGTCGTTGCTAGCACTTGGGTTGGATAAGTTGGACAGCGGCGGTGAAAGCACTGATGATTCCGATGGATACTGGTTGGATGACTGGGAGGCGGAGGAGGGTGGCGAGCTCCCCAGAGATGATGATGGTGGTGACGATGACGATCGCGCGCTTGACGATATCGACAACGATGAGGATCAACGTGAAGTGCTCTCCAGACAGGATCGGAGACGCCAAAAGCATTTCACGGATATAATCCTCTCCAAAGTGATCGAGCGTGGGTTGCCTAAGGACGTGCCGAGTAAGAATGACCTAACACAGAGGCTTGGAGACCCAATAAGACAGCACACGGACTCGTTGTCGATGACTAAACTGGTTAAGAATATACGCAAGCTAACAGACAGGTTGGGCGGGTTGTTCCAGCTACAGTACTCTACGATCAGAATATTCCACTGGACATATCCTTCAAGGTCGCTACTAGCGATTACCATCTACACGCTCGTTGTGTTACATCCAAACGTGATTTTCATACTGCCGTTGTGCTATGTGCTGTTTGGAATAATGATCCCTGGCTATCTATACAGACATCCATTGCACAGGAACAATCTTCACAAGTTGAGCGAGAGAGGTGATTCGCTCTTCAACAAATTCGCCAGCGTTAATGATGATAAACAACTTTCAAGAATACTGGACGACTCTGATGAAGAACAGGAAGTACCTGAGTTGAAAGAGAACAACAGTAGAACAACGAGGAAAAATATGGAATTTTTCGTAAACCTACGGGATCTACAGAATAACTTGTCAAAATTGGTTGCTGTCTTTGACAAGATTGAGAGATTTTGGTATGGTACCGCTGGATTCAAAGATGAGCGAGTCTCAACTTCTCTGTTCTTCACCTTGGCAACTGCAATTGCATCTTTGATATTGGTTGGCCCTTATATCCCCTGGAGATTTCTACTCATTCTCATAGGTTGGGTCCTCATGATTGCAATTCATCCAAAGGTGAAGCCTCTTATAAAGCAATTAAAGCTTTTGTTACAACCAAAGAAACAGGAATTGGATAAATTGGTTAAGGAATCCGAAAGAAAGGACATTGTGATTGATGAAGAACCAGAGATTAGACAAGTTGAGGTGTTTGAGATTTGGCAAAAGAGCTTCACGTCAAACGAATGGGAGTTTTACATCTTTTCAAGTCATGTTTTCCACCTTGAGGATGAGTTCAGGAAATCCAAGAACCCACCACCTGGCGTATTGGTCATTAATGATGTTCACCCTCCAAAGAGTTGGAAATTTGATCCAGATGATTCTTGGAATATTGACTACGATTGTAAAGAGTGGTGTGTTTCAAAAGGTATAGAATTGTCTCCATTACAAAAAGTCGATAAGAACAACGAGTTCTTAATTGATAAACAGTTCAAGAGAAGGCGTTTGTTCCGAGATGTGAAGAGATATTCAAGACCATCTAAGAAACCTCCTAGATTGCTCTGAGTCTTAGCACATAGATGAGGGGAGAGCAACAGTCGATACCTGTTTGGTTATTCTGAAATCAAAAGTTGGTCATCCACATGCATATATCATTTAATGGAGTCTTGAATTATTAATTATCGATTGTATAAATTCGATGTGTTCTGTGAAGTGCTATGTAAAAGTTTCCCTCATATCGGCCGAAAAGATGTCCACTTCATCACCGTAGAAAACAACCCTCTAATCTGTATTGTTTCTAAGACTGAAAACCAATACACCTCTAAACATCGCTTCTCTTCTTCTTCCTGGTGCTTTCATGAGACTGAGCAGAGCAATAGTTATGTTGGATTGGCAGGTTGGTTTAACTACCTTAACATGGAGGACTCGAGTACCATTGTCCATTTGGTCACGTGACCGGCACAAAAAATATTAAAGAATGAAACGGACAGGAATTGAACCTGCAACCCTTCGATTGCACTATTCCAACTGGAGTCGAAAGCTCTACCATTGAGCCACCGCTTCATCTTGAAATTTTAAAGGTTTAGTGTTCCATAGAGTGTGTCAAATCTATTGTTCAAAGATGAAGAACTAAGGGATACTTTATCGAATTTGAGGATCCAGCATGAGTTCTAGTCCAATCGTTCCTGGCCATGAGCTGCCCATGCACAAGATCATTCGGATGTGTGCTACGTCTTGTGTAGTACACACTCACAAGGCTACGCATCAAGATCAAAACTCCCACATCTACACATCTGTCCTCGGTCTCAAGTTAAGTCTATGAGCTATATCATGTTCTGAGATGGTGAAAAAACACTATAATATATCTGAAATTACCAATGATTAAACTTGAAGTGCTTCAACTTTCTCTGTTATGGTTTCCACAGGCTCTGGAACTTTATCTGTTGATCCTTCTTGCTTTGGGTGTTCGGCCTCCCACAGCTGTTCAACTGGATGGTGCAGTTCCTCATCATCACCTCTCAAATCACGTTCACTCAGACCAACGATACTGCCGAATTTCTCAAATCTCTTGTGGTAGTGGTCTCTCTTTTGTGTGGCGATCTCATTCATCTTTGGCCAGTAAACCTCATGCTTGTAGGTGAAGTCGACGTAACCCCCGTACAACTTATCCAATTGCTCCACTGGACAGTAATCTGGGAATGGCTCGTCAAATACAAGCTTTTCTCTGGTCAATGGATCGATAAAGGGGTGGATAATCTTCAAGAAAGTCCACCCTAACCATGGAATATTAGTCAAGAGCGATTTACCCAATCTCTCTGGGTAATGAGTTTGGAGAATGTGTAACACTTGTCTACCAACGTTCACAGGTGGGATCTTTGAGGTCTGGTGACCTTGCACATCGTCATATTGTTTGAAATCAATGAGCAAGGCCAAGGAGTCCTGACCAGGAGGCATGAAATCGATCACCCTTTCCAACATGAACACCAAATGCTGAACCTGTCTGAAGGATGTCTTCGTGTTTTGACGGCCTGGCTTCAAATACAGAATAGGTCTTGCGTCATTCTCATAACCGAGGATAACCTCCTTACCGGTTTCACCTTCCTCAGACACCAATTCTGGGGTCACGGTATCGTTCTCACCAGTGATGCCGAATTCACGTCTCCAGGCAATGGAACCCTCAATACGGTCAATACAATCCTTAACCACCCACTTAGTGGCTCTGAGGTATCTCAGGAAGCACTCCTTTGTCAGCCATGCCTTCTCATACTCTGACAGTGGCTTCTTCTCAGCCGGATTCTTCTCCGTGGTGTACACCTGTAAGTCAGGGTTTTGGAAGTGCTTCAAGATCAGCTTGTATTTCTCCTGCTGTTCATCTGTCAACTTACGTTCCTCCGGGATCTTGGAACCAACAGGAAGTGTATCAAATGGAACCTCGGTCTTGATCAGCTTCGAAGGATCCACTGCTGGTGGCTCCTCCTTCTTCTTCTTTCCAAAGAGCGCCATTGTTATATATTCGGTTTATATCTCGGCAAGCAAGTGCTCAATACGGCAAGCAACAACGGCGATTAATGAATGTGTAACGCTTTCTCTCACGGTCTCTCCTTCTCTGTCAGCTGAATTCGGCAGAGATCAGTCGCTACGCCAGATCAATCAAGCTGGATAATAACCTGCGAAAATGTACGTGAGCAGGAAAAGGGGGAAAAGGGCCAACAAAGAAAAGAACAAGCTCTCAGGCCCGAAAAGACGCTTTGCAAGGTGGAAAATGGCCAACGCTTTGATTTATAAGGCGCTCCGCGATGGTTCGGGTGGGATTTTACCCCTGGTGTTCGGGTGTGCTGGTGTCTCGAGATGAGAACAATCAGCCGTGGTGCCGAGGTTGGAAAGGGGGTGCACCGGCTGTTGGCTCGGGGGCTCTGGTGAGCCGGCCACGTGATCGTCTCCGTCTATGTGTTCAGCTATGCTCTGAACGTCATCGTTGCAAAGCACTACGGGACCATTGGTTTGTGCCATTGATCTTAGCCAATACCAAACTCGGCCGATGAAGAGCGGGCCCAGCAGAGCGAGAAATGGGTTCCGAAAGCCGAAAAGGGAAAAAAGAGACAGACAGACGCGAAACTGCGACGCGTCATTGGTTTTCCGACTTTTGTTCCGGGCAACAGCAGTGAGGAAAGATGAAAGTGGATTATGTAAGCGATTATGTAATCTTTGTTAGGGACCACATGGCAAGCTTAAAGTGCGTGCAGGCAGAAGAGCAGAGGGAAAGTTTAAGGAAAAATTGTCTCTTTTGTCTCTTCTGTCTTTGTAAGAACATCGGTTTCAAGAGACATAGAAATAGAGAGTGAGAGGTTTTTATAGGTGTATGGCAAAGCAGATATGGGTGTGTTATCTTTAAGGACGTTGTGTGAGAACGTCTTATTGAAGCACCATCTTTCGTTGAGAGAACTAGGTGACATACGGTATTCCCTTATCACAAGGGTTCTACACAAGTTTACGGCACAGCAGTTGATCAATTTGGAGAAGGCGAACCCGATGTTGATACTGGAGGACGATGATGTTTGGTTGTCGCTCTTGCAGAAGGATTATCCGCAGGACTTACACAAGCGGTTCTGCTCAAATCCGAACGACGTGTACAAGTACTACAAGCAGGAGCTGCAGTCGATGCTGGGCACAGAGACGATCACGGTTAAGCTCCGAGACGTTATAACGTTGGAAGAGATTGAAGATTCAAAGAGATACCGGTTACCTTATAGACAGGTGTATATGGATATTCAGCAGCTCTATGCTGTGAAACAGGAAGAGGCTATATTAAACTTGAGAAAGAACATGCAAAAGATGGAACAGTCAAAGGACGTTAATAGAGTTATACATTTGGATGAAGTTATCCCGGTGGATTCAGGACACAGACCATGGGGTAAAAGACCTGTTGTCTCTAATAGATCACCATTGTTTCAAAAGGCTCAGGTGGAGGCTAGGAAGAGGCGTGAATTGTTCAAGAATCCACTCTCGTTGATGCCTGAGAGACAGACCAGTCCACAAAGGATGCCGAGACGTGCCAATGTCAACAACTTCAGTACATCCACCAGGGTCAAGCCAGTTGTTGGAACACACAGCGAGACAGGTTGTGGTATTAGTACCAGTAATGGTGCACCTATCAATGGCCATACGACAAGGACAAGAACACAAGTTCCTTCGATTTTTGTACCGAAGAAAGTCACAGGTACAAGACCACAGGTATCACCAAAGAGGCCTATGTCTAATGATAGACGAAACAACGTTCCCCGTTTGAATTCACTGGACCATGGCAAGAATTCACACAACCAATGTCAAGAACAAGATAGGGTGAAGAGGATCAGGTTATCGGATTATTTAAAGAGAAAGGGCCCAACTGCATGAACTGATATATAGGAACTAACGATAGTAACGAATCTAATTGACGAAATGAACTGTTTCCTTTGAATCTGTAAAACGTTGATGCTGAAGGAATAACCTCTTCGCATAGCAGAATTCGCATTGCGTTGTTGCGCCTACCGGCTTTGGGTCCTATCGGTGGCGGTGGCGCGTGGAGAGGAAATTATATAGACAAAATTGACACATAAAAGGAGGCCAATTCGACCAGAAAATCAGCTTGGAAACCATTCCAGTGGTGCGTACTAGAACGCTATCAAAGATGTCAAAGACTGAGCTTATGGACATTGGAGAGCACTGCTCGTATTGTGGACAGATAGATTTTCTCCCGTTCAAGTGCTCGTGCAAGGGAGTGTTCTGTCTCCAGCATCGACAGCCGGATCAACACTCGTGTCCAAAGTTAGAGCTGAAAGGCACGAAAACTGCGGAACAGAAGCTGAGAGACAGTATCGATACTTCTCATTTGCCATCATCAAAGACTCTTTTCCCTGATCGCTCGAATTTCAACCCGGAACTGTCCTTGAAGACCACCGACACCGTCCCCACCTCCATTGAGACACAGAGCTCGAAGAGTACCAATGCCTTGACCAAGCTGAAAAAGTTGTTTGAGAAGAGTAGGCCAAAGAAGGCCAACGCTACGAAGGCCATTGTGGAACTGTCCAAGTTGAAGAGCACTGCTAAGGGGGACTTGAGAATCCCACAGTCTGAGCGGATCTATGTATGGTGCCAAGTACTTGGGTGCAAGGGCCGAGATGAGAATGAACGGTACCCATTGTTTGTCTCTCGAGCCTGGCCTCTAGGCAGGGCCTTGGACAGTATGGCGACGCATCTGAACTTGACCAACGTTAACAACAGAACCAAGGACGACTCGGAGAAGCTATTCCTATACCGTCAGCAGAACGATTCTCGAGGAGGCGCGGAATTCGTCAAGATGTCCACCAGTGAGCGTTGTAACGTCATAAAAGATGGTACTACGGTGTTTATCGTTAGAGGGTTGCTGTGAACCTCGGAAGCTTCGAGGTTCCCGGCCAATCAGGAACACTGAAAAAATAGACAAGCAGCATTGGACAAACTGTAGAGAGGGCACTAGAAAACGATGGCTTTCCAGCGTCGTACGTCTCTGCCATCGTGTGTTGTTTAGAGCCGTTTGTTTTGAGCCATTTCAAATCACTCAAAAACACCGCCAAAGCATTTTGATCCATGGAACGTTGGAAGCTGACAAAACAGGCAACTCTGCCTCACGGGCCTGCTGCGTGTGGCACATACCAAAGTGTAGACTTGGTGTTCGGATGTCGTCTTCCCCCAGCAGTGGTAGCGTATTCATGTGTTCTTGTTACGAATAATACATGTGCTATATAGCAATGGCGTACCGTATGCTCATACGCTATCAACGTACACCTTCTCGCCGTCGCTGAGCCTGTGAATGGAGCTGCCACACCGGAAGGAACTGGAATCCCCAACAAGGCACACACCATGTGATGTTTGGGTGTTTCCGCCTATCTGGATGTGTCTTTGCCGACCGGCTTTAACTTCTGGGCAGCGTGATTACATAATCGCCCAAAACCCCAAGTGGGAGATCTCCGTGGAAGCGAACCAAAAAAGGCAGGAAAATTCCAGACCCGGCGGTGTTTGATAAGCTGATTGGATGGAAGCGTCCTCCCCCGTTATAAATCATCTGTCGAGCCAAGTAGCGTAAGGAGTTTTATTAATCAAAGTTTTAGCATGGATGGCTAAGACTTTATCTCATGCGCAAGCCGGTTTCTTTATAAAGGAGTAGCATTTCCTCTTGTTCCCAATTGCAAGCACCATATTCATGCCCGGTGTACTGTTAGTTAAGCCAGAGCGGTTTTAAGGCCATTAGCAGAGATGAGCGTACTTCCATCGTATGAGGACTCGATCAAAGTGCAGCAGCCACCGAGCTACGCTACAATAGCAACTTCTTCATGTGAGTGCCCGGTCAGAAGCATGTATCACACGGACCCGTTAAATCTTGTGATCCTTGGTGATGAGCAAAACGACACTGTGGATCCTCTCACTATGAGCTTTGGCGACTACGTGGTGAGGACCGAGGAGGACATTTACGACTCCTTTGTCGCTCTACGGATCATCATGGAGGATAAGATCAAGCAGATTGATCGGAACATTGAGTTTGTCCAGAAGAGGATCATCTCGAGATCGAGAAACTACTACATTGACTGTCTAAGACTCAACACGTGTGAAGCATTCGTCAGAATACGGAACAGGATTATGCTGGAGCTACGTCAATTACAACAACTCTTCACGCTCATTGCACATCACAACGAACTATACGCACAGGTCAGTTCACAAGTCTGTGAACTGTGCCCACTAAGCGACGTTAAGCCACAGTCCGCATGCCATAACAAACTGCTCTTCAGAGCACAGGTGGTTAAGAACCTGGAGATCTTACAGGAGAGGGTGAACAAATTTGCCAGCTGTGATGACGTGGGCTTTGTGCTGAAGGAGAGGGCCAAGGTGTATAACGATGCGAGGGATTTCGTTAGAAGACAAACCCAAAGTTGACCATTAGCTCTCATTGGCTGCATTATAGACACTTGCTTACATAGCTTTTTCGCCCGTTGCGTTCTCTGAACCGGTATAATTAATGATTAGTATTTTACAACAAGTGTGTAGCCATCAGGGTTAGCAGTCGGCCGTAGCTGTCGTACAGTTCTCCATGGAGCAATGTTCACCGTGGACCAATGCTCTCCACAATTGTACATATGTAGTACGCATTGATCTTCCAGAAAGGTGCAAGGGTTTGGTCAACCATGCCGGTTTATTACAATCGTTGATGGAGGGTTGTTCCCTTTAGCCAGATGCCAACGGAGAATCCCGGGCCGTTTTAGTCCACGTTGACAAGCTGCGATAACACATAGCTATTGTGGTGTTTGGATGTAATGTGACACAACAGTAGTCTCTGAGTGTAGCGGACTCAGCTGATGGAATCTGTGCTCAGGGAAAACACAAGGCAAACAGTGGTTCAGATGACACTCGTCGCTTGTGGTGGTGGTCGATCTAAGTGTTGACTGCTGCTCACGGTGTGCACACGTACACTCACGCATGGTGTGGATTCGCATGGGCTGAATCCCCCCCCCACCAATGTTGCTTGTACGTACATTTAAACACGTCGAAGTAGACGGAGAGCACACGTCTAAAGGTGGCAACAGTCATAATCAGCGAGTCCTACACGCCTCAAATGATTGAATAGTCCACATGTTGGTTAATATACAGCAAATAATTGGATTTTGCCAAATAATACCAACCAGACGATGGCTATCATTTTATCGCCTCACTATAATTCTCCTATAACATTTCCCCCAAATATCCCCAAATATTATCGGAAAAACAAAATTCAAACGAGCCCAATGCACTGAAACCCCCTCTTGCAGTCCTCAGACACCCTCCAACACCCCTCTACCCAACCATCCACCCCAATAACCCCTATATCCATCCAATCATAGCCCAATCATATCCAAATCATAGCTCAATATCAGACAAATCACACACTGTGGCCCCTACCACATGCCCACCTGCACCGGCGAACTTTCCTGCACCGGCGCATGAAAAAAGCGCTGTGAGTAATCGGAGCGATGCCATTGGAAAACGATCTTGAAAAATTGCATTCTCTTTCCCAACTTCTGATTACTCTTCTGATGTCGTGAGATACACAGCATTTGCCTCTTAAACGTTCTCTAATCGCTACAGATACCACGATGCTTAGAGCCGGAAGAGTTATTAACAGACAGGTACGTCTCCATCTCTGGCTGTGTTCGATGAGCCATAACTAACACTGTGCCCTAGAGTATACGGTCGCTCGCTACGTCTGCGTCTCTCACTACGAACATCCCTAGTGAGTTCCAGACAAGGGTCCCACCCTACCCGAAGCTCGTGGAGAAGCTCACACAAGTCAAAAGAGTGCTGAACGATGCGCCATTGACGTTGGCTGAGAAGATCCTCTATTCGCACCTGGTCAACCCAGAAGAGTCGTTATCTGCTGGCGACGTTTCCAAGATCAGAGGGCTTGAATACTTGAAGTTGAACCCAGACAGGGTGGCAATGCAAGATGCCTCTGCTCAGATGGCGCTGCTTCAGTTCATGACGTGTGGATTGCCATCCACTGCGGTGCCAGCCTCTATCCATTGTGATCACTTGATTGTTGGTAAGGATGGTGAGAAGGCTGATCTGAAGTCCTCCATCGCCACCAACAAGGAGGTGTTTGATTTCCTCCAGTCATGTGGTGAGAAGTACGGTATCCAGTTCTGGGGACCGGGATCTGGTATCATCCACCAGATCGTGTTGGAAAACTTCAGTGCGCCTGGTCTCATGATGCTCGGAACCGATTCCCACACTCCAAATGCTGGTGGTTTGGGCGCCATTGCCATTGGTGTCGGTGGTGCCGATGCTGTTGATGCCCTCACAGGTACTCCGTGGGAGCTGAAGGCCCCAAAGATCCTCGGTGTTCACTTGAAGGGTAAGATGAATGGTTGGACCTCTCCAAAGGATATCATCACCTACTTGGCTGGTTACCTCACTGTCAGAGGTGGTACTGGATTCATAGTTGAGTACTTTGGTGAAGGTGTGGAGTCCTTGTCATGTACAGGTATGGCTACTATCTGTAACATGGGTGCGGAGATTGGTGCTACAACTTCTACTTTCCCTTACCAAGAGGCCCATAAACGTTACCTCATATCTACGCATAGAGCTCCATTGGCACAAGCTGCTGATGAGGTCAACGCCAAGTTTGGCTTCCTCAAGGCTGATCCAGGTGCTCAGTACGATAAGGTTGTGGAGATTGACCTCAACACTCTTGAACCTCATATCAATGGTCCATTTACCCCGGATCTCTCTACGCCATTGGGTCAATTCGGCTCCAAGACTGATGAAAACGAATGGCCAAAGACCGTTTCTGCCGGTTTGATCGGTTCCTGTACCAACTCCTCGTACCAGGACATGTCAAGAGCCGTTTCATTGGTTAAACAGGCCAGTGAAGCCGGTCTTAAGCCAAAAATCCCATTCTTTGTTACGCCAGGCTCTGAACAGATCAGAGCAACCATCGAGAGAGATGGATTGATCGAGACGTTCGAAGACAACGGTGCCATTGTGTTGGCCAATGCCTGTGGTCCATGTATTGGCCAATGGGACCGTGTTGACATTGACAAGAAGTCCACGGAGACGAATGCCATCTTTACATCCTTCAACAGAAACTTCAGAGCAAGAAACGATGGTAACAGAAACACCATGAACTTCCTTACATCACCAGAAGTCGTCACTGCGATGATCTACTCTGGTGACATGCACTTCAACCCGATAACGGATTCGATTAAGACAGAAGACGGTTCAGATTTCAAATTCCAACCTCCAAAGGGTGACGAATTGCCAGAGAGAGGATTCATCGCTGGTAGACCAGAGTTCTACCCAGAGGTTGATCCACAACCACATCCAGAAGTTGCCATCAACATTCCAGAAGATTCTGATCGTTTGCAATTGCTTGAACCATGGACTCCATGGAACGGCGAAGAGCTTAAGAACAAGATCTTGTTGAAGGTTGAAGGTAAGTGTACCACTGATCACATCTCTGCAGCAGGTGTTTGGTTGAAGTACAAGGGTCACTTGGAGAACATTGCCAACAACACTTTGATCGGAGCTCAAAACAAGGAGACTGGTGAGGTCAACGTTGCCTATGACGATGATGGTACTGCTTACTCCATTCCAGAGCTTATGGGTAAATGGAAGGAAGAAGGTATCAAGTGGAACGTTGTTGCAGAACACAACTATGGTGAGGGTTCTGCAAGAGAACACGCTGCTCTTCAACCAAGATTCCTCGGTGGTGAGATGATTCTTGTTAAGTCCTTTGCTCGTATTCACGAGACAAACTTGAAGAAACAAGGTCTTTTGCCATTGACATTTGCAAACGAGGCCGACTATGACAAATTGAGCTCTGGCGATATCTTGGAGACCCTGAACTTGAAAGATATGATTGCTAAGAATGGTGACAACGGTGGAATCATCAAGCTCAGGGTTCACAAGAAGAACGGTGAAACTTTCGACATCGATGCTAAGCACACCATGTCCAAGGACCAAGTGGATTTCTTCAAGGCTGGTTCTGCAATTAACCACATTGGTAACGTTCGTCGTGCTGAAGCTGGCTCTCAGGCTTGAGAACACAGTCACAGTTATATAGTTTTAGTCATTTCACTGCATCATTTCTTTGGTTAAGAGTATTTATTAAAAAGACGGTATTTTTCTTTGGGATGTTTGATTTCTATTTACCCCTTCACCATCTTTCTGTCATGGGTTAATCCAAGGGCTTAGGCTTAACCACCGATATGATAAGATCCTTTTCTTTGTACATGATGAATATGACAAGAACCTGTGCAAAGAATGCACTTGCCAGTAGTTCAAACCAGTTTCTCGTCACACCTAAAAGAGAACAGTCCAATGCCCAAATCACCAAGGATGATGTAACAATAGACTTGGTCTTTGAATCAAAAAGCCACAGGCTGAAACTGACCGCGTGTGAATTGTAGAAATGCTTTATGAAACGGTAACAGTACACAATTCTTAAAGTCATGTTTAACATGTTACTCAGTATCAAGCCTTGAAGTGAGAGGTTCAATTTGGTGATGCAAACGTATGAAGTTGTCATGAATATTGCTGAGAATCCCACCATATAGTACGTATAATCTACAACATCATGGCCTGTTGCTGTAGATTGGTGGACTGCCTCTAAGATACCATTCAAGGCTAAGAGTGGCAGGTAAAGAGTGTAGAGAGGGATAGTGTCAGATACAGAGTTCGACCAGTTACTTCCGATCAACTTTTGAACCAAGAATCCAGAGTTCAGTGGACCAAAGATCACAATGATGATTGACAAGTAGAGGTAAAAACATATGATTCTTTGAAGTATTCCCACGGTGGTTTCCAGGTGTGCCTTAGTATCAGTGTTTTGAACCAGTCTCGTTAAAAAGTTTCTTACGCTTTCTTCAATTGGAGCAAATACCAAGCGTGCCAGTAGGGAGCCATAGTTTGAAATGAGCGAATAGATACCTTGTTCTTCAATGGTGCACAGCGAATTGATAACCAACTTGTCACCTTCAGTGAGCAAATGCTTGAAGCACAAGTTGAAGAACATTGTGTAGAAGTGGGCCATTGCATCGTGGTCGAAATAGTACGAGTTTGAATGGCCAACGAGGATCTTTGTAGGTCTCGTGTGGATGTTCTTGTTCCTCTTTTTGAAATTTTGGTAATCCCAAATGTATGAAATGAATAGTACCATAGAATGGACCAATTTTGCAGCACAGAACGCTACGATGGGCAGACCATCAATCTCAGAGTCCTTGAACGAGAAGACGATACCAAAATTCACAAAGCAACTCAAGGTTACAGCTGCAGTTTCGAATCTTGTTCTCTTGTCGTAGTTCAAGTTGAATTGGTTCAAGATGTAAAAAGGTTCACTCATGAGCTCAACAACAATGGCCAGCCAAACCAATGCGATGGACAGTTTGAACAATTGCATATGCTTGAACAGCTCTGAGAACCTCCCATATTGCCAGTACACAACCACAGAGGCCAAGGGGGTTCCAATCATCAGTGGAATATAGCCCAGGTTAACGATGCTCTGCAGCGTTGCGCTGTGCTTATCAGACTTCTCATCGCTGTCAGTTTCCGCATCTTTCACCCTCTGAGCAGACAGCCTAATGCCCTCCCGCGAGAAGAACAACACAGTGTTGATCAAGAACTCCAAGAACATATTCACACCGAACGTTGCCGGTGAGATATAGGTGATCAGAATCTGATTCAAGATGAACGTCGATAACTTCGTGAACATCTGTCCAAATAACAGCAGGGTCACTCCTTTAGCAGACTTCTCCATGAGTCTGTCCAACCTCGAGGACTCTGCTAGACTGTGGACTCTCGACATGGCTTCCGAGTCTTTTGCTTGCCAATTGGTTCACCAGTTTGTGTGGAACAGGAGGAAGAAATGAAAAGCTTTTCGAAAACGGGTATTAAATGTGAGGTTATGCGTGCAGCAGAGATAGTAAATATAATGTTGCTCCTACCAGCTTCTAATGGAGATGCTCAGTGTGGTTTCAATGGAAAAATTCGAGCCGTGGAACTCGTCCCTGTTAGCTCAGTCGGTAGAGCGTTCGGCTTTTACAGAACTAACTAGGGGAAGTTGACCGAAATGTCAGGGGTTCGAGCCCCCTATGGGGAGTTCCATTTTTTTTTCAACGCAGTCACTATGACTTTTATATTATCGTATCATTGTGATTACACTTCTTCTGGGGAAGATTATTAGCACACTTTTCGCTTTAAGAGGTTTGTATATAGTGTGGATTCCTTGTGGTATCACAATTGTAGTGAATTTTGTACTGATTTCCATATATTTTTGAAGTTTCCGTAGATTTAATCTATTCGCTTAATGCATCAGTCACTAAGGTGTTTAGCCTTATCGTGCAGTATGACGGTATCGACGATCTTATTATTAAATTATGGGGACAGTCTATTCACAGCGTTATGATATTGCTTATTCTTGAATCTGAGAGAGGAAGTGTTGTCAGACTCGGAGGTTGAGATCAGGGGAGATTTCATCCCACCATCTAATGTCGTGAAAAGGTTGGCTGAATACGTCATTATCATCGTAAGGCTCAGAATTTATGCCTATGAAGCATTTGTAAATATCAGGGTGGACTTTGTTATCTGTAATATTGAGTGCATTTTCAAGAAGGACTATTTGTCAAATAGTGTCAGTTACACTATCTGTGATGGCAGAGGCTTTGATTATTTTACTGGCACGCATGAATATAATCACAGTGATAATGTTATATTCAGAAACACAACGATCACGGAGGAGATCACAATTTTAGTTGGTGTCCTTGGAATCAGCGCCTGGTCTGTCGTTAGCCCAAAATGCCATCAAAATGTCACACCTTTCTTGTTTCATGTTAGGATTTACTTCCATCAGGGTTTAAGAAAGTCGACCTGGATGTGCCCATTCCCACTGTAAATGTAAGTTCCAGAGCTATCAAACAATCTCTCAGAGAGTGGACCTTAATCTCTTTCATCACGAATGGAAGAAGTAACTCCTGTTATTTGTAAATCTGTCTCATAGATTACCTAAGGTTGATCTTTCTGTTTACGATAATTTTGGTCTTTACTCATTTTATACTCGAAAACAGATGTTTTTACCAATGAAACCTGGGTTAACTGTGACCACCCGTACCATGTAATGTGTCTCAGTCTTAGTACCTGACGGGAAACTTCTTTTGGAATTCTGATAATGCTCGCTTACCTTTGTAAAGCCAATTCCTTATGGAGAAATAATTGTTTCAACAACGTACATGGTCATACAGTTGGACACACTGATGGACAACTCAACATCAGCTTCAATTATAATTAAGATACTCACAAATAAAGACAAAATACACTTTGCTACATTTGAGCCACCTTTGTTCAGTCGACCATAACTTTCTCAGAAACGTTTGCACACTCCACACAATATGAGAACCATTTGTATTTTGCAACTACGTAGTGTTTTATCTCGCAGTCGACGTCTTATGCAAGGCCCTGCGATATATACAGGACAACGCTTTGAAAGAGATCATTAAGTAACATCTATATGAAATCAGCACAGCTCTTTGCTAAGAAGTTTGGTCAACAACCCATAGTTAAAAATGGGTTCAAGTAGCTGCTGAGGGCAATGGACATTTTACCATGTAGCCATTGGTGTACTATAAGATTATTGTAACATCTCAATGATCTTATAATCTGAAGTGTATCGGTGACTTCAGAAGAGGATAATACAGGTCTCACAGTTCTGGGCAATTACAACCTTCTCTTTGAATAACGTATATGTCGTTGCCGGCAAGGAAAGTCCACAAGCAAGAATTGCACTTGTTAATAACGGTAGCGATACTGTTGGCATTGAGGCCCTTCAATCTGCTAAACCACCTAGGGATATGTTCAGAAACGTGGGTTTGGGCAGAACAGCATCAAGGAGTGGTAAATTGACAACAGGACAGCCACTGGAGATAACTAAATCACTCCCCAATCTCCTCTTTTCCTGGTTATGGAATACCACAGCTGTCACTACACCAGAGACCACATCCAGCTCCATTTCTAAGAACCTATGTAATAAAGCCTCCTCAGCTTTTCCGTCTTTGGACCAATCTCCTTCATCTGGGGGACTTGCTTCTTAGATCAACACGCTCAGAAGCCTATTCAACAGAGAAGATTATTAGAACGTTTATCCATAATGCAAGCAAGGTATTCCATGAAGAAAGCGATGAAGTGAAGGCACAAGCCAGTGATTGTTAAAATGCATACCACAAACCACAGCCTGGACAGCAATTAAAGACTAGGGAATGAATAACATAGCAAAAAAGGTCTTCCATCGTACAAGCTTCTCTATCTTGTGTACAATATAAACCCATACTGTGTATAATATAATACAGCATAATTATAATATAACAACACCACAGCGTCAAACATCCGAACACCACTGACGCGTAAGACCGCCCGCCCAAAGTTTTGTTTTCTTTCTTGTCCACCGCGGCCAGACCAACTTTTTCTTTGTTTGTCTTTTTTTCCTGCTTCAGTTTTAGCGGGTTTAACCACTTTCTCCCACCCTTCTGTCTCTTCATCTATCAGACATTTGTGTGTCTAAGCGGCGTGTTGAAGCTGTTACCATTGATCTGCTGATCTTAAGACGTCCATAGTCGGTGCTCGATTCTTTTACTGTTGTGTGTGTGCTTTTTTGCGCAGTTCTGTTATTGAAGTGACGGTGTTGAACGATGGAGTTCCAGGTGAAGAAGGCATTCTTCAAGGCTGATACGGTGGATCCGTTCACTGGTTTACCGATCTATGTGTTTGACTCGAACTATTTGCCGAATTTTGAAGGCTTGGAGTGTGACAAGCGCACTCTGGAAGAGTTGATGATGAAAGCGTTTAAGAGGATCATCCAGCGGGTACCAAATGCTCCTTACTCGCTGGTGTGCTTCACCTCCTGGTTCAAATCCTTCAATGGCTCAAACAACGGCGCTTCATGGGTCACGCTGCTGAAGTGCTACCAACTGTTTCCCCAGGCTTTCAAGGAGAACATGAAAAAGGCGTACGTTGTCCATGAGTCGTGGATCGTCAGGTCATTTACGCAAATCTTGACTAATGTTGTGCAGTTGAAGAAGTTCAAGAGAGATGATGGGAAGATCCAATACTGCAGAGATTTGACCGAGCTCTCCAAGTTTGTTGATATTACCAAGCTGAGAATCAGCTTGGCCGTGTACTTGTACGATTTGGAATTTGCAGACAAGTTAATCATCCCTTACACTGTGAAGCACAACTCTGCGGATTACCTCCAATACAGAGGACTGATCGAGGAGCGTATATTGACGAGGTTGTTACTAGAAGGAGACCAATATCCGCTGGTGTTTACAAGACCCGGGAGCCAAAGGAAGTTGAACATCCTCGCCGATGCCATTGAAAGAGGCCACTATCTGGATTTGTCGCAATGGGACATATATGTGATGGGGACGCTTTGTCTAACGACGCTTCGAAAGAGAGATGAACCTCTGATTGACATCGATCTCATTGAGTTGCCTATACGGGATGACTTGAACTACACTTTAATGACTTTCCACAGAATGCAGCTATCAGACGAGTCGTATCTACTGTTCGCTAGGCTCCATGAGATTTGGATCAACATGTGCTCAAAGTCTGAGACAACGAGACACGATCTGAAGTCCATCTCCAAAGCTGTGACGCCAGGGCTCTGCAAGGAGAGAACATCACTGAAGAATAACGACCGGTTAATCATTGGACAACGGTTTATCAAGAACCTGTTGGAGTACTGGACTGAGATCGACAAGGCTCATTCAAAGTCGAAGCCTTCAGAGGTGGTGATCAAAGTTGAAAAGCGTAAGGAGAGACCGGACCCGCCACCGTCCCGTAAAGTCTCATTCAAGACCAACGGCGTTGAGTTCAGAACGATACCTTCCCGTCCACTACCTGAAGTACCGGATACTACAAGCAGGACTGTTTCAGATTCCTCGACGCTACCCGTCTCCTCCTTACCTGTGGAGAACAACAACTCCACCGAACTGTTAACCATTGATGACGTTGACATCGGCAGTAACAGATCCACACAGACCAACCAAGTGCTCACAGACGCCACAACGTCACTCAACAAGATGCCGATGCCAACGGTCAAGAGGCCAAAGCCCATCACCAAGTTCGCAGAAGGCTACAGCTCCATAGAAGGCAAGAAGAAGGTCAGCAAGCTGGCACAGCTATACGAGGAGAGATTAGTAGGGCTACAGATCCTGGATGAGATCGAGAAGAAGGGCTAACCACAAGGCATACAAAGCATACAAAGCACATGCACATAGTTAAGATACCACAATTTATCCAACCAATACAAATTCATACTGACGCGTAAAAAAGACCCCTTCATGACGCGTCGACGCGCGCGTTAAAACGATAGCAAAATAAACTTTTTGTCTGCGGCAGCATGCCCCCGTTTTTCGGGACAAAATTGCGCTTTTGAAACGAAAACAGACACGGGACGGACATTTTTTGGCTGATGGGGAGAAAAGCCTTTATTTCCTCTCTATAATTTTTCCAGTTATCAAGTGAAATTCGTTCCACTTTATGGTATATAAAGCTTCACTGCTTTAAAGGTTACCAATTGGCAATTGACTAAGGGTTGTGTTTTGATTTCGGCCTGGTCTTTGAGCACTGGGACAGAATGGAAGAGGAAGGTAGTTCTTCTGCAGGGAAGCTGGACATTGGGATGGACATTGGCACTGTGATGGACATTGACGCTGATGCTGTGGATACAGCCAGTGCCGTCAACAGTAGCAGGACTCCAGCTACTGTAAGGGTTGCTAAATTTGGACTGTCGCCAACGAAGCCTTTGAATTTGCACTCCAAGAGTGAGAAGTCCATTGTTCGGGAGTCGAGCTCCTTTATGTCCCATAGAACCGGGGAGTCCATCGCAGAGTCTTTTGAGACTGCGATGGATGGAAGTGATTTGAGCGATGCTGTTCATCAAATGTCGATGTATGATGATGATCCGACCCCAAGGGTGCTGCAGCACGACAGGTTTATACCATCGAAGCCTGTTGTTGACGAGGATGAAACTCCAGTGATTGGGGTTTCAGAGTCGTTTGTCCGTGAACATGACAGTGGTGTTCACGATGATAGTGGTGTTCACGATGATAGTGGTGTTCACGATGATAGTGGTGTTCACGATGACAGTGATGTTCATGATGATAGTGATGTTCATGATGATAGTGATGTTCATGATGATAGCGGTGCTCACGATGATAGCGATGCTCATAATGACAATTTGGAAGACGATACAGCACTGCATTCAACACACTCGACAGATCACTCTCACCAAAATTCTGTCAAATCATACAAGTCAGGACACGCATCCAGTGTATACGATAAGTCGTACGAAAAGACCGACCCCGTGGGGGTAACACAAGAGCTATTGAACTCGACAGAGCTGTTATCGCTTTTCCTTTACGCATTGCACGATTTTGACGCATCCACTCTTGATCAATCAAGCGAATCAACAGTGTGCTTATCCTTCAACAAAGGCGACGTTGCCTACGTCCATTCTGTGGATTCGAGTGGCTGGAGCGAAGTGACACTGTTAAAGAACCTATGGAGAGGTTGGATACCTGTGAATTTTTTCACAGAGCTAGTCAAAGACGACGAGACAATGCCACTAAGTAAATCAAGGATACCGTTGAAGTTGCTTCTCATCTCAACGGCGAAGTTCCTTAACAACCCGATAGATAACCCGTTGAACGGGGATTCATACTTCTCCTTGGATCAGGTCAATGCCATACGAGATGGTGTACGTTACCTACTAGAATTGACAAACTGCTTATCAAGATCGACACTCATCGTTAGGAAAAGACCAATCATTAGAAGAATGAGGAAAACACTGCTTGCAGATTGGTATTCTCTGATGATTAAAGCAGACTCGTATAAACACACACATAATTTGAAGCACGTGGAGACGTTACAGCTAATGGCTTTACAGGTGGTCAAGAAATCTATAACCTTTCTGGACATCTGGTCAATAGAATCAGAATCTTTGAAGAAAGAGGAAGTTATCACAAGAAGGAAGACGGATATGCCATTACTGAGAACACCACCATTTGGTAAAGCAAGACTAAACGAAATCCATAATGTCTTGTTCGGTTACATTGGATTACTTCTGGGACGACTAGATATGGTTGAGCATAACCCTGCTGGATGCCAATTGCTGGAGAACATCACACATCAAATGATTTTACTGCTGAAAGAGTTGCTCTACATCAACAAGTCATGTGTTAATATCCTCGATTCTCAGAGTCGGAGGTTGGAGAAGTTTGACGATAATCTGGATGTCTTGCTTTCATTAGTCTCTGAATTGGTATCAAGCGTAAAGAACTTTGTCACCAAAATGATCAATGAATCCAACACTGAAAAACCTCTGAAGCAAGGCCCGTATCAGTATTCATCGGAGGGATTGGAGTTGATGGGGGTGATTTCCAGAATGACGAGATCAATTTCACTCTCAGTGGATACGTGTTATAAGTATCTGGCGATGATTGGCGATTTCAAACTGAGTGAAGACAAGGAATACACAGACTTCTCAAAGGTTCAAATAACAGCTGATCAGTTCATCAAAACGTGCTCCTTGGGTATGATCAAAACCATGGATAAGTCCAAATTGGACATGGTTAGGACTGCTGAGAGGAATGGTATCAAGAGGCAATCCAAGTTCTCCATGGTTAGAAGTGGTAATGACAATTTCACCGTTTCAGGCTCAAACCTGTTACAGGAATTCCTACCGGATTCTAAGTCATTCATGAGATCATCAGTGTTCCAGCCCTATTTAAACGAGACTGGTGAACGCTACGAGATTCCATTTGATCGTGATACTGAAATACTTTATGATTCAGAAGGCTCTCTCATCGGCGCATCATTTAGAGGACTAGTGTACTTGCTCACAGACGAGTTAAGGAAAACACAGCCTTTCTTCATCTCAACGTTCTTTCTCACTTTCAAGTCATATTCTACAAGTGACGCACTCATTGAGGAGTTGATATCGAGGTTTAACTTTGAAGACTCATCTGAAGACGAATCCACAGGTGATTATTACTCCTACGATTCACGACTGAAGAATAGAAGAAGATTGATAGCCAAAATATTCCAGCTGTGGATTCAAAGCTATTGGGACTACACCGGTGACTACAACCTGATTCCGACTCTGATAAACTTCTTCAATGAGGAGGTTTCACAGTATTTGCCCATAGAATCGAAGAAACTGATTGAACTATGCTCGAAGCTCATTATTGTGACACCATCACTGCTGGAGACCACCAAGACTGTACCAAAGACTAAGTTTGGTGGCGTGGACTCTGCAGTGATACAACTGGTGTCCAGAAGATTGTCTTCTACGAGATCAGCAATGTCAAATTCAAGCTCTGTCAATTCATTCGTATCTTTGAACAAGGAACTTGATGATGAGGAGCACATCTTTGAGGAGTATGAGCTGACTAAAGTCAAGAGCTCTTCGAGAAACTCCACCTTGCTGCCACTACCTGGGCTGAATTTCAACCATAACTCATTGCTGAACAAATCACAGATTAGTGAAATTGAGCACGATGTTATTAAACACCGAATCGCCCTCAGCTCAATCAACTGGCCAGTTGAGTCTGTGTCGAGATACATCCCGATGGAGACGCAACACTTACTCAAGGTGTGGTATGACTGTTGTCAAAGTAAGCTCCAATGCGAATTTCGTCCAGAGTCACACTTAGCTGAGCTCAATGGGTTTGAACTCGCCAAACAGTTGACCATAATCGAATCGAGAATATTCTTATCCGTGAAACCAGAAGAGCTTTTGAATCAAAACTTCTTGAAGAGACATCACTTGTCACCTAATATTCAACAGTCTCTCTTGTTCACAAACTTACTCAGTGCCTATGTGTTGGAGTCCATCCTCGAGGAGGGCTTAATTATGAAGAAACGTACAATTCGGATTAAACAATGGTTGAACATTGCCTTATCCTGTTACTACCTCAAAAACTTCAACTCCCTCGCTGCCATTGTCATTTCACTGCAAAGTCATATCCTGTCCCGTTTGGATGAAGTTTGGGCATCGCTTCCCGAGAAGTACCAGTCTTTGTTCAGTGATTTGAAGAAGATCATCCATCCTACGAACAACTATAAGGGATACCGTTATAAGCTGTCAAAGATTCTGAAAGACGGCGATACCAAATCTCCAATTCCTGTGGTTCCATATGTGAATCTATTCTTACAGGACTTGACCTTCATCAACGAGGGAAATCGTGATTATCGAAACTCTGAGTCCTTCTTGAAAGAGCGCATCATCAACTTTGACAAATTTAGAAGAGTTGCAAAGATCATTGCAAATATGGAGTATTTACAAGTTGGATATGATGATGCTCCAAAGAAAAGACGAAGTTCAGTGTTCAGCTTTGGATCAACAATCTCCCTTGACGACAACCTTACGGTGATCCCACCACTTCAAGAATACATACTTCTTGAGCTGTTAAGAGTTCAACAACTCAATCTCAGAGACGATGAGAGGGCATGGAAACTCAGTAAGAAGCTCAAACCATAGCTTCAAACACATTGTATGTCATATTTTGATAACCATCTAATAATTTACGGACTCTAAGATATAGTTCATGTAAATGTGTATTAAGAATAACCTGATTCGATGAAAAAACAAAACCCAAACAAACAAACAAACCTTGCAGTATTCAACATAAATGTTTTTTTTTTGTTCAGTCGTGATAACCACTGCTAACGAATGCATGTTTCACATATGTTTTCCACAACTCATCCAAGCTTTTCTTGTTTTGTAATTCGTCCAAGTTGTCACTATCATATTCGTTGCTTGCGGTTTCACTTGATTTGGTTTTTGGCTTTTTAATTGGTTTGCCGAGTTTACGGGCCAATGAAACATAATCGTCCACTAAGAGCGATTCAAGTTTATAAGGATGACCATCGGATGTGTACTCGACTTCGTAATCGAATGGCTTCGTCTCTTCGTTAACTGCCTTCAAATCTAGATAGTATTGAACGAATCGAAGAGGTGAAAACGTTTGTGGGGTATAACCTGGGCCTAAAGTAGCACCTTCTGGCATTGGCTTAGGTAATGAGATATCAGGCCCTTTGTCCTTCTTCTTCTTGTTTTTCCTCTTTTCTATTTCAACAAAATCATCTTCGAGGTCATCATAGTCGTCGTCGTCATTTTGATCATCCAACGAAATCATCGCATCAAGTTCAGCGAAGAACTGTGTCCATGGTTTAGCCTTTAAAGACAACGATTCTTCTATGCCTGTAATGTTGTACTCCCACACTCTAAATCCTGGATTAAAAGTTGGGATCACAGATGCAGCAACGTTTGTAATGGCATAGCGATCAGAATGTTGACCTGACTTCTTCAAGCCTTTTACATCCACATAAAAGGTTTCTCTAACAGAATCCATATATGCCTCTTTGTTAGATGGAACACCACCCATCGCATGTGCGTCCTTAGCGGCAATAGCGACGTTCAAATCATGTTCAGAAACGTTGAATCCCATGTTTAAATATTGGTGTTCGAGATCGATGTCAAATTCAGCATCATCGTCTTCCAATGCTTCGTCCAATATGTGAGCGAATTGTCCATCAATTTCGAATCCCTGCCGTATTAGAGAATCCTGGTATGACTTATATGCCTTTTTGGCATCCACCGGAATGAAATGGTCAATATTCATATGGCCATATACACCACCAACAATAATATCTCTGTATTCATGCAGCCACATGACGAATTTCCTATAACAGGTGATATCGTAGTTCTTTGGAATTGGTGGGACATGACCACTTAACCATACTTTCATATTACGTTCTCGAAGTTCATCAAGGGTCACACCTAACCATTGGAACAACTTAAACCCGGGATCCTTTCTATTATCACAGTTGTCCACCAACGGATTAGACTTGAACAGATAGAGGGTATTGATCGATAACACCGCAAGCTTATTCGGTACAACCTCTGTAAAGTAATAGGAGCCTCTTTGAAAGATGTGTAGTTGTTCTTCAGATATGAAGTTCTGCCAAATGTTCCAAAGCTCTCTCGTCTGTAAAGTTGGACCAGGAGCAAACAAGTTATGTGGATAAACGTCGTTATTGCCCAGACTTGGCACCACAGGAACGTCATAATGTCTCGGGTCCAGGGCATCGCCGTGAAAGATGTCGTGAAACAAGTTCGCCACACGGGTGTTCATATCAAAGATCTCCATTTCAGTACGAGGTATCTTTCTGTCGTTATCATGTCTAATGTTGTCACCGGTCCAAACGACAAAATCAATCTTGTCCCTCAAATGTGTTTTCACCCACTCCAACGTTTGGTTCATCAAGATCATTGGGGAGTCGCATCCAAGCATGGCGTCACCGTACTTGGACGCACCAGCCGACCCTTTACCAGGTTTCCCTCTATGACATGAGTTGTCTTCTATATTAGCGCCCACCTTATAGAACTCATCTGGGTGTATGTCAGTCAAGTGAAGAAACCTCCCGTGTAATACTTTAGACCTGTGGTTTCCTAGCAGCTTAACTGGTTTCTGCGGCGTCAGCCCTAACCGCTGATACTCTTCAACGTCGATGTCGATGTATTCTACCGCCGAGACCATCTCATCCTCAACAGAGGCTTGGGTCGCTCCTGTTGTCGCCCTTATTGTTGATGTTTTGCTCCATAGCGATGATGCCATCACTTCCGTCAAAATGTCACGATAGCCCCACAGCGCCAGCATGGGGAGACACAGCAGCCACGTTATGATTAGCCATTTCGACCTGCTCGTGTGCTTACTGGGCACTTGTACGGTGTTTACGCCCATAACAAAGCCGCCCTATTCGGTTCAACGCTGATGTTTACGTTGATGATGTTAGAAAGGGAGGAGAACTGTGCTTTTGAATTAGCCGCCAACGGTTTTTTGCTTTTGTGGTCTCGCTCAGGAAATTTAAGGAAGAGCTGGGTAATGCCACAATGGCTGTATGCGTGCCAGAAAGGGAATATTACCTAAGTGGGATATTTTATCCATGGGGTATATGCACTCCTCCAAGGTCATCACCAAGTATTTAAGACGGCTTATGCTTGTTTATCTTCACCATTCGGCGTCCTGGAAGAAGAGGCTGGGAGCAGATAGGAAATATATGATGCTGTTGAGGTGGCTTATACCCAAGAATCTCGACGAAACAAGAGATACACCGCCACAGGTTTATAATGCACAGGTGTACTGGTGCTGCTTGCTGGCGTCTTCGATGGCTGTGGTTATCGGGTACGATAGCGGGTTCACATCAGGAATGGTTAGCCTGTACAGTTTCCAGTCTGAGTTTGGTATCGACGTGATGGAGCCGCTGGAACGGTCTCAAACGCTGGAAAGAATCATTTCGCTGTTCCAGGCTGGCGCGCTCTGCGGCACGCTGTTGATCTATCCACTGGGACAGCTGTACGGGCGTAAGTTGAGCTTTGTTGTTATCACAGCTGTTTTGCTTCTTGGTTCAGTATTGCAACTGTTTGCCAACAGCGAGAATGGGCTATGGCCCATGTACCTCGGCAGGTTTTTAAGCGGCATTGGTATAGGCTCCTTTTCGAACTTGGGCCCAATCTATATAGTTGAGTTGAGCGTCCCAAGTATAAGGGGACAGCTGGTTGGGTTTTACGAGATTGCATGGCAAATTGGAGGAGTGATGGGGTTCTGGATCAACTACATAACGTCTGTGACGATCGATGACTCTCAGAGGATCCAATGGTTAATACCTTGCTCGCTGCAGTTGTTACCACCGGTGTTATTTGCGTCCCAGCTGTACACCTTAATCGAGTCCCCCAGATGGCTGTACAGCGTCGGGCTTACTGACGAGGCACTGATAAACCTGTGTAGGTTGAGAGACCTCTTACCAGATGATCCATATATCGAGTATGAGGCCTCCACCATTGACAGGGAACACCATGAAAAGATAAGACAGGTCGGGTCGAGCCTGTGGGACCCATTCAGATGTATCTTTAAAACCCATCAGCTGAGGATACGGCTGCTGATGTCAATGTCACTGTTCGTGATGCAAAACACGCTCGCAGTCAACGCGGTCAACTACTACTCCCCAAGGATATTCCAGACGATGGGGGTGAGCTCTCTGAGTGCCTCACTGCTCTCAACAGGAGTATTTGGTGTGATAAAGGGCATCTGCTGTTTACTCTGGTCCATGACGATTGTCGACCGTTATGGCCGGAGACCGTGTCTAATTGTGGGACTCGTCGTGTGTGCGCTGTGCTTCACCTATATCGGGTTCTACATCAAGCTTGCTAACCCAGCTCTGGGCAAGGAGCCCCACGACGGTGCAGACTCCCGGCTGGGAACAGGCGGGCTCTTTGCACTGCTCGTGTTCTACGTATGGACAGTGTCGTATGGTCTCTCGTGGAGTGGGACACCGTGGGTTTGGAACTCGGAGGTCTTCCCCACCAACGTGCGCACCGCCTCCAGCGCACTCAACTCGTGTTCCAACTGGGCGTGTGCGTACGTGATGGCGAGATTCTCCGAGGAGATGATCGACTCCTTAGGGTACGCAACCTTCTGGGTGTTTGCCCTCGGGATGGCGATATCGTTACCCGTCTTTTACCTCTTCTACCCAGAGACAAAGGGCGTTCCTGTCGAGTTCATGGATCAGCTGTTCAACTACAACGCTCCACAGGCTCACTCCATTGTCCATGGATACCTCGAGACTCACAAGCACGATGGACTAGACGACATCCCGGAGCACCTGAGCGTGCTCTCATGAGCCGGAATGACCCAGCGCGTCAGAGCACCCAGACCCTTATCTTGAAAACCCCAACACCCGCGCCCTTATCTCTGTTTTCCCCTGTTTATCTGTTTTTATAACAATTACGTCATATGCAGCAGAGGAGGCCCAAAGTGCGTAGGCCCAAAGTGCGTAGGCCCAGAGCGCACAGGCCCAGAGCGCACAGGCCCTGTAATGCCCGACGATAAGCGAGCAATGCCGCAAAACACCCACACACCCATACTTAAGCACCATGTTTGCTGCTGCTTTTTCCCACAACCGATACGCCAGATAAGCGTTCTGCTTGGGAGAGAGGGGGCCGTTTCCAAAGGGGGGCAGGGTGCTTTGGCGGTGTGGCACCAGAGGCTCCCTCTCGCTGCCTGATCGATGATAAACAACAGGCCATTTGGCACAGGGGAGGGAAACCCATCACGGCCACGACGAGTTTATGGAGGCCGCCTCCCTTGGCCCTTTCCACAGGCTTGTAGATGCCACTATAAATACACGGGGAGATCCCGTGATCGTCTCCTTCCGTGTTCCTCTTCCTCCACTGCGAATAAGATACACACACAGTACCCGTTACACAAGCAAGCACACAATCACACCAGTTATATGACAATCACATCCTCTCTGAGCATCGTTGTTATTGGATTTGGACTCATTGGCCCTAGACACGCCCAAGCAGTTGACGAATGCCCTCAAACGCACTTAGCCGCTCTAGTTGACCCGTTCAAAACCCACGAGAAGCGTCATACCGCACGCACGATGTTCCCTTCGGTTCCACACTTCAGGACCTTGGAAGGCCTGCTGGCAAGCGGCATCCACATCGACGGGGCCATCGTGTGTACACCTAACCACACGCACTTGCACGTGGCCCAGGTGTTGGCGAAGCACAACATTGCCATGCTGATTGAGAAGCCGATCTCGCCAGACGTTGAAGACGCGGTGAAGATCAAGCGGCTCTCAGAGGACACGGGGATCCCTATGATTATAGGACACCACAGACGGTTCAACCCGTATGTGTTGGCCACCAGGGACCATCTACACAGGTGCGGTAAGATCATCGCGGTTGATGCGGTGTGGTGTCTACAGAAGTGCGAGTCGTACTTCAAGCAAACGCCATGGCGCTGCTCCAAGAAGATGGGCGGCGGTGTCATCAACCTGAACTTGGTTCACGATTTGGACCTTTTGCAGTATCTGCTGGGTCCGATCAAGTGTGTTTACGCCACGGAGTGTGAGAAGACCCGTGATGATAACACCGGTGAAGATGCCGTTGTTGAAGGCGCAGTGCTGACGTTGACCTTCCAGAGCGGCACACGGGGCTCGTTTATCGTTTGCGACAACGTTATATCCCCTGCTAACTTTGAGATGGGTACCGGTGAGAATCCGTTGATCGAGAAGAACTCGCAGGGAATCGATGGCGTGTTCTATAGGTTCTTTGGTACCAGGGGAACCTTATCAGTTCCAGACTTAACCTTGTTCCATCAGGATGGTTCAAAGGAAACCGGCTGGTGGAGTCCTATGCACAAGGAGTCCATCGATGCCGACGTTGAAGGTGTTCCATTTGCACTACAGGTGGAGCACTTTGCTAAAGTTATGAAGGGTGAAGAAGAACCAAGGTGTACCCCTGATGACGGGATCAGGGCGATGCTGGCCATCGACGCCGTTGTCAAGTCCTTGGAGACTGACATGCCAGTCAAAGTTGCTGCCATTTGACTTTAATTCTCGTGTTTTTGTTTAGTTGGTTAATCATATGATCAATGTATACCATAGTTGTACCTTGTTATAGCTGCGAACTTGGCTGTGCCTGTGCCTGTGATAGGTGTTGAACTTCCCAGGTGGTGAGCTTGGTATCGATCTTGTCTAAGGGCTTTAGCTCTGAATTGACTCCATCACTTTGAAGTGGTATTCTAAGATCCGGATCTTTGGGGGTATTTAACGATGGAAGTACTTCCAGATGATGGGCGAGGACGACTCTGTAAGCCATATTGACTGTGAAGGGGGATATGAAGCATACAATGACTGCTTGACGGCAGAATGTAAAGGTAACAGGGCTCGAATGGGCTGTTACTACACTCACCATCAAGTCTATAGAATTGCTTAAAGTTTCTAAACTCGGATCTCGTTAGTCTTGCTGTCCTGTAGAGGACAGTTTTGGTGAGCAATGTGTGCTGTTAGGATAACCATATGCTCGCTATTGGGCAGGCAACGGCTCAATTGTGCTTGAAGTTCCTCCAATTCATTATTCAAGTGGAGCCTAGCACTGGATCTTTTATACAGAGCTCCATTTCTCAGTGTGAACCACACTGGTACTCCCCCCAGTGGTAGGAAACGAATCACCAGACAGAGAGGCCAGTGTCTCTTTCGGGACAGTACGTACGCGTTATTCACAACACAGCTTGTATTATCAATCGCCTACCACCCTTACGGTACAGTCTCGTCCCTTCTTTACTAACAGGACCGCAAGCTTGTCCTCCATGCTGAGAATACCCAAGCAACCAACTCACCAATGTTCCTAACCTTCAAGTTACAAGGCAAACTACAATACAACAGTGGTGTTCAACTGAGAGTCCTGTTCAAGCCTAAAAATTGTAAAGACCTGCACTTAGAATAGCCATAGAAAGCAGCACCATGTGGGTAAAGCACATAAATCGCCAAAATACTACGAGCAAGTCGGTGCATCCCAATCCAATACTCCGATTCATAGCATACGCTCAATACCTGTAACAGCTAAGCATCGCAACCACATTCCGAACACATTCCGAACACATTCCGAACACATTCCGAATATATTCCGAAACTATTCCGAAAACCCACGAATATATTCCGAAACTATTCCGAAAACCCACGAATAAATTCCGAGACGCTCTTCCCCAGCTCAGGCGGCTAAAATGGTGTCACAAAGAGAAAAAAAAAGCAACTCCACAGTCTCGAGACAGCCATAAAAACTTTTTCCATTGCAGACATTTTACTTTCTTTGTTTCATCAACAGAAAAATCCTTCTACCCCCAGCACTCCATTCGTTCTGTGAAGGAAGCATTCATTTGAACTTTGTATTCTATTCCGGTTGCTAATAGCTGGCTTCCACGTTCTGGTGAGTTATAACAGCCGCGGTTCCCCAGGACCACGAGGCTTTATATATACGTTCCGTGCATGAGTCATTGTGTACTGTGATCAACGTGGTGTATGAAGCCACGGCGCTAAAGAAGCATTCCCTGGCTAACGAGAGTAGCTGATAATAGCTGAAAGGTGACTATAAGGATGACTATCGCTGTGTCGAACGTTGTTGTGGTGGGCTATGGTCTCATTGGACCACGTCACGCCCACGCGGTTAACAACTGTCCTTCCACGAACCTCGTGGGGATCGTTGAGTCCTACCTCACGGAGGAGAAGAGACAGGCTGCCCTGGCGGAGTTCCCAGGCGTCAAGTTCTTCTCCTCTGTGGAGGAGTGCTTGGAGAGTGGGGTGAAGATCGAAGGTGCCGTGGTTTGCACGCCAAACCACACACACTATGCGATTTCAAAGTTGTTATTGCAGAACAACGTCAACGTTCTAGTTGAAAAGCCTATAAGTCCAAACGTTGAAGAAGCCCGTGAGTTGAAGCGCGTTGCACTGAGACACGGAGTGAAGCTCTTGGTTGGCCATCACAGAAGATTTAACCCCTATGTCATGGCGACGAAGAGACACTTGCACAAGTGTGGACAGATAGTTGCCGTTGATGCGGTTTGGTGCTTGAAGAAATGCGAGGAATACTTTGAGCAGGCTCCTTGGAGACGCTCGAAGGAACAAGGCGGTGGTGTCTTAAACATCAACCTGGTTCACGATTTGGATTTGTTACAGTACTTTTTGGGTCCGTTGAGCGAAGTGTACGCCTCGCCCGTGGAGAAGACCAGGGACCCTTCAGAAGATTCCGTGGAGGAAGGTGCTGTCATACTGATGACATTTGCCAATGGCACTAGAGGAACCTTTATAGTCTGTGACAACGTTGTCTCACCGGCAAATTTCGAAATGGGCACAGGAGAGAACCCACTTATACCTCAGATTGAGGATTCCACGGATGGTGTTTTCTACAGATTCTTCGGAACCCAGGGGTCATTAAGTGTGCCTGATTTGAGACTCTTCCATCAGAAGGATTTGAAGCAACCTTCTTGGTGGGAAAAGATTTGTAAGGAGCACTTGGACGAGGATCTCAGCTCGATCCCATTTGCACTTCAAATGGAACATTTTGGTAACGTCATCCAAGGTGAGGAGGAACCAACCTGTACTGCAGATGACGGTGTCATGGCAATGAACGCTGTCAATGCTGTGATTGAATCCTTGGATACGCAAAAGCCAGTAAAAGTCCTGAATGCTTAGATTCATGAGTGAATTGGCACTAGATGAATAAGTTGTGACGATAAAGATATGAGGTCATGTGTATATACGTTTATATTCAATGAAAAAAAACAGTTCAAACTAACTATCGTGTCAATCCATGTATCACACGCGTACTAATCCTGCCTTTAGGATCCACCTGTTAAATATTCACCATGTCGTTAATTTATTCATTCCAACTAAAGGTGTGTATGTATGCAATTTAAAGGCCTTGTTCAACTAACGTGTTTAATTTAAAAGCATTCAAAGACCTTTGAACGTACCTTCCCTGGATCTTCCCAAAACGGCTAATTTATGCACAGTCCCTGTGGTGCGTGAGGACCTCAGAGGGCGTGCCTGGATTCTACAAAACGGGACCTTTGGTAATTGAGTACATCGTTTAAAGGGTAGGTTTTCACAACAACAAATCTACCAGACAGCCAATTGAAATCAAGGCGACTGACGCGTGGTGTTTTCAGACCATTGGTATACAGTACACGCTGTTTGAGGATGGATCTGATCAATTTCTAACCAGAGATCCCATATTGACAAGGCTGTCCCTTTCAACAAAGAGGCTTCACACACCTAACGACGGTTTGATGAACCAAACCTGTTGCACTTACTGCCACATGAGCGAAGAGCGACCCGGCTTATAGACAAAACACGCTTTCACCAGAAACAGGCAAACTTCATACCTCAGCAATACAAACAGAAAACAACATCAACAGAGCGTGTTTGGTACCGCCTTCGGTTTAGAGTTTGCAATTCACACGCGCCTTGCTGCACGTCGGCGCAAGGCAGAAGACGCGGTTGAAAACTCAAAGGTTCAGCGCATGCTAAAGTTCACTCAAAGTGTAAACAAACGACTCCTTTTGGAGCCTTTTCCTTGTTCCAAATGAACCGCATCGTGCCTACAGGTTGTACAGAAGGACGTAGCTGAAAGTGGTAGCTGCTCGGCGAATGGGTCGAGAAGCACGTACTTTATTTAATTTAAATTGTAGGCATATACACGAAACCTTTCAGAGAAATGTTGCATGAATGAGAGATATTTGATCTTTTGAGTCTACGTGTATAAAAGAATCCGTAAATCTCACAAACAAGGACACAGGCTACTTGAACACGCACGCACGCTTTCTCTTCTCAAGTTCTCCAAAGCCTGATCCCCTATTGATTATTATGTCATTGACCATGAGCCCACCATCCGTCACACAATCTTCACAGAGAGCCGGTACACAACTCCCACCGTTATCCTCCATACTCAACTCCCCAAAGGATCACTCTGAGCCTGTGTCTCCAGTACAGGATGCCAGACAGCCACAGCTAAAGCCTCTGGACATGAGAACTCCGATTAGATTACCATCTTTCGATTCTTTGCAGTTTGACAAAGTGAGACCAGCATTCCACCACTCCCACTCTTTCAGTGGACTCACGTCTGTCTCAAAGATCTCAGCAACACCAAGGGGATCCTTCACTCTTCCAACGCCGGTCTCTACGAAGCCAAGCCTCACAAGCACACACCATTCGTCCTCTACAACATCACTTCCACAACTCACAAGTTCAACGTTACATACTCCTGTTTCAACAATAGGTCAACCAGTTGCAGGTCAACAGGAATCGCCATTGGTTGAAAAGAGATCGTTTGCCTTCATCTCCCACTCTCCATCGACCTTCCCTTCACAGGAACCTTCTATTGACAACGCTCAATTGGCACGTCGCAAGCGCAGAAGAACTTCGCCAGGCGAGTTGGCTGTGTTGTTGGCAGAGTTCCAACTCGGACAAACCCCAAACAGGGCAAAGAGAATTGAGATTGCCTCCAAGGTGAACATGACCGAAAAGGCTGTACAGATCTGGTTCCAGAACAGAAGACAAACCCTTAGACGTCAATCAAATACCCAGAGAGAGGTTCATCATTTGGAATTACCACCACAGATGACCCCATTTACTCCAGTGTCCAGCGAATTGAAGACCGATTACCAGCCAACTTCTCCTCCTCAACATCAACAACAGCCACAGCATGGCTCATCTTCTCCAGTTCACAATACACCATCACGTCCACCGCGTAACTCGTCAAGCTCTAAATCACCAAACACATTCACATTCCGTCTGACAAAGCATTCCACTTCTCCAGTGAAGACAGAGACGATAATGACACCAGTGCCACCTGGTTATAGATCGAGACAGAAGCCAGTAATGAGAGTTAACTCACAACCGGCAACCTCTGAGACACATTCATCTCCAGTGCATAGTGAGAACGTGTCACCAAAATCTTCACCCGTTAAATCGCCTGTGAAGAGAACGATTGAAGGTGAAAGTGTAAAGAGACAGCCACTAGCGGAGATCTGCCTCAACAAGGATATCAAGCCTGACACCAAGGATTCATCGGTGGTAAGTCTACCGAAGATGAAACAGTTGGTAGAGTAAAGCAGATACATAGAACGAACCAATAACGAATGAACGATTAGAAATGTTTTTTATACACATTAAAGCCAATTCTGTTGACGTAGAAAGTCGTAGATCTTATTCGCCTTAACTGGGTCAACTCTTAAAACTTCTTTGCACGATTTCTTCTTCAAGACACCTCCACTCTTCAAACTTTCACGGAATAGGGATTCTTTGATAACGATGTACGATTTCGGCAACATCTTCAACTGTAGACACAGTTCCTGTTCATCAGGGCTTAACAAATGAAAGTCATGTGCATGTTGAATGTCGCTATACGTCAATGGACGACCACGTTTCAGAGAGCCGTCCTGTTTTGATCTGGCAGTGGAATGCTGTAACGAGTTAGCAGTGTGTCGTGATCCATTGGCATTAGGCAATCCATATCTCTGTAGATGTTGCATTCTCGTCAGTTTATCCTTCTCGTAACGTGCACCGGCATCCAAATTCGTGATACCGTTACGTCTCCACTCTTGGAGTTGATTTATACGAATACGGCAGTGCAATTCGCTCAACAGGTCCTTTGTAAAGCCTTCGAAATCCTGTGGTGTCATAACACGAGCGTATGCCTTAGCCTTGTTGTACAGCTCCCTCTCCTCTTTTGACCTCTTTTTATCGACAGCAGCCAGCTTTCTGTACTCCATCATGTTGTTATCAAAGAGCAGTCTCTTCTTTTCAGCTCTGGTGGTCAACCGCTCGTTGTAGATATCTAATATAGCCAGCTTCAGCTCAATATCAATGGGCTGGTCATCTGGATCGAATAGCATGTCTTTAACTGTCATCTCTGCCTCGTTTTCAAACTCATGTTCGAATTCCAAACGTCCAGGCATAAAGCCTTGAATGTCGTGACACAACGGTACAGAAGCCTGTGGTTTCCTTGGTGGTGGTAGGGGGGCATTTCTCCTCTCATCTATACGAGCTTTGCGCCTTTTAGCCAAGTCAGTGGTACTAACATGTGAAAAGTCCTTATGCATTTCAGGCAGAGGATAGTCCTTGGAATTGAGGTAGATATCTTCATAGTGCTTACCAACTTCCTCCTTTGAACGACCGCCTATATGATCAGCAACCTCTTGCCAATTACCCAGACCCAGCGTCTGTGCACCAGTGATCAGTGCCAGTTCCTCATCAGCACCCCAGTCTTCGTCGAAGATGGGGTAAGTATGCGTTTCTATCACTTTGTAATCATGATAAGGCATATGGTTACCAGTGTACAACCCCTGCGAAAAGCATGGAACACACAGATCGTACTCAGAACACACTGCACATGAGATACGTACACGGTTTGTACAGTCGGACGAGCACACGTCGCAGTGGAATTTGTTCAATGCTGACATCTGCCTCTATTGTGTATATCAAATATGCTTTGTGAACAGGTTAACGATGGAATGAACAGTGGGAATCAATCCGGAATAGGAAGTAAACGACAGGGGTCTCAAGCACTGTGGAGCCCTAATGTCTAATGCGTTACTTGTTGATTTCTACTGGTGTCGTTGATGACTTTCTTAGTGCTTCCGTTGTTTACTGTTCTTGCGTCGATGACTCGGTCGAGAAGGGGATGTTTACAAACAGAGGAAAACACACAATTGGTGCCCTCGACATTACAGACACGTGATGTCGAGGTAGGGCTTTGTTTTTCAAGAAAGGGAACACCTGAACACCAGATTTATGACTGCAATTGGATGGGCGCGGATCGAGATGAAATACATCCTAACACCAAGGTGACGCAGAGGTTGTGTCGTTACATAAGAAAACGCGGAATTTGGCTGTCACGATTACATAAGCTCTATACAAATTCAGAGTGCGTAGGAGGGAAAAAATGTTGAAATTTGTTGAAAAAGTGTGAACTTCCTTGACAACGTTGTAGAGGAAAGGAACTATCTCAACATCTATAAACAAAAATGGTATGTACTCTTCATCGATGAGTTTATTGTATTGGGTGCCTCGATGGATAATATGGATGCTCTAAGTTCGTCTGTGTGGGACGGTTAACCTGACGTTTGAGGGTGTGTACCCTATGGAAGCGAAGATCAGGTCAGTAACCAAAGATATATGGAGAGTAAAACAAGTGATGAAATATCAATCATAGAGGGCAAAGTTTATCACATACACAAATGGTTAGCCCTTGGTCATTTAAGGTTCACATCCTCAGCTAACTATTTGAACGTTGTTAGCAGCTTTCCAAATACCATCGTGGACTATGTACATAACTGAATTCTCCATTCGCCGAACTAAGTTACTAACCATACAAACAGGGTCGTGTTAGAACAAAAACCGTTAAGAGAGCTTCTAAGGCTTTGATTGAGCGTTACTACCCAAAGTTGACTTTGGACTTTGAGACCAACAAGCGTTTGACCTCTGAGATTGCTACCATCCCATCCAAGCGTTTGAGAAACAAGATTGCTGGTTACACCACCCACTTGATGAAGAGAATTCAAAAGGGTCCAGTTAGAGGTATTTCCTTCAAGTTGCAAGAGGAGGAGCGTGAGAGAAAGGACCAATACGTTCCAGAAGTTTCCGCTTTGGACTTGTCTCACACCAAGAACCAATTGGAGGTTGACCAACAAACCGCTGACTTGGTTAAGTCTTTGGGTTTCGACTTGCCAATCTCTGTCATTGCTGTTTCTTCTCAAAGAGGTGCTGAGAGACGTTTCAGAAAGAGAAACTAAGCATTTTTCCTATATTTTTAGTCTCTTCTCTTCTGTAAAAATATAATCACTGGTTTAAGGTAAAGGAAGGCTTGTAGAAATCTCTAGCATAATATCGAGCTTATTATAAACTGATTGAGTTTTTAATCTCATCTCCAAGTTTCTGTAGTTTTTGCAACTTCTCCTTGACTTGAAGATGCCTTGTCTCCAACTCAGACCCGCGCCGGTTCAACTGTGCAAAGACAAACTCAAACTTCAAGCTCAGCTTCATCCTGGCACTGACAATCTTTTCAACCAAGCGGTATTGCTTATCGACAAGTGAAACACCATGCGCCATCCAGTTGTCAAACCCACCGCACACAACCTTTGAATATTCGCCTCTTAACATCAGATTGTCAATTGATTTGAACACATCGTCAAAGTTCAAACCCTCATTATCCACAAGGCGTTCCGGAATTAGAGTAAACGGAGGTGGTGGCTTGAAGCATGGGACAAGTTCTGTTTGCTTCCTCTTGTTCTTCGTTTCTGGTGTGGATTCGTTCATGGGCTGTGGTCCACCTCCACCGCCCACAGAAGACTTCAACTTCAGCACAGGCTTGGAAGATGATGGTACAACCTTTGGGTTCTTCTGCTTGTTGGTTGAAGTCAAATCGTCATTTTTCGAGGAGGATCGTTTCCTGGTTGGGGTGTCATCTAACTCTGTGCTCTCTAACGGCAATAACAGCTTTGAAGCAGGTTGATCCACAACGTGTTGCCTATCAATCGGTTTCATCGCTGGTTTAGTCAGCTTTTCATCGGGTGTTATTGGACCTATCCCCTTTGTTGCATGGTTCGACACTGGCTTATTCGACTGCTTCAAACCGGGCTCGGTCTTCACCTTGACCTGTTTCTTCACAGGCACCACCTTCGCCTTACCCGTTGCATTAGCCGCTGTAGTTGATGTGTTACTGGAAACCAAGTAGACAGAGCGGTTAGTGATCTTAACTTGATCAGAATTGGTTGAAATGATTCAGTGTATCGCTATAAACCTTTTCGGCATTGAAGCTGCGGATTTCATGCTGACCGCCTGGTTCGTTCAACTAACCGCTGTGTATTTCTATGTTGTTGTTGTTGTTGTTGTTGTTGTTGTTGTTGTTGTTGTTCATTTTGCAAAACATTTGACAGTTTTGACACAATTTTGCGAAGCAAGCAAACCCCACCAGAAAACACATATCCGCTGGAGGGCGGTCTGGGCCCCCAAGGCGCAACCCCCTAGAAATGCACATCGGAAGAGCCAGGCCGAGCTTGCCATGGGACGTTTAGAAGCAAACGACTGGTAAGCAGACACAGCACAGGGCACACAACACACAACACACAACACACACAGCACACATAGCATACACACACGACTACACACCCACACCACCGAGCTCAAATCAACAGTGGATCACCACCGATACTCGATTCCCCCGATCTGTTCGATACAGAATCCGGCTCTCTCGCTCTCCAGCATGCAACCCCTAATGGTACGCCGCAAGATGACACCTAATTCTTGACACAACCACACCCACGCACCACTGGAACGACAACCGTAGCCAATCAACTATCGCTTGGACGAGCCCGCCGTGATTGTGTGATTATGCTGACGTGAACACTACACACATATAGCCTTTAAGCACATGCCTTCACTGTGCCTTTTATTATTGTAGATAGCAAAAAGCAAGCAACGCTACGAGTGTATCCATCATCGAATTACTCCCCCGCCCCTTCGATACGCAAGCTGTAGACGCTCATTGCTTTAAGGTTCCTGTTGGTACACACCGTCTCAGGCTATACGGATAGCTACGATGCACCCTTTTGGGTTGCTGCTGCTGCTGCTGTATGATTATGAAAGTGTGTGTGGTTTGTGTGACTGTTGATCAGTTCATTCATATTAGGCTTGTCGCTCAGCCCTTTGAGTCTGTTTCCGAGGTTGTTTATATAAGGTTGGACAATAGCCGTCTTTTGCTGTCTTCCATGGTTTAACAGCCTCCACTAGCCATATACATCAGTCGGTGTGTGATCAAACTAGGTATCTCGAGCCAATAGTAAGCCGTTGACTGTTCCCCCTTATAGTGCCTCCTCTAACTGTATTCACAAGACCTCTGAATCTGCCAAACAACCATGGACTGTCTCTATATGGTGCACCCAAACAATGTCCTCACCCAGGTAGACTCGCTCACAATACCGAGCCTGGAGAGAAGAAGGGATGCGCTGAAGGAATGCATCACATCAGACACATTTGAAGATGAGCTGGACCGCAGACTGAAAACCTCTGAGCTGAAGTACATCGACGCCTATCTGCGCGTGATGAAGAAGGTGCTCAGCATTGGTGAAAAGTGCCAGGTTGACGGGTGTGGAGAGTATGACTACGACCGTGAAAATGAGATCCTCGATGAGATCTCAGACGATATGGCTGAGTTGAAGACTGCTGAAAGAGAGGTTTGTCAGTGCAAGAGCGAATGCTCGTCTAGAAAGTCTTCAACGGTGCACTTGGAGAACGCTGCCACTGCCACCACTCCGTCTGCTACAGCAAAGACTACGCTTATATAGTGGTTTGTATAACAACGGGTTTGTTTAACAGCGCGTTTGTAATGAATGTTCACGTTAAAATTGGTTTTGATCAGGCTTAAGGGGCTTTTTATGAAACTACGTCATAAGTTTTGATGTACGCGGTAACTGTAGAAATCAGTGCGCCAAATACCGATGTGAAATTCTCACTTCGAAGGGAGACACTGTAATTGGATCAACAACAAATCGCTAAGGACTCTCTGCACTGATCTCCAGGTGATTCATAGACGAGGATGAGACTACCGCTGTTGCTGCTTGCCGGTCTTGTACCGTTATCCCTGTGTGAGGTTTTCCCGCTGAACAAACAGCTGAAACCGCCAACGATTGCTCCTTACTCCATCGGTGATGACGTGGCGGTGGAATGTATCCAGCGTCAGATCGATACCGGTGAGCACAAGTTTGACGCTGATGGCAACATCATCTATGGCCAGTTCCCAGTATGTGCTGAGACGGGCAAGCCACTCTCCTTGAGATACGGCATCTCTGATGATTTCAACTGTACCGTGGCATTGACAGACGAGCAGTTCCACCTGTTCCAGCTATACATCCACGAGGACTCGCCATTCTCATGCCGTGTTCCTTACTCGTCCAATCCACAGGATGCCGCCATACCATTCACCCTGAACTTTAGAGGTCATCTGGAGACGAGTCATCTCGATATCGACACCACCATGAACGTCATGGCCCATAAGCACAAGGACGGCACTATCATGACCATGATCGGTTACGCATCCGGCTCTCAAACAAAGCGGTACATCATCGGTGACCAGCTCACCATCCAATTCAGCGTCAACTGGGTTGAAGAGTCCCATAGACACAATGACGACACGTTCTTCACTGTCAGAATTGGATTTGGCGTGAAGTTCTTGTGGATCGTTGCCCTGGCCAGTGCCACCATTGGTGGTCTTCTTGTATTCGTGACTCTTTACACAAGATTTAACAAGAAACTCATCAAAGAACTGGGATATACACCTGGGTTTACCACTGAGCTGGGCATTGCCTCAAAGAAGGACTGAATGTACTGATAAACGTATAATAGTATCGCAAAACCGCAGAAAAAGTATACATAGGACGCATACAATGGACGATGATCGTTAATATGTCTCATCTTTTGATACAGCAATATATAACTCCCCCATATATACCAAATGGCCCCATATAGCCACCTTGTTCACCATCCCCAACGTACAGAGGTGATGGCTTACGTAATAAAAGTGCACCGAGAGCTCATCGCCAAAAATTTTCAAAGCTCATCCGCTTTTTTTTTTCACTTGTGATGTTCTCACATACAAAGCACCTGTCTTTTTGGTAAGCGAAGGGGAAACAATGTCTGCTAAAGTTAGATACTACTTGGAGCAATCTGTTCCTGAACTAGAGGATCTTCAGAAGAAAGGTCTATTTGATAAGCATGAGATCAACCTCATCATGAGAAGAAGAACAGATTTTGAACATAGGCTGTCGAGCCGTGGGTCTAAGCCAAGGGATTATACCAAATACGCCGAATACGAAAGTAACGTTGAAAAACTGCGTCGTAAACGTTACACAAGGCTATCGTCTGTTGGATTGGTGAATACGAAGCCCTCCATCTCAGACTGGGCCTATGAGAGACGTGTGTCGTTTATCTATGATCGTGCGGTTCAAAAGTTCCCTAACGATTTCACCATTTGGGAAGATTACATCAGATTTGCTAGAAAGCAAAAGATGTTCAAAAAGATCTATAAGATCTATACACAACTGCTGCAATTGCATCCAACCTCGGTGGCGTCCTGGATCAGCGCCGCAAACTTTGAATACGAATACGTCGGCAGTGCAAAGAATGCAAGAACGCTGTTCCAACGTGCGCTTAGATTCAACCAGGACTCTAAGAAATTATGGCTAACGTACACCATTTTCGAACTGTCGTACATTACAAAGCTGCTCACAAGAAGAAGAATTCTTGGGTTGATGACCGAGAAGCAACAGTTGGAGCACGAGCAGAGTGAAGCCAAGTCCATGGGCCAGGACGACGGTCTCATTGAACTACCAAGTGTGACCAACGATGAGCTCAAATCACAGCTCAACACCTTGCCGGATGCTGATATGAATATGCTCGGTAATCCAGAGACAAACCCTGCATTGAGAGGTGACATTGCACTCACAGTCTTTGACGTATGTATCGAAACGTTGTACAAGTTGAAGCGCAACACCAATATCAGCGAATTCGAGTTCAAGTATGACTTGTGTTTGGAGTTCCTGTCGTTGATGGATAAGTTTGACGGCTTGAACAGAGAATACTTGGAACAGCACGTCATCAACTACTTGATGAGACAGTTCCAGAACGAGCCTAGTGTCGTTGTCCTCGATGTCACTCTTCCAATTAGAAACGTATCATTCGAAAACGAGCAATTCGTTGAACTGTTACAGAGCTGTACAAAGAAGTATTTGGCTTATAAGGCTAAACTTCAGGATGAGCATGCAAAGACAGAGTTGAAGTCTCAATTTGCAAAGTTTCTCAACAAGTATCTGGAGGATGAGTCTATCGAGGAGAACACAAGACAACTCATCCGTGCCATTACTAAGAGATTGTGAAGAAGGTTTGACACTCCCTGCTGATAGATGTGGAAGTGTGTGTATGTATTCCATGAATATATGATGTAAGCGGATTGCTATTGTAACCTGTGTGTCCATTTCTGCCCAATTGGCTTCTGTTTCAGTCAACTTCTGATACTGAAGCGTTCAATACTGCTTCAATGCTGAGACCTCTCGTAAACTGACGTATACGACTCTACCTTCACAACAGCTGCAACATGTCTTATAACGTACAGGTGTTATGGAGACAGAATGATCCTCATGTATGCTATAATTGCTGAAATTGATGAATCAATACACTACTCGTTGTCCCATGTGCCTATGTGTCAAGGTTGCTGGGAATTGACCACGCTGCAGTGTATGGCTGTTTCCCGAAACACCACGCATGGAACATTAATCCGTTTAATGGGGATCTACAACCAATCAATTTGATGGGTTCTTGACATTTGTGCGCTGCCACATGCTTACAATTGGTCAACATTGGAGTCCAGCATTATACAGGCGTTGTTTTGGTCTCATCATCGCACTTCGCTCTGTGTATGGGCTTCTTGTAGCAGTCAAATATATACGATTGGGAGAATATACGCCAATATGATGTCGACTTATATGTAGGGCTCGAGCGTATCGGATGGTATGTACTGTGTGCTTGAATGGTGGTGCTCTATTTTCTCTGACATGTCCATATGCACCAACACTAATTGAACAGTATAGATCACATTCTCATAGCTTACAGATTCTCCCTGGAACCTACGTCTTGGTTTAAACTTACGACAGGGACATAAACCATGCTTGTTTCTTTCAAGCACAAGGGGATCGCTTGATACAATTGAGTGCATGTTCTCTTGAAACTGTTTATTGATAGGCCTCCTGGGCCATGTAATAAGCAGTGGATGGTCCATATGTGGGTGTGGGTGTTTTTGATTGACCAATCACTGCATTCTCCACTCTGTAGCTCTGAGTCCCCTCTAAACACAGCGTAAAGAGACAAACATGCGAGCTTAGAGAAAGGTCGCTTGGAATGGTCCGGAGCCATCATAATCGTGATCACGAGCTCGACACGTAAGGGTAAATTTGATAAGCCAAACCCAGCCCATGCGCAAACTCCTAATCGCCTTATTCGTCTAGGCATTCGAAGAAAGCTATATATCATGATCGCATATAACCTACATTACAGTTTTACGGTTAGGTGGTCACACTTTATGCACTCTTGTTAGTATAACGAGAGGCGATGGTATTCCACTGGTTGTTGAATTCCAGGCTCAGAAAGACGACCTCTCCTCCCCCAAATCTCGCTATGTTTTCCCTGAAGAGCACCAGCTTATACACTGTGGGAACCCCATCACCAGCGCGATCTCAGCGGATTAGCCATGCATAGCTCATGGTACATGGGATGGTGTGAGTTTTCGGTTATCACCAGTTCCGGTGTAATCTTGACGATGGAGGCCGTCACGTTGGGTGGTCGTTGATTAAACAAAGCTCACTCACTCACAATAACAACAGTAGCGCCCACTCTCCAATGGCAATTCCATCATGACCACACTTATGATGATCTAAAAAATACTACACGTGAGGGGATGCTAGTAGCGAAACCTTACAGTTGTAACCTTGGCCGTAGTGTGTATCGACATGTCCTGTGTGTACTCCCACTTTGACCAGATTCCGCACCCAACTCGGCCATTTCCGTCTACGCCATGTGTTGGGTTTTGTCCCTGGAATGAGACTAACTCGCGAGCGTAGACCAAACAGCCTCAACCATTTGACCTTAATTTTTGTTGAAGATAAAGGGGGAAGCCGAAAGAAAAGAAATTTGCAAAGTGGCCTGGAAGCATAGCAAGGACAGCAACGTTCAAGGCATGATACACATAACATACATAGCCGAGTGGGAATGCGATTTTTAGTAGCACGGATTTAGCCAAAGCCTTAGGTCGAGCCACCACATGGGAGTTCAAATCGGGTTGTAGGGACAAAGCTTTGGTGTCAGGGCGTTGTCCACCTGAGATTATTGTGATATTATTCCAGACTCTCGTAGCGTGTGCTGTGCGCCGGTGTGTCAGTGGCTAGCAATGCGAGTTGAATTGGGCGGATTGGCTTGTCAGATTGGCTTGTCAGATTGGCTTGTCAGACGAAGCCCGTCCCTCCCTCCACCGGGGCACCGTGGTGGATCAGATCACCTTGTATACACAGGACTCTGTCCAACGGAGGCAGGCAGTGCACTCTGCGTTACGGCTACATCGTACGTTTCACGTAGAGACAAATTACCAACAGATTACTCATAGCGGCGGTTCCGGCTCTGCTGCTTTTACAAATGCCACTTTTTCAGACTGAGCCCGGCTAGTTGTTTGTTCAGCTGCGTATGAGCCATTGAACGCTCCTCGTGATAAATCACACAATCCTATCAGTGCTACCCCTTGGTGAGTTCACCATTAGCAGTTGCGTCGATAACGCTGGCCAGATTAGCCCACTAATTGGTCCTGCGTCCCGTACTACATAACTCGGGCTGTAAGCTGAGGTCATCGGCGTGCTGAGCAAGGTCCCACCGCGCCGTATCCTACTTTTGCATACAGCACATGCACTGGTACGTAAAGGAGAAAGTGAAGACAAACGATTCTTGAGTTAAGACAATAGTGGTGGTGCTGGTAGTGCTGGTGGGGACGGTGTAGGCTCCCTTGTCGTACTGTTGCACACAGTGAAATGTGTGTGCCAGCACCCCCTTCTGGTGTCAGATTCACCATGGCTTATCACAGAAGAGTGGGGGAGGCCTTGTAAAGTGTCATTCCTGGGGGCAGGTGTCTTGACACATATGTCATACCATGGTTTCGTAAACTGTCAATAACTGTCACATACTTTCACCTACACAGCATACAATACGAACCATCTAACTGCAGTGCCTTGATAGCATAGCACGCAAAGGCCATCCACAGGATAAGCCATGGCACATTAGCACACACCCGCCGAGATTCGTCTGCGTTTCAGTCCCACCTCCCTCGTCCTGGAGGGGTGGTTCGTCCCAAAGTCCCCAACTACGCTTCCCTTCAAACGTCCAAAGTTGGCGAACAGCGCCACTACTTCCCACCAACTTGCGTAGAGCCCAGCAACTGTGCCAGAAAGGCCCGTAAAAAAGAAAAGTACAAAGTTTATTGTTGTATAAAAGGCAGGTCAAAGTACCCGCAGATTTCGAGTCCCACGATTTCCTTTGTCTGTAAAATTAGTTCCTTAACCTTCTTATTTTTTCTCTCCATTATTTCAAGTCACATTTCTAGACAAAGGTCGTGGGGCTCATAGAAAAAAAAGAAAGTGCGGCACTGATCACGTCCTTCTGCAATTTATTATTTTTGGCTTCGGTTTTGTGTTGCGTGTGTGTGTGTGTTGTGTGTTTTGTTTTTCCTGATTCTTGGGGGGACTTTGCATACACGGCGGCTAAGACGTTATTTATTCCTATAAACACCCAGGAAATTTTCTCTTTTTTGAAACCAAAACAACAACAACAACAACAACATACAATTGCTACCATAAAGATTAGAAACTACAGGGTTAAAGTCGCACCGAAAGAGGTTTATTAGAGTGTGCAGAGACGAGACGCGGAGATGTTCTCTACAAATGGTTTGAAGGAGGTTAACACGTTTGTTCCTGCAAGAAGAGACTCGCTGTTTGAATCCGCTGGTTTGTCACATAATTTGACACCAAAGAATTTGCAACAACAACAGGGCGGCGGCGACTATGCCAATAGCAGCTACAACGGCGGTGGTGCGGATGGTAATGGGAATGCGTTCACCCCTAACCCTCAGATTTGGAATAACGTTTTCGTTGATGACGGTGTCCAAGGCGGTATGGACCGTTATGCGTACCGCCAGGACGTGTCCGCTGGTGCACGCCCTGGCGGTTCAAGCTCGATTGTATCGAGCGGTGGCGATACGACGTATAACTATCAGACTGGCACTCAGAACCCTTCTTCCGGAGGGTCCTTGAGTAGCCTGCTGGGCGCCAGAAGAGGCTCCTCCATGGATAACTCGCAGTTTCAGTGGAATCAACTGTACAGTTCAAATGGTGGCGCGATGTCTCACGCCGGTGGGTTGGTTCAACAGCAACCACAGGGACAGAACTACAAGATTTGGTCTAAAGATGTTAGAGGTGGAAGTTGGCCTCATGAACTGCACACATCCACGGGTTTGGGTATTGCTTCCAATGATGGATACGACTTGGGGTTCTTTTCATCACAAAGACGTCATCAGTCCCTGGATTCGGGATTTGCACCACAGGGATTCTTTGAACAACCTCTTGTGGGACATCAACAATCGCAAACGCAAACACTACCATCACTACAACAGCACCATCATCATCATCAACAACAACAACAACAACAACAGCAGCAGCAGCAGCAGCAGCAGCATGTACTTCAACAGGTTGCCGCCCAATCACAGACTTTGGGTAATGGTTTACAGTCACCCCATCCGCAAACTACTTTTAACGAATCCATCTTTGATCAGACATCAGCACAAGGTAACCTCTCGCAATTGTCTGAGACGAATGAAAGTTTGAGAGAGGTTTACCGCAGTTTGGATTTCTATTTCACACAAGATCCACATAACAGAGTTACAATAAAGGACCATACTTTGGAATCGCTCTCTGCAAAATTTCAATCTATGATGAAATCAGGTGCACAATTACCAAGATTTGTCGACGAAGAGCTACCATCAACAAACATGATATTGGTGGCGTTCAAAGCTGGTCGCACAGATGTGTTCCACCTGCCATCGACCACCTCTTTCAAGTTAAAAACTGGTGATTTGGTGATTGTTGAAGCGGATCGTGGCCGTGATCTTGGTAAAGTTCTTAGACTCGATGTCTCCCTTGATGAGGCTCGCTTGTTGAAGTATATGCAACATCAAGAACAACAGGCAGCTTTGGCTTCGTTTGAGGGAATGTCATCGCCACCTTCCTCTGCAAATGCCAATGCGTCCACTGGCAGTGGTGGTACTGCTCAAGCTCCAGTGCCAACCTTACACTATCCCAAGCCAATCTTAAGATTTGCCATGCCAAATGAAGCTTGTCAAATTATAAGTAAACAAGCAGATGAGGAAAAGGCACAAAAGGTTTGTGCTTCAAAAGTTTCATCTTTCAAATTAGAAATGCGCGTTGTTGACGCCGAGTACCAGTGGGATCGCAGGAAATTAACCCTTTATTATGCAGCTTCTCATAGAATCGATTTCAGAGAGTTGGTAAGAGAGTTGTTCAGGATTTACAAGACACGTATCTGGATGTGTGCTGTTGTATCTAACCATCAAGAATCACTGCGTGAAGAGTCTCTTAGCCCATCAACAGGTACTGTCTTGGCACAACAACAGCAACAGCAACAGCAACAACCTTATGGCTTGGGCTCTTTGTCTCCTAACAGTCAACACCCAGCAAATATTTGGTCAAGTCCAATTCCACAGACTTCTTCTACATTAGATTCTGGTCGGACTGATTTGGCAATGTTAGTTCCAAGACAACTCAGCTCTCCGGATAAAAAGATATGGTCAACCTGATTGACGCATGTGCTTTCTTCATTGTTCATTTTCATGACAGTATCATGACACTATTATACCCACTGACGTTGCAACGCTTGTTTTTTTTTGGTTGTGTTTTTCATTTCTCTACAGGATGATATACTAGAGGGTATATGTATACCCACCTTTATGTCTTTGGTTTGTTTTCTTTCCCATATTGCTTCTTCCTCGTTTAATTACAAGATCGTGAGGTTTTTCGATACACTCTTTGGTGCCCCTTTGAATGTGGTGATAGTACCCCATATTTGGTTGTGGCCGGCATTCTGATGAACCAATCTCATGTTCTGATTGTCCTTTGCTTTTCTTTTTACATGATGTGGGCATTGCGTCACGGTAGCTAGTTCTCTGGTACTATCTTCAATTCTCTATTGTCACACTTCTCAAGTTTCTTTTTTTTCCTTATTACTTTGGCTTGATTTACATTGCTGGTTTATTTTTCTATTGGCTTCTTGGATACTTATTGATTACTATACATTGTTGCTTTATGATATGCTTCTTTAAATCTTTAATCGACTTTTATGCGGTATTTCACGTACACAATTGATAATGGTAGCATCGTCACTGTCTTTTGTAACAAGCATAGAAACTCATCACGTAGTAGCTTACGAAATGGTGTATACCAAGATCTGTTTCATCCCCCCCCCCCCACAGTATTGTACATGTATCACGTTATGTACAGCGATGCAAATAGCATTCATCGCTATCCAGAATGAAGGATGTAATCACTGATTGGTAATGACAATTGAGCAATTAATACGTTTGAGTGACTCATCCGATATCTAATAAAGCCATAGGGATGCAGATGCCATATGTAGAATAGCCATAGTCATCTCCAAAGTCCAAAGGTGTGTTCATTGCAAATTAAGTCCCCCTCAAACAAAAGATTTGCAGCTTCTCTTCGACACCGTCTCAGCCCATATCATTAGGTTCGATTCTGTAATGCACTGTTGTTGCAGTCGCAGATCAGCAATCATAAGGCAACAATCGCTTAAACCGGGTGTGTTGGGTTGAAAACAAGGAGTATGACTTCAAGCGATAGTACATACATACACATTCCAGCTAGTGATATTGGCAAGAGTCCTTCTATGTGCTATGTAAATCTTGAGCAGCATGTTGTCCAATTAAGCTTAACTGGTTGATTTACGAGTCGAGTATTTAGTGCTATACTCTGCATGATACATGCTGGCTCAATGAACTGCGTACTATGCGATCATGATAAAGGCTATAATCTAACTTTAATACGCACGTTGCCTCTCTAGACATGTCCTGTTGGTGAAATGCACTAATCGTTAACCCAATGGTTGCATAGGAAAGTTGATTCTAGATGCACAAGACGTTTGATCTGCACAGACGAAGAGGATGCTAACCAGTTCTGGAGGGGCATAATGCAGTATGGATGACGAAAATAATAGCCCACCTCACCATTTCCGGAAATGATTTGGAAACCCCACTCATACACAGTTCCGACATTGGAACTTATATTAGCTTCGGTTGTGGAGAACACTGATTGGAGTGGAGTATCTATGCTTGCTTGTATAGTCTAGGCCCTACTGCTAGGCTAATCAGTAGTCAACGTTGACTGTGTCTCAAGGAGTTGGTTATCTTCAACCAACGACAGTGTAGCTAAGGTCATTCTTACCTACTGTGCGGCGTTCTTTTTGACAGGAAGGTCTCCACTTTGACTTCATGATAGAGTCTCTGTATACACCATACGGGGCCTACAACATGTAATTGCAACATTAGCACGCTGTCTATTGTGATTGGCGTTCTATGGCGTTCCCGATGATACACGCGATGAAGCATCGCATCAATCTACGAAGGCTCAGCCTCTGTACACCTTGGGTGTCATATACTTCACATAGTGATGCTCCGTCACATCAGAGCTTCCATTGCTATAAATCATCATGTAAACCATTGATTAAAATCAACAGCAGTACTTCATGGCAGACATTATAAATGTGTCATATAACATCTCTACACCAAGCAGAAGGCATACGATTACCCGCCCGTTGTTGAAAATTTGTTCGAATTCCCGCGAATCGGTGAAGTTTTGAAGCTTTCGCAAGGTGTTGGACTTATTGGGCATATAGTTTGTTTCATAATTAGCAGGTGAATTAGGGCCCTTACTATGTTGACCAGATCTTCAAATATACTGCGTCCATTGGTATGTCTACAGTCATTTTGGTGCTGCCATCTGTTGTGTGACGCCATTCTTACAGCAAAGCACCCTCAGTCGATCACTTGTAACATGTCATACTAACGAAAAGTGATTCAACAGGGACAACAAATCGCAAGATTTGCTACAGAAGCTGCACCAAATGCTTCTTCAACCATTGCTCAGCATGCCCAGGGTATGTACTATATCTGACTTTCTTCTCTATCTGATATTTCAAGCGTTTTTTGAGATACTAACCCAGGATTATAGAACCACCAAAGTATGTCCTTACGTCTCTGCGTTCCTTCCCATCACTGAAGCCAAAGACATTCCAGCCAGTTGCGTCTTCTCTACTCTCGGTTCCATTGCGTCGTGATATTCTCTGGAAGGCCGTTGTCTACGACGCCGACAACAGACGTGTCGGTGCGTCAAACCCAAAGGGAAGATCCGAGATGGGGTACTCAAGAAAGAAGTTGTTACCGCAAAAGGGTACCGGTCGTGCCAGATCCGGTGACCGTGGTTCTCCAGTAAGACACGATGGTGGTGTTGCAATGGCTAGAACTGCTCCAAACGACTTCACCTCGGATTTGCCTAAAAAGGTTTACGATTTGGCCATGAAGATTGCATTGAGTGATAAGTACAGACAAGGCTCTCTCTTCATCATCGATGGCTCACTGGAGATCCCAACAGAGGATTCACTGGCAACACAGATGTTCCTGAAGAAGCACGGACTCAAGGGGCACAAACTGCTCTTCATCACAGACGAACACACTCCAAACTTACTCCAATCTACAGAAGCATACCAGAGCACTATCGACGTTGTTCAGAAAGAGGGCATCGAAGTTAGAGACATCCTACATGCAGAGCAAGTGTTCATCGACTTGGATGCATTGAAGTGGTTTGCAGATGTTTACTCCTCATAAGCAAAGTATATAGTAGTTGTTGTATGTAATAACAAAGAGGAAGGTGCCATGTACATATATCCATCTTTGACGTATATACTCTTCTGTAAGCCCTAATACCTCTAAAGTCATGTGACCTCGTGTTCGCGGAGGCGGAAATCGCGCTGGGAGCCCTAACTTCTAACGCCAAAAAAGATGTCACAGAAACGAACAACAACGGGGCGTTTTTCACCGTAGTGGTGTCTGGATGTTATAACGTATGGCAGACGACTCGCCGCGAAAAGCTACACAGAGGCCCTCGGTAGAGGACACACAATTGCAAAACTACCAGCGATTGTGCTTTTTTTTCACTTTTGAGACTCATCAACAACATAATCCTTCCCTTGAACTTGTTTTAAGCAGTACGAATCAATACAAAAATGTCTTTGGTTGTCCAGGAACAAGGTTCTTTCCAACACATCTTGCGGTATGTTTGCTTATGAGCTGAAGGATTGAACGGAAGGAGGGAAGTGTGTGGATTATGTTGTTTGTCCGAGGGGGTGTTCACCACGCTTTGTCTATGGCCAGCTTCGCAAGGAGCACAGGATGCTTATGGAGTTTTAAAGGTGGTTTATGAGCATTGGAGAATCATATGGAGGGCATCTGATGCTGGATCTTTCAGGAGGAAGGGGGGCGTGAGCATATTGTCAATCTATATGCTTTGAAAGTATCATTAGGGCCCGCAAGCTTTTCCCTCAACACCAGGTGCCATTTGAAGCCCATTGTAGGAACTATTCCAATAGACACACACACTGTTCTCTTTCAATCCTAGTTTAAAGTGTTCTGTTTTACTAACATTTCTCGCCAGTTTGCTTAACACTAACGTTGACGGTAAGATCAAGGTCCAATACGCCTTGACCACCATCAGAGGTGTCGGTCGTCGTTACTCCAACTTGGTTTGTAAGAAGGCTGATGTCGATCTCTCCAAGAGAGCTGGTGAGTTGACCCAAGAAGAGCTCGAGCGTGTTGTTACCATCTTGCAAAACCCAACTCAATACAAGATCCCAGCTTGGTTCTTGAACAGACAAAAAGACATTGTTGACGGTAAGGACTACCACGTCTTGGCCAACAACTTGGAGTCTAAGTTGAGAGATGACTTGGAGAGATTGAAAAAGATCAGATCTCACCGTGGTATCCGTCACTTCTGGGGTTTGCGTGTCAGAGGTCAACACACCAAGACCACTGGTCGTCGTGGTAAGTCTGCTTAAGCGCTTTTTTCTTAATAGGGAGTTTTAAATCAACAAGTTTTAAGTCACGAGCATTGTATATTTAGACGGGTCTGTAGTTTACAATTACAACGTGAATAAATAACCGTATAATCGTTCAATGGATATATAAAGCATTTTAGCGGCCGGTACTGTCGCCCAAGTGTTCGGTTCCAACATATGTCCAGCCTCCAAACTGCTTCTGCACACTGTCACTCAGGTAGTCGTTCATAACACTGTCCACTGGCTTCTCGTTGGTGAACTCTTGGTCAAAGTTCGAGGTGTCTTGGTCGTCTCTCACTGGTGGTTTGAACGGTGGGAGGTAGCCCTTGCTATTCAGCTTATTCCAGTCAATCAGTTTGAAAAAGGCATGGTCCATGATCTCTTTGGCACCGTTTGCTCCTAGTCTCTGCTTTGGATCCCTTGATAACAGCTTGATCAGCAGGTCCTTTGCATCCTTGTCAAAGTTCTCTGGGAACTTCAATGGGTTTGTGAGGATCTTTCTATACATGGTCTTAACATCCTCGTCGTAATAAGGTGGTAAGCCCGTGAGCATTTCGTACAACAGTATACCCAGTGTCCACCAATCAACAACCTTTGTATAGGCGTTACCGAGTAACAGCTCAGGAGCAAGGTACTCAGGCGTACCACAGAATGTTGTCGTCTTATCGTCGTTCTTCATGTTGAGCTTACAAAGGCCGAAATCGCAAAGCGCAATATGACCTTTGTAGTCCAACAAGATGTTTTCGGGCTTCAGATCCCTATAGATGACATTCAAGGAATGGAGGCACTCCAGTGCACTCAGCAGTTCACAGGTGTAGAACCTTGACCTTGACAAGTCAAACTTACCTTCCCTTTGTAGATGGTAGAATAGTTCACCACCGTTGATGAAGCTTAAAACCAAGTACAGCTTCTCAGGTGATTGGAATGAAAACTTCAAGGGAACAATGAATGGGTTATCCACACGAGCCAACACGGTACGTTCAGCCAGTGTATGTGTAACTTCTGATCTTGAGACGATATGAGACTTTCTAATGGCCTTCAAGGCATAAACCTTTCCAGAATCCTTCTTGCGCACTTGCATAACCTTACCAAATGAGCCCTTTCCAATCACTTTCAACAGATCAAAGTCATCGATAGTCAGGTGCTTATTCTCATTTGGTCTGTAGTCGATGGAAACCAAGATCTCACCGTTCTCATTCTGCGGAAACCCAGGGTAGTCATTCTCGAATGCAAGCACGCTATGGTTCTTCAATCTTATAGGGTTATTGATGTTGTCGAAGGACAATGGCAACGTCTTAGATGAGATCAAAATATCTTGATTGCCCTCCTCTGTAACACCTGCTGATGCATTCAACAGCACAGTTGGCAATTTCAAAAACACCTGTAGCTTCAGCTCATTTTGGGACTTGGTAACGTCAAATTGTGATATCTTGTTGAACGTTGGTGAAGCAATGGAGCCCGAGTCGGCCTCAATAGACACTATGGTCTTATCGAATTCCATTGTAAAGTAGATCAATGAGCTTCTCATGATAGAAGGTGGGATTGTAACCGATGCCGGGATGACGTGACTAGCATCGTCAGCCCCCAGTTTATCCTCCGTGATGCTCAAGTTGTTCAACTTGGTCAGGAGAGCATCACCGTTCCTCTGTCTACCTGAATTGATCAGCTTGGCGAGCACATCCTTATCGTTGTTGATTGCAAAGGGGATTTTGAAATGCGCACCGGTATAAATCTTTATTGTAAGCATTCCCGGGTTGAAATGGGCATCCTTGCCATCCTTCGCCTTCTCCGGCGACGATCTCATCGTCATACTCGAAGCGTGTGAGGTGGAGGGATGGAGTCTCGTACTATCATTGGTCTTTAACCCACCTTGTGATGGATTATGTCCAGCCACTGGAGTGGACGTTGACACCGTTGCCGGTGTAACAGTGTCTCTTCTAGAACTACTGTCATTTGTGCATACGGAGTCCTTGGACTCTGTATGCTTATGGCCAAGCGTGGCGAACTCCTTTGTATGGGCTCCATGGCTGGTGACAGATGATTGGTCCTCCTCCTCTTTCGGGTTAGGGCTCTTTGATCTGGAGAATTCCTTCAGCTTCTTGGTGAGCTTCCACGAGGACATCATCTTGCTATGTGCGTACTCTGGACTGTTCAATGGCTCCTGTCTCTATCTGTCAGCCAGCTGGGTATAAACGGGCTTCCAATTGGTGTGTGTGTGTGACACTTGATTCTGTATTGATACCGAAGAGGGAAGTTGGCAAGGTGGAATTTCCCTCTTTCCCTCTGAGCCCGAGCAGCCGGCCTTCACTGCCTAATCCGGAGATTATCGCGCACCATCGAGAATTAACCGAGAAGAAGTACGTCCGTGATTACGTAATGGGTTTTGGTCCTGTTTCTCAACCCCTAAAATTTAGAGTTTTTTTCTTCTCTGTCTGAGCGTTTTTGTGTTTTGTTTGTGGGTTTTTGGTTGCCAGGGGGAAGGGAGGGCCCACGAAAAGGCGAAACGCGTGGGAGCGGCAGAGGCGGTCCTCAAAAGGCTGGTGAGCGTCTCACCCGTTAAAACAAGATTGCGAAAAGACAAAAAAAAATGCATAGACGCGCCCGCTCCCCTTTTGAAACAGGAACAAGTTGATCGGACAAAAGAGACAAAAATTTTGACGCGTTTGTTTACGTGGTGTGTGGATGTTTCTCTCCCTTCAGCGGTGGTTCAATTGGAAGGGGGATAGAAACCACAGTAACCGCCTTTGAGAGGGCTTTGTGGATCAAAATTTTTTTCTCTTTGGAGCCTTTAGAACCCATTTTCTCTCGCTGTGTTTGGGGCCTGTGCGTGTTGTCTGCTTGTTTCTCTCTCACTGTCTCGTCCACTTGATCCGCTGTGGTGCTCACTGTTAACAAAACGTCTGTGTCGCTTGTCCATTGGTGCTTCAATTGAATAACACGGTGGAATAAACCGGGAGAAGAAAAGAGGAAGGATCACCAACTACTTTTACGCTCATTTATACCCTCTGATTTGCTCCCCTTCGTTTCCTCCGCTTCTGCTGCTGAACCCACCCCATTTCTGAGTTATACCACAAGTGATGGCTTCGAAGATTAACAACCACCCCAGTGTTGATAACTTTGCCCATAGCGCTGCGAGGGCAGCGCTCTCTCAGAACAACAACGTCCAGAATGTGCCGGTGGTGCCTAGGAAAAACGCGTCAACGCCCAAAGTCACTGAGCAGACCGCCAATGAGATCGATAGAATCGTTGTCTCCGTTGAAAACGCTACAAAGCGGTTGTCCCAGATCTCGACAAACACCAACTCGTCAAAGAGGAAGTCGAAGAACCACGTTGGACCCTGGAGATTGGGCCGTACACTTGGTAAGGGCTCCACAGGTAGGGTCCGTTTAGCAAAGCATTCGGAGACTGGACAGTTGGCTGCTGTAAAGATTGTCCCCAAGTCTAAGTTCCAAAAGGATGGCAAGGCTGACAAGGCGATCTGCTCTCCCTATGGTATTGAGAGGGAAATCATCATCATGAAGTTGATCTCGCACCCTAATATCATGGCTTTGTATGACGTGTGGGAAAATAAAGGCGAGCTCTACCTGGTGCTCGAATACGTCGAAGGCGGTGAACTGTTCGACTACCTCATCAAGAAGGGGAAACTCCCTGAACGTGAGGCGGTCCACTATTTTAGACAGATCATTAGCGGTGTTAGCTATTGCCATCAGTTCAACATCTGTCATCGTGATCTCAAGCCGGAGAACCTGTTGCTCGATAAGAACAACAACATCAAGATTGCCGATTTCGGTATGGCTGCTCTGGAGATGAATCAACAGCTCTTGGAGACAAGTTGTGGTTCTCCACATTACGCATCGCCTGAAATCGTCACTGGTAAATCGTACCATGGCTCTCCAAGTGATATTTGGTCCTGTGGTATCATACTGTTTGCTCTTCTCACGGGTCATTTACCGTTTGATGATGAAAATATCAGAAACTTATTGCTCAAAGTTCGTGCAGGTAGGTTCGTGATGCCAAATTACCTTACGCCAGAGGCCAAGGACCTTATCTGGAAAATGTTGAAAGTTAACCCAGCAGAGAGAATCAAAATTAACGATATCTTCAAGCATACCTTGTTGAAGAAGTACGAAACCTCAGCATTGCTGAAAACCAAAAAGAAGAACCAGGAGAAAGTGGATTCTTACTACAACGATGTTTCCAATATGGTGTTGAAGAAATCAGATATTGATCAAGACATTCTTAAGAGTCTTTCTGTTTTATTCCACGGTGCTACAGAACAGTCACTCATTCCCAAATTGATATCTAGAAGATCAAATCCGGAGAGAATGTTTTACTACCTCTTGTTGAACTATAAGCAACAACACCAGACAAAGGAAAAGTCTGAAATGTCTCATAAGAACTCCAAGAAGAAGAAGATTGGAGCTGGTGATGGCACTCTTAAGAAATCGAAGAGCATGTCTAAGACGACAATCACTAACGAGGATGGCTCTCAAATTGTAAAGACCGAACAGGTCGAAATGCCTCCAATACCAGTGGCCCCAGTGATCAAGTCGATCAAGAACGCGTCGGGACAAATTCAAATCTCTGCATCGAACTCTTACCGTCGTGGAATCTCGTTCAATACGAACAACAACGGTAATAGATCTGCTCACGTGTCGAGATCATCGAGTAGAAGATCGTTTGCTTCTAACAATAACAATGCGATCTTGAAGAAACACAAAAGTATTCTACCACCGTTGCCTGATTTGGATGTTGATTGGTTGAGCTTCGGTGATGATGGTATGCCTAAAGGTGAATTTGCCGAGCTCTACGAGGAGATCTTTAACTTTAACGGTATAAAAAAGGAACCAAAGAGTAGGGACGATGATAGATTCATTACATCTTCTCCTTTGCCTTCAAAAATTGAAATGACTTTAAAACAAGAAGAAGACAAGGAGAACATGCCGTTGGGAATTGCACGTCAAAGACCAAAAATGTCTTCGAGCTCGCCTAAAGTGGCAGCGCTCTCTCCAAGACGAACAAGGCCTTTACCAACAGAGTCACATCCACCTTCCATTGCTGCACCGGTGGCTCCTGTTGCCAAGTTACCACCAATGACTGATGTGGATTATAGCTCTCAAAGACGTGCTGTTACTGAACCAACACCTGAGCTAAAACCAACAACTTTGGATCCAAGTTATAAGAAGAGTGGAGCTACTGACATGAATCCAAATGCTGTACTTCAGAGATTGGGTGTGTCTCTGCAACGAGATCACAAGACTCGCTCGAAGATTTATTACTCAAAGTCTTCCACCTCCATCAACCTTGCAGCTATTTTACAAGGAAACCAGAACGATTTACCGCCTTTGCCAAACGCAGATATAGTAACTTCCACTGTTCCTGCTACCACTAATGCTGCTGCTGCTGCTGAATCTAGTGCCGCTGGGTCGACCCTTGTGTCACAGGCTCCAGATTATAGAATATCATCATCAAACTACGGTTCAATACGTAGTGGTTGCTCAGATGACGATGGAACTATTTCTGTTGCCACGAAAGAATTGACAAAGGAGCTGACTTTTGATTTCGAAGTTCCAACAATGACTGAAGTTGCCACTGCAGTGCCAATGTCTGCTGCATCAAATGTCACTGTAGGTAGCAAGTTGACTCCAAGGGAAGACAGTATGTTTGTTGATGTCGCTGCCTCGGAACAGAACCTCCTAAAATTGTCCACATCTACCCATTCGACTATTAAACACCGTAGAAAAGTTTCGACTGATCCGAAACATATCTATGCTGCAATGGTGGACTTCAGAGGTAGTCTGTATAACAACCCAAGTGATTTGAGAGATGATGACGTTCCTGTACCTCAACTTGGAGAATTTGAGAGACCCAAATTTTCAACTGTTGATGACTTTAATGAGACAAAGAGTTCGATTATGGATAACTCAATATTTGCTGATAATACCGATGATGATTTGGAATCCGGTGGTGCCAAACGCGTTACTATGATCTTTGACGATTTCCAAGATGAGAACGACAATGACAGTGCAGGTTCACGAACTGACGATTCTCCAGTGAAAAGTTCTATGGCGCCATTTGCCCAAACCGGACAAGAATCGCCAACACGTTATAAACCAGTTGAGGAGTCACCATTGAAGAAACTACGTGATGATTCCTTTGTGGAGTCCATTAATAGTGTCATTGTTCCGCCAAAGAAGCTCACTCCTCAGAGACCTGCACCATCTGCTCCTTTGAAACGTGAAGACACCATGAAGAAGAGCAATTGGTTCACAAAGTTTTTCTCCAGCTTGATGTCAAGTGAATCTGATCAGAAGAAGAAGAAGAAGAAACAAAACACAAAGCTGTTTGAAACTGAAGTACCAGTGGCTCGTATGCGTAAGTCCATTGAAGTGCTTCTTGAGTTGAAGCGTAAAGAGGGTACACTAAGAAATATCAAAGCCACTAGTGATACCATCAGTGCTACTGTTCCCGCTGCCTACACTTTGGGATCGCCTTTGAAGTTTGAGATCAAATTTTCTAGCTCGTCTCGGATAGAACTTACAAAGATCAAAGGTCCAAAAAAAGTGTTCAAGAACCTGGTCAGTGCTATGGACTTTGTGGTTGAAACTGAACTACAGAGATATAAAGAAGAGAATCGCAAGGTCTAGACGACGCTAGATGTATATGACATATGTATAATTTTTTATTTTACAATCATTACCAGATATAATTTAATGCCCCTAGCAAACTTTTTCAATGTTGGTTTCCCTGACAAAATTCTATGTTTCTGCAATTATCTGTGGTAGATATGCAGTAAGGCTACACATTGCATGAGGCTGCGCCAAAAAGAAACGTGAACAGAAGCAGTCAGTTAGGTTGTGGCTTGAACTTGCTTTCCTCATCTTCCTTGAGAACTGAAGGTAGGTGTTTGTTGATTCATGGCCCTGTATTTTTGCCACGGCCAGGTTTATAATCTCCCATGATGAATTAGTCAAAGGATGTTCTCCATCTTGTGAACCATGCCTTGTGAGCCATGCCTTGTGGAATGCTGCATAGAAAATGTATTATGTGGTTAGAGGTGTTATTGATTGGATATTATTCTTCACATGTCACCCACGCAAGTCTGAAGAAATAAGTCTTTGGAGGACAGCAGTCTCAGGAACAGCTAAAAGATTACATGTGAGACATATACGGTAACCATGGGACTGAAACAAATCATTCTATGCAGAAATGCATTGATAGCCGTATTAAAACTTAAACTCTTTTCTATTACACTCGCCTTTGTTTCAGATCATAACATTTTAAGCTTTCTGGGTTGAATCGTTCAAATATGAAGTTCTCATGAGTGCCGGTAGACTCGGCATATCGGCGTGTTAAGTGAACCGACCATCCAATTCAATCGAATATGGGTGGTACGCTGGAGGACCATCTTGACAAGAAAAACTCATCGTTTAACTATTGACTCCGATGCCGGCGCTGCTGGTTTGTAACGTAACGAGAATATCTGGCTCTGTTCCCTGTCTATGCTGTCATTGCCTTTCAGCTATAAGGATTTGTTCAACAATATACAAAGCATATGGAAAAGCACGCAATGAGAGATTTTGTTTCACACTCTTAAAAATCAATTTATATGAAACGCGATGAAAGTAACACTATGGAATCCTTACACTCATCAAGCAATCAGTTCGTATAGTGAGCATATTGAATCTGAAAACTAGTGTCAACTCTCAACTTGAAGAGACACGTACCAGTAATAATGTCTTAGGCTTGATGCATCACGTCTGTTTTACAGTACATTCACGGAGCAATATATGGGCGAATGTTGCTACGCTCATTGACAACTAGTGAAGGAAAAGTACTCAAATGACTCAAATTTCAGGGATTTGGACAAATCAAAGGTCACTTTGAGTCATGGATAAACCTCTCGCTCCTTTCGCAAAATCGACGAAGTATACCAATCTTCGTTGTAAGGCTCGACCCCATAAACATGGGCTGACATTGTGACTTGAGGCTGAGGCCCAAGCTTCAATAAGTCTTTAGGTCTGTGTTTCAAACCAATGGTTATTACTGGCTAAGAGTTACATTCAACTTCAACGGCCTCAAACCTTCTTTTCTGAATCCTCTAATAGAACAGATCCTATACGTGTTGTCCTCTTCGCTGTACTTTACAATACCTTTGAAGAAACGAGATCTCAGTTTCATAGCCGTAAACCCAGTTCTTTTCCATACATAAAACCACAGCAATTCGAATAACCTTTCCGTTACCCGTTTATTGTGTGTTGACTTTTCCAAACGGTAAGGCACGCAAAGAAACAGAGAGAGGAAAAAAAAAGAAACGATTAAAGTTCCGACACAATGCATTCCACAACTCAATTTTTTTTAAACTCAAAGTGACTTAAAAGATGTATGGGCTGGGAAGTGGTCAATGTTTTCCATAAAGAGACTTCTTTTGTTGGTGTTTTCTGGTTGTTGAGGGTCGAATGCTCCACAGGCCGATTTAAACCCTCAGGATATAACATACTGATGGCTGCCTCGATATCTGAACGCCTTGTAAAACCTTTTTCAAGAGATCTGTGGTTTGTACAGAGGTTGTACTATCGGAATTACAGATGCAAAAGCTGGTCACCCCAAGGGTTAAGAAGCTCCAGAGGAGCACAACCATGCTTGCTATTGAGTGAGTGCACTTTGCGGTTGGATATCTGTTCCACCATTTATGCAGCGAGCTAAAACTTTTAGAAAACCTATACGAGGACTTGGGGAGATTGTGTTGTTGTCTGAACACACCTTTCATTTGTTCGCTCTAAGTGCTTTGTTGTTGTCGTTGTGAAGAAGCCAACCAATATCAATCAGAGGCAACAGCAAGGCTCGCCTCGTCAAAAAGCCCCAACCGTTGGATACGCCAGACGTTCTTTCAAACGGTTTTCATGCATAAGGCTGCAGTGCGCAATGCGGCTCTTTCTTTCAGATGATCCCTAGTAATGAACACTCACGCTTGCGCTGGCTGACGTTGACCAGTTAGCCAAATTCGCACTTCAAACGCTCGTCCAACGGTGCCACACATTTGCTCATATCTGGACTTTCTCTACTCTCAGTACATATACACTACATATTGTGCATATATTCATTTGTAAATCTCTCTGGTGCCCTTTAAATCAGAGTTATTTCCCTGTCTGCACACTTTTCGCAGTTTTTTATTCTCTTCCTCTCCTTCTGTCTCCTTCTGTCTCCTTCTGTCTTCTTCTCTCTCTCTCTCTGAGTTGTTGACTAGAGTCTGTTGAGTTTGAAGTTGAAGTACACCCTACCGTTGCTCCTACATCCAGTGGTACTTGACCGTTGTAACTTCTTGTTCCCCTAATTCTCTACATCTACTCCTGGCCCTTAGTCTGTGACACGTCATATATTCTTCTCCACTACACACATAGCATGTCGACAAAGCAACCACCGATTAGAATATGTGTTGTCGGTGCTCAAGGCTCTGGAAAGTCGTCATTGACTTTACAGTTCACACAGGATCATTTCCCGGTTGATTTTGACCCTTCAGTTGAAGACGTTTACAGAAGAGAAATATACCTAGATGGGAGAGTGGTTCCACTGGAGATCCTGGACACCGCTAATAACGACGTCTATTCTGATCTCATGTATAAGCAACTCCTCGAAGCTGATGGTGTTGTCGTTGTATATTCAGTTGGTTCTCATGAAACCTTCCAGTCTGTGACGAACTTCTACAGAAATGTACTGAGAGCAAGGGAATCTAACATGCCTCCAACAATATTAGTAGGAGCCCAAGCAGACACTTCAACAGCTAGAGTCATATCCACGCATGAAGGAGAACAACTTGCAAGTGAATTAGGCATCGCTGAATTCATAGAGTGCTCTGCGATGCATAACACCAACATTGCAGAGATCTTTATAAAGCTTTCGGAACAAGTTATTGAACATAGAGAAGTTAACGAAGAGCATGGAGTTGTTGAGCTAAAAAGTGACCCAAGGAAAAGAACGAAAACATTCACTACTGGTGCAACCCTGGATCTCAGGAAGAGTGCAGAACCATCGTTATTCAACTGCAAATCTGAATCCTCAGTTAGGGAGATTCCCCGAAAGAACTCAGTTGAGTATCCAAAAAGGGGCTATGTCAGTAAGGATCCGGTGAAGTTTGATGATGAAGACAGTTCTAAATGCTGCGTCATAATGTAAAGAGCTATTGCCTTTGCACTGCAAGATTTATTCTATTTATACAAAGTTGGGAGATGTTACATTACATTTTTTGTGGGAGATTCCTCTTGACGGAATCAATTGGAGTTGTTTGCTTTTTGGTTTGTTGTTCCGTTGATTGTACTTTATTATCTTGAATATACACATATTCGCCTCATGACGTTCGTGATTATTCTGCAACTCCGTAGCTAGTTGATTAATTGTTACCCATCTTGTTCATTTCAACTCTCACTTTGGATTCAAACCATCTATCCAGTCCATCCCTTGGAACTGCGACGGAATCCTTTATCTGGAAAAGGCACTTGTCTATTTTGATGAACTCAACGTTATTGTTAACAGAGGCAATCTCGCTGGCCACGTGACGAACCCTTAACCAGTCATCAAGGACACCGTTGTGTACCACTTGTAATCCCATATGAGGAGCACCACCAGCACTAGATCCATATAACACAACGTATTTCAATTTTGGTAATTCTGACAATAACAACGTGGCATATGGCTGGAGAGAGTATCCATGGACTCTTAGGGACTCAAGGTTAGACAAGGCACTCAGTTTCATTAATACTGCCGTGTCGAATTGCTTGTCCAGCTCGCAAAATACAGAGTCCTCCTTTGCCTCCAGAGACAGTTTCCTCAACGTGCCCGAATGCTTCAATATGGCAGTGATGTAGGCATTGCACAGCGTAACCCATGAATCGACAGAACACAGCTTAGTTAAGTTCCACCTAATTGTGACATCGAGCTCTTCCAATCTATTGAAGCTTTCTATGAAGGCTGGAACGGAGTCCCGAAGGCCTTCTCTATAGTCAATACGAAGTCTTGTCACGTTTTCCAATTGTCTGCCATCAAGAATCTTGAGAAATCCAACATCCAACCTTCTTGCAAGATCATTCATAGATATTGGAACATTCACACCAGGTATATGTTGAATCTCTGAAACGTTTTTCAACTCCAGCTGGTGTAATTGTTTCATATCGCACATTTGATGGAGTCGTGAAGCATCCTTGCAGCTAACGAGAACAGAGTCTAGACTTAGTACTTTCAGGTACTTCAATATGAAGTCAGCTTGTGAACATACTTCGTACATGTACTTTATCGTATCCAAGTCATAATCTGTCATTTTCATTTGCTCATTTTCAATAATGAATTGCGTCAGCACGAGCATTGATGAAGGGATGTTCTTGTTGAAGCCATGTAAGGAGTCATGCATCGATAATTGAAGGCTCTCCAGCTTATATATGGACTGAACATTACCATCTTTGACCAGATTGAGAAATATATACTTCAAGTTCCTGGATTTCAAGAGCTGTACTAGTGATAAATGCTCCAAATTGTTGAACTGTGCAAATGACTCAAATGCAGAGGGAGATCTCACAGCCTTCAAATCCACTCTCATCCTAAGCGATTTGAGATTAGCCTTGTTGGGTATCCTGTCAATCATCCTGAGTGTAAGTTCGGTCTGTGACCCCCAGTATAAACTTCTCAAATTAGCCAACTTGAGCATTGATCTCATCAGAACAGTGAAGTCTGTGTGTATATCAAAGCTATCAGGCAGCTCAATGACCTGTAAGCTGTTGACATATGAAGCATACTGTGTACACTTCTCAATGCCCTTTTCAGATGTCCCAGCACTTGTCGCCTTCTCAACAGTCTTACAGAAAGTCTTCAAACTGTACCTCGTCTTTATGTACGATGCGCGATAAGCTGTTGATAGATGCGCAGAGAGTATATCCATGTTAAAATAGGAATATGATGGATCAACTATAATCTCAGTGTACAAGCGTATCACTGCAACCTGATAAAATGCCCTGTTGACCAGCATCAAGCTCAACGTATCGTATTGCGATAATTCATTGGCGATGAGCAACCGTATCTCAAACGGCAGCTTATCTATGGAGCTTGGGTAAACCGACATTTGAGAAGTGGATTCAGGTATGGTTCGAGGTATGCAGCTGTGCCGACCTTCTATCTCGTTGTCTGAACGGTTCGATAGTGAAGATACAAAGGGAAGTATATTTGATACCTGATCAGTTGACGTTATCAGTTCCTGTTGTGCTTGAATAGGCTTACGGTGTGTTGATCTTTGGTACTCAAACTTGTAAGACATCACTCCCGGGTCCCCACACTGTGAGCCAGTGTATGATAACCTCTGGAAAGGCTGAAATGTAACAAGAAAGGGTGTTATTTCTCAGAAAGAGGTGTCAATATTAGAAGCGTTTCAAGGTGTATATACTGGCTTCTTGGTGTATTATTCAATATCGGTAGGCGCAGCACAGTCCGATACGGAAAAGCTATAGCAACACAAAGTGGCGTGTAATGGTGGAGAGATTAATCTATGTAGGAGTTCAATCTTCACTCACTGCTTCTACATCGCGTAGTGTGTGGGATGTGGAATATTTGATGGGTTGGAAAGAACTTGAACGATTGATACGTTGAATGCATGGATGGACTGAAGAGGCAGTACCGAGTACTATGTAGGGTTTAGCAGCTCTAATGCGTCCCTGAAACAATAGTTGACTACGGATTATATGATTTTCAGGCCTCAGATTCAAGACCAATTCTCCCTGACAATCAGTTCTGACACCTCTCTCGTTATCGCACAGCACTGGTATAGATCTATCGGAATTGTGAATCACCAGTGTCCTTCGAATAAGGCTACGTCATTAGACCTAAGCATCCATGGCTGACTGACGATGGCTCCTTTGGGCTTCGAAAGCCCACGATAAACATCAATTGATCCTCTCCGGCATATCAAAACTGCAAAGAAACAAGTACCATTTGTTATTCCTTGAAAGAACTCATCAAAATAGGCACAGTAGAAAGCGGAAAGAATGCCAAATCTCATGAATTTAAACTAGGGCGTCCCTTTTAGGAAAAACGTAAACAATGAATTCCGATGCTTTTTTGCGAAGTTTTGTTTACTTTTCGGAACTCTCAAACATGGATTTGTTTTTGTTTTGATGGAATTTCATAAATACACAAACAAACCTGCTACACATTTTTGAAGAAGAAGCTTGTGAATCGATCTCCTGTGCTTCGTTGTTGTGGTTGTTGGTCTCCAGCTGAAGAATTACTGGACTTTTCTGAAGGCGGACGATTACCCAAGGCCCACTAAGAGATGGAAACAACAAAGAACCTGGTTTGGGTTCCAGATAAGACTGAAGTCTTCAAGAAAGGATACGTTGTTGAGCCTGTTGATGATGATAAGGTGAAAGTGCGGTTCGATGATGGCTCAGTAAGTGTTTTCGCTATTTTCCCCTCCTCCAGATATGACCTTATGAGGTTATACTAACACCACACATAGGAACAAGTCATCGAGTCTAGCAGCATCGAAGAGGTTAACCCGGCCAAGTTCGACAAGGCAGATGACATTGCGGAACTCACCTATTTGAACGAGCCTTCTGTTCTCTTCAACTTGGAGAAGAGATACGCAGACGACCTCGTCTACACATATTCTGGTCTCTTCCTAGTGGCTATCAACCCTTACACTAGGCTTCCCATCTATTCCGACGACTACATCAACATGTATCACGACGTGCCCAAGCCTGATACAAAACCACATATATTTGCAGAGACAGAGGAAGCTTACCAGCTGTTGTTGGCGGAGAAGAAGGACCAGTCAATCTTGGTCACTGGTGAGTCAGGTGCGGGTAAAACTGAAAACACCAAAAAAATCATTCAATACCTTGCTGCCATTACTTCTACGAATAAAGGCGAACATTCCTTTGAAGAACAGATTCTTCAGGCAAACCCTATTTTGGAGTCATTTGGAAATTCCCAAACGCTGCGAAATAATAACTCTTCGAGATTTGGTAAGTTCATCAAGATCGAATTCGATTCAAAAGGTGCAATTGCCGGTGCTCGTATCGATTGGTACCTTCTCGAGAAGTCTAGAGTGGTGAAACATTCCTCTAATGAAAGAAATTATCATATATTTTATCAGTTACTTGCCGGTCTCTCTGATAAAGAACTCTCGCTTCTTGGGCTAGATAGATCACCATCTACCTACAACTACTTGAAAGAGGGTAATTTCACTGTCCCAGGTGTGGATGACAAGAAGGAATTCGCCGGCTTGAAAAATGCTATGGATATCATGGGAATCGAAAAGGCTGTTTATTATGATGTTTTCAAGATAATGGCAGTGATCCTACACTTGGGTAACATTGAATTCACAAGTATGAGATCCGAACAGGCAAACTTCAAGAGTGAAATCGATATACTCTGTGGACTCTTAGGGGTTTCCAAGAATGACTTTGCAGATGCAATCTTGAGGCCAAAGGTTAAAGCTGGTAAGGAAATCATGAAACAATCGAGAAATGCCAGTGAAGCTAGATCTTCATTAGATGCATTGGCAAAATCGTTGTACGAAAAAGTGTTCAAGTTCTTGGTTGATTATATCAACAAGAATTTGAATGACGATTCGAACGGTGTTAACTTCATCGGTGTTCTTGATATTGCAGGCTTTGAGATCTTCAAACAAAACTCTTTTGAACAGTTGTGTATCAACTATACCAATGAAAAATTGCAACAATTCTTCAATCATCACATGTTCGTTCTGGAACAAAATGAATATCTAAAGGAGGACATTGATTGGAAGTTCATTGACTTTGGTCAAGATTTACAGGCAACTATTGATCTGATTGAAAAGAAACCACTTGGTGTGCTCTCAATACTAGAAGAGGAATGTATCGTTCCCAAATCATCTGATACTACTTTCTTTGAAAAGTTAGAAAAGCATTGCAAGAACTCTAGTGAGAAGTTCAAACCTTCAAAATTCTCAAACAAGTTTACCTTAAGACACTATGCTGGTGATGTTGAGTATACTATTGATAAATGGATCGACAAGAATAAAGATCCATTGTCAGATAGTATAGTCGAGATGATGTCATCTTCTAAGGACAAGTTTGTTTCCCAACTGTATCATGATGATCTTCATCAAAGAGGCTCATCGTTCAGAACCGTTTCTCAAAGACACAAGGAAGAGCTGGGGGAACTGCTGTCTTTACTTTCCCAAACTCACCCCCATTTCGTCAGATGTATCATTCCAAACCACAAGAAGAAACCCCATATCTTTGACAAGAAATTGGTATTAGATCAACTAAAGTGTAATGGTGTTTTGGAAGGTATCAGAATTGTCCGTTCGGGCTTTCCTAACAGAATCTTCTTCAAGGAGTTTTATGATAGATACAAAGTCCTAACAAGTGCAAGTTTTGGCTCCCATATAAAGGAAAACTGTGAGATCATCCTCAAGTCATTGAAACTTGATAGTGAAATTTACAAGGTCGGTTCAACAAAGATCTTCTTTAAAGCTGGTGTTCTAGCTGAACTTGAACTTAAGAGAGATTTGCAGATCAAGATGACTATGACCAACTTTAAGGCCATAGCCAGAGGTGTTCTCAAGAGAAGATCAATCAATGCCGCATTGAAGAAGGTTCAAGCTTCTTTGGTCTTGATGAAATCATTCAAAATCCATAACCAATTGAGCAAAAATCCGTGGTTCATGCTCTATTCTGACCTGAAGCCACTCCTAAGTTCGTCACAGCAGGTTCTGAGAGCAAAGAATTTGCATGATAAGATCACTTCTTTGGAGAAAGAGCTTACTGATGTTCAGGCTGAAAAACTTGAGCTGTTATCGAAGCACATGTCGATTGTAGAAGAGCTCTCAATTGTTCAGTCTACACTGGGTAGCGAATCTCAAGCTTTGAAGGATAAAGTGGTTGAACTCGAAACATCCCAAGCTCGTTCAAAGGAGATACAGCTTGAGTTGGACAATTGCTTGGAAACTATCAAAGAACTCGAGGCAAAACGTGATGAACTTCAACTCTCTAACAACGAAATGGCCTCAAAGATGGCCAATTTTGCTACTCAATTGTCAACATCCAAACAAGCTGTTGAGTGTTTGGAGAATGAAAAGTCTGCTCTGGAAACTAAAGTCAAGACACTTGAAGAATCTGTTCAGAAGAGTCGGGCTGTTCAGAAAACTCATAATGAAATTGCGGACAGGATTAAAGAGGAGATCAAGTCATTAAGGACATTCTTGAAGGACAAGGAAGCTCGAATCAAAGAGCTGGAAGAAAAACTCGCCATATCGAAACAAGAGTTTGATACCAAGTTTTCTGCATTAAATTCCAGCTATTCCATGGTCAAACAATCTGTTCAGGCGCTTCGTGATGAGAAAGAATTACTCGAAGAGAAAATCAAGTCGATGCAAGCCACTGCTTCACAACACAATTCTGTGTTGAGCACAAAGGATTCTGAGATAGAAAGATTGAGATCTCAGTTGACCAAAGAGCAGTCTAAATCAGTTTCTTTTGAAGCTGAGCGTAAGAAATTAGAACTTGAGCGTTCCAGATTGGACAATATTAAGGATGAGCTTATAGATTTGAGGGCCAGACATAAGGATCTTGAACAAGATGCAAGTCAAGCTCGAGAACTTTTACAGAAAAAGATTGATGATGACATCAACTTTAATCGTGGCCGTCAACAGTATGACAACGATCTTGCTGCTTTGAAAGCAGAGATTCAACAACTGACATCTCAGTTAAGAGATGAAAGATCTAAACAATTCGAATTGACCAGAAAATTAAGAGAAGCCCAAGATGAAAATGAAGAGCTTAAGAGAAACAAGAAAGAGGCCGGTATCAGAACTGCAGAAGGAGCTTTCCGTTCAAGATCCTTGAACTCACATTTTGATGAAGATTCTGTGCGTAAAAACACTGACAGAGAAGCGTTGATCAGAGAATATGCAAGTATGAGACTGCAGCTCAATGAACAAAGTGCAATGTTGAAAAAAGAGACTATTGATAACAACAAGCTCAAAACTGAGGTCAAGCTGCTACATGCTCGTTTGGCTTCAGAGACTTTCGACAATCAACAGTTCAAGATTCAAATTAAGAAACTCAGAAATGCGTATGGCACTGGAGAGTCTCCAATTCTCGGTGATGAATCTTATGACCGCTTACTTGATTCCAACGAGAAGCTCAAGCATAAGGTTCAGAAGTTGAAGGTAGAACTCGACATTGAACGCAAAGTTTCTCAAAAATTGAAATCAGGCTCTGAAATTCAGAAGCATATTCTGAAGGACTGCAATAGTCCAAGTCCTTCTTTGGCCTTGTCAAATGATTTTGACTCACATAAGGCTAAATATGAAGCAAGTCTAGCGAGAATCAGACTTTTGGAGAGAGAACTGGCAGCTAGAAAGTCTGTACCTACTCCACCTCAACATGATGAAGACTTACTCGAGGTTTATCAAGAAACCTCTAGAAAGTTCAACAGCGCTCGTCATGAACTTGGTAGATTTAAGTCCCAGGTTGAATTTTTGCAAAACGAACTCGAGAGATCCAAGAAGGAAATACATTACCTGAAATCTAAGGACAGTGATTCCATTTCAAGTCACATAGCACGTGAGGAATTGGCAAAAGTCAGACTCAAGTTGCAAGCGTTCGAAAGTAAAAATTCAGATCTTTCAAAGAGTGTGAAGCTTTACAAGTCTAGAGCTGAGGAGTACTTTAACAAGTTGGAGGATGCAGAAGCATCTGTAAGAAACTCAAAATTCCAAGAGAATTTCTGTAAAGAGCAATACAATGAGTCAGTTCTTGAAATTGAGAGACTCAAAAAGCTCTATGCCAAGATGGAAACCGTTACAATGAAGCTGAATGCATCTATTAGTCAATTGAAAAGCTCATTAGAAGCTAAGGACTCTGAACTTTCCAAACTGGAAGCTTCAAACACAATGTTGAAAGAAGAGATTCAGCAGTATCATGAACGTCTTTTCCGTACCTCTGCTCGTGAGAAGAACAAACTAGAGGATCAATTGGAACAGAAAGAGCAGGATATTGCACGAGCCTTGAGAACTGAAACTGAACTTCGTAAGAACATTGGTGCCCTTGAAGTTGATCTTGATCGTTTGCAGAGTCAAAAGAGTCAAGAAGTTAGTAAATTGACAAAACAAAAGAATTACTATGCTGATTTGTCAAAAGACTTACAAGAGGAGAATGAGTGTATCAAGAATTCCCAGAAGGATTTGGAGGTCAAGCTGCGCTCATTGATGAAGCAAATTGGTACCTTGAATGAGTCTGTTGATTCCTTAATCATTGAACGTGACTCTCTTGATGCGGATAAGAAGAGGTTGGAAGAACAAGTGAAGAACATGAGTGGTGAATACGCTAAATTCTCTAATGAACGCGAGCTTTCTCGTCAAGCACAAGATTCTTTGAAAGAAACTATTGCAAAGCACCAACGTGAAATTGAGTCTTTGAATGCACAACACAAGAAATTGATCTCTATTCATAACAACCTGGAAGTGTTGATTGACGATGAGAAGCAAAAGAATGTTGTACTTGTTGAAGAGAACCAAAGTCTCGGAAAGTTCACGGAGACCTTGAAGAGCAGAATCTCAGAGTTGGAAGAGAAGCTGAACTCCCAAAACGACGATATCTGGATTGAAAGATTGGATCAGGTGGAAAAGAGGCTCAACGAGGAGACGAATGAAAAGCATAATCACTTGAAGAATTTGAAAACAGTTACTCGTCAGGCCGAAGAGTTGAAGAGTCAAGTTGATAGACAAGCCAAGACCATTAGTGCTTTTGACGAAGAGAGATCAAAGTACAAGTCTAAAATCAACGAATTATTCAACGCCATTCAAAAGTGGCAAGCTGCTGATTCTACCTCTAAGATAAACTTCAGAAGAGCTGAGAGAGAGATCAAGCATCTCAATGAGCAAACTGAAACGTTAACAAAAGAGGTTAATGTTTGGAGAGAAAAATTTGAAACATTGAGCTCAAGGAAGCAATCCATGCCAACTGATGAACTTTTCGTCTAAACGATGTACATTATTAATACATGAAATACCCAGCATTAGCTGTTGTAGTTTTGATCACTTTTTAAAATATATACAAGTTATAGAAAAGACAGCCATTGATGTGAATACCAGCGTTCAAAACCATTTTCTATTAGACTTTTGTTGAACTTGTTCTGATTCAAACTTCCCCAATCCATAAGCCTTGATGACACCATCAACGTCGCCAAAGTGTTCTCTTTCACCTTGAATGACAACTGTTGGTTTTCCAGTTCCCTTGCCTGCGTTGTTGGCATTTCCCGTCAAGACTCTCTCTGCAACTCTTCTGATATCATCGGACGTCAATTGTTCAATCTTTTCAACCATCTCCTCCACTGGGACACGTTTACCTCTAACCTGCATCTGGCGTCCCAAATCCTCTAATTCAACCATCTTTGATTCCAAATTCATCATCAACGACGAGCGTAATTGGTTCTTTGCCCTATTGACTTCGTTGTCGTTCAGCCCACCAGAGCTCTTGTCAAAAGTCTGAGCCAATTGTCTACAGATCACCTCTGCCAAATATGGAGCAGCCTGTGGAATACAGGAGGCAGAGATTCCAAATAGTCCGGAGTCCTCATATGAATGGTTAAAGGATATGCAACTCTCAATGTAATAGAACTGGTTCAACACCTGCGTATATAAACGAGAGTACATCCCCTTACCAGGACCACCAGCAGAGAAGGAACCACCACCACCTAATAAGGTCTGCAATGTTGCCAATGCATAGACATCTGGGTCATCAAATGGTAAACCCTCGAATGCTATGTACAAATGTACCAACTCTGGCAGATTGCCCATTGGTGGTGGTGCTGGGATGCTAATCTCACCCCCTGTATAATGAGCCACACGAGGTTTCACCTTTGGTGAAGTCTGTTTCATATCACCAAGATACTTCTCTGTCAGCTCAACGGCTCTTTCATGAGGAACACCTACAAATGCTGCAACTATTGATTCTGGTTGGTACAGCTTGTTACGGTATTGCATTATATCGTCACGTGCGATGTGTGGTAACAGATCTGCCGGGCACAGCAAAGGAGCACCCAAGGTTTCACCACTATAAGCTGCGCTGTGTAGCAGTTCAGGCAGGATCAGCTCAGGTTTCATCCAGATCTCATCAATCTCGTACTGTGCTGTGAGCTTCTGCTCCTCCAACTCTTCCTGTGTGATTCTTGGGCATTTGACTGTCTCTGACATGAGTTGGAACATCTTCTCGACGTCATTGTTGAACACTGAAGCCTGGTACATCATCGATTCTCTCGAAGATGCACACAGGTAGTTCCCTCCCAATAGCTCCAGAGTCTCCAACATCTGTGTCCCAGACGTCTTCTCCGTTGATTTGAAAGATAACCGGTCAACGAGATGGCTCAGTCCTTTCAGCTTACCAGCTTCGTATCTCGACCCAGCATCCACGTACAGCCCCAGTGCAGAGAAGTGGCCTGGTGTCTGGATAGTGGCCACTCTGAGCCCGTTGGATAACAACGATGAGTTGACTGCCTGGACATAAATGGTTGTTAGTGGGAACGGCTTGCCAGAAGAGTTGGCGAGTGCGAGGAACTTACATTCGATGCTGTGGCGTATGCTCTCTGTGCTCTAAGGCTCCTTAATCCGGCTCTCAGCATCGCTTTCTCTCTATGTTTCACTGGGTGTTTGAAGCCTCCTTGGAACTGTCTCGAGAAGCTGGTTTCTATGGTTAATTCTGGGTAAAACCTGTAAAAAAAGAGAGGGCGCCGTCGTTGCGGGTGTGAAAGTGGTGTCTGGGTGTTTCGATTTCCGATAATGGGCCACATTCCGACTCATATTCCGACTGCCCTGTTCTTTCCGATACAGTTTGCGAGAATGTGTTTTTTCCGAGACCATTTCCGACCATTCTGCTTTTTCCGGGTGTTTGTCTGCTCTGCGGTGTGTTTTCCGGTTGGGCCACACCGCTGCGACGACCAGCGGTACTAAATTTTTACATCACCACCAGTCGTCGTCTAAGTCATCCTTTCTTCTCTCATCTTCCTTCTCCCTCCACACATACAGACAAACACCGAGTTGTGTAACCAAGGTATTTGAGACTAACTTCGATACGATGACTCGTCACTTCGTCATTAAGGTGCCGGCATCGTCTGCTAATATCGGGCCAGGTTTCGACGTTTTAGGTATAGGTCTATCTCTTTTCCTCGAGCTGGACGTCACGATCGACCCAAAGTTCGCCAGCGAGACAAACAACGATCCTCATAACTGTGTGATCACGTACTCGGAGGACTCGGAGGGATTTGAGCATGTTCCATTGAAAGCTGATGAGAATCTGATCACGAGAACTGCTCTGTACGTGTTGCGTTGTAACGACATTAGAGAATTCCCAATAGGTACAAAGATCCATATTAAGAACCCAATCCCATTGGGAAGAGGTTTAGGATCCTCAGGTGCAGCTGTTGTCGGTGGTGCGATGCTTGGTAACGAGATTGGTAAGCTTGGGTTCTCCAAGGAGAGAATCCTGGACTACTGTCTCATGATTGAACGTCATCCAGATAACATCACCGCTGCGATGATGGGAGGATTTGTGGGCTCATACCTGCGTGACTTGAGCGCTGCTGATATGGAGAGAAAGGAGATCCCACTGTCAGAAGTGCTACCAGAACCTGCTGGTGGCCACAACACCGGGTTGGCTCCGCCAATCCCTCCACATGACATTGGCCGTCACATCAAGTACGACTGGTGTAAACAGGTCAAGTGTGTCGCAATCATCCCAGATTTCGAGGTCTCAACGGCCTCCTCCCGTGGTGTCCTACCAACTGCATACACTGCAAAGGACATGATCTTCAACTTGCAAAGACTAGCGGTGCTGACTACTGCCTTGACAAGATCACCACCAGATCCGGAACTCATTTACCCGGCAATGCAAGACAGGGTGCACCAGCCTTACAGAAAGACCTTGATCCCTGGACTTACAGAGATCTTGTCCTCTGTTACACCAAAGACCCACCCTGGATTGCTGGGTATCTGTCTCTCAGGAGCAGGCCCAACCATCCTGGCTTTGGCTACTGAGAACTTTGAAGAGATTGCCAACGAGATCATCAACAGATTCGCAAAGGAGAAGATCACGTGTCGCTGGAAACTGTTAGAGCCTGCTTATGAAGGTGCCACCGTTGAAGAGCTCGATAACTAGATACTGTGTACGTATATAACTGAAGAAAAAGAGTTAGACTAGTAATAGTGACCAGCAATAGTGACACATAACTTACGATTACTGTGTTAGGAAGTCTACCGAATTAGGTTAATTCCCCGATTCGTACATTTCCTCTTCTTTTTCTTTTTTGCCTATTTACACTTTTTTTGTCCATCTCGCAAAGGCAGCCAACGAAACCCCCTTTAAAAAGCTCTCTCTCTTTCTTGTTCTTCTTCAACACCAACTCCCATACTCACACATAGGACACGTACAACATGAGTGATATGGACATCCAGTTGCCCTCCGTTAAGGCATCTTTCAATTCCCTCGTAGCTGCGATTGCCGTGGCGTACGGTGGATGTGAGTGCTACTGTTTTCGAAAGCCAATATTGGTGCTTTAAACTAACCACAGTGTATACAGATATACTCTTTACAGGACAAGGTGAGACGTTCAACTTTGGTGAGTTCTTGGAGACCACGTCGCCGTACCTCTGGGCGAATTTGGGGATTGCATCGTGTATTGGATTCTCGGTTGTTGGTGCTGCCTGGGGTATCTTTATCACAGGTGCCTCCATCATCGGTGCTGGTGTCCGTGCCCCACGTATCACAACGAAAAACCTGATCAGCATCATCTTTTGTGAAGTTGTTGCCATCTATGGGCTGATCACAGCCATTGTGTTCTCCTCGAAGCTTACCAACGCCACTGCCGACACGTTATATTCGAATTCAAACTTGTACACGGGTTATTCCCTTTTCTGGGCTGGTTTAACCGTTGGCTTGAGTAATATGATTTGCGGTATCGCTGTTGGTATCACAGGCGCTACAGCAGCAGTGTCAGACGCTGCTGACTCCTCACTCTTTGTCAAGATCCTCGTTGTGGAGATCTTTGGCTCTGTCTTGGGACTCTTTGGGTTGATTGTGGGTCTCTTGATGGCTACAAAGGCCCAGGACTTCAAATAAGGATACAACCATGAGGGACGATCCATAATGATACAAAACATAGAGCACGAATGGAGAGTAATTGAAAAAGGGGATCTCACCCTATAAAAGTTGAATTGATATTTCTCGGTGTAGAGAATGAACGTAACAACAATGTACAGGAAACTTACATTTTCTTTCTATACAGAGCAACAATAACTAAAGCTTGCACCTCATTTCTCATCCTCAATGTAATCTGGGTTTTTCTTCAAGATGACAATTCCATCCAGGAAGGATGAGAGGGCAACGTATTCACTGTTCTCCTCCAACTCGGCCTTTTCACCATAGCCTAATAGCACCGGTGTTGTCTGTGTAACCCATCCTGTGATTGTCTTTGGGTTACCAGCTTGACCAACAACGTCGACGGCTTTACCAACTCTCACTGTAACTGGAAGCTCATTCAATTCTTCATCAACGGTAACCAGCACCCTCGGACGTGCCGCACTACACAAAAAGTAGAGCAAGTAGTGATGCTCCAAGATGAAGCTTGGATCGACAAATGCAACGGCAACGGTCAACAAGGACGCAAGTGTAACCTTTGAGAGGATTCTACCTTCTGTGGTGAATGGGTTGAGCGTCAAGGTACCTTTACCTAAATGTGTCAAACCTTGTGCGATTCTAGTGGCGAAAAGCGCATTGCCATCACGATGATATGCAGCCAACTGTCTAAACAACTGGGCCAATCTTGCATTATTTGTACCGGTGCCGATCAAACCCATGGCGAATATAGCATTAATCGCAACGTCAATGTCCTGGTCATGGGACATTCTAGAGAGCGATTCGATGATATTTACCTGAGGATTAGCAGTTGAGAGCAAACCAACACCTAGTGGAACAGCACGACGGATCGAATCAGAACCATAATCCAACAAGTGGCCATAGTGTCTTAAACTCATAGCCTTACCGATATCCTCACCCAGTGCAATCACTGCAATACCCAAAACAGCATACGCCAATGATGCATCATCGGTGACCTTCTTCTCCTCATCTTCGTCGTCTTCGTCTTCGTCGTCATTATCAGCCTTGCTGTTACCTTCTTTATCCTCTGTAATTGTTGGTTCATCGTCATTTTGGGCATCGTCGAGATCGATATCACCATCAATGTCTGTTTTCACAGCCTTACTTTCACCGTTCTCCTCCTCATCCTCATCCGCATCTTCATCTTTAGTCTCTTCTTCTGATGGTGGGCCCTTTGGTGTCAAAATTTCGAACAAGCCTTGGATCTCAAGAACGTTACCAGTACCTGCATATGCACTGATTCTTGTCAAAACCTCTAAACTCTTCGAGATTGGATGTTCAATGGCTCTGATGGTTTCAAGAACGTCATCAACTTGTTCAGCCTTGCCCATGAACAACAAACCAAGACCCAGTGCCATGAATTTGATCCATTTGTTCTCCAATTGAGCGAAATCCCTCTCCAAAAGAGTCTGTAAAATAGTGGATGTAATTTCACCGTTACATGTACCAACGAAGGCATGACCAAGTGCCAATGCAGAAAGTACAGAAACTTCAATTGGCACTTCCAAGTTTGAAACCAAGGGGAGTAACAAGTTCAAGAGATCCTCGTTTTGAGAACCAGAGAAGGACAGTGCCAATCCAAGAATAGCTGACATGGCGAGCTTCTTGTTAGAGTTTGTCACGTAGTCTTGAAGTAACAACAACACAGATTCAACTTCATCGTGGACGCCTGCGCCGACAAGACCCATACCTAAAAGTGCACCAGCCTTGATTTCTTCTTCCGAAGAATACAAGTACTTGTCCAACGTTTGTAATCCATCGACATCCCACTGATGAATGGCACCGAAACTTGCCACAGTAGATAGCTTACCATCGCCTTTAGTCTTGTAGATCCAGTTTTCATTCTCTGTGAGCATCTTATCGGTACCATAGCCCATATTTAAGAATGCATTGACAAAAGAAGACGCCAAGTTCTGCTTTGCAGAGTCGATTGTTGCCTCATGACGTACACTCTCCAAGTGTGATTTGTAAATATCCTCTGGAAGCTTTGGTTCTTGCAAGTTCAGCTCCTTGATAACATATTGGAATTTTTCAGAGAGGTTTCTATTATCGAGGAGATCTTGCACTTCTTCGTTCTTGAATGCCGAGTTCTGTTTAGAGAGCATTAGAGCCAGTTGTTTCTTAACCGTGAGGTCATCGGTAGATTTGAAAACAGATTCAATCAATTCCTCGTCGTCGATTCTGATAGCAAGCGCTAACGCCTGTGTGAGTTCACCATGTTCCAAATAGATCGCGAACGCAGTTTGTAAGAACTCCAAATCATCTGGAGGTGGCAACAAAGGCACACAGCTCACCAAGTACAGTCCAACTCTTCTGAAGATATTCTTATCAACAAACTGTGGCAACTCGCTAATGTTATCGGTCTCGAGCAATAGATCCACGGCATCCGCCTCCTGGTTATGTTTCAAAAAGAAGGGAACGATCTTAAGCACAATGCTCTTGATCTCTGCCTCGTCAAACTGCGTCTCTCCAGACTCCAAGCTCTCGTTGGTAGCATCTCCAATCTCCAATGCCAAGTGACGAATGTACTCATGGCCCCAGTCCGTATAGGACTCCTCACCAGAGATGAGTCTGAACTTGAGAGCATCGTGCTTACCGTTGTCGGAGTGTGTCATGCTCAACACTGAAAGGATGTCGGCGAATCTGGACTTGAGCGCTGGATCGCTCCACGATTCAAATGCCTTCACGAGGGCCTCATAGTGCGGATGCAAGAACTTCAACGGCTTAGGAACAGCGGTCATCGACGTTGTGGACGACGATATCTGCTCCTTCAGTTGATCCAACGCCTGTGAATACAGCGATGAATCCTCCTCAGTCAACCGCTCAACAAGCAACTCCAAATCGTTCTTCAACTTCTCATCCTCCTCAGAGATCTCCTCTTCTTCTGTCTTCTTCTGTTCTGGCTTCACAGCCTTTGGCTCCTCCGGCGGTTTCGCAGTGTTCTCTTGTATATTGGCTGCCATTTGACGTGCTGATATTGTGAAGTTAAGCGCCTCAATGGATTAGCTGTTTATCGTCAACGGCGGCTGTTTGATCAGGGTTGTTTTGATATTCTTCGTCGTTGTTTTTGTTGTGTTTTTCGAAGGCTTTGAGCTCACAGTGGCAAAAGCAGAAAAACAAAGCAGCTCCGAGGTACACTGGGGGAAATCCGAGGGTACATGGTGTACGGGTGTATCATATACACTTTATTACAGACCGCTTTGGCAAAGTTTCTCTACGGTTTAAGCCTGATTTCTCTCTTCAATTGAGTCAATTATATAGTACAGTGTCTAGAAATAGTTTATCTTTGAAAAGCACTCAAGTAGTCTCCCTTGAATGCATGGTCCAACCATGAGAATAACTTGTCGTAGATGATACTATTGGCGTTGTGGTATCTGATTGCATGGTCGGAATCTGGGAATACATGGAGATCGTAGTTCTCAGCACCAGCCAAGTCCAACTTGTCCAATAGCTTTGCACTGTTTTGGAAATGTACATTATCATCACCAGTTCCGTGACATAGAAGGAACCTCTTGGCCTTCATCAATTGAGTGATGTTATGCACTGCTGATTGAGCATAACCGTCAGCATTGTTCTGCGGCGTATGCATATATCTCTCTGTATATACAGAGTCGTAGAGTGCCCAATCTGTGACAGGGGCTACTGACATGCCGTAGCTAAAGGTTTCTCCTGCGTCACGCTCAAGCGTTTTCAAGGTCATATAGCCTCCGTAGCTCCATCCAAATATCGCAATTCTGGTGGAATCGATGTACTTCTTCTGCGACCAATGCTTTGCAGCTGCAATTTGATCAATAACTTCGTAATGGCCCAAGTTATCCCTGACAAGGGATCTGAAGCCACGTCCTTTGAATCCTGTACCACGACCATCAACAGTGACAACAATGGCGTCTAATTGGGCCGACACAACTTCAGGGAATCCCAACGAAAATGTCTTTGTAACCAGCTGTGAACCTGGACCTCCATACATGAAGAACAACATTGGGTATTGCTTCTTCGGGTCAAATTGTGGTGGTAATCTTTCAACGTAGTTAACCTTTGCAGTTCCAATGTCAACTTCGCCATAAACCTTCTCAGGTATTTCAAAATCTTCCAATAAATGTGACAATTTGTCGTTTGTCTCTAAAGGTCTTGAATCCCCAGTATATAAGTCTAATAAACTCTGCGATGGAATCCCAGGACCTCTCTTGGTCAAGGAAACGTATCTTGCTCCTGAAGAGAAGGACGCAGAGAACCAAGCTTCACCTTTGGTGAGTGATTTAATCTCACCTGAATGGATATCCACAGAATATAAATGTCTTTCAATGGATGAAACCTCGGTTGAGAAGAAGTACACCAAATCTTTTGCATAGTCAAACGCAGAAGGTGCATCGACAACTTCCCACTCGCCCTGGGTTAACAATTTTGGAGTTGAATTGTTGGGAGGAGTGAAGTATGCCAAATGGTTATAACCATTAACAGACACAGTATCGATATAACCATCAAGCTCGCGTGTTTCCGATTTTGGGATGAATAACGTATCATGGGTGATTTCAAACCAGCTATCAGTCTCTTCATCTCTAACTATGCTTATAGACGAACTGTGGGCGTTTATCAAAACAACTTTTAAGAAGTCTGCCTCTCTGTTGACTGATTTCAACAATAGTTGCTCGTTCCCGACCCAAACAACCTCTGTAAAGATATCATCCTGGTACTCAATGTAATCCGTGACATTAGAATGGATATTGTACAATGCCAATGAAACATTTGGATTTGGATAGCCTGGTTTAGGGTACTTAATCTCTCTTAGCTCTGGGTAAGGAGAATCATCCTGAACGAAATAGGTGATTGGGAAGTCTGGTACCAAAGAGTCATTTGTCCTCAAGAATGCAACATAGTCACCTTTTGGAGACCACCACAGTGCGCTTTCATCTTCGAACACCTCCTCCTCATACACCCAGTCCGGCTTACCATTGAATATTTCGTCACCTCCGTCAAAAGAAGCTCTTGTTGACGTGTGGGTCTTATAGTCGTAGACGTAAACGTCATTGTCCAAGACATAGGCAATGTGTGTCGACGTTGGGGACCACGTAGCGAACGACAACTTCTCAGAGCTCAACGGGGTGATCCGCTGTGTTTCAACGTCCAACACCCAGTGTAGAGCAAACGACGAGTGTCTCCAATGTTGAGTCCAGTTCGTTTGCACAATAGCCATCTCCAAGTTTGGGCTTGCAACGAACGCAGAGATGGTATAATTGATGTGATCAAAGAAGAAATGTGACGAATTGAACAAGTACTTCTCGTAATTGTCATCCTGGATGGATTTAACAAGGTACTTCCCCTTATCGCTAGTTGCGAATGTCCCCTTATCGTCTTTGAACGAATCAGGCTCCGAGATCCATTGAATCGACTTGTACTCCGGCGCAAACGATGAGTTCCTGACCTGCGGAAACCCAATTCGCCCAGAGACGTTGAAGTCAGCGTACTGTTGTCTCAGTTGTAGCAGAGAGATGAGGCCATCGTCATCTTGAAGTAGTGAACGTTGTGTTGATACCTCGCGCAGATGAGCCACACCGGCAATGAGGAGCACAGACCCCCACACCAGGGCAACTAGGGTCATTCCAGCGAGATAGGAAGGTCGACGACGGTTGTGAAGAGCCGGTTCGGTCTCTGGCTTCATTGTGCTCGGAGAAATTGTGATTGTGAGCTTGACTCGTGCAATTGATTATGTCTTTGTGGTGTCTTCTGTGCAAGTTATTATACCTAAAGAATGCAGGAAGTGGTTATCGCTACTGCCCCCCTCAGAAACGGGTACTAAAATAGATGTCCGGGTGTACGTCTTTTGTCCTCTTCCGCCTCCCGGCCATTCTCAGTTACCCGGCCTGCTCAACAAATTGTCCTGTTTTGTTTTGTGTTGGTTCCTTAACGCTTGGTATTTTCCGCGAATTAGAAACTAGCAAACGTGATCAAGAAACCCCCGCCCACCGCCGTAAAGCGTTCTCAAAAAAAAACTTGGACAAATCTTTAAAAAGGGGGCGTGGCCCCTCGAAAAAGGGGCAAAAAAACTTCTCCAACCATTTCCCAAATCCTCCCACACACCCCCAAACACCCACCAACGATCGTATTGGTAAAGGCAGGATCAATTTGTGTTGTCTCGCTCAATCACAACCCACCCCTATAGGACAAAGTGACACATCCCAAAAACACCGGACAGGAGACACACAAGGCAAGTGAAAGGTAAACATCCAGACAGGGACACACGCACCACACACACGCTATAACCACTCAACGGAAAAACCAGACAGGACAAGGGGGACGAAGTTAAAGCTGACGCCACCAATTCGAGATGTCAACAGAGTCACAACAAGCCGCCACCAACGTCTTGAACGCAATTAACGAGCACGTTAAACATGAGCGTGGACAAGACGCACAGTCCCAGCCTCCGCAGGACGTTGACCTTCAAGTCGGTCAAGTATCTGGTGATCACGGCGACCAAGGGACTGGCCATGTCCAAGTCCAAGTCCAAGTCCCACAGGGCCAGGGGGACCACGATGTATCGCAGGACGCTCAACAACAGTACCAGCAATTGACCCAGAACCAATTCTACCAACAGCAGGTGCAGCAACAGCAGGCGCAACAGCAGCAGAGACTGACACAGGAACAATTGGCCCAGTATACTCAACAGCTTCCAAATGCGTTCCCTCAGTCGTCGTACGCACAAACTGCGCACCAATTGGCCCAACACTTACCGCAAGGCTCGGTGCTGGGTCAGCCTACTCACTTCCAACCAGTGGTGTTGCCTCAGAGCGAGTTCGGTTCAAGACAGGAGCTGGTGTCGTATATCCACCAGTACGCCCGTGATAACGGGTTCGGTATTGTCATTTCCCACTCGAACGAAAAGGCAATCTACTTCACCTGCGAATTGGGAGGGACATACCGTAACAAGAGAAACATCAACGACAAGGAGCGTAAGCGGAAACTGACCACGAGAAAGATCAACTGTCCTTTCTCCATGGTTGCCAACTGCAAGAAGAACGAACAGGATGAAGTTGTCAAGTGGATTCTCAGGGTGACAAACCCTGAGCACAACCACGACAAACTGAATCTGAATGAGAGCTTCCCAATGCTGAGAAGAAGAAACCCAGAGATCAACCGTCAGATCAGAGAGCTGTACGCCAAAGGCAACAAGCCTCTCCTGATTGAAAAGATATTAAAGGACACCTTCAAGAACATTTTGATAAACAGAGAGGACATCTACAACGAGACCAGAAAGATGAAGAGAGAAGAGAAGCTGAAATCTTCTGGGGATAATCACTTGCAGTCTCAAGACTCTGCTCGTGACTTGAAGAACACTGCTGACGATGCCTCATTTGACCAAAATTTACCAAATCTGTTACAGCAGACGTTACCATTGGGCTTGAACTCTTCGACCTACCAGGCTCTGCAGGGCTCAGATGCTCAGCAGTCTCAACAGTTCCAGGCTCAGGCCCAGGCTTTGTACAACCAGTCAGTGGTTAACCAAGCTTTGGCAAATGCTCAAGAGACAGCTGCGAAGGAGGATCCAAATTTGAGTAACATTGACATCACTTTGATCAAACAGCAAGGGTTGCAATGATCTTTAATGACTCCATTACTCACTGCAATCTCCTCTGTGTCTTTCTTTCAGTCTTCTCTCTGACTTTTGTATTGTATTTTTACAGTGTTGGTCTCTCTGTTTCGGCTCACGGTGTTTCTTTCTTCTTTTTATGACTGTATCTTGCTTGTTTTTATCTTAGTCTAATTGTGTAAACGGTTCATATCAAGACCTGGATACCTACTTTATGTTTTCATACAACCTTGTAACATCTACACTAGCTTCAAACTACACGTTGTGACTGTGAGATTAAACAGGTTTCAATAGTGGAATCTGCAAAACGGCCAAAGGCTACTGAAGCCTGATTCACCTTCTAATTCCATCCAATCCGTATCCTAACTCCCTCTCTAGATCGATAAACGAATCATTATACACCTCTTCAGGCTTAGGTGGTAAATCTGAGGTGAATTGACCTTGGGGTATACCGATCTGTCCCACTGGGCTCTCGCCAGCTTGTGGGAAAAACGACTGCTGTATTGGCGTGCCAAACTGGAACTGTTGCTGTTGTTGCTGTTCTGAAGCTGGTACTGCCGGTACACTTTCATGTATTTGGTCCTGTTGATACTGCTGCTCACTGTATTGGTCCTCCTGTTGATGTTGTCCATGTCCCATGGCCTCCGGGTTGGAGAGTTCCAATTGTTGTTCATCAATAGGCTTTCTCACAAACTCCCTGAAGCTCTCAACTTCCTCCAAGATCATGGTTCTCATTACGTCCAAATCGTCAACCTCTTCAAAAGTGAAGTCGAATTTCGATGCACAGATTGGCTCATCTGCTGGATCGTGCCATACTTTGAGGTAAGGATGTGTCAATGCCTCCTCAACGGTGATTCTCTTTGCAGGATCCAAACAGAGCATCCGGTCCAACAAGTCCAACGCATCTGGATTGGCATCTGGGTATAGCTGTGAGAAAGGCACCTTAGGCATAAACGGTAACGATCTTACATAGTCCTGCGCCCTTTGCGATCCAATTCTAGTTAGTGTTTCCTCTGCTGGTGTGCCAACAATGTACAAGATCTGGTTGAGTTGATCAACGTAATCCTTACCCTTGAATATCGGCTTCCCACCAAGTAACTCAGCAAGTATACAACCAATGGACCAGACGTCGATGGCCTTTGTATAAGACTGGAAGCTGAGCATAATCTCCGGAGCTCTATACCAGCGAGTAGCAACGTATTCAGTTAGAAACCCGGTGTTCTTCTCAGGTATTGATGAATAGCCACGGGCAAGTCCAAAATCACAAATCTTCAACTCGCAATCAGCGTTGACAAGTAAGTTACCAGGCTTCAAATCCCTATGTAAAACATCGGCAGAATGGATGTACTTTAAACCACAGAGAATCTGATATATGAAGCTCTGATAATGGGCATCTGTTAGGGGTTGTCCTGAACGGATGATCTGGTGCATATCGCACTCCATCAGCTCCTCATACAGGTAAACCTCGTTGAAGTCGTTCTTATTGACAATATCCAGATCGTATAGACACGTGATGTTCTTGTGACCTCTAAAATGTCTCAACAGCTTGATTTCTCTGAGTGCTCGTTTACACAAGATCTTCCTGCTGAAGATATTGGTCACCTTTTTGATCGCAACGGTGATGTCAGGTGTCTCTGTATAGCGTGCTGAGCACACATTTCCATAAGCTCCGTGGCCTAGCTCCTTGATTAGCTCAAACCTCTTGTCGATGGTGAAGTCCTGTTGGAAGACGGTAAACGTGTGACGTTCTGGTTCTGCCATTCTCTATCGGTGTATATGTGTATATGGGCTGTGTGTTTGTTGCTGAAACGAAACTGAGACAACAGTAGGAAAGTTAGGGTATAATATTATTGAGGAGGGAACAAGTCGATCTGATTTACAGTTGCCAGTGTTACTCCCCTTCGACTGTAATCAGCACAAGGTCACAAGCGTTGTTTTATACCACAAAAGAATAGGCAGAATGTGTAATAAAGACCCCTATGGTGTCGAAACTAGAACAAAAGGACAATTAAAATCTCAATTGAAAAGATATTACTCTCTTCAAGTAGTCCTGATGATTCTCAAATCTCTTGATATTTGATATGTGCTCCGAGAAAGAACTTCTGTCCTCCAATTTTGAGGTTTTTTCATCCCCTTCTAAAAAAAACTACTTTTCCAACCCCCCCCCCTCCAAAAACGAGAGCCCTTCTTCATTCCCGTGCGCTTGTTCTTTTTTTGGCAACAGCCCACCGAAAGTGCAAGAATGCACGTTAACGTGTACAAGTATGGACGGCGAAAGCTGCGAAGAAGGGAAAAAAATAATGCCATGTGCCCCATTTAATCTTCCATTTAACCCCCACTGTTTTTCCTGCTCCTCCTCTCTTGGTTCATGCTGAGTCCAACTTCTCCAATGTGGAATAGAATCTTTTAACGTCAGGGTTAACTCTTATCTTGTCAGGATGGAAGTTCAAGATTTGTAGATTCTCCTTAGAAACGGCACGTGAAAGTGCAACGTATACTTGGCCGGCCTCGAAAACACGGTTAAGATCGACTCTGACGTAGTTCAACGTTTGACCTTGTGCCTTGTGGATGGATAAGGCCCATGATAACAATAATGGGACCTGTTTGCGTGCAATCACGGAGTGCGAATCATCGCCTCTTTCACTAACCTGGAATTCATCTGGCTCGGCTAGGAAAATACGCCCACCTGCCGGAGTCTTGAACCTAACCACTGGGAATAAAGCTGCCTCCGTCACGCTTGAAGAGAATTCAGCAGCCTTTTTAACTGCGGACTGGCGCTTTTTCATAGAGGAGATTTGTTCAATATATCTTTTGGTTTCTTCGGTTATATGGCCTTCAGCATTGCACTCTTGGATCAAATCGATAATCTTCTTACCTTCGTTATCATCCAAGGGATCGTCAGATGATAGGAGAAAGGCAGTTCTAAGCTCGGTGTATTGCTCACTGGACAAATACCCCCACACGACACCAACAGAACCATTGACCAATGTCTCATCAATGTTCTTCAACATCATCACTTGTGCGCCAATTTTCAATTCGAGCTCTTTCACAGCCATGGTATTTTCAAGCATCTTTGCGGCCCTATCATCAGGTGCAATGTCGTTTGCGGTGAATTTCTTGACCCTTCCTGGTAAAGCTGCTAATCTCTTTCTATTTGAATATTCAACTTCATTTCTAGTGGAGTATAACTCTGTTGGTTGAATGCCATCCTCGTACACCACCGGTCTTGAGAGTCTCGCCAACTCAGAGCTCATTTCGTCATCGATGTTTGCCAATCTCACAGCGTTCAATATGTTGACGAATTCAGAATCGGCCTGTCTGAAAACTTTGTGCAATAGAATTGTTCTGTCGATGTATTTCCAAGATTGTGCTTGGAAACAGAATTTCATAGCTCTGTTTTTATCAGGTACAGGTGGTAACTGGAAGAAATCTCCCGTCAAGACCAACTGAACACCCCCGAAGGGTTCTTTATAGTTTCTAACACCCTGGGCAACTTGATTTAATTTGTCCAAGAAGCTTCCATCAAGCATAGAGATCTCATCAATGATCAAAACCTTCATAAGTCTCCATCTTTCTTTGACCTCTGGTTTTTTACGAATCATTGAAATGTACGCCTGTGGTGTCCTGTCACCAATACCCATACCCGACAATCTATTGATTGTAGAGCCACCAATGTTCACAGCTGCCAAGCCTGTGGATGCCGCCACGGCAACTGCTCTGGATCCATGTTTGAGGTTCAATGCAGAGATGATTTCACGCAAGAGAAGTGACTTACCAGTACCTGCGCTACCTGTGTAGAAAACGTTCAATCCCTTTCTAACCACAAGTTCAAGAACCAATTTCTGTTCGTCGCTTAGCTTTAAATCAGAGGTTATACTTCGATGATATTGGTCTGTCTGGGCTGGTGGTGTTGCCCTCAAACGAGGGTTCTTTGTCTTGGTCAGCTTAGAAGTTTGATCCCATGGATTGAGAGCTCTCTTTGCAGGCGCCAGCTTTTTAGATCCAAAGTTTAGAGTCTGCTGACCACCAGATCTAAGCTTACCCAGGGTCACCAGTGGTTTGAACTGAGAAGGTTTACGTGAGTCCGTGTGCGATACATGTGTCTCGTTCATGGTGTCCCTTTCAGTTGAGAGATCCACGGTTTCTCTTGGTGTAGTGAAGGATAATGCTGAGGCTGATGGTAACGATGATGAAGACAACATCCTTGAAGCCGGAGGCTTTGAGTTCTTGAAGTTCTTTATCGGAGGATCAACCTCCACAACATCATCGTCTTCGTCTGTTGCGTCGAACGAAGAGCTTGTTCTGGCAAGGAAATTCATAGATGAAGTCTTCAGCTCCCTCGGAGGTTGAGATGTCGACTTGATGTTCAGGTCGCTACCTGTGGCATCCTCTAGGGGCTTGGTCTTCGGCTCCAAGGAGGACTTGGATCTTCCCTGGAGAAAGAAGTTCAACGGCTTCTGCTGCTGACGCTTCAGAATCGGTGAAGGAGCCTTGAATGGGTTCTTGGAGAGCTTTCTCCTCTGTGACGGCGTCGATGTATGCGAAGACATGATGATACCTCTGGTTGAAACGTATCCGCTGTGTCAGAAAGAGCGGGCGGGTAGTGGTTTTCGTCTTTGTTTACGTTTTGTTGTGTGTACGCAATGTATTTTTTTGTGTTTTTGTTTGCTTTGGTTTTCGTGAATTCCATCGCGATTGTCCGTGTTTTCAGTATCGCGCGTAGTAACTCTGGAGAATCTCATCGTGATCAGAATTGATATAACGGTGGAAACGACTAGTGATCTCGTAATGGCTTTGAGTGCACGTGTTAATCAACCGTGTGAATTAATACCTGCCTTAAGAGAAGCATTATTACCAATTAAATGTGGTATAGATCTATGTGCCCACGGTGTTAATTTCCTGAATAAAAAAATGACTCCAGTTTGTTTTCGTATGATCAATAAATTAGCCAAAGATATTAATGATAAATATTTCAAATTCCTAAGCTATAATCCTTGAACTGAGCTTTTCCATAGTAAACTAACCATGAGCCAAGGGATCAATTCACACGATTATCCGTATCACCAGTTTACCCACAACGACGCCCTCCAGGAGGAAAATCCGTGCTCGTGTTTGTGTCATAAAACATCCCAACACCAAGGATTTGAATGGCCATCACCGTGGCTACCAACGCTTGGTGGGCAAAAAGCGTAAAGAAGTCTGCCAAACTGGTACACGGGCAAATAGGTCTGTGGCGCGTAACAATCAACCCTCCTCCTTTTCCGTACACAAACATTTCACCACACAAGGGAAAAGTTTTATATACACACAGAGAGAGGGAGAGAGAGGAAACGCATCAAAACCTACTGAATGGGCGATAGATACTACAGTGGACATGCGAAGATGGAGTGTGAGTGTAATTATCTCTGCATGTTTCTTGTGTTGCGAGCATGAAAGCGTGGTGATTACAGAAGGATAACTAACCATAGGGGTGTGAATTAGATGCTCCAGCGCCAATGATGATAAACAACTCTACCAACAACAGTACGAATAATCCCAACAAGAAGGACAAGAGGAGGGCCACGATTCTGTCCAAACTGTACAAGCTCGAGGAGTCGTTCTGCGTGGATAGAGACTATTACTACCGCGGCATGCTTCAGACACTCCAGCAGAAGCTCATGACTGCGCACGCGGGCACCAATGAGGAGCTGAAGGAGAAGTACCTGGACCTGGAGGAAGAGAGGGACTACGAGCTTGTAAGGTTAAGACTGTGGGAAGAGTACCAGGCGGATAGGGCCGAGAAGGAGTTCCAGGAAGCGGTTGAAAAGGCCAACAAGGAGCACGACGAGATGGTGAAGGTTGTCAAGGAGAGGCTATATGCGTCTTTGGAGAAACAGATCAAGCAGCTCAAAGAGGATAAAGTGCTCTTGGACATGGCCAACTCGCACTCCTATAACATGGATACAACGATCGATTTGCACAAGAACACCAGGTCTCAGCAGAGCCTGAAGGAATCATCGATATCGACGATGGGGTATGGGAGTGATCGTACCCGTGCACACAGACGTCGACACGACTACACCTCTCAAGCTGAAGACACCAACGCCAGTGCAAACGAATCTGGTAACACATCCGCTGCCGGAGGCGGGAGACGTAAGAAGACGAGGTATTCCAGTGCAGAGGAGAGCTGGCTAAGCGATGGAGATCTCAGCTCTCTGTTATTTGGGGATAGAAAGGACAAGCCATCCACAAGACACTCGAATAAGAGCTACCAGCCACCAAACTCCTTGAAGAATGAAGAGATATCCGAGGATTTGAACTTCTTACGAGGCCTTTGAACATACGATGCAATATAACATGAGATGATATAACATGAGATAATATAACATAATATAATATAACATAATATAATCTTTGCCTTATGTACCGGCTCATCTCGAGGAGATTTTATAGCGTGGCCCACACTCCATCGGTGCACTCACGGGAAAAAACAGAGGCTGTGTTTACTTCAGGACCTTGTTGATAAGCACGAGATAGCCAGAAGCACCAAGAAGAGGTGGGATTGAACCGAGAGAATGCTCAGACTCGCAAGGCTGTCGAATAGCATCATAGTCCTGCTCAAAAGGAGAGTATCGCTGCGGAGCTACGTGCTCCCGCTCTATTTAATGCTCATCTGTTTGATACTCATCGTTGTAATAGCGATAGGTTCAATTACGCTGGTTCTGGTGCTGAAGGACCAGAGGGAATTTGAAGCTGGATTACCCTCTCATCAGATCTTCCCAGGGGATCATGACGACGTGTTCTTCGACGGCTGTTCAGACCCCCAGTGGTTGTCGCCCGAGAGAGCTGATGCGTCCTTGGTGATGCTGGCTAGAAACGAAGAGCTTGACGGTGTTATCAAGAGCATGATGTCCTTGGAGAGACATTTCAACCAATGGTTCCACTATCCATGGGTGTTGATAAACGATGAGGAATTTACCGAGGAGTTCAAGTCAACTGTGAGGAACTACACCGCATCAACAGTGGAGTTTGGCACCATACCCGAAGAGTTATGGGAATTCCCTGAGGACGTGAAGGAAACACCTCTCTTCAAGCAGGCTGTTGAATTGCAGGGTGACAAGGGGATAATGTATGGCAACAAGGTCTCATATCACAAGATGTGTCGATTCTTCTCAGGTGGGTTCTACAGGCACCCTTTGGTGAGGAAACATCAATGGTACTGGAGAGTAGAGCCGGATGTCGAGTTCTTTTGTGATATACCTTACGATCCATTCATGGAGATGCAGAGACGTGGAAAGAAGTATGGGTTTGTCATTATGATCGAAGAGTTTAGCGATACTATCCCTAATCTGTTCAGGGCAACTAGAGCATGGCTTAGAGAGACTGGATTCGAGCCTAGATCCTCCTGGAAGTTGTTTGTGAAGAACATGATGAGCAAAGTGAAGATCCCTGATCTTAAGAGACAGGAAAGATGGTATGCAAATATCGATAATTTCTGGAACATTGCAAGCCGTGTAAGAGAAGTGCTCCTTGTTGAGGATCTGCTACGCAACGTGAAGAAAGAGTTCTCATCAAAGGGGAAGTCTGGTACGTTGATGACAGATGACGATATCCCAGAGGATCACATCAGAGAACTTGTGGCATTTGCAAAGGATAGGGGCAGACTACCCGGCTTATCAGGGGAAAGAATTGACGGTCAGGAGTACAACTTGAACCATTTCTGGTCCAATTTTGAGATTGCTCGTGTCGATCTTTGGGATAATCCCATATACGAGTCCTATTTCCAATTCTTGGAAAAGCAAGGTGGCTTTTACTCAGAGCGTTGGGGTGATGCACCTGTCCATTCATTAGCTGTTGGATTTATGTTGGATATCAGCGAAATTCACTACTTCAGAGATTTGGGCTACCAACACAGCGTAATAAGACACTGTCCTGCAAACCATCCAAATCAAACTCCATATGAGGCTTCAGAGGAATATCTACAAATGCCAGGATACAGCCCTAAATACGACAATTTTTGGAAGCATTTGAGTCCCGTTAAGGACTATGGCCAAGGCTGTCGCTGTCGTTGTCCAAAGTCCACTTATGACGTTGAAGATAACGATTTCTTACAGAATTGGTTTGAAATGATTCAAGAAGGATGGTATGATGTTAGAGAGGACATTAACGTCAGAGATATCGAAAAACGTACAAAGAAAGAGCTGAGGGATCAGAGCAAGCTGATTTGAAACCTTGTACGATAAAAGTGCATGTGTTGAAGCTCATTGGTGTGTTTGAAATTGCATATTCACAGGTACAGGGAAAGAGGAAAGGGGTCAATTTAAGAGGCTGTACATCACGTTTGTAAATACACGATGTTATAGCGAAAACTTCTATATGGTGTATTAAAGGAGTATGCTGTTGTAAATGTACGTCGTCTTGTTTCGAATGCATTGTAATGTATGAGTGTCCACATGATGAGGATCAAAGGATCACCGTGGAGGAGTGGCATTATTCCCACTCTTCAATTGATGCCATTGGACAAGTGTGGACACCTGAGCACTGTGAAATGTTGACCTTTTGAGGCCCAGGACGACTTCTATGGCTGTCAAATGACCAATACCACCAGCTGTGTGAAAACCTGTAAACCTTTGACTTTGAGATGCTACATATGTACACTTCTTCGGCTTGGTTCATTGTGACATACAAAATCCTCGTCATAATCTGAGGGTTCTTCTTACGCATACACTGTGGTTATGTTCATTCTGTTGTAGTTTCTATGATACTCTAAGAGCAATTAAGACTCAAGCATAGAGCTCGAAAGCACACCCTAGTTCCACTGAATCTTTCAGTAAATAGATCAACAGATCAGCCATTGGCTCGCTTCCTATAGGAGGTGAGATCTGAATATGTGGTGAACGTGCATTGCAGGTTTGAACATAACTAAGACAGGATGCACGAAGCCATGTATCTTCTGGTGGGCTCGACTTGTGCCATATGTGTACTTCTCATATCCCACACTGAAGCAAGCTCAACTTTCAAACGAATAAACGCAGATCTGTAGTGATGTGTGGATCTACAGCTCCCTCAAAGCAAGGGTATACAAGCGTCCTTCACTCTAACACCAGAGACGACAAAATGACGTACATTATACAATCATAACTAGTAAAACAAAAGGAAAAGGATGAAGTTACTACCGTTGTTCATGGCAGCTGGTGCATTTGCACAGTTATCCCTGGACATTGACATTGTAAGAGGTGAAAGCTTTGAAACAGCAAAGAGAGACACTCAGGCTTTTGATCGCTTGTACAAAAGAGATGACTCTGTTTATCTGACCTTGTACAACAAGGAGGTCTACTACTCAGTTGATCTGAAACTTGCTGGCCAAAGCTTTAAAGTGTTGCTGGACACAGGGTCAAGTGATCTCTGGGTCTATGGAGCTAATAACCCGTACTGTAGAGCCAACAATGGACACTCCAATAGGGAAAGGCTCGTTGATGCTTCGCCAAAGAATCTTTGGAATCTTGGAACTCCAAGTGTTGACAAGAGAGACAGAAGTGATGCCAGAGATGTTGATCCTGCAGAGGCAACCATTGACTGCGAGAGCAGTGGTGTCTTCCAAGACAATGGCGATAATTTCAAAGATAATGGGAAACCGTTCTTCATTCAATACGGTGATTATAGCTTTGCACTGGGCCGTTGGGGTAGCTCCAGGCTGGAAGTCTCTGGTGCCTCTCTGGTCGACTTCACGTTTGGTTTGGCAAACTTGACCAACAGCAGTGCTCCCGTTTTTGGCATTGGTTACGTTGGAAATGAAGCATCTCATGGTCAATTCATGCAGCAGTACGGGGGTACTTTCGAATGCGATAACTTCCCCTTAGCGTTGAAGAACCAGGGTATTATCCAGAGAAACTTGTATTCTCTGTATTTGAACTCAGTAGATGCCAATGGTAAGATCCTATTTGGTGCCATTGACCACGCTAAGTATCAAGGAGACCTGGTAACGTTACCATTGGTGAATGTATACGCCGATTATGGCTTCGCTAAGCCTATCACCTTTGACGTTGAGATCCAATCTCTAGGTATTACCATAAATGGCGAGGAATCATCAATCTTTGATGAAACCATATCTGCCGGTCTCTTGGATTCCGGTACAACTGTTAACTATTTACCACCGCGTGCTGTTCAGAGCCTTGCTGATAAGCTGAATGCAGAATGGGACGACACAATCGGCTGGTATGTCACTGATTGTCCAGTAGAGTCTACAGACATAACTTTGGACTTTCACTTCCAAGGAGTCGCCATCCAGGTTCCTCTCAACGATATGCTTGGAGCTGTTGATAGCACTCAAGTACGTTGTGCCGTTCTAGTCCGTCCTTCCAGCAGGGTCATCCTCGGTGACACCTTCTTGAGGCACGCATACGTCGTCTATGATTTGGACGGCTACCAAGTTCAATTGGCACCCGTAAAGATCACTGACTCACAGCAAGTTGAAGTGATAAGTGACGAATACAGTGCAAAGAAGTTTGGAAAACGGGCCGACTCTAACTCGACTGGTTTATCGTTATCTTCATCAAGTGCGAATGATGCATCATCTAATGCATTGGACTCCGCCACGCGCCTGTTAACTTCTATGTCCGTCTTCCTCTTGGCTCTGTTTTAGACAAAAGATACGGCCATTGTTCTGGAAGAGGCTTGTCAAGCCTCGCAGTGGTCATCGATGAGCACCCAGCTGATTGAAGATTCTGTTCCTTCCAATTGTAGCGTATATGCCATTGTAACAGATTTACCAACATTTCGAAAGTTATGAATGAAGAGTAGACAGAAGTTAATGGGAGATAGGCCAAAATTTGGACTACAGACAAGAGGCGGAGCTCCAATGAGTGATCGCTTTGCTTCATTCCTCGGTAAGTTTCCATGTAAATACCATGTACTATCTTCATTAAGCGTTATTTGGACCTTCAACATTAGATTCAATAACAGGATAATGAACATGACCAAGATAGCAACACAGCCTTGACGCCATTACCATTTAAACTGGTTATATTCTTTGTAAAATGCTATGATTCCATAGAGATAGGCCAATAATATATAGCAGACCATAGACAATGAGATTGGTTCCTGTTATTGTTGCGTTAGTGGGTGCGTCAGTAGCTCTTGCACAAGTCTCTGTGAATTTTAACATCCTCAGAGGAAGAGATATCCACACCGCTCAAAAGAGATCATTTGGTAAAAGAGATGGTGGTATAGTTAGAGCTAACATATTAGATGAGCAGGTGTTTTATGCAGCCAATATTACCATAGCTGGTGCCGAGTATAGTGTTTTGATAGATACTGGTTCTAGTGATTTGTGGGTCTACGGTTCTACAAACCCTTACTGCACGTCTAATGGGGGAACCAGGAAGGAGAGGCTTCACGGATTCTCACCAGCTGACCTTTGGAGGCTACAGGGAACAAATATTGACTCCGCTCAAAGGCCAGCTGGTGTCCATTCAGAGAACCTGAAGCCAGATATCACTCCAACCGTGGAGAAAAGAGGTTTCTCAACATCTATATCACAATCAGAAGCAACAATTGATTTTGAAATGTTTGGTGTATTCGATACTGAATCACAACAATGGAGCACAGATGGTCAATTGTTTCTCATACAGTACGTTGATATGACGTATGCGATTGGTTATTACGGTACCTCTGTGGTCTCATTTGGTAACGCTACCCTTGATGGATTGACCTTTGCAGTTGCGAATACATCTAACGCATCTACTTCAATCTGTGGGATCGGTTTCGAAGGCAACGAAGCTTCCACAGGCACATATATGGATAGTTTTGGTGGTGCTTTTCAATATCAAAATTATCCTTCTGCGCTAAAAGCTTCAGGTCTGATAGCAAGAAACATGTATTCCATGTGGATGGATTCAGACACAGCTGAAGGTGTTGTTCTCTTCGGTGCAATCGACCACTCTAAGTATCTTGGTGATTTGGCTACAATGTCTCTACTCAATTACTACATTGACAGTGGCTTTGAGCAGCCTGTTACATTCGATGTCAGTCTCAACAGCTTATCCCTGAGCGATGGTGAGACAAGAGTCAATGTGCTTAGCGAAACGCAGAGCTGTCTCTTAGACTCCGGTACTTCGTTTACATATCTTCCAGAAAGCGTCGTGAATGGTATTGCCAGCTCACTGGATGCCACTTATGATAAGAAACAAGGCTTTTACGTTATCGACTGTCCAAGGTCTACTACCGGTATCAATTTCACCTTCTCTTTTGATACCATTGATATTCAAGTCCCATTAGACGATTTTCTTGTTGCTGTTGACGACTCACGCAAAACCTGTGCTATCGTTTCAACAGGCTCTAGTCGTTGTATTCTTGGTGACACTTTCCTTAGAAGTGTCTATGTTGTTTATGATTTGGATGGTCTCCAGGTACAAATGGCCCCTGTAAATATGACAGTAGTAATATGGGTGATGGTGTTGAAATGGTCGGCTCTGTTGGTCCAACTGCAAGTGATGGTTCAACACCAACAGCGCATTTGACCATGACAGTTCCTGGTTCTGCATCGGCTGTGAATTCACAGCTTGTTACCGATGAAGTTCAGGGTATAAAGTCTTCCACTCCAATCACAGAGTCCAGTGGCACCACTCTACTTAGCGTCATCAGTGGCTCTACAAATGGTCTTTCTTCTAGGACAGCTACTGGTTCTAGCAGTCCATATGCACAGTCGTCTGCTAACATTGGTTGCAAACGTTCCGACTTTTCCCTCTTCAGCATCATAACTCTCTTTATTTTGTTTTAATCATCACGTTTATTTCTGTTTTAGTTCAGATGCCTATCTTCAAATTGAAATATTACTACTTTATCTGTAGAGTGGCGTTTTCATGTAGAAGTTATGCAACATACACGAGATATTACATATCCTTGCAAGTGAGTGATTCCCTTCTAACGCGAACAAATTATAAGCACGTGCCGATATAACATCTTATGCATAACATCTTTTATTCAATAGAGAATATTCCCCAGTTACGAAAGCATGTGTGAAATATGGCAGATCATCATAAGATAGGCCAATTGCACCTTGAGCCGTACTAGAAAAATCATACATCTATTGTTAATTCATTATCCTCACATACAAAGGATTATATTGTACGTAAAGTGCATGTAGATGCGTCAATATTGGAGATTCTTCAGAATATTCTTGCTGGAAATATCTCCAAAGACCATGTTTAACCAGAAATTGATTCGAAAGAATGCAATACGAGGAAAAAAAGGATGAAGTCATCAAAGCAATTTTATGCATATTGGCTAGCGTCTATCATGCAGGTGTCGTACGAATGAAAGCTAATCTGTGTTAAATATTTTAACATACCGAATTTGAAAGGGAAAGTAAAAAGCGGATTCTTTTAACGTACTGGGTAACTTGAAGGAGATTTATTCGTCCATCTTTTGTCGCAGCAAAGGGTATGCTTTCAAGCTGTTACACCAACAATGTAGTTTTAAAATATTTTCAAAGTCTTCAAGGAAGCAACACACCTTACAGAGATTTTCAGATTGCCTCCTTGAGACAATACCAGGACATAGGAGTAACGTTGAAGCGTTCCCGTTAAAACAAGGCTTTCGTAAGAGATCTAGAAAAGTTGCATGGTTTTCAAGGCTAGTGAAAATGTGGTAAAGTATTGTTTACTTCTGAAGAAATAGTGAGACCTGTCACCCTGCCTTGCATAGCCTGCGTCTGAGTGTATAGAAGAAGCTTCAATACTAGAAACGTACTCTTGGAGATAGGAGCGGGAATGTCAAAGAGTTGACAGCGTATCAATGGAAGAATAAACAATGGTGAAATGAACAATGGTGAAATGAACATTACCTTAAACAAACTCACCTGTGGTACAAACAGTGAATTGAAAGATCAATCTAGTTCAATCAGAACAACGCCTCAAAGTTTTGAAGCATAGCATGATGATCACGTCATATCTTCAAATACGATCTCGAATTTTTCCTTGCATGTAAGTTATGGTCCCACATGAGATATTTTATGATGTACATATATACGAGTTTTCGATACGCATGCAGCTCTCAAATTGTTCGACACGTAACGAGAAAATGAATACTACTATTGCAGTTGCTGCGGCCTGAGAGGTTAGTGAAAATTATATAAACGCTCCGAAAGACACGTTGTAGACATTTTCGACATGCCCAATTGCCCCAGAAGAAGTTCAAAAATCTGTATACGATTATGAAATTATCAAACTTAATCATCGGCTCAACCTTTGCGGCTTTAGCATTTTCTAATGCTGTTCCAATGAAGTTCGATGTCCTTAGAGGCAACGATTTTCATTCAGCCAAAAAGATTCCTAAGCTATCGAAAAGAGGTGATGGCACTGTTTATGCAGATATGTTCTATGAAGGTGGTATCTTCTTTGGCTCTAGAATGGTTGTGAATGGAACCGAGATCTTTGCTCTTCTTGATACCGGCTCAAGTGACTTTTGGGTTAATGCTCCAAATAACCCATACTGTTCTTCTAATCGAGGAGGAGAAATTGTCTTTCCAGCAGCGAGTGAAACAATCTCCGTTTCATCAGAAGCAGCAACAATTGACTGTGAGGAGTATGGAATCCTTGATGTTGATGTGGAAGTTCTTGAAGGGGATCATCCAACCTTTGTGATTGGATATGGTGATACCACTGTCGCAGCGGGAGTTTACCTTGATGGTGTTGTCACAATTGGAAATGCTACTTTGAGCGACTTTACCTTTGGTGTAGCCAACGTTTCAAACGCTACTCCAATTTGTGGGTTATCATTTGAGCAAACTGAGTCCACTCATTACATTTATCAAAACTTACCTTCGGCTCTAAAACAGACTGGTTTGATTAAGAGAACAGCCTTTTCAATGTGGTTGGATGGGGAAAATGCTGAAGGTTACATTCTTTTCGGAGGAATTGATCATTCAAAGTACGAAGGGGAACTTGTCACTCTTCCACTTGTAGCTGGCCAGAACATGTCTCAGCCTAGCACATTCAATGTGAATCTTAACTCCATTGACATAAACGATGGTGAGGTTGAGATTGAAGTGTTGTCTAATACCACCAGTGTCTTGTTCGACTCGGGAACCTCAGAAGTTTACTTACCACCGAATGCCGTTGAAAATATAGCTGAGGCTCTGAAAGCTACTTATTCAGACAGCTGGGGTCAATATCTTGTTCGCTGCCCAGAACAGAGCACGAACATAACATTTGGCTTCAACTTTGATGGTCTAAAAGTCGATATCCCACTCGAGACGTTCTTGGTCGCAACTGACTCGTCGCATAAAGAGTGTGCACTCAACATCTTTGCTGGAACTAAAGGAGTCAATTATATCTTGGGAGATGTCTTTTTGCAAGAGGTTTACGTTGTGTTTGATCTCGAAGGACTCCAGCTTAGAGTTGCACCAGTGAACAACAACAATGATACTGCCGAAATCGAAGTTCTTGAAGCTGCGAAGACACCAAGTGGTGGCTTCAACAACGAGACACTTACAGCCACAGTCTCTTGGAATGGTTTGTTAACAACAGTAGCATTACAAGAA